AACAATACAATCTACGCGGGTCGGTCGTCTGACCGCACAATACACGCACACACAATACATATATATATATATATATTTATAAATAATCAGATGCGGGATACTACCGGTTTGATTGCTTCGAATGGTCCGCTAAAAAAAAAAATTCGGGATCTGACTACAAAGACCTATCTCAAAGAACACGATTTAGAAGCTCACGTCAGAGTTTTTTTGATGGCTTTGGATCGTCTGAACATCTGTATGGGAAAAATAAATTTAAATTGGAAACCTTTCTACCCATAATATTGATACCCTGGGCGTGCATCTTGAACAGCGGTTAAGTTCGTATAAGGACATTAATCAGCGGTTTGGTTCGTTTTTGAGCTTGAATACTTTGAATTCTGCAGCGTTGAAATAATATTGCAAAGAATTTGCTAAAATCTATTACGAATACTTTAATGAAGCAGAGTTGTAAATGGAATGTCTGCATTTAAAAGAATACTTGTAACATATATATAGTGAAAATGAAGAAACTGATAAAATATTAAGAATATATCATCTTTTGAAAGAAAACAAAATTGAAGACACATTTCCAAAAGTAGAAATTATATTGAGAATATTTTTAAGCATGATGGCAACTAACTGCAGTAAAGAGCGTTCTTTTTCCAAATTGAAAAGAATTAAAATTAATTCAGAAGTACAATGTTACAAGAAAGATTAAACAGTTTGTCGTTGATGCCAATAGAATTTAATATGTTCAAACGCATGGACGATAGACTTCAAAGAAGTAATTAACGGTTTTGCCCATCTTAAATCTAGAAGGGTACCTTATCAATAAAAATAGAATTTTCAAAATTTCCGGATTATTTTAAAATTATTTAATATAATATTAATATTTAAATTTATATTATACTACCTATATTTAATGTATAATGAAAAAAATGAAAATAATTAATAGTTCAATTAATCTTCATTTTTTCTTATTTACCACCACCCTATTTACCTTTTTTAATAAAATAGTACTCTTTCCAAGTCATAGGGGCCCCATTTTACCACTGCCTAGGGCCTCAGAAAGGTTAAAGACGGGTCTACTGATTTTTACTTATTTTAATAAATAGAAAAAAAAAATTATATTACAATATTTTGTAGTTTATGACTGATTTTTACTTATTTTACTTTTTACAACTTTACAAATATATAGTGTAGGAGTTAACATTATGTTGTAGGAGTTAACACTGTCAATGTAAGAGATTACCTACTTTTGTAAGAGTTTACTATCCCTTGCCACTTATATTGCAGTTGGGTTGCAAGGTAATGCATTGTAATTTCAATGTTTCGTAAACCTATTAATAGGACAGGTTTATTTAACATAAACCAATGATGTATTGGTGTGTAAACTTTATGCGTAGTTAAGTAGTTTATAGCACAGCTTACTTTCATGTTTATCGGGAAAAAGGGTTTTCTTTCCAGGGATACAATTGTCGTTTCGAATTAACGTCGTAATACGAATTTATGCATTGATAATATAAATAATAATATTTAATTATAAACAATACTATCAACAATTTTCTCAATTTCTTAAATTTTAATAAACTGTAGATGTTTCATTATACAGTTATTATACAATTATTACGAGTACCTATTTACTCAGTAGTATAAATTATAATAATAACTTATTATATTGTTTTATTGTATTAAATATTATTTGAAGTGCACCTAGTTGAGTTTTAAGAATTATGACAATAGATTAGAATAGGTGTATAATATATCGGTTTAGATTATATACAATGAATATTTTCACAGGTAAATGATTCTATAATTGTTGTTTCCTCAATGTTATATTATAAATTTAATTAAGGTATGTACCAATAAGTATACCTAACAGGTAAGTATATGAATATAGTATACTTGTAAAACAAATAGTTTTTATTATTATGGTTGTAAAGTAACATGGCACTTAATATAATACTATAAGTATTTATTAATATTTAATTGGATTCCTTTTTGAATGACCTCAACAAATATATTTTCCATATTTTTCTAATTATTATTTAATAAAGCAATACTTTGTTTATTAATATTATTATTTTGTTTAATAGGTAGTTAGTACAACTTATTATTATTGTATATATTTATATATTAGTAAGTGAATAAGTAACTCATGTTTTTATTAAAAAAACAATTGTAGATTTTTAAATGTACTTTATGTTAATGTACTATAAGTTCTTCCTCAAAATACCCCATGGTAAAATTAACCCTCTAAAAAATATGCTATATATATATATATTTATATATTCAATATCTCTATTTAAGATATTGTTGCAAGAATTATCTTCTAAAGATTATATTTTGAAAAACATATAAAAATAATAATGAACTACATTTCAAATTAAACATTCTTAAGAAAAAAAAATATATCGTACAAATTATACATTTATAATGAAAAATGTACTCAATTTTTATAAAATAATTTAATACTATAGTCAAATTTTTATAGTTAAGTTAAAAAATACTTGTTTTAATTGTTTGTTTAATTTCTCATTTTTTTTTTTTTTTTTTTTACAGGAATCTTACTAGAAAAATATTTCTCAATTTTTGCTTCTATATGCCTTATTAGCATTATTTTTTGCAATTTCTAATTTAAGAAATCAAAAGTATGTTCATACATTCAATATATTGTTTAGAAGGAAATTACTGAGACATATTTTGAATGGGGTATTATATTACAAATACAGAATATTTTGAAGGGTATTATTTTAACCATGGGATATTTTGAATAAGGGATATTGTTTCCAAAGGGGATATTTTAAGGAAATGCCTAAATAACTTGCAAGTGTCATTTTTTCAATTCAATTTTGTTATCTCAATTTATTTTCACAAAAATCAATTAAAATATTTTTTTTTCAGATTATTCTCAAAAATGTCCAGATTGCCAAAAAAGTTTTTATTCCGCTACATCATTGTTGGTACATTTTTTCAGTCATGTTGGTGATGATAAAGTTGAAAATAGCAACAATAGTAAAAATAATTCAATATCCAATGAAAAACTCAAAGAAACCAGAAAAAATGAGTCTTCTAAACCAATAAATTTGGTCAAGGATGAAACATTTAATCCGTGGAAATATTGTTTAGCCACGTTAGAAGAAAATATTGGTGATTCAACTAATCCAATAAAAAATAATAAATTAAATAAAAAGAAAAAAGAGAAAACTAAGACTTTTGAATGCAGTTTGTGTAGTAAAAAATTTGGATGGCCCACTGATCTTAAAAGACATCTACTCATCCATACAGGTATATTATACTATTTTATTTATTATTAATGACCTAATAATCTGAAAAAATATTCCTAAATGTTATTCATAATTAATATTTATTATAGAAAAAGCATAAAAAAAACTCATGGAATCAAATAGATTCAGGTGTAAACTAGTAAAAAAAAAGCATAGGATACTACATAATTTTAAGGTGAATAACACAAATTATAATAATAAAAATAATATATTTTGTATTATCGGTGAGTCATTGTTACAAGTGGAAAGTTTGTGATCAATATAACGTAAAGTACTCATTATTTGGGGTAATGTTATAATTTGTTTGATTTTATTTTAGTCAATTTAAGAAACAAGCACCTCTAAAAAATTTTAAGTTCTCTTTTCCGGGTGAAATCAATACCACATATTACTTTTAAAATGACAACATGTATTAAAAATTCCACAAATAGATGAAGTTTTAGTTTAAATACATGTAGTGGGCATGAGGTATTTGAATTTTGCTCTACTATTCTTTCTCTACTCATATAATGACAAATAAATGTGTAATATCTTATCAAGGGTTTGATAAAAATTAAGAATATCAACACCAACATGTATTTTTTTATGAAATTTTTAGTATAGGTTGCTATTTTAAAATCAAAATTTGGTAGTGGTTTAACTCTCTAACATAAAAGTGACAAAAAATAAGAATTTTGTAAGAAACAAAAAAGTTAATATTTTCTGAGATATAATATTAAATTATTCTGTATGGGGTAATTTAAATTTGAACTTAAGTTAAATATAAATTGTAAAATGTTTATCCATATTCAAAAAAGCGTTTAATAATTCAACAAATGTTGAACTACTTAAAAACTATTAAAAAGTTTTTTCCTAGAGTATAAATAGAATGAAAATTTAAAATTTATTTAGTATACAGGGTCTTAATCAGTGGTGTTCTCATAGAGTATACTACATATACGCTGTATACTCTCAACATTTTGCCACAAGTATACTATGTATACTCTCAAATAGATTTGATAGACAAAATAGTAAAATAATAATAATAAAAACACCAAAAACATAATTGTCACAATATTTTGTTATCATTTCCCGTTCATGTCATCGTATGCAGCTATAAAACTATAATAATATATAGTGTTACATATTACATTTATTTATTTAAATAATTATTATTTAAAATTCACAATAGTCTTATAGAACATAATACTATTTTTAAAAAAAAAATGTTGAGTGTTATTTCGCAAATTTTAATTTAATTTTTGTATATTGATATTTATTTCTCTATAAACAGCATGAACAATATGGCAAATATAAAATACCCATTGTAAGACATGCAGAATATTATAGTATACCTTTGAAAAAATTGTTGGGAAAATCACTAGTCTTAATAAATATATATACTCCAACAAGTATTAAAAATTAAACTTTAACTGTTATAATAGATAATTAATTTTGATTGGATAATAAATTATTTTATAGTTGTATTCTTTTTTATTAAATTTCAATAATAAATTACAATTTATTAAAAGGAGAACGGCCATTTAAATGCAGTCTATGCCAAACAACATTTACAAGAAACTTTTTACTTCAAAAACATTTTGTCAAAGCTCACAAAAGGATATCTGATGATGAATCAAAAAATTTGGACAACTATGTGCATGCTAATGTTACTGAAATCAAATTGAAAATGAAAGAACTAGAGTATCAAAAAGAACATGAAACTTCTATTTCTTCAGATTATGATAACCAAAACTAATACCAATGTTTTTAATTAACACACTTAAACCATACATTTGTTATTAATAATAATAATTACTAAAAATTATAATAGAGTTTCCTTTTCAAATAAGTGATATTAGTTAACTACAGTCATATTTAATAATTACTACAGTTAAACATTTAATATTATTTGTTATGTAATGATTTTTATTTAATTAAGTCACTCTATAATAAAATAATTACTTTATAACTATTTCAAATTTGAGAAAGTGAAAAGTAACTTAATTATCTTTAATATGAACTCCGTTATTTGTCATGGTTTACAGTTGTTATTTCCTGTAATAACCAGTTGAAATTCTTAAAAATGTAGTTCTATTCTTTAAAGTTTTTTACCACTGCTTTCATTTTACTACTTATTATAATAATTTAGAAACAGATTTGAAGAAGTGAAAATAAAAACATCTTATTTACTATTGGTTACAATTTAAAGAAATTAATCTTACTAGTTTGAAACTGTAGGTACTATTATCTTTAAGAAACAAATAATAATTTACTTTTTCGCGAAATCACAATAATTGCATACATTATTTACAATATTATTTATTAACCTTCATAGTTTGTTAGTTTTTTTTCACGAGTTTTGTTTATTGTAATTCACTCCTATAGTATAATATTAGTATAGTTTAATATTGGAATAGCTACACTTAAATATTATGTGACTTTAAAATTTTATCATTACTAAAATACATATATATACCGGGTTTTCTAAATGTCATGTCATAGTCAAATTTTCCATGAAATACTTAATTACTTGTAAACATTTTTTAGAATTGTATATTCTGAAGTATTAGTGTCTTTATTTTTGAGGTTGAAACTACTTGATTTAATTTTTCAATAACAATATATATTTAAAAATTCCATAAATACATTAAGTTTTAGTTTAAATACATTTTAGTGTTGACAATTTTAATTCCTGACAACCTGTAAAAGAAATATTTAATTCCACATTTAGGTAGGGGGTGTGTAGTAGAATATCAATTGTGTGGTGTTTGAATAGTGTTCCAATACTCAAACTTAAAATTTGATTATCTCATCAACAGCTTTAAATAAATTACAAATTTTAATAATAAAATGTATTTAAACTAAAACATTATATATTTAAACAATTTTGAATTTAAGTTGCCATTTTAACAAAGTAAATATTTCATGCAAAATTTGACTGTAACATGGAATTTGAAAGATTTTGTATGTTTAACCAAGAAGAATTTTTTTTATATATATTTGCTTAACAAATATGTATATTTCATGATATTAGCTAAAATGTTTTTGTTATACCTGTTAACTTCTACCTGTGTAATAACTGCCTACCAAATAACTATTGGATAATGTAACTATTATTTCCTGTTCCAATTGTATATTTGTTATTTGTTATTTTTATTTTGCCCAAAATTGCCTTATTAATATCCATTAAAAAATTTAATAATAGATTTTATTATGTGTGTTATTATGAGTTTTTTTTTTTAATAAAACGATAATATTTACTTATAATTATATATAAATATAATAAAAATAATGTATGTGTAATCTACTAAAATATTTGATAATAATATTATATTTAATATTTATTTGGTTCTGGGGAAAAAGAACTTTAGTCAATTTTGTATAGTTTTAATAAATGACATTTTTAAAATACTTATGTTATTTAGATCAAAAAGTTAAGAAAAAGAAATTATTTAAGATAAAGTTATATAAAAAAAAGCCAAAGATTTATGTAACATACCTAACAGAACCTTAATATAAAACTGTAATAGTTTAATCATTAGTCATTAATTTTTATTAAAAATATGATACCTTTATTTTATAGTGTACACCTAAATAGCAGTATATAAAAACTATTTTATGATTATATAAAACACAATTGTTGAAATTCCTGATTTTAATAAAAATATGTTTAATGGATACTATTTTGATAATTTGTTAACACTAGCTTATTACTACATACAAGCAATTGTTCAAAAATATCTATTTTTTTTATCTGTTTAGTTTTCAAGTAGAAATTAGAATATCTTATTGTTTTCTAAACATTTTCCTTATATACTAGTTAAAATAATTTTGTTTGTTTATAAATGTTTTGTAGTTAATCATAATAACCATAACTAGAAATTTAGTTTATAATATAAATTTGAACAGTATAATTTATAATATTATGTAATTTATTATTAAGTGTAATGTATGACAATAACAAACCACAAATGACAATAATATATGTTTGTAACTTAAATAAATAAAAATATATGTGTATATTTTATATTAACTATTCAATAATTATTTGTATAATACAACATGTTGTATGATAAGGAATCATATTACAAAAATATGGTAAAATATTATTATTGTATAAGTATTTGGCATTTGAGCGGAGATATTTTACCATACTAATAAATTACTATAGTAAGGCTAGTGGAAAATAAATAAACTATAATATTATAGTATTAATTTCTATATAGGAAATATGACAAGTATTATACATAGTTACATATTGACCTCCCACAGTTTTAAATTATTGTCCATCACTTCGTGAAACCAAGCTCTTTTTTTAATGTCCTTAAAAGCCGGCGCCAGTGTCTTCAGGTCAAGTTTGAGCAGTGCTTCATTACCGAGTATCCCGTTTAGTTCACTCAGCAATTGTGTGTCTCCATGAAGTTTCAGGAGTGACGTGAATGTGAAGAAATAGAACTTGACCCTGAGCCGCTGCTGGGCCCAACGTTCGACTGTGTCGTTGCCACTTGCTGATTGTATTTTGCCAACGTGCTCAGCGTACCATGGTGAAAAATATCCCGTCAGCTCTTGGTTCGAGATCTGCGACACTCCTTTAGACTTTAAACGTTCCTTAATCACCTTATAAGTGCTCGGAACGTATACATATACCTGTATTGTATGCATAAAACAAATGTGTTAGACAAACTTGTATTCTATTACAACACAGGCACAGTAGAACCCGCTTATTAGGAACACTTTGGGACCAAGATGAAACGTGGCAATTAACCGATTGTTTCTAATAAATGATTGGTTTAAGTATACGACCGGTCCATCTTAACATATTTTGTATCCATTATCCGTGTTTCTAATAAGCGGCTTCTACTGTATATTATATTATATAATTTGAGACAATGATTGGGTGTCAATATTACATGAGCGTCACCTAAAACATCACTAATATTTGAAACACAACTTCTCCATCTCTTCAACCATGGTAAATGATCATAGTCATAAAGAATAATACTGTAGTTTGGTGGTTTAATTCGATTTTTTTTAAGGAGGGGTATATTCACAATAGGGCAATAGTTATATTCTGTTTAAAAACTTTTACAGACTCAGGATTGAATTCAACTGAATGTTCCTGAAATGTAGGGGAGTTTAAATTCCTTAAGCACACCCTTGAGAGATATGCCTCTGCAATAGTCATACAATTATATTGGACTGTAAATTTATTATATCACAATGGTTCAATCTTTGTAATCAACAACAATAATCATTTTATTTATTAGTTAAAAGTTATAGCTATAGGTATATTTACAAAAGAACATACTAGATAGTATACGAGTATAGATATAATTTTATACTAGGGTCACATTTAGGGAAGCGCTAACTTAACTAAAACTTCTAATGCCCGTAGTAAAATATCGTAAAAAAAAAGTAATTCGAAAAAGCCCTTTACACATGTCCAACAACGCCTTGGGCCCTGATTTGGGACCACTAAATGTTATGGATCCGGGACTCATTGCCCGTCATGCCACCCTATCGCTAAGAGCCACTCGGGCTAAGGGAGCAGCCTCCGTGGGTGTCAATTTATTTCAGAATTGGCATAATATACTAATTGATTAATAAAGTAACAGTGATATATACCAAGTGTCCCACTCATTACAATACATCCTGAGAGAATAAAGATAATCAAATTCTGTTTTTTTTTTTTTGTATATATTACTCACAGCGATAAGGAATACAAATATTTATATTTTAATTTAATTTTTATGTTAAAAAATCTAAAAAAAACATTTATTTTATTATTATTATTTTGTTTTATGTAAAAAAATTATTTAAAATTACGAATTTTATGAGAATAAAAAATGTATACGTCAAAATATTCAGGAGAATAAACTTTTTTACAATTTCTATTTTCAAATTTTCCGAAAATAATAAAATAAAGTTATTTTTTTTTTTAAGTTTTTACAAAACATAAAAAATCAATTTTAATACATATATATATTTGTAGTCCTTATCCCAGTGAGTAATATATAAAAACAACAGAATTTGATTATTATGTATATTATCTCCGGAGATATTAGAATGAGTATATCTTCGTGTGACATTCTGTACAATACATTTTATAAAATAGTCGGCATAATTAAAATGTAAGTTACTTTCTTGTAACCATCAAAATATGAACATAAGTAGGGGGAGTGGCAAATCATTTTTTTAATCACCACTTCGTACGTAAGTACCAAACAGTCAAATATAATATCGGTCTTAACTAAATATATAAAATTGTTTAAAGCTTGAGTATGAACGCCACACTCGTATATAAAGTTTCAGTCTATCTAACGGGGAACACAGATTACTTAGGTCGTAAATTGTAGCGTTTAGGTTGAAATTAAAGTTTAAACATTAATATACCTAATAAAGAATAGAATATTTTCAAGGGCTGTACCTACATATGTAGATTTTTTATATAAATTTACCATATAATAATTTATAACCATGCCAGTTTTTGTTTTTGTTAAATTTTCATCGAAAAGTGGCTCTTGACCAATTTAACTCAATTTAGAGTTGTTTAATAGGCGAATTGAAATAATAAAATGTTGGTTGAATTTCAATATGAATTGCATCATGTTGAGAAAGGAGTTAACACTCCTTACATGCACACTACATAAGTATCAAGGATATGATCTATGGGAGTTTCAACTTTTAACCCTCTCCTCATTGTATCCTCATTTGTATGATCTTTTTTTATTTGTTTCGCAGGAAGTACCGGATTTTAAACTCCCCTACTGACTAAAATGTAATACAATTCTGGCAACCATAAATATTATCGATTAAAAAAATCAAATCAAATATTATAATAAAGTGCAATAGATAAAATGTAGTGTACTATATAATATTCATAAGTAAGCATACAGGTATTATATTATACTGTAACTGTTTATGTATACATATATTATAAACGTATTATAGTAAATACTATAAGTAGGTGTATATTAAGCTATGCGGTGACGGGAGATGTTGACCGACTGTTGCCTTGTTGCCATGGCCGTTATCAAGGCGGAGCACGCAGACAAACTTTAGGACGAAAATAGTATACATTTTCGAGACAATAGTCGTTATTATTATTATTATTGCTTTATTATTGTGTATAAAAAGTAATTTAGCCAACGTGATCGGTGGGAGGCAGCATATCATGAGGTTTTTGTCCGAGGACACGAGAATTCTTATAAACGCAGCTCTCGATATGTACTATACTGTCATAATATAGGAATGGTTTTATTTTCTTGATGGCCGTTTCGGTATACTTAATTATAACCTAATTAGCGATGAAAACAGTGATTATCATCATCCCTCTATAATTCCGAGATTAGATCATATTATTTAATACAGTTCTTTCTCGATGGGTCGTTTAAAAAAATATACCACGTCCATCTAACCATGCAATTTTTCAAAAATATAATATAATGTAACCTTTCTTTCAACAGTTTCACTATGATTATTATTAAAAAAAATAACGTTAACAACTTTAAAAAACAAAATATTCCGATTGATTTTTGAAAAATTAAAAATAATCATTTTATAATGTTGTTCGTGTCTCATTGGTAATATTGAAAAAAAAAAAGTTGAAATTGATTGAATTTTGAGTGAACGATAATCGAAATACCTAATATTTTTACGTAGTTTCAAAAATACAGCAAAATATATTTAGTGTTAATCCAATTATTGTATAGGTATGTATAGACTATAATACATAATGCATACACAAGATAACGAAATACCGATGCTGTATTTTTGAAAACTTAACCAACCACCATCGGGTTTATTGTCATACAGAAAAAGCTAATGATTGCAGGAATGTTAACATTTTAAGGGTGTTAAAATCACAACTTACAAAATTAGAAGACGAAAAAATGAATCAACTATTTTATTTTTTCCCATGATCAGTTCTCACGAAATATTTTTCGATATTTTATACTAGTTATAACTATAAGATCAGTATATATATACTTTTTTGAAAATTTACGAAAAATACCAACAATCAACCAAAAGTTATATGCATTCAATTCGATTTTGAAATCATTGCCAATTTACTTTATAACGCAAATACTTTTAGATATTAGGTAATAATAATTCTAATATGAGAAAACGACTCTGCGTCAAACAAATCAAACTTATTCTTACGCAATAATTGACTATACCTACGTATGTTAAAGTATATGACGATGCGATATTGTATTACTGCGCGTAATTATGATGATGGGGCGTGCATTGTACTTCATACAACACAAACAATATTTGGGCTTTAATCGGTAACTAAGTAAATATCTATATTACAGTATAGGTAATAATAATTATGTTTGAAAACACAATGGGTATACTCATACCTGATAAAGAGAATTGCCTGTGACATATGACGTCACGTAATGAGATCCAAAGCTTCTGACAAATTCAATGACCGACAAACTATCGCCGACATTAACGGAGGCCACCTGTTTGGCCACTGGTTCGTGAAGGTCAGTGTTCTCCATGTCCATCGCGGCCAAATTAGCCGTCTCCCTATGTCTAGCCACCCTGACGAGGACATAACAATGGTCGCCGGTTACATAAGACACATCTAAACCTGTAGAGTAATTATAAAAATACACACACACACACAACAGTATTAATAATGCTCACACGTTGTTTTTAAATTATCGCTATATTAGGATTATAGTTGTTGTAATTGTAATATTTACATAAATAAATAATATACCTACTGTAATTAACATATATTTATTGTTCGTATATAGGTATGATTATAATTAATAATTATTACATTACATGTATATTATTATGTATGCTGATGGTCGTCCGACTAACCTAAATTTCTGGCCAACGTTAATTTTGACCAACTACCCGTAAAAGCCTGCCACGGCTTGTCCAGCCGTTCTACGGAAAAATCTCTGAAATAGGCTTGCAATAATTGTTTTACATTATCGCAGAATTCCATGTGGAAGTCCCCTTGAAAAACCGGGCCTCCTCCAATACTTCGTTTGAGGCTAATAATAGTAAAAATAATAATAACAACGAAGAAGATTAATATTAATTATATTCCCGTATTTTAAAATAATATACATAGTAAAGAGTTTGGGTTTGGAATTGGAAGTGTTATAATAAGAAGAAATGGAGGCTACCACAGAGTAATGTGTCAGATAATCGCACCAAAATATTGAAGTATTTATTGTCTCAGTGGTACAAGCGAATTGAGGATGTAGCCAGTTAAATTTGGTGCATAATGATGCTGGATGAAGTGAAGGAGAATTGAAGGAATATGATATAAGTGTTATCTGATAAAAAGGTGCTATTAAGAATAAAAGCGTTAACATTTTATAAAAATGCAGATAGGTCTGCAACAATGATGTTTGAGCAGATCTTAGTGTTGGCCATTGGGAACTAAATACAATTTTAAGTAAGTATAGCAGAAATGATTGTGTGACCAGATTGGATAGAGTTAGGAATAATTTATATATAAGAAATAGTCCAAGAGTATAGCAGGTAAAATAAAAGAGAGGACAGATTAAGATGATATGGACATATGTTGAGCGAAGAGAAACAGTGATGAAACAGTTAAGTTTATAGGGAAAATAATTGTTTATTGAAGTCAAGGAAGTAAAAAATAAATGCAGATAAGAAGTTTTTAGGAACGTTATGTAAGTACTAAGATAAAAAAATGTCAAAGGATTTAGTGAAATGTAGAGAATAAGAATATATGAATAATTGACCCCATTATTGTTGGATACTGACGAAGATGAAGAAGATACATGAAAATATAATTGTCGTAAAATATAAGTATAGTGTAAAACGCGACTATTATTTATTTTATTTTATTTTGAATAACTATTTTATATTACTTCTGTTTTTCCGCCAGATTCGTAAACACATCGACTGTTGGTTCTCTGAATATCCACGAATGGTCCGTGTCGTTTCTGGGGACTACTCTCATGCTTATGCTAAAGTATCCATACCGATTAAACACGTTAATGGCGTTACCCACTTTTATGTCCGCGTGAACCTTCTGTTGAAGTCTTGACGACGCGTAAAGTATAAAAATAATTAACGCTGTGGCCCCATCGAGGCCCATTGCTCGACCTGAAAAAAAATAACATTATAATTAGATAATCGCACTATGAATACGCAATAATAAGTTGCATGCTGTATACGTGGAATAGCAATAGAATAAAACATTTTTTGAAATATTACATTTGAATTATGAAGATGTTGACTTGTCTTATTACCTGTACGTACAACCATAATAATATACCAGAAATGTAAGTGCGTAATCTCCAAGAACAAACGACTAACGCCAAACAGCTTTATCGAAAATTTAACAAAAAGTTACAATTTTCTTCGTACATTATTTTTGTCGTATTTTTAAAAAGATATTTACTATCTTAGGTCTTATTTCTATAACCCATATAATATACATAATATAGAAATTTGATAAAATTTAAAAAAAGAGCTGATACTGCTGGTGAGTGTCCCATTTTTGTAGGTGGAAATTTGGAAAGGTAGGATACATTTAATTATTTAATTTATATCTGTAACGAATGATAAACTATTGCCTACGAAAATCGAGTTCGTTAATACTTGATTTGTAAAACCGTAATAATTACGATTTTTTTTTAAAAATCTTATTTTAAAACAATTAAGTATAAAAAAAAATTACTACTTTACATTTTTTTTTCACCACTAGGAACAACTTATATAAACTTAAGTGCAATACAAAATGTTGGGAGTGATTATGGTATCATAAATTTATAATTTATTTAATTCATTCAGAGTATTAAATTATTTTAGAATTAATATACAACACTATTTATTTATTTTCATTTTTCAATATAAAATGAAGTATATGGTACAAAGTTCTAAAAATAGTTGCTTAAATAGTTGAATATTGAATTTTATATGAAACATTAGTAGTCACTGGGTCACTGAGTGTCCTAGTTTTTTAACTTTCAATTTTTTAATTTCTCACCCTTCCTTATTTTTCGTTACCATAAAAAAACTCAATTTAGTTAAATTTGGTGATGATTTTTTTGGTGATGGGTTGGAATTTTAAAATATATAGATTCAAATATATTGAACTTAGTATAAAAATGCATAATATCTTAATTATTTCTCTAAATATTTTTTTTTATAAAAAAAACCATTCCTATAATATTTCTCTAAAAGTTAAAATAAATAATAAGTTTTTGTAAAATTAAGTTTTTTGCGATTATTACAAAATACAATTTAATATGTATTATACAATACATTTGTGTGTAGTATAATATAGTTAATACCGAATAATTAAAAAATACAAAAAATAGGTACATACAGTAATGCGATAAATATATTACATTTAAATAAAAGTCCTATAACTTATACATATTAATTAATGTCACCTTTTTACTATCAGGATAACCACTTTGTAATAATTTACCACTTCTAACAAACATTGTTTTTGTTTTTTGTCCTTTGTTGTATACCTACTATTGTATTATCTACTCTACACCTCTTTCTGCAACATCATTTATTGTATCGTCATGACTGACAATTTTGTTAAAATACAAATTTCTTGTTAATTGTCTTATTTTTTATTCCAATTATCTAGGTGAAAATTGAAGAAGTTTTAATTAACTTAATTGTTTTTGGTGACACAAATTCATGTAGTTTTTTCTTTAGAAATAATTTTATGCCCATTGTACACAATACAATTGTTTTACTAGTTGACATCATATTAATACATTTGCATGGGGTATATAAAATACATCATTTCATTTTTCTGTAAACTCATTGACAACTTTGGAATTTTAAAAAATTCTTCCTTAGTGGATCAACATGTGAGTTTCTTTTTTAATTTAATCAAAACGATTCAGTGTTAAACAGATTCTACGTATATTGATTGTATAATCGATCGATAGACGACGGAATTGATAATAAGATGACTGAATCGAAAAATCCCCGTTTTATGCAGTGAATTTAAAATTTAACTATTAATATCATGTAGGTATACTGTATATTGTGAATGATATAATACTTTATTTTTCAACTGATACGTTTTTGGTTATGAGCGGAGCGATGAATGTGTTAGTATTTTTATCTGCGAAAAACTTTTCTACCAGCAATTTTGCTCTGATTCTCAATTATAGTACTTTTTCTGAAAGAAAATCTGACTGAAGTGGTACTTTAAGGAAGTCATATTTTGATTTTCCTAGCTCTTTTCATGATACATGGGAAAAACAGCGAAAAAATCGTATGAAAAATGGTACAATATTAATCAAATATTATTAAAGAACATATATAATGCCTATGTAATTATTTTATCATAATATGTCATATATATATTGTTGACAAAGACACTATTGACCGAACTCCGCTTAGAATCGTTTTTGTTAGCAATGGTTAATCGTTGCTTATAGATATACATTAAATTTCCCCTTTACATTTCCAGCTTCTCATCTACAACAGTGGCCCATCACGTGAACTATGTCAGTATCTTTTTTTATGAATTAAATACAATTTAAAATAGTTATCTCTTCGTTTCAATTGCATACTTCCCTATTATAAAATAAGCCGGATATACCATTAATTGGTCACCGTTATTAGTGGGAAAAAGTTGTTGAAGTAATATAATTTAGTTTATTTACTGGAAGCAAAATGATAAATTATTACAAATAAAAACAACTATCTAAGCCTACAGGCTTAATCCGATTATACATTTTAAATACCTGCTTGCTATGTTGTTTTTATTTTTAAAAATCAATACAAATGTTTTAAGTATTACCACTGGTATTGGCGTTCATATGTGAGTGCCAGGAGGTGCTTAGCACCCCTAAATCTAAAATTAGCACCCCTAGATTTTTAAGCTTAATAAAATAAATGTAATACTTAAATAGTACTTAGATATTAGATAAGAAATTACTATTGTACTATTGTGTATTGATTTATATTATGTATAATATATTAATAATTAACTAATTAATAACTATATAATAAGTATTTATATTCTATTATTAATTATTATGTTAGTTTATGTTAATTATTTTCTTATTTATAGGTATCTATTCCTTGTTGGCTATTTATTAGACAATGAAGATTCATTAGTGAAAATCGGATATTATTATTTCAATTTTATTTATTTAATGTGAAGGTAATAATATATAATTTTATTTCGAAATATGGAATAGGTTGGGGAATATATTTAAACATGTAAATCACATTTAAATACATTTAAATCGTATATAAATATTATAACATCACATCCACTTGGTGAAATTATTCAACTAATTCATTCTATTTCAACCTTTCCATGAAATAGTTTTCAATTTGTCAAAAGGAAATCATTTTCTCATTTTTTTGTGAAATTTGTGAAAATTGCATGACTGTTTATGCAATATGTATACTATAATTTGATATCTTGTGTTTTTGTTATTTTGTGTTGTCATTACTCGGATACCCACATCGTGAAATTAACTAGATCTAGCTATACTTATTTCCTATATTATACATATTTATTACTTATTTATTATTTGATAACCTATTTTAAACAGTAATTGAGCTGATATTCTAGAATATCATAATATAGCACAAATGTACATATTACATAGCTGCAGTTGTGCTGTTCTATAATCATTACAAAATTAAGTAAATAAAATTAATCAGAGTTCTAGAATTTATAAGACCAAATATTGCAGTGTGATAAAAGTAAAATATTTTAAATAAGTATGTAAGTATAAATATACAGATGTGTCCCACAAAGATATTGATCATGACGATTTAAGAAAAAGGCGCTTTAAAATGTTATATTTTTAGTACATTACCATTATTATTCATCACTCTTATTTTTGAAGGTAAACCGACTAACGACTACTTTTAATTTTTAAATGATAACCTATATTAAAAATTTAAAAAATACACAGAATACTTATAAGTTGTATACAAAATGTATTTAACATTTTGGTGTTAACATTATTAATTTCCGTCAATAATGGATTGATAAGGTATACTACTTTTAAGTAAGCTTACGGAGAGAGTATTGGGGTATAATTTGTATGAACGCGTTTAAATAATGCTTCACAATTAAAAATATTAAGTAGGTAATCGGTATTTCTTAAATTGTTAAAAATAAAATTACGAATTAAGTTAATATTTTCCAAGATATTGCAATCATATAATCTTCGTGGGGCATTCCATATAGGTAATAATTATATGAAATAATAAAATTATTGACAAAAAAATTATAAAAAGTCAGACATACTTTGCACGATGGTGAGAAGTTGGAAAGGTAGAATATAGAGAAGAATTCAATGTATATCTGTACACAACGATTAATCATTTCTAACAAAAACCTATTCTGAACGGAGTTCAGTTATACATGATTTGAAAGACCGTAATATTTACGATTTTCGTTAAAATTTGATATTAAAATTCTTACTTATAAAAAAAATTCTACATTACTCTCAATTTTTTTTTACCACAAAGTACGACTCAAAATGACCCTTAAATTGTCAAGCATTAATGTTTGGTGTAATAATTTTATCCACAGAGTACCTACCAAATAAAAACTACGTGAAAAACTCACAAAATTAAAATATTTATTAATAGCTCAAAGACAGTTAAAATATTTTGAAAACCTTACCACTTCTAGAAAAATCAAATATAATTTTTCTGTCTGAATTTCAAGTCTCTACAAATATTTTTAACTGAATTACAACAAAAAAATATAATTGAAAATAATTAATTTTGTAAATTTATTAGTTTGCCAGTTTTCCTACGTTTTTATTGGTTTTTCCCGATCATTATGAAAACCACTTAGGAAATCAAAAAATAACTTCCTTAAAGTACCACCCAGATAAAATTTTCTTTCAGAAAAGCTACTACACTTGATATATCAGAGCGAGATTTCTGATAGAAAAGTTGTTTATAAATAAAAAAATAAATAAATAAACATCATTGTGAAACCAATACATTCCTTGTTTCGCACAGAATCTAAAACAGTATACCTATTTTTTGATTTCAAAAAGCAAATAGATTTTTCGATTTTAAATTACTACAATTATCATAGTGTAAAAAAATAATTTCCATTTCATAAGGTGAGTATAGTTTTTGATGAAATGAGCATTTATCGCTAATACCACCGACTGGACGTGACACACACAATGTAGGTATAGATAACATACATTTTGTTGAAATTGAATTAATAGGTAGGTAAAGGTAATAGAGGTGTATAGTTATACAGATATGTTCAAAAGTATTTTTCAATCGTTTCCCGGTTAAGCAAAAAATACATTTTTTTTTTTGTCCACTCATCATATAATAGGCTATAAGAAAAAAGGATCGCCCCAATAATTCGACGATATATATAAATTAATCCTTACGCGAATCTCGTCCAGTTTATATGGCGTCAGCGTAAAGCCGTAGTTTAATCAAATCCAATCTACTACAAAATAATATGTAAGTACGTTTCGACCCTTACGTGATTTTGACAGCGTATATAATACTATATATTTATAGTATATTATTATTATAACTACAGCTACATTGAAAACATCGTGAAATCTCCTCCCCGTTGACGCACGGTAAACCGGACATTAGCCTTCGGATTATTGCAAAAATAAAACATTGTGTAAACGAACTCGGATTATGCTTTATGAAACAAGACGCACGTTTTAGTAAAACACGCTGGTGTGGTCCGGACAATATGTTTTTTATTTTATTATTATTTTTTTTTTCTATGTATATACGACGACGACCACGATGTCGTTACCGCCGCCGGGTGATAATCGCGTATTATCATGAATACCTACCTACCTAAAAATAACAATAATAATAAAACAAATAGAAAAATAAAAACATAGGTAGGTACTATAACATATTATAGATGGTCTAACCGCCACGCCGTCTGGGTGTGTCCTTCAGCGGACATAAAATTCCCAGATCTGATCTCAATATTAAAAGTGGTTGTTATAATATATATATATTATATTATATAGGATGTGTACGGGCTATAGTACGCGCATTAGGCAACAACAGAAAAAAAAAAAAAAAAACCATAATTTCTCGGACAGCTACGGTTCACATTGTTCGGAATACACGCGGAAACCTATACCCGCACACAATATCGTAATAAATTCAAAATAATATTCTTAAGTTGTATTCACACTCCCGGTAATCTGTAGTATTGTATAGTACAAATACACACGTGAACATGCTACCATGATGAACTAACCAATCATCATTAATATCATTATCATCAGTGGCGTATTTGACTTAGTTTTATGGGAGAAGGGGGGACACTAAAAATATTATACACAAGCTTATATTTTATATCCTAATGATCTTACCAAGAAGTGTTTTAATTTTTATGTCTGTTGACACTTTTCGATTAGAAATAATGCTAAACATTCAATTTCAAAAGAGATTCTGAGATTTCGTATACAGCAAATATATAAAAAGAATTTAATGGGGAAGAAATCGTCGCCATCGCCCTCCCTCCCTCAAATACGCACTGTATACTATTCACACAATCGCACATGCACTATAACGTAATGGTTATTAGGGCTGTGAACTGAATATACTAAAAGAACATTTGGAAAACCATCAGGCATTAATACAATATTTTGAATAAAATAAAAACCAATGTATTAAAGATACCTAGTAAAAACATTATATCTTAATGAATAGAATATAAATAATAATTATATATTTATTGGGGACATATATAAATCTGGACAATTTTTGGGAAACGTGTAACGCAGGAAAATACTTCTTAGGAATAGTTTTATAATGGAACGTAATAATCAAGAAATAATCATTGGTTTCTAAAATATTATTCAAAATTAAATCTTAATAAAATAATTATTAAAATGTAGACGTTATAAATCGCATTTTCCCCGTTTTCTATACCTAACGTAGTTTTGCACAACAAATTGGGGTTTATTTTCGAATAAAATTCCGGAATGAACTCGCGCTTGAATTGGCTAGCAAAGTGAGTCGTCCCTCCACCAGCACTTTAACATATGTTTAACTAGGAACCAGTAGTCTTTGATAAATTTCCCTATTTTAAAATTCCGGGTTTTTACTTTAATCGATTTTACGTCCCGTGAATTTATACATTCCATTTTTTTACTTTTTCGGACTTTTACATCCCTCCATATTTTTTATGTTAACAATAACTTCTTCATATTAAAAGTTGTCAAACAAATGATAATAAATTTAAAACAAGTCGTATGTATAACGCACCGTAAGTCCACTGTTGTAAGTGGGACGTATGTCTTAAAAACACGCTAGAATATTTTGAAAATTATACCACATCTATGTATAGTGCTCATATGATTATTCGGTGTATAATTAAAGTCTCTTTGATTATTTTCAAATGAATAACATTAAAAAAACAAAATCGAAAAAATAACAGAAACCGTTATTATGTAAATACTCCAGGTTTTTCTCGATTCTTAGAAAAACTACAAAGAAAATGAAAACGTGACCTCATAAATGCCCAACTAGATATAATTTACTACCAAAAAGACAGAAACCACCCCTGAATTTGATGAGCAAGAAAAAAGTTGTGAACGGACAGAATAAAAAAAAACACATATAGTTAAACCGATAAATTCTGCATCATCATCATTGTGTTAACAATATAAAAAGGCACACATAACAAAACTAATTCATCATTCATCGCTACACTCAGAATCTAAACTGGTTAACATTTCTTTAAATTGAAATCTAATGATGCACAATGTAGTTTATAAACAAAAGTTGAAAAAGAAATGTTTAAAATAGCGTTCAAATACTGTAATTAACTAAAAAATAAAAAAACAAAAGAAAAGCATTTGCCACGAATTCGAATTCAAAATTTATGATATATTATGTAGTACATGTAAATACGTTGCATACAATTGTAGCGTCGGGTCAAACCGAAAAATACGACAAATTTTCCCCCTCGAAACCGCTGGCGCAGCTGCAGCTAGAGGCGCGTATAATAATGTATACGCCTAGTCGGGGGCGTTGCGGAACTAATGAATTTAATATTATAATAGCCCCAAAAGCGCGTTTACACCGTGCGCATTGATACGGGCGAAAATAGTACACATACAGATATACGCGGTCGCAGTGGGCACAAAATAATTAAACACTGCGCGTGCAGTGGCGTTTTGTCCAGACGGAATGACGTAATATTATAACTCTTGCGGTGCAGAGAGACACCAATGATACGGACGGACGGGTTCGTCCTGGATTGATTGACCACCCGATCGTGACGTACCGAAACCACAGTACCTACGCCTATGTTATTCCCGCGCTGCAGGAACAAAAACACCGCCGCGCCGTCACCGCCTAAATCAATCTTCCTTTGTCCTGCACACGTTTAAAAATATTTTACAACGCGTCGTCATCGGCTATAATATAATACAGAGAGGCAGAGGCGTTTTATTTTTTCTCGTTTAGTAAAACATATTCATCCGTTTAACCTGTAATAATAATATATTAGGTACGTATCTATCTAACTCGATATATATCATTGGTCTTGTCTTGTAATAAGGTGAGAAAAAAAAACAATTAAAAATAATATAATATACTAACGAAACAAATCAGAATTATGCACTACGCGTGTCCAAACTGTTAATAATAAATTGTTCTATTAATCAAGTCTATTACGATATTATTTTTAAAAATACATTTTATATATTCCAGGCTTAATTCAACAGCACACCGTTAAACCTATTTAACTGGCGCTATAATTTCGCATACTAATAATCATCCTCATTTTCATAAAGTTACATTTTTCAATTCTGAGCGTATCGACGAATGTACAGGTTTTACTATTACATTGGTTACAATGGTTACTATACTAATGGTTAACTATTACCATTTTTTTTTTTTTTTTTTTGTAAACGACTTTTTTTACCAAATATCTAACTGCAATTAAAAACGATATGAGTACTTTTTTGTAGTATTTTGGATCGTTGATTCAAAATCAAGAAATTAATTCTTGATTTTAGATTCGGAGCGTAGCGATGGATCATCTATTGGTTTTACTATGATGGTATATTTTTTGTATCTGTAAACAACTTTTATACCAGAAATCTTCCTCTAATGTATTGAGTGTAGTGCCTTTTCTGAAAGGAAATTTTGTCTGGTTATAGTGCATTATAAAAGGGCATTTTTTTTATTTTCCAAGGGCTTTTAAAAATAATTAAGAAAAACCAAAAATAAAATTATAGGTAAAACGGCAAATATTTACGACGTAACCGATTTCATTGTTTTTAATTAATACTAACTATATTTCTGCCAGAAATATTGCTCCAAGCGAAAAATGATACGCGAGCGATTTTGTTCCTTTTAATAGATAGCCACTGATAAAGAAAGTAATTTTTTTTGATATCTAAAGTAGTTTTCATAATAATTGAGAAAAACAAGAAAATTAAAATTGATTTTTGCAAACGATATTTTCTACCAGAAATCTTGCTTAAATTAAAAAATAACAAGAGATTGATTTGGTTACATTTAATATTTAATCACTGATAGAGAAAGTCAGTTTTTAATATCTAAAGAAATTTTCATAATAATTGGAAAAAACCAAAAAGACGAAAAAAAAAGATTTCTTTTTCAAATTACGGCCCAATGATTTCATTATTCAAAATGTGTAAGATTATATTTTTCTAACAGAAATTTATGTACAAATTTCAAGAATAACATATAGTTTCTAAAATAAAATTTTGTCTCATTTGTATATAAGAAACTATTTGTTTAATTTTCCTTATATTTTTTTTAAATATTACAAAGAATAGGGGAAAACATCACAATTACCAAACGGCAAAGTGTGCATTTGTGTTTTTTGTTGTAATTTGGTTAAAAATTATTGTAGAGACCTGTAGTTTTCACAAAATACTTATATTGGACTTTGTAGACGTGGTAAAATGTTTGAAACATTCTAGCTTTGTATAGGTTTTATAGGTATTTGATATTTTCGTGATTTAGGTTCCGGACGTAGCGAGGAGCTATCTGTTTTACAATACTGTTTATTTCTTTTTCTTTTTCTTTTTTTTCTTTGTTCTAGTCTGTGGACATATTTTTTCCTAGTAAACTTCCTCCGATTTTTACGTGTAGCACCTTTTTTAAATCTCAAGTTGTCTAGATTGTACTTTAATAATGTCATTTTTTTATTTTCGACGCCATTTTTTAAATAAAAGCACTTAAGTCGAAAAAAATGTAGGAAAACATACAATTTCACGATTTAATTATTTTTTAAAATCACGGACGTCGTTTTCTACCAGAAAAAATGATTTTATCGAAAATTCATAAGACATCTTTTTTGTTGCCTTTTTGATTTACTTTTGGCATTATTGCCAAAACTCTTGAGCTTCTAAGAAATTTTAATTTTTGGGAGTTTTTTGCTGCAATTCAGTTATATTTATAACCGTAGAGATTTGAAAATTGGTAATAATACTTATATTAGACTTATCTAGACGTGGCAAAATTTTCAAAATTATCGGACGACTTTTTTTTTAATGAACGTTTTGAAATCAAATTTAAATGAAAATTGCAAAAAAAAAATTACGGCACTTCAAATTATGTATTACATAACTATGCTCAGAATTGTCTTTCGTCAAGCAATGGTTTATCGTTGCTTACAGATATAAATGAAATAACCTTATGTATCCTACCTTCCCAACTTCTCAACTACAACAGTGGCCGCTCCCATCTCCAGTATCAGCTCTTTTTTTCATATTTTTTCATATTCGTGATTTTATTTGTTAGATATCTGTTATTAAAATTATATAACTTAAGAGAAATACTTAAAAATTTAACTCAAAGTACATTATAAGTTGTGATTAATGGTTTAAAGTAAAATTTGAGTTTAATGCATTAATTTGTTTTCCATAAGACTAGTAAGATAAAATGTTGATGAACATTGTAAAAATTACGACACTTCAAAACATGTTTTACTGAAATTCACTCCAAATTGTTTTTCGTTGACAATATGTATCCTACCTTCCCAACTTTACATCTACAACAGTTGCATATATATCACTCAGTGGCGCCAAACAACGTTTTAAAATTGTGGGCAGATAAAATGCTGTACAAACCACCACCCTCGTTTACAAAACAAACTCCCATACAACACTCTCAATTAATATCCCATACGTACCAATTCAATAAAAAATATGGCTGAACTACCATCTACCACTACCCATCTATTAAAAGAAGAGTAGCAACAGCCACCCTTGACTAAGAGTTTCGGTGCCACTACACATCAGTCACAGGCAGTATCAGCTCTTTTTAATTTTATATTTTTTATGAACATAATAAATATTATTGTGTATGTGCATACGTTTTATTCATATTTTTTCATATTCTATATAGTATATAATACTTTAGGGATTGAATAATACTCGATATAGGTTTTTTTTCAAGACCGATATTTTCTGAGAAAGAATTAGGTTTCAACCAATATAGGGGCATTGCTACATATTATGAAAACTTAAGAACTTTTTTCTATTTTTACTATCTATGGTTATTTAAAAAAATTGAAAATTCAATCGTAAATAGATTTCACAATTTGTCTACATAGTTTGAATTTCAAAATCATAAGAACACAATGTAATGAAAAATTAATATTAATCAGTTGCGTACCAAGGCCTTTCTTACGGGGAGGGGGAAGCGAAATATATTTTTAACTACTTTTGAAATAGAAAATTCCATAAATAAAAGTAACGTCACAACTACAAACAATTATTAATATAGACTTGGGAATTTATATTTGTAAAATATAACATTTTTTTAATACATAAAATGAGAAATATGTATTTAATTATCTATAATATTGTAATGCATGTTATAATGTATAATACAATATCTAACCCTCGGTTTTTCATAAAAAAGAAGCTTTCAATGGTATCACCATTATTACCATCTGATATACTTATTTCCTAATAAATATGGAATAGTGTAAGCCCGCAAAAGCGATCATGGCACATTTATTTAGTAACTAGAAATCAATGATAAGAGACAACGGATGAACCTCCACAACAAAATTATAATACCAGAAACCTTGAACTAGACAGTAAAAATAATTCTAAGACAAAAAAAAACCAGTTTACATCACTAATAAAATAAACTAATATAATTTTTCTTCCAAAAAAAAAAAAACTAAATTTGTAATTAAATTAATGATATATAAAATTAAAATACTTCCATCATTAATATTAATTGAACTAACTAATAACCAACATAATATTCAATTATACTGCATACAATATATACTAATATAATATAATATATAATTATATATTCTGCCTTCCATGCCAGCAACATCTGCGCACGTCTATGCCTTCACCACCGCCGTGCTTCCAAAATGTACGTCAACTCGATACATCATAATATTATTACGTGGTATCTATAGCTTCATTGCTTCAATACCGAAATTTAACTCTTTGTCCGTGATGCAACTGCATACTGCATACACCATAATACAATTATTATTATAACATTGTGCATTCCGAATTATTGCAGTTTATTCGTATAATCTAAAACTTAGTGTCCCATTATGTTCCACAAATTTTTATATATCTTTGATGATTTTCTGTTTTTTCTTTTTTTTACAACATGATTTTGTGTTAGCACACGCAGAGTGATTAATTTAAGAGGCTCGATGTTTCAAAGAGTATTGACTTTTTTCAAAAACGTTTTGTTTAAAGTTTTAAAACAACACCCGCCCCTACCACCGCAACAGTTAACATTCATATTAAAATTCAACCAGACTTTTCACAACTCAATTCACCTATAAAACAACTCTAATTTCCGAATTTGAGATAATTTGGACAAGAAGCTTTATATAAGAATATTCATAAGTAATAGGAAAACTGTATATTTATATTAACACACACAATAGTAGTATAAAATCTCTATTTTCAAGGAAAATTTGACAGGAAGGTAACATGCTTTACGAACCTGTTAAATTTTGAAAAGGGGGAGAGGTTATAACTGTCAGCTGGTCTACCTATTACTCTACCTACCACGTCCGGTTCGATATTATGTTATCTATATTTCAAGAACTGTCAAAACCGCAAGGCCCTATAAACTAATTTCCAGTTTACTCTATCTTTCCATTGCCCCAATACTGCTCATGGAAAGATCACTGTATTATTTAGGAGTTTAGTAAGGTAGAATAGATAAGGTGATTCAATTTTTTTTACCGTTTTTTTTTTTTTAAAACCATAAATCATTGCTAGCAAAAAACGATTATAAATAAAGTTTGGCTAAACATGTTTTCAAATGCTGTAATTTTTACTTAATATATTAAACTTTAAACGCTTATAAAACAAATTTAATTGCTCGTTAAATTTTATTTACTCATTTAATTCAATTTACTATGCTGAATTTGTTTTTTAACCATTAAGTACAACTTATGATGTATACTGTGATGAAGAACGTATTAAATTTTCGAGGAATTTAGTTAGGCCAAATAAATCATACCCTCATAAATCTGAATGATATACAAATTTTAAAAATACTATAATTTCAAATATCTATGTTTAACTGAATAACATCAAAAAAATAAAATAATAAACTGGTATTATATAAATTTGCAAGTTTTTTCATTATTTTTCATAATTATAAAGAAAAGCGAAAAATGATCTCCCTAATACATCGACTAGACGAAATTTGCTACCAAAGACCACCCATTAAAATAATGATCACATCAAGATGTTTGGTACAAATTAAGTTATTCAGAGACATAAAAAAAAGCCGTAATCATATTATGGTAAAACCAAAAATGGAATATAATAAATAAATGTAAGTATTACAGATATCGTCATTGAAAGGTTAAAATTTAATTTATTGCATACATATATATATATATATATATATATATATAAACAGGTGATAAATTAACTTGGTATAGGATTTGCTAAGTCATGTAAAATATTCGAATAGGTAGGTACCTTTTAGAGTCTTAGTGGAGCAAGGAATGTATTGGTTTCATATGCTTAATTATCTGGACAACTTTTCTACCAGCAATTTTGCTCCGGTTTACAATGATAGCACTTTTACTGAAAGGAAATCTGACTGAGGTGGTATAAGGAAGTTATTTTTTGATTTTCCCTAGAAGTTTTCCCTAGAATAAAAAAACGGTTAAATAGGTACAATGTTAAACAAATATTATTAAATAAAATATATAATGCATATTATGTAATTATCTTACCATAATATGACATGCAATATATTATTGCCAAAGCAACACTATCAACCGAACTCCGCTCAGAACCGTTTTTTCGTTAACAATGGTTAATCGTTGCGTACATATATATATATATTAAATTTCCCCTCTACTACCTTCCCAACTACTCAACTATAACAGAAGCTACATCCGTCCCCATTATCGTAGGACAGCTTTTTTTTTTTTGTATCCCATAAATTGTGTTTAAATTATATTTAAAAAATGTATTCAAATAAGTACTTAATATAAATAATACACTTTTTTTTTTTTACGGGTGAGGGATAGAGTTAAATTCACTTACATTAATCGCATATAATTACGACAATATTATAGATAATGGGCTCCACAATTTCACCGAAATAAAGTATAGATCGTCATAATTATAGAAATCTTGTGTTAAACGGAAACGCTAAAATAAAAACTATACGCAAATGTACATTATTTTAAATAGTTTAAAGTTCAATAATGTATTATAATAATATAATAGTTTTTCGGTTTACTATATTCCTGCAATTATATTGTTTTGTCAATTCCCAGTAAAGCGTGATTCGGTTCATCGTCGATGACCCACATAACAATATTTTTAAAATCATTTATGCGATGATTGCCAAATTTCTTATTGTATAGCATCTTATAATGATGACCCATAAAAGGGGCACTTTCAGTACAAATAGGAATAATCGTAAATTCATAAAAATATATATATTTTTTAATAATATACCTACATAAATTCATAGTGTTGTGATTGTTCAAAATGAAACATATTATTTTAATACGCATATAATATTACATAATGAATAGATACCACATACATTTTTTTCTATGGATATCGAGTTCATAAAAAATAACTTAATTGTTTAATATTTATTACATTATTATATATGTATATATTTTTTATTTTATTTGTGAGATAACTTATACAGCATAATATTTTACAAAGAATATATTCGTCTATAATACATTTAGATTGGGTCAGTGAAAAACACTTATTAAAGCCGGGATTTTTAAGTTGTAATAATAAAGAACAATTCATATAATACGTCTATAAGTTAAATAGTAATATAAAATAAAAAATAAATGGTTAAGAAAGAGATTTGACTTTAAGGTCAAAGAACCATGTTATTAGTAGGCACCTAACTTAATAGTTATACGTTTTCATTGGTATCATGCACAACTTAAACCATTGTTCAAATCAAATACAATACTATAATTGTAGTTATTTGTTGGGTAGGTATATATCTGTGATAGGTATAGCTATTATTTAATTACAAATTTGAATACAATCAAGAACCTACACTTTGTTTTTTTCTTTTTTATAACACGATTTTTTTCAAATCATTGTACTATGCCACTATGGTATGTCTACAATATACTATATAGTATTATATCCATAACTATAATATCAAATCAAAATTATTTTAATACATTTTATTTTGAAATAATTTGATAAACCGTTATTATACCTATTAGGTATACCGTAGGTATATCATAGGTACCTATTGCGTACATTACTACACGTGCTATTTTTTCTTTAAAATACTTGCTATTCTTGTAATATAAAGATATACATTTTCGCCATATCCACGTGTTATATTAAAAAAAAAAAGATTAGTTTTATCTAATATTAAATTTCATCATATAATTGTTGCATTTAATTGCAGAACATGTCACATACATGATAGATATAATATTCGATACATTTACTTAGATATTTAAAATAAAACTTGTAAAAAAAAAAAAAAATAGTATGTTCCAGGTACTAAAATCGCATTATTATTATTAGATATAGTTCAAAAAACTTGTAGGTATTGTTTTTTTATTTGATTAGCTTTAAACATTTTTTTTTAAAAATTTCACTTATTTAGGTGTTTGCAGAGCACGTACACAACCACAGGTCTAAATAATGTATGCCGTCATAAACACGTCGAGCAATAAACATATTATTATCTATTTTGATTTCACTTGTTTTAGTAATTTAATCATATTATTTTTTAAACCTATTTATTTTGAATTAGATAGTAAATTAAAGTTAAAACAAATACCAATAATATGTTCAACAAAATATGAAATGACGATATTATTATGTCCACCGAGATGAATATAATATGACCATCGTTTTACGTTCCTAAACACGGTATAATATTATTATACATATATATATATTTTTAGATTATAATAACGCTAAAACCTAATATGAATACACGCATCGGTATTGATATGTGTGAGTATCTGTAGGTATTCAACATGATGCGATAAGTCACGTATATCTTAATTTTTTACGGGACATGGAACAACTTGATAAAAATATTATACCGTAAACATTTTTTATTATTTTTCGAAGTACCTGTATTGGCTATTGTTGTGGTTTTTCCTGTTTAATTTTTCAATTCTCAGTTTTGTTGTACATAATGTATAACCGCATGAGTTATATATGATTTCACGCAAGAAGACCGCGCATTAACAATATTCTCCAACATGAATCCAACATGCCAATTATTATTTTTTAATTATACATTAATTAATAGTTCATTTTTATATGTATCCAATATATTATATCCGTATATACATATCCGTGATTTTTGAAAAGATAAAATAGATGATATTATATAGTGAACGATCGGCGGATTTACATGCGGCGTAGGTGCCTAAATACGTAAATATTAACTGCAATGCATTATACTATGATAGGTAAAATATGATACTATAGACAATATTTAAACACAATAATATGCATATTAGGATGATCGTGTCGTTATTATAAATCGCGTTTAATGTACGGATATCATGTGACACTATATAATAGAGGTATGCAGTGATACTTATTATATAGAATACCCCGACGGGAAAGTTGCTCGTTGAGAGCGGAACTCGTTCTGAGTTAAAATCAAGAAAACTCTTTTGTGTTGAATTTATTACTATATATTCGTATTATATAGCGTACATGAATGTATATTTGTTTATAACTCGGCATGTAAATATTATAATAGGTAGGTACTAGAGATCAGCCCGGTCCCGGGTCAACTCGGACCGGACCGGGATCCGGGTTAAGTCCGGTCCGGTCAACATGCTTTGGTTGAGATGTTCGAGTCTGGGACAACCATAATGGGTTAGGTTTGGTTCAAATCATAATATGTTTTATATATCACTGGAGTGGTCCGGTCCGGTCTTTTGACCTTCCGGTTTTTGGTCTGGATTTTATAATTAGAAAAATACGATAGTATTATTTGTCAATTTATTTCTAATTATTTATAATTAGCATGTGTTCATATTTCTTGAAACAGGACCGTTTCATTATCGGCATGTCTTATTGCTTATTAAATATTATTTTCGATCAAAACAGGAAATTATAAAAATTAACGTTGTTTACTATCGAATGTAGTACTATGTACGTATAACATTGTGAAATACTGAAATATGAATGTCTAAACTGTCCTGGTCGGTTTTTTTTTTAAATATATAATCCGAACTGGGCTGATCCGGGTTTTAAATAAAATGTGTAAGCTTGGTTTAAATTGGTCTGGGTTGAAAAATAAATTTTAAAAATTGGTCTAACCCAGTTGAAAAATGTTCTAAAATATTTGGTCAAGTCCAGTCCCATTTTTATAAAACCGGGCTGTTCTCTAGTAGGTACGAATGTTTATATGAATTTAATATTAAAATAAAGATTCGCCGTAGTCTAAAAATTAAAACCGAAAACCCGATGATTACCGGGTCAACGTATACTAATTTATAAAAGTTGTTTACACCAGCGACGCCGATGAATTAAAATTATTGCTTGTTTTATATAATTTATTAAGTTTTTGCGTTCCTAGTTAAAAAATCGTAAAATAGAATACAACTATAATAAGCTATTTGTGTAGAAAATCGAAACTAAGAATCCCGGACACCATATTACTACTACGACACATAAAATATTGTACACATAGGTGTAATAATTTAAAATTGTTTATGAAAATATATTTTTATAGAAATTTAATGTATTTTTTCTAAAGAGCAGTAGGTACAGATACAGATAGAAGTACTTGACATTTTATAGTTCGACGTTCGCTGATATAGTATTGATACTCATCAAGGTTATTGCAAGTCTGGGGGAGTAGCACACACATAAAAAAACAAAACAAAAAAAAAAAAAAATGCAAAACACACTAAAGTAAAAGTAATAAACGCACGAAGACCGTAAAACCATATGAAATAAGAATCGTTTTAAAATTGAAATCTCTTAGCGAAGTCGATGACATTTTACCGAAGACTGTAAAGCAAGATATAATAATAATAATATAGGTAATTGTATTGTACGACTTTCTATAATAAATAGCGATGTTTTTAATGTGTATATTATGTAATTGCAATATTTGTAATAATGCGATAAGTTTTTGGCTGTGATGTTTTGCATATTATATATCTAATATATTACCTGCGTTATTATTATTATGATATAACTGACCTTGTGACGTAGTAGTAACTATATATATAAGTATAATTTCAAATAATTTGTGATTTTGATTTGTCAGGAAATATTATTACGTACCTACCGACGAATAGTATATGTACTGTACGGGAAAAAAAAAATTAAATTAAATTAATGTTTATATTTTAGGAGCAAAGCCAGTGGCGGCCTCGCACTTACGTGCATACTCGTATATTATAATAATATACAAGTTAACGCGCGCAACCACTTGTTGCGAAAGTATCACGACTCACGACGAGTGGTACGAAATTTGTCGAAAGCGAAATGCTTACAATATTATAGTCGTAAGGCGAGTTTTTTTAAATTTATTTTATTGAAAATTCAACAAAATATACAGTAGTAATAATACTGCGGTACTAAACACAACGGCAGTAACTCACGGGTGACATGTATAAAAAAATTAATAATAATAATATACCTATACCTACCTAATATTGTTTTCTACGTACGAAGACGACACACAGACCCACTATCGGTCACCTCTATAACTATACAGTAATAATATATTATAATATCTTCGTATTACAAGTGCCTATATATATATATATATACTACACGGACGACCACTATAATAATTACAATACTATTGCACGTACTTAAAATTAAAAAACGTACAACATACGCCCCGCGTGCATTATTTATGTTGTAATATCACTACAGAACATTGTGTACTGCGACGCGTACGAAAAAATAAAAAAAAGTAAAAAAATTATTCACAAGTATAATAACATTATGTCATATTATATGGAGAACATACCTAATCTACAACGTGCGCGGAGCTTTTCTAATCGTTAAACTCTTGTAATCCATGCCCGGGTGTTGCGCGTATATTATTGTATTGTACAATAATAAAAATAATTATATTATTATCATTAATATAATATTATAATATTATGGTTGTATTATGCGAGCGCGTAATATTATTGTAATAACAATAATAACACGACATCTGCAGTTATACGCGTTCGCGAGTAATAACTACGGCGTTGGCGACGTTCGGCGGCGCGAAACGAAATTTAAAAAGAAAATACAAGCCGATCGTATTTTGAATAATAATATCAAAGCATATTTAAAAATCGACAACGAAAGAATTCGCGAATACTATACACAGAACGGACGTGTCGGGTTTTTTTTTTTTCTTAATTATCGAAATGCGACCAACATCGGGTGCGCGGTGACAATTTTACTGTAACGGTCAGTCAATGTTTCGTGTAATAACCGCGGGGAAAAAAATACGTACACATAATACAATATGACAATAATATTACGTATTGTAATACGAGGAAAAAAAAAAACAAATCGCGCGAGTTTTATCGTTTAAAATAACCGTCGCCGCCACCGTCACTGAGCCGCAAATCGAGAAACGGATCTGTAGCACCGCGGTTGCTCGCCGGACTGCGTGCTGTCCGCGGTCCGTCGCCGTTGGTGAGCCCCCGGCCGACCGCGAACGCAACTCGCGCGCGCGATTACCTCCTTCCCCGCGTCAGATCACGTGCACACACGCACACACACGTGCGCAATACATCGCGAGCGCCGTACGATTATTATTACTACTACAAAAACAACAACAACAAACACAACAAACACAACAATAACATCAATAACATAGGTGTATTACAATAATAACGCGTACGACTACGCGCTCGCACATTCACACCCGCCCGACGACTCCCGCGCGCGAGTCCCCCCCCGGAAAACCAGTTTCGCCGCTCACCGTTAATAATGAACTTATGAGGTATACGCAGGTAGGTAGGTACCCGACTGCGCGTAGCATGAAATATACCTACGCGTGCACAAGCCGTCGGACACACGATATTATTTTATTACGCACAGTGGACACGGGTACGTACGGATGCCAAATATCCGCGACACGACGACGTGTCCGTAATATTTCGGACATTCGACCGGGATACGTTTCCGTGTGTGATAAGTGAGACGAGGAGTTGATATTATGTTGTATTTAGGTAGGCAGTCGTAATGCAAGTGAACGGCCGATGTATAACTGGTAGTGGAATATTATGTTTGGCAATATGAAGAGGAGGGAAGCGACAAGAGTGTTGTACGATAAAAAGGTGCCGTAAAGCAAAGACTTAAATAGACGGGGTTAGGCAGGCACCTGGGCCTCCACAATGCGGGGTTGCTAACACCGTGTTGTACTAATGGATAAAGTGATTAAAATTGATAAAAAAAAAGTGACCAAAAAGTGACTTACTTAAATACATTAATAAAACGAGTTTCATAAGATTTAACTTAATTTATAAATATGTTATAGTTTATATAACTTATAGTTATAGTTTATAGTTTGTATTAGTTGCATTGTATAATGTGTATTGGGCATAACCATGGAATTTTAGAAGGATGAAAGCATACCCATTTTTAAATGTAGGTAGAATATATAGATACTTATAACTATTAAATTACAATTAGATACAATTTCATCTTGATTTGATCAACCGAATGTACGCTTGACCAAACAGCATTTATAACAATTATGTTAGAATTAAGATTAAAGTTATTAATTAACTTAGATAAGTAAAATTTAATTAGTTCAGTATTTATGCATAAAAAAAAAAAAAAACATTTCTTGTATAACAATAAATCTCAATATATTTGGAAAAAATTGTTATAAATAGTACGAAAAAACTTACGACAAATTAAAAATGAAAAAAGTGACTTTTTGTTGAAAAAGTAACCGAATAGGGTTTCCTGAGTCAATGAAATTTCAAGTTAAGTTTAAACATTTTATGCACACGTCTATAGGACATATCGGCAAAAGCCAAAATCTTATATTGGCCGTTATTGAAATTTTGAGACTATAGAAATATCTGGTTTTTTTGAAAACCCATTTTAGAAAAAATATTTTTTCTGAAAAGTATCTCGACCTTTATCATTTTCATAAATAGGTAATATAAATTTGTTCTTTAATTTTACAAATGAATTACGTAAACAAAATTCAGAATAAAATAAATAATGCATTTTACATTTAAAACTTTACCTCATTACAGAAGGATGGACGAATTTTTCCAGGAAGTTCGAATAGGGCTAACGGTTTTTTTCAAAAAAAAGCAAAGAAAAAATTCCGCATAAATACGTTATTTTATATAATAATTATTAGACGGAGGTTAGACTTTAGTGTTATAATTCAATTATATTAAAAAACAATTTCTTTTTTATGTTCCTACTAAAATGTTCTATTTAATATTTTATAAATATAAAATTCCTATTAGGTTAAGTTAGCTGTGACGTAATTTTTTAAGAAATTTTCTATTTTAAAAATGGAAAAATATATTTCGCCCCCCCCCCCTCCGTACGAGAGAATTAGGTACGCCACTAAATAAAAAACTCACAAACTCCACATTAAAAAATCGGATTTTCACAAGACTAAGGGAGTCACCTGTTCGAAAATCAAGTGTTCAGATGTCGTTTGTTCAAAAGGTCGTATTTTCGACATTGTGAAAATACGAAAATAACAAGAATTACGTTTTTTGATAAATTTAATAAAATATTTTAATCACAGTTTTAACAATAATTTGAAAAATTGTAAAATGTATACTAAGTTTTTTTTTTTTTAGGCTCAGAACTATTATCATTAATCCGCCATTTCCGTTCTTCGTTGCCTTTTTTCTTTATTCGGCCTTGAATTATTCTTGTTTTTTAGAATTTTCAATTTCATTCTGAATTTTTTCTCATCTTTATATAAACGCTAAGTTATATTTGAATACTAATCTCTGAATTTTGTTTTCGAATAAACGACCTTTGGAATATATAGATTTTTGAACAAACGGACTTTCAAACAAGTGGCACTCTCTCTTTTCATAGGGTTGTGTCAGTTGTGTAACACTCGTCTCTTTTCACTTATTTCGAATACAATTTAGTAATATACTAGATATATTATTTAAAATATATAGCCAATAATAAACTAATGTATATGATTTGATAGAAAAATAAAAATGATAGTTTTAAAATTAATCCGTATTTTTTACTTGATTGAAAATACAAAAATATAAATTACTTCAAATCCATAAACCACGAGAATTATAAAGTTTTTATGTACTTATACATACAGACTTCTTCATATGGATGTCTTTTTTTTATAAATTAGGATGTGCATCATTTTTTTTTTAAACAAGTCGAAAAAATGAAAAAATCATTTTTCAAAATCACACAAGGTGAAAAAAATATTACCTGAAATTCGTAAAAAATCGCATTTTGACCTTCAAAAATCAACGTACAACATACATTTCGCATAACTAAAATCAATAAAAACAAATAAAAGATTCATATGTATTGCTATTTAATTGGATCGTATAAATCCAATATTTAATACCGAATCAATATAGGTAATTATTAATAAAAAATATATTAATTTCAGACACGCATAGAAATCGGAAATGTAAAATCGTGTCGTAGTTAAAACTTAAAAACATAAACTGCGTAATGGTTTATTATTAAGAGATAAAAGAGTTAGCATTATATTGTACAATAATTTTGCCGATGACATCCTACTGTGAGTGTTCTATTCAAATACTAATTCGGTCGCACATATTATGGGTAGGTATACCAATCGTGGACTACATTCGACTTATTAAAATTTGATTTTAGCATTTTCATTTTTTAATCTAACATCTTTTATATTATATTTTCTATGGTCATTGTATTATATTGCTACACTGCACAATAGAATTGATTTATTAAAGCAGCAGTTCTCATACTGTGGTACGTGGTAAGCAACACGGTGGTATGCAGAAGGCCGAGTGGTAGTAGTTCGGAGAATTGATTAATACATACTTGTACAAATGTTTTTAATGGATCTAATACTATATATTTTTTTTTTAATTTGTATAATGTTGATTATATTGTAGTATTTTACTGTCTTATGTTCTTATCATTTTAAAATAAATGGTATAGACATTATGAATTGTTAAATTTTTAGTCATAAGTGTCACGTGACAGATCTATAATACGTATGAGTGGTGTACGAAAAAAAACAATTTGGGAACCTCTATATTAAAGAATTCGTATTATACCACACCCAAAATAATACGACTTATACCTATCTTTTGCGTTTATCTGGACTCTAGATTCTATAGTCTAGAATATACAAGATCGATAATTCAATTAACCCTTAAATGTCGGTTTTACCATCCACGAAGTCTAATATGATATCTTTATCTGAAGGCTTAGGGTTCATAGGTTAACACATACCGTTGGCAGGCGCCAATAGCTGCCTATAAATATGCCCCTGGCCTACAAACTTACATCAAATTATAAGCATTTCTGATATTTAGTTCGATATAATTTTGATTGATTATACATAAAAGAACCCAAGGAAGTTTTAATTAAAATATCTATAAAAAAAAAAAAAATGAAATACGTTTAAATCGCGAAAACTAATCTATTAGAGATTTCCTTGACAAGTTCTTTGTGGTACGAGTTCAATATAATATTCGATTTAGCAATATCATTTATAACATAAATTCCAAAATCGTTTAACGACAAATACTGAAACTCGTGTCCTTACTTACTAGCTTGTAATGTAAAAGTTATTTTTATTTAACCATTTATACAATTGATGGCGTACGACGTACACGTGAAAAATAAAATGATTGAGCAATTAAACAAATGCAAATCATATTAAAAATTATTATTATAGAAATTGTTTAGTTTTTAGTGTGTAATGATATTCAATATGAGTCATTATTAGAAAAACATATTTATATAAATAAATATAATTTGTAATTTCATTTTCACCATATTTTTCATCGTGGTATTGAAATTGATAACATAGATACGAAACAAAGTACAAATGTTTTTAAACAAAATTTACATTCTTAATAAGTTTAAGATAATTGTGTGTTTAATCAATACACAGAAATAACAGACTTATGTGTAAATTTGCTATGTTCCTATCATCACAACTGTTGCAGATAAAATCATATTTACTACATTAATAATAGTTTATATTAGTATTTTTTTTTTTTTTTGTGTTTTAAATAAAAGGATTAGATTGGAAAAACGCACGAACAACACAATATACGTTTTATAATTTAGTTATATTTGGATACACCTATATATGTACATTATAAACCTATAAATCTTTAATTCAAATGTAACATTTTTACCAAATGTTTATGCTATTGGTAATTGTTAAAATATAAATAGGTTTAATTAATATATATCCATATCAGTGACTGATCCAGACCGTAATTTTTTTATTTTTGGGGGAGGGGTAGGCAAAACCATTCGCTACAATGAAATTTATTCTTAATACTTATAATATACATTTTACCACAATACAAGAAAAAAGCATACTATAATCAAAAATAATGGAGAGGTTAATTTTTTAACAATTAATAATTTAATTGTATGTGAGATGAGAAGTTTAGGAGGTGCGGAAAAGTAAGATTTATCAGTTATTGATAAAGTTATAGATAAAAAAAGACGTTCTAGGATAATAGAGTCGGATGCAGCTACTGTTATAGGTAATTTAATATATATCTGTAATCAACGATAAACCGTTGCTAACGAAAAAACGATTCTAAGCACAGTTCAGCTTTGTCAATAATAAATATGTTTTTTATCGTAAATAATTAACCAGGCATTTTCTTTAATAATATTTGTTTAATATTGTACCGATTTTCCCGGTTGTTCACATTTGCTGGGAAAACTTTTAAATTGGATCAAAATATCTGGTTGAAAAGTTGTACTCAAAAAAAAAATTTTATTTTATTAAATTTTTTATTTTACTAATACTTACACATTTCATATATTTACAATTTGTTCAACATTTTATTCTGGTATTCCTAGATGTTATAAAAATTGCTTGAAAATTAAAAAATGACTTCCCTAAGTTATCATGGAGATAAAATTTCCTTTCAGAAAATAAGTTACACTTGATATATCGGAGCAAGATTTCTGGTATAAAAGTTTGTACAACATATAGTAGGGTATTTTATCTAGGTCTCTAGGTCTCATATAATATCCGCATAATATCAAAATTTCAAAAAGCTATAATTTCGAAACGATGTCAGTCCGCTCAAATCTTACTTCACCACCGTTCTTCAACTAGCAAAATACATAAGGTCAAACAAAGAATTGAAAAATTAAATTGGTTCTATATCATTTTTTACTCGAAAGATTTTTGTTAAGACTTGATATTAAAATTCCTTTGTGTAAAAAAATTCTACATTAAATTCAATTTTATTTTTGGACCTCAAAGTAAGACTTTTAATGAACTTCCTATTAAATTTTCACGCATTTCTGTTTAGTCTAACAATTTTACCACACAGTACTTACCGAATAAAAATTACGTATAAAACTCGCAAAATTAAAATTTTTATTAATAGCTTAAAAATAGCATACATTTTTTGAATATTTTACTACGTCTAGAAAATATAAATATAAGTTTTTGTCTAAATTTGAAGTCCATTATTTCGATACGAATATTTTAAACTGATATTCATAAAAATATTAAATTTTTTTTAAAAGCCTAAAAATGGCCCAAATATTTTGAAAATTTTATCATGTCTAGAAAAGGTAAGTTTTCTGCCACAAATAACAAAATTGAACAAATAATAAATGCATTATTTTCCTAAATTTCCCGTTTTTCTTACGTTTTTTTTCCACTTATTCTCGTTTATTGGAAAAAAAACCGGGAAAATCAAAATACGACCTCCCTAAAGTACCGCTTTAAGAAAATTTCCTTTCATTAAAGGTTTTTATAAAATATTGAAATCGTGAAATTGTATGTTTTCCTACGTTTTTTCCCACTTAAGTGCTTTTATTTAAAAAATGACCTGTTTAAAGTACAATCTAGATGATTTGAGCTTTCATAAAAGTTACTACACGTAAAAATTGGAACAAGTTTACTAAGAAAAAACGTGTTTACAAATTAGAACAAAGAAAGAAAGAAAAAGAAGAAGAAATGAACAGTATTGTAAAACCAATAGCTCCGTCGCTACGCTCGGAATCTAAAACAACTTAGACAATCAATACATTCTTCGCTACTCTCAAAATTTAAAACACTATAAAAGAAAAAAACCACCTCACTTTATAACTCAATCTTAGAATACTGATTAGAAAAGGATAGCCTATCCATATCTTTATAATGTGACTATACTACGGTGTTTGGGTAGGAAAATGACCCTAATGTCCAAAATCCACCACTGATCCCTATACATTTTATAAATTTTAAAGTTATTGTAGCATTTTAATGTTTAATTTTAATAATTCTACCATACTCTGATTAATAATTTTTTTCCTTTATATAACATAATACAATAATACAATTCATACCTATATATTTTGAGTACATTGATATTAAAATTATTATATAACAAACTATAATGCCACATAAATTAATACAAATAAAATTAAAATTGCATAATAATATCACTATCATTTATTAAAATTAGAACAGAACCAATTTTGATATTATATAGAAAAAAATTGATTTGTTTTCATTGGCATGTATTTGTATTAATATAATATAATTTATAGGCCTCTAATATTCGTTATTATATTTAATAAATATAATTAAATACCTAATTAGTTTAACAATACATTATTAATACAGAATCATTTTTATGATAAATTATTAATGTGACGATCGTATTATATTTGTATTATTATACTATTCTTGTATACAAGGAGGACAAAATGTATCAATATACCTAAAAAAAAGGATTAAATTGAAGGTCAAATTAAAATAATTTACAGCTAACGGATTAATAGTTACTGTCGTGATATACTCAAGGGCATTATCTTTCTCTTTATGACCTCTCAAAACAGATGAATCACGTGAATAAATGTAACCGCTATTCTGTATTTATTAATATATTTTGCAAAATTAAAACTTTGAACTAAAATAGTTAGAATCATATATAATATACAAATTTGTCTATTGCTCTGGTAAATGAAATATGCACTTGTTTTTTTTGCCTTATATTAGTTTGCTATTAAAATTATAAAATCGTGACACCATGTCCTTGAAAAATGTCTCAAGGAGAATAAGAAAAAAAACTTAAATGGCAGTTATATCTATCAGATTACGGCTAGTTACAAATATAATTATTACAATAGAATCTAAATTGTAATTTATTTTACACCCTTAGTTTTTAATAATAAAAAAATTTCTCATGTAGTTATGTTGCAACTCATTAACGATAGGTAGACAAAAAAAACAAAATAGACAACGATGCTTGTTGGCATTACGGTTTTCTGGGTCGGTAATTTCAACTCGATGATGTAATTGAAGAAAAAGTAAATATTAATAGCATATACGATGACCGTAAGAAACTTAAAAATTGTTTTTATAATACCTATAACATGTTTTCTGTACTTCAGTTTAATATAATAGTGTCAATTACTTGAATGAATATTTTAAATTTTCTTTGAGTATCAACAATTAATTGTTATTTTAATAGACAATGGTTACAAATAAAAATATAAATTAACACACTATTTTTATAATTATTATTATTACACAAAACCTATAATATATCAGACAATCAAATCAAATAAATTATGGTCAAATGTTTCACAGATAAATATACAGAGTGTATCCACAAATTCATTGAGAGTCACCGGTCACAAATTGATAGTAAACCATTTTGGTACGGTTACAATTCATAGTATCCGGTTAGGTTTATACTCTTACTCTATCCGGTGTGAGTGTGAGACGGTGTTAACGGTGAATATTTTCGTTAAAACTACAAGGTATATCCCCCCCCCTATTGTTGCAAAATAATAAGACTCATTTTGAACGACAGATTACGACAAAGACAGCAACAACTTAAACGGCTACGATAATAATGGTAACATGTTCTAGACGCCATATCGCGCTGATGGTTTAACGAGAGAAAATAATAATTCTGGAGAGGATAATGAAGTCACCAATCGTTAACGTCTATCCAAGATGGTCACAATAGTTTTTGACCGATTTGTAACTAGTGTGACCGGCAAAACCAAATGAATTTCATAATTTTGTAACTGATTCCAATTTTGAGGGGAAATAGTCATCGGTTACTCTCAACGAATTTGTGGTATCTGTTACGGGAAAAGTCGAATTAAGCAAACCTCATACCCGGCAAAACGTTATATTTCAGAATTTACCATGGCAAATCTTATAGTAGACTAACCTCATTTGAGCAAAACTGTTGCGTCTATAAATTTCGATTTTAGAGTAGGTAGGTTTTAAATATAACATATAAATAACGATGAAATACATATTATTGTTCCAATTAATAACAGTCTGAACAAAAACAAAATTTAAAAAAAAAGCACGGAAAAAAGACGTTCTAGAATAATGGAGACGGACGCAACCACTGTTATAAATAATTTAATGTAAGTAACGATAAACCATTGCTAACGAAAAAACGATTTTGAGCGGAGTTCAGTTGATAGTGATGCTTTGTCAACAATATATAATGGTAAAATTAAATATATTTTCTTTAATAATATTTGTTTAATATTGTACCAATTTTCCCATGTTTTTTCCCGGTTTTTCACATTTTCTGGGAAAACTTGAAAAATCGAAAAATGACCCCTCTAAAATACCTTCCTGGTAAGATTTCCTATCAGAAAAAGTGCTTCTATTGTAAATAAGAGCAAAATTATGGCTGTTAGAAAAGTAATTCACAAGAAAAAAAAGAGGACGAAATATTTTTCAACTAATACCTACATTTCATACATTTTACCATTTTTTTACCTAAGAAATAGTATGACAAAAGTAAATATTTTGTCAATTTTCCAATTTATTATTGAAATATAATTATAAATTAGTAATTATTATATACTTTGTTTATTAGAACAGACTTAATGGTTTGGCTTTATGGGTTGACATATCACCGGTAAATAAATAAAAATCATGGTATATGAGGTTATCGATAAACTGAGCATCCAAAAAAATGGAAACTGGATTTTGTATTATAAATATTTTAGATTCTGAGTGGAGCGAAGAAGTTATGGTTTTACGAAGATATTTGTTTTAATTTTTTTTTTATCTGTGTGTAACTTTTCTATCGGAAAATTTTCTACGTGGAATTTCTAGGTGTAACACTTTTTCTGAAAGGAAATCGGCGTGGGGAGGTACTCTAAGGAAGTCATTTTTCGATTTTCTCATCAAATCCGAAAAACAGAAACAAAAAATGAGAAAATTTACGAAATATAATAAATATAACCTTACGATTTTTTTTTCCTATGCGCAACTTTTCAACCAGCAATTTTGCTCAAACTTTTAATCATAGCAATATTTCTAAAAGGGAATTTTACTAGGAAGGTACTTTAAAGGTCATTTTTTGATTTTCCCAATATTTTTCCCAGCAAATGTGAAAAATCGGGAAAAACAGTAGTACATTAAACAAATTTTATTTAAAAAAATATATACAGCATTTTTAATCATGTTACTAGAAAATGACATATATATATAAATTGGTGACAAAGCATCACTATCAACTGAACTCCGTTCAGAATAGTTTTTTCATAAACAATGGTTTATCGTTGCTTACAGATATACATTCAATTCACGTCTATATTCTACCTTCCCAACTTTCCGCCTACACCCGTTGCCAGTATCTAACCTTTTTATTTTTTTTAGTTTATTAAATACGGGATTGGCGTCAGTAGTATAATTTATACGGTGAATTTATAACCAATGTTATTACTATACAAATTATGTTAATTCTTATTTCACCTTAATCCACATTTACCTCAATAGGTAACAAGTTAAGAGATTTTAAACATTTATATTATGTACGTATTTATTATATACGAGGTCTAACCAATAAGTAATGAGACTAATTCAATAAAATACGTATATTTAAATATTAAGATACATCGATGTGATCCCCTTCAAAGTACTCCCCTCCCACCACTATACACTGATTCCAACGTTTTTTCCAGCTCTCATAACATTTCTGGAAGACTTCGACTGGAATGTCCTGATGTACCCTCGTCACGGCGTTCTGGATGTCAGTTATGGACTCAAAATGCGTTCCTTTCACGGCCAATTTTGTTTGAGGGAACAAAAAGAAGTCACAGGGTGACATATCCGGCGAATAGGGCGCTTGTGGCAACACTGCGATGTTCTTAGAGGTCAAAAATCGCGACACACTGAAGGCACGCCGAAAGGTTCTTCGGTACCATCTTTGCACACAGCTTTTTCATGGACAAATNGTGCGCACACGCTGAACATTGTTGTCAGTTCGAGCTTCAACCGGTCTCTCACTTCGCGGTTCATCCCCGACGCTTTCACGACCATTTTTAAAATTTTTATGCCATCGAAACACCTGAGCACGACTCAGGGCTTCATCACCGAACACTTTCACCAATTTATCGTACGTTTCCATAACAGAATCGCCGAGTTTAACACAAAGTTTATATTACGTTGTTCCATATTTGTGACACGCCTTACAAACATGTTGTCGAAAACATAACACAACTGGAAAATTAATTATTGTACGAAAATCGCGAGCACATGTATCGATAGAGGAGGGATGAGAGATTAACCGAACGAAGTTTCAGATTCGCAGTGTTACCACAAGCGTGGCAAAAAAAACAGTCTCATTACTTATTGGTCAGACCCTGTATTTGTCGTTATGATGGTGAATTATTTGGAATCACTATTTAAGGGGTATAGGGGGCTTACATTGTGACTGATGTTGAATTTTTTTTCGTTTTTCGGTGAAGACTTTGAAATGAAGTAGTTTTGTGAGTTTAAAAATGTTCATGCTAAACTCATTATTAACAAAATTAACAGTGAAAACTGAAAAGTGACATCGGCAATTTGTTGATTCTATTTAATATATTTTTAACGCCTAGAACGGAATAACTTAATTCTGTTAGGGCTGCTTCAATATCTACTATAATAGGGAGTAGAATGATGGATGGGTGAAGCGAGGTGCATAAGTATGAAAGGAATAAAGTGTCTCCGTGAGGTAATCCAAAACTTTTTTGTGATGGCTACAGTTCTTAGTTTTAATTTGTAGGTACTTTTTATATGTTGACAAGATGAACCCACCAGTGGCGTAACTATCAAAAGGCAAAGTTAGGCAGTGTCCCGGGGGCCTCAGATAATTCTGAAAATACTTCCTTTAAATAATTGCAAATTTTGATGTATTATTAATGATGAATGTTTTAAACCTTACATGGTAATTCCAGTCACAATCAGTACATTTAAATAGAATAATAATACACACAATAATACGCAATGAACGGTGTTCATCTACTAATAGTTATAATTTGTGTATAGTATAACAAATTGTATAGCAAACTGGATTTCCCTTTATTTATTAATTATTTTCATTTGTGGTTTCATTAGTAAGTATTTACACTTAAAAGTTGTTATGTAGGGGTATTATATTTCGAATATTCTTAAAGATTATATTTGCACATAACCTGTTCAATGGGGCCCATTATCTTTTCAAAGAAATAAACAATAATAATAATAATATAGAAGGTGTAGTTTTTTAATTTCCACTATCTAGCTACGTCATTTGAACCCACCTGATCCTACAACAGATGAAATCGCACTTTAGCCAATTGAGGTTAGTTAGGTTTTTGATATATATTTATGGTGACTTACGAATTTCCCAATCTGAAGAATTGGTTACAAAATGATTTCTCTTGACTTCAACAATTTATATACATCCATTCCTAAACATGAAACAGTGAATTTTTTAAAAAAATAAACTTATACATAGTAATTAATTCAATACAAACGAAGTACAAGAAATTATTCAATCAATAAATGTAATTATTAATTAAAAATATGTCTAACTAGCAACTAAGTGCTTTTTTATCTGAAATTTACAAGTAAAATTATGAAACCAATAATATTATTGACAACAAAATATACAATTTGTAACATTATTTGGTGAGTTGTGTATTATATTTTCTTTAATACGTTTATGAATTTTTTTAATAATATTTAAATTGAAATTATTTCTATGGGCTATATTATTAATAATATTGTTTATTTAATGGATATGTTCAAGACTACAGAATATTGAATTAAAAAATTATATTTTTTGAGAATAATGGGTGATTAGAATTATGTGGTATTACAGCATCAGTTTGTGTAGGTTTCCTATAATTACTAAAATAAAATTTATTGCATATCATGAAAACCGCAAGATCTAAGAAATTAAATTTATTATTTATTTGTATTTCGAGTATAAATTGATTGTTTTTATTAATTTTGCTTAAGTAGTTAACTAAATTTTCTACTTGTCCATTTGAACCTCTAAATAAAATGAACGTGTCATCAACATATCTATATGTTTTTATATATACAAATTTTATATTTTGTTGTTAATGATATTATTGGTTAAATAATTTTACATGTAAATTTCAGATAAAAGAGCATTTAATTAGTTTGTTAGCTAAAAATATTTTAAATTAAAAATAACATTTATTAATTGAATAATTTCTTGTACTTTGTTTATATTTAATTTATTACTGACTCAATATTAAATAAATTTATTTTATCAATAAAGTTATAATCGTTTTTTATAGAAATATCAGTATTCATGTTTAATTTTTCTTTTATGAAAGTCTAAATATTTAGCAAAGTTATAAGCTGGAGCAGTTTTAAAGTTAATTAATGGACGAATTCGGTTATCTTGTTTATGTAATTTTATGAATGGATGTAAATGTGGAGCCTCTATTTTGAAATCAAATTTTAATAATATTTTCTTTTGGATTTTAGGTCTGATTTCTTTTGAATTTGTTATCAGTTTATTAATTTGTTTAGTGTAAATTACAGTTGGGTCAAATGTTAAGTTTTGAATATTATTATTATTTATAAAATCTAAAGTTCTTTTTTTGAATTTCATTACTGCAAATGATAACTATAGCATTAGATTTATCTACCGAAACTATTTCTGAATTATTTGTTTTTAATTTATTCACTATATTGTTAATAATTGTATTTTGTCATTTAACTATACTATTTTGTTTTAATATTTTATCAGGTTTATTTTTGTTATTTTAATTGGTGCTGTTTTTTAAATTATAAATTGTTTATAATTTATAACAGATTCATAATGTATTAATTGATTTAAAGTTAAAAGTTTGTTATGTATTGAATTTATTACCTTTATTTAATAAATTGTTTTCAGCTTTATTGGAAATTATGGAAGTTAAATTAGTAACTTGTGGTTTAAAATAATGCTGGTTTTTAAGTTGTAATTTTTGTGGATTTTGTGCTACCAAAATTTTTATTTTATTACTAACCCAACACCATTTTTAATTTTTCTTATGTAGTAATTTGTGTAAATATATTTTTCTGTTTTTCCAAATGTCTAAGAAAATACATTGAAAATCTAATTACTAACTAGTTCTAGAAAAGATGCTCCACATGAAAGTCGGAGCAATATTTCTGGTAGACAGGTTAACAGATATAAAAAAAAAAGCATAGGTCGATAGTAAAAAACTATACATACTTCACTCAGCTCAAAATCTAAAATGAAGGAAATGGAAGAGAGAAAAATAAAATAAAAATTTAATGTATAGTTTGGATTAAAGGTTAAACACTCTATACTTGTATAGATGTTTATAATTTTCTTTACTGTTGTATGGCACAAAATTGTGGGTAATTTTTATAGGCACTCATAGGGAAGTAGGTTTAGCAGCCCCAAAACAAGTCCATATTAAGTAAATACCAAGTAGGTACGCATAAAAAATACAAACGAAAATATTACGCAGGCTCAATCACTTAATGAATCTTCCTCAGCCTAAAGCCATTTTGTTTTGAACACTAATTTATATTTGTGACCCTCTAAAAAGGGTATGAATATCTTAATGTATAAATATCCACGAAAACAAAATTTACTACCTATATCAAAGAAATTGTTTTGTAGTCCACATATTGTGTATTCAACGAAATAAGAAATACATGTCTCTTGCACCCTAGGACTGAAATTGTCAGTCTTCCCTACTTCAATGGGTTCCAAAGATATACTTTTATTAGTTAAGGCATTAAAAATTGTATCCAAAAGGTACAATTTATTTTTAAAAGTAGGAGACAATGCACCCTCCCCCCCCCATTTTAACTAGTAAAAATATAATCACACTATTAGTAATATTTTTAGTTTTTAATAGATAAAAGGGTGGAACATATTTCACTCTTAAAAATAACATATATTTTATTACTTATATATAATCTTTGATGGTTTTTTTTTTATCAACATACTTATAATACTTTTCATTTTATATATAGTTTTAAGTCAAATTAAAAATAATATCAAACATTGTTTATACTATTTAGAACACATATCACATTAATAATAAATCATCAAAGGGTGGCCATGAATTTAAGAAAATGCACCGATAACATTGTACTTTCAATGTGACCACTTTAACAAATAAAAATATTGTATACCTATTTATTGTATTAGTCTATGCCATAATTGAGTAAAATAATATTGTATGTTATAATTAAATATTGATGTATCGTAATTTAATAATATAATAAATTTGAATGGGTCAATTTTGTGTAACATGTAAATAATTAATATATACAAAATATTTAAATTAATTATCTATTTATATATTAAAATGGACTGAACCCAATTACAATATTTTATAAACAATACATTTGATATAATTAAATTTATTTAAGAGAAAAAAATCAGTAAAATAATAATAATATTAACAAACTATTAATGTCCTTTAATACATAATAACTAATAATAATAGTACAGTAACATTAAATTACACCAAACTTGAAAAGAAAATATTATGGTGTTATTATTAAATTTGTTATAACTCCCTAAAAATAATGCACAATCTCCTCTTCTATTTAATGTACATATAAATCACATCACATCATTAACACTAAATGGAGAACTTGTTTGCTATACAGATGGCAGGTGACACTTGGGAAGAAGTTTTTCACAAAATCCAGACTGATATTAAATATATACTATTGAGGCTTTTAAAAAATAGCTTATTTTGAAATGTAAAAAAAAAATTATTTTACCACATTAACTAATCAACATAGATTCCAAATATTGAACACATTTTATTACATTTAATACTATTGTACTACCCTTAACTCATGCTTCTGCTAAATATTAAAAATAAATTTCAATATTAAATATTAAATTATAGAAATGTCTAATGAAAAATGGATAAAACATTTAAACTCACGGACTACAATAAAAAGAAAACTCTTATATGCTTTTAAACAAATTAGATCTATTTAAAACAAAAATCAAAGTAAAATAGTATACAAGGCACTAATAGAATCAACTCTAATCTATGGCATAATTGCATGGGGTGCATGCAGCAAATAAAAATAATCTTAACATATTACAAATTACACAAAATAATATACTACGAATAATATTAAACAAAACCTGTGACTTTCATGATAATAACTTATATGAGGAATTAAATATTCTAACAGTAAAAAAAAAAACAGTAACTTAAGTAAAAAACAATTTAATCAAACTCATTTCTCAAATACTTATCACCAAAAGGTAAATTGAATAATATTATCACCCCTAATGTTTTTAAACAAATTACTCAATCTTCTTTTCTATAAACTGGTCCAAATATTCACAATAACCTACCTTCTGAATAATTCTAAGTAAAAATAACTACTTTATTTAATTTAAATTCTTCTACAAAACTAAAAATTATTGCTAACAAAATAAGTACTAACTATTTCTACTTACTATAAGTGAAAATACTGTTCTATTTTTTTAAATACCACGATTATTGAAATTTTTGTTAAAATTTGAACTTGAAAATTGCTTATACAAAACTAATACATAAAGCTCAACTTTTATGCACACTAGGTCTAACTTATGATGAACATTGAGTAAAATTTTCAAAACATTTCTGCTAGCCCAAAACAATTTAATCTATATACAACCAAAGAAAAACTAAAAAGTGCAAAAATTACAAAAACCCATAAATAACACAATAAATGCCAGAATGTTTTGACAATTTCAATTCGTCTAGAAAATACATGTAAAAAATAAGTAAAAATTTCAAATCTTTTCAATTATTTTCAAAACCTAAAAATAACCTCTTTACAATGCACCATTTAGTTCAAATTTTGTTTTAGAAGATATACTTTTGTTGAAATTTAAAGCAAAACCCGGTAGAAAAACAAAATTAAAAAAAATCGCAAAAAATGAAAGCATTATTACCCTACATTTGTTTGTTTTTGAAATTATTAAAAAAATTAATGTATCTAAATAATTAAAAAAATATATATTTGTATTAAATGTATTTTTAATATGTATTTATTTGGCCTAAAAACTAATGATTTATAAAATATCCATTAGGCAGCGTAAACCTAGTTTTAACAAAATGACTCCTATTATTTTTATTAAATATTATTGTTGTTGGTTCATAATAAAACTCAGTCTTATACAGTACATAAATTCAAATTTAAAAAATTGTTCATTTAAAATTTGCAACATATTATCTAGTACATAGATTACTTAGTACAATTATTTATAATAAATACCTACTTAGTTACCAAATTATGAATTTCTGACATGGAATTTCCATTGTCAGTTGGTGGTTCTATTTCTGTAAATAATCTGGTAGACTGTGATGCAGAATTATTATACAATTGATTATTTACTTCAGCCAATTTGCATTCTAATAATACTTGATGTTCAACATCTTTAGGTATTTCAATGGTGTCCTTAGCTAACCGAAAGACTGATAATTCTGACGTGTTTAAGCCTTTTTCCAATAATATCTCTTCTGTCTCAAGAACTTTATTTTTCAGTTGTAGGTACTTTGTTTCGGTATCTAATAATATTCGTTTCGAAGTCATCAAAGTCTTACACTTTGCAAACAACCTTCTATTTTCTTGAGCTAGATATTCTAATTTTTTATGAAATTTAGCAGGCAAGTGCTCTTTATACTTTGCTTGCCGTGGATTATTTAGAATCCACAAAGAACCTGGGTAAATTTCATTTTCATTTGAAATATCAAGCTGTTTTGAATTAAATGTATGTTGACTACTACTAGATATTAATCTATTAACTGCATCTATTGGTATTATACAACTGCTGATGGGAGCATTGTTATTACCATTGGTTTTAGTAAATAATTGACCATAAGAAGATTTATATTGGTATTCATTATTCAATCCATCATTGTATAGTGGTTCTTGATTGCAATTTAAGTTGTCAATATTTAATTCCAAATTAGGGAATGTTTCTTGGAATGATCCACAAACAGACATAATTACAGGAGAACCTGAAAGATTATGTTGTTCTTCTTCTCCTATCATAGATTGATAACCAGTAATTATTAGGTTGCTATTATCCATTTCATTATTTCTATCGGCAGCATTTGCAGATTCGTATAATTCTTCTTTAATAAATACTGATTCTCTAATAAAATTTGATGGAACTGCAGTTGGACTAAGCTCAGCAATTCCATTTTCAATAACATAATCATCATTTCTAAAATGTACGCTACATACTGCAGAGTAATAAGCTGGAACCAAAGTTTCATCAAAATCAATAGCTTTTATCCAAGCCTGAAGTAACTGACGGTTATTGACTGGTAACCTTAAAATAAAAATGTATATTACACGTGATATTCGAAAAAAAAAATTATACAGGCATTATAGATATTCTTAAATAATACTTGTTTAATATTGAACCTATTTTCCTGTTGTTCCCATGTTTTTTCCATTTATTGGTAAAATTTCTTGGGGAAAATCAAAAAATGATCTCACTTAAGTACCTCCCCAGTCAGATTATCTTTCAGAAAAAAATTAATAAATAAACATCATTGAAAAACTAAAATTCCTTGCTCCGCTTAGAATCTAAAACGTGCTATTATTTTTAATAATAATATATTGGTACCTTGTTCTACAAGAGAGTAAGGATATAAATTCTCCCCTAATATACAGTATTATATTAAAAGAATATTCAATTAATTTTTTTTTTTGGTAAATATTTTATATATTAAATAGGTAATGGGCAATAATTTACATACCTATGGAATCGTACAACGTCATCAGTACTTGATGCTTTATTAATGCAGGTCTTAACACAACATTTCGTAAAATGATTCATATTTCTGAAAAAATAAAATCAAAATATAACACCCAAGAATAACTTAAAATTAAAAAGTTTGCAAGGTAGGATACACAATTAATTAATTTATATGTGTAAGCAATGATAAACCATTGCTACCAAAAACGTTTTTCTGAGAGTAGTTAGGTTATAGAAGATGTGAGTTCCCATAATATGTAAGTTATTAATCTTAACACACTTATATAAAAAAAAACTACTACATGAGAAAGTTTTTATTTTTAGCTACTAGTACCACTCATCAATATACTACTCGGTAGTTAAAAGTTCACTATGAACCTTATGTTAAATATTTAAGAATTTCTGTTAGGTCATACAATATATCGATATATAATACCTACAAAATAGAAACTAAAAGAAAAACTAGAAAAAGAAAAAGGTTATAGCAGAAATAGCAGAATGATTTAAAACACTAATTCAAACTCAAAATCTACATATTTGAATGTTTATTAAAACTTCACAAATGAGTAAAGTGCCCTGTAGACAATCAAATTATTTGTCAAATTTGTTGATAGTTTGCAATCTTGTTTGATGTGTTTGTCAAACAATATAAATATTTGAAGTGTTTGATGGAAATTTTGATTGACGACGTGTTTGACAAACCTGTTTGATAGTATGTAACAGTCTATGTCAAATAAGATCCCAGTTATCGTCTTGACACCATGGAGAACACCAGTGTGATTATATAAATAAATATTAAATAACAAGACTTCGCGGTAAGGAGAAACCCGAAACTACGAGAGCGTTTGACAAATTTGCTTAATCTTTAGTTTGATAGTTTGCGCTATTGTTTGATAAAAACACCAATTTTGACAAACATGATTATCAAACAAATTTGATTGTTTACGGGAGCCTTAACACGTCTGTTATTAAACCAATCAATATATTAATAGAAACACCAATGATTCACAAAACATTAAATAATATTATTATTTGTACAGTAAAAAAAAAAATTACTTTGCAAAAATGGTTCACTCGCATGCACCTTTAATACATATTATACATTACTTGTTTTTTTTGTATTTATTTAAATATCATGAATTTTAATTTATTATAATTATCATCGTCATCGTAAATTATTTATTAAAAATTTTATCACTAATAAACTTTGAAATATGAATAAACAAATATGATTATAAACTTCTGAATCTGAATGCTTTCATTGTTTATATTCCTGTATTGTATATTGAAATTAATTTCTATTTTATCTGTAATCAGTAAAAACTAAAAATGTTGATAATTAAATATTTACAGTGTAACCAACAAACGGTAAAATTTTGTCCACTCGCTTTCAATGAATGGACCAAGTTTGATAGTTTGATCGGGAAAATGTTTGTTTTATGGAGATTTTGTACAATTACCCACTATATCTACTATATATACGATTTATCAATTGCATGAAAAATTAAAAAATGACTATAATCCGGCCCATGAAAGAATCACTCGAGCATCCTAATAAACGAACTCTGTCTTGCAGTAAAATTCTTCCATCACGCGGTAACCGGTAGGCAGTTAGAGAAACCACTGCGAATGCACGAAAACGGACGAATTTTAGTCGTTCAATTGCATTCTCTCATGGCCAGGAGTAAAGACCTACTTATATTAAACGAAGCAGCTAATATTGTCGTCTTTCGAGTATGCCAAATTAGTACATATTAAAGTACCGCAGAGTTTGAAAACTCGTTGACTACGTCAGAACTAAGGAAATAATGTGGCGAAATTCTTAATATAAAGTTTTGACTTTGAAGAGTCAATAACAAACAACAATATATCGACAACTACAGGAATAATCGACGTAACTGTAGAGAACGTTGACGATATGACAAAATAAATTTATTTTGTCATTGCCGATAGGTTATGTAAAATAATAAGAGCATGTGAGAGATCATAGGCTACAAAGGAACTTAAACGGAATGGTACACTCACCAGACAAAACTGAAACAAGAATTTGAACGTTTTCAAGTCGTGGGATTCAACGATGTTTTGAGTCGATGTCAACAAATAAAATAAACTCAATTTATAGTATTTGATATCAGTACATCCGTATAAATGGTTTCAAGGGGTCTATTCTACTCTTAGATACTTAGATCATGTACTATTAATTATTTAATATTTTATATGATCTCAGATTCCAATGCGTAATCCAGTGTTCCCATGTCTATGGTTGGGGAAAAATGGATGAATTTAGTAATTACCGTATTTAATTAAAAACGATACTACAACAGTAAAACCCGGTTCACACGACTAAATGTTTTATGAAATAATTGGCAAACTGCAAACTTTGAACATTTGAAAAATGGATCAGATAATCAAATTATTGATAACTTAAACTCTATAGTGATTGGTCAAATATAACAGCTGTTTTACCCGCGCAAATTTAAGTTGTTTAATTATCATAGGTAAATATCACAATGTACATAAAATGTCATCTATTCTGTGGTATTAAATAATTAGTACATTGTTAATCTAAAGTTATATATTAAATATAATATGCATTATAATATAGATACATAATTTAGAGTTACATGAGTATTGAGACCTTGAAAAATAAAAAAAAATAGGTATATAAATATTAAATATCTTAATAACTACTTTAAAACTTTCTATGTAGTGTGCATTAGTATTTCGTAAGTATTAGATTCAGATCGTAGTAAATTATTGTAAAAAAACAAAAACTGATATTAGCGATGGGTGCAGCTACTGTTGTAGGTATTTAATGGAGAATGTGACATATATAAAGTTATTTAATTTACGACTGTAACTAACGATAAACCATAATATTTAAGATTTCTGCCAAAATTTGATCTTAAATTAATAAAAAAAAAAATACTGCATATAACTGGATTTTTTTTTTTTTTTGACCACTAAGTATGACTTATCATAAACCTTATATCAAATTTTCAAGCATTCCTGTTAAGTTAATAACAATTTATCTACAGAATAACTACCAAATAAAAATTTCTCATAAAACTCGCAAAATTAAAATGTATACAAATACCAGAGCCTTGAACAAAATCTTTTCTATCCCTTTATTTGATTTTATAATTTCCATGATACTTATTTCACACTTTGTAAACACAACACAATACAGCACAAAATTGCCAGTGTAATTTGATAACATTTTAACAATCCCTAGTTTCAACTATTTATCTTGCCAAATAACATACAACTTCCAACTGATTACCACATTTTAACTTTTGAAAATAAAAATATTTTAGCATTTCTATTACACAACAATTATCTTTGTACCTATAATTTTATATTATAGTCAAATAAATAATATACTTAATGATTTTTTTAATTTTTTTTAATGACATTGTGCAACATTAGAGCACCGTTACCAAAGAAAAATAATTACAAATCATCTCTTCATCAAGGGTCTATAAAATAATTTATTACAGTTCAGTTCGGCATGCATTGGCCCTGTAAAGTATGTCTTGGTAAGTTTGGCGAACCAAGTCACCACAGTACAATTACAGAGCAACACAATTAGTATATGCCAAATATAATAAACCGGTAAAAATTAAATTTTAATCACATAAATGTATACAATAAGAACACAATTTTATATTGCAACTCTGTAGCATCAATGATATAATTTCAGATTTTTAATGTCTTAAAGAACATATAGATATTTAAATTAAAATCAGTACTAATTAGTAATTGCACTGCATGAAAAAATATTTTTTCAAACAAAAAATGAATACTATCTTCCACAATTGTAAATTTGTAAGTGACAGAAAAATTTCCTCATAAAAAAATTTTTTTTTGTCCTTTACTGCAGTACTCTTGAATGAACAATATTTGAAACTGTCGTTACGACTAATCATACAATTTCATCTATTTATTATTAAGAATTCTTAACGGATTTAAATTTTTTGTCAAGGCTTAAGGTCAAAAAAAAATGTAGTAAAATCATCAATTTTAAGCAGATCAGAAATAAGTTTTCAAAATTATTTAAACAAACAAATAATTTTTTTGTGTTAAAGGAATTTTTTTTTTAAATTTAGAGTAATATAAATGTTTTTTAAAAATACTTATAATTCTTAAAATTATGAGTGGATAAACAAAATAATAGATAACGCAAAGACAAATAATTATCTTGTCAAGTTTTAAGTACATGAAATTCAATGAATCATTTTTATAAAATATTTATGTGTTAGCTAGGATAATTTAAATTATTTATACAACAGGTGTAAAAATAAAAAAAATTTGGTAATATTTGTATATAATTCAGTTTGAAACAATTTAAAAAAATGGTATATGTTTAATTTTTATGAAACAGTATTTTCAAAATACAAAATTTTAAATTTAAATATAATCCAACTTCAAAACTACAGATTTCAATATTCACAATATTCTTAAGAGAAATTGCTGTACTATAGACAAAAATACATATTTTGTTCCAGGTTTTTTTTTTTTTTTTAATAAAGCAAGACTAAAATATATAAATTAGGAACAACAAATATTAGTGAATCTAAATGAAATCACTATTATAAAGTTCATAATAGTTATTTACAAAGGAAATTTAATTTTTTTTTTTATAAGGAATTAATTATTTAAATAATATACAAATTTGAAAAATCACATATAATTGTGATTGCCTAATTAGTTAGTTATTAAAACTATTATAAAATAAGATTGATTTATGGAAAATTTAGGACAAAAATTAAAAAAAAAATATATATATATATAAGAAATGTGAATACCATAGTTAAAATTAATTTTTTGCAGATTCTAGTTTTGTTCTTCGGTTGAATTATCCTGCATTTTAATTTTTTTTTATCTTAAATGTTATATTACAGATATAAAAAGAAATGTAATAAAAAATTATTATTAAGTATCAAATGAATAATTAGCGCATACGGTATTTATTAGATTCGGTCACATCATTCACATCATTTTTAAATTCGATGTCAATAACAAAGTCCATATCTCTAGTATTGCGTTCATTGGGAGACATTGAGAATGTTCCATACACTTCATCATTTCTTTTTACAGTCAGATAATTGTCCAAGTAAAATACAGTTTGTTTCCAGTGTGTATATGGAGATTCTGGTGCCGTTGAAAATCCAATACGTTTATGACATTTAGTGAACTCCACTGTAAAATATGTAACCAATGCATGCACATAATCTTGACGGCGGACTTGAAGATTAAATGGAGAAGTAAACGTCAGGTCTTCCTTTTTAACTGTATATAAATCAACTTCCTTCAATAAACTTGAATTTGTAACAACCTACAAAAAAAAAAAAAAAATAATAATAATAATAAATTTACTAATAAATATTTTTAGAATAAATAAAACAACTTATTAAATAATTTTACCTGTTTAGGTTCAACACAATCAACTAATGGTTCACTTATAGCTACATTACGTATGGCACTCATATTAAATCCATAGACATTTTCCCACCAGTTTATTTTGTCATCTTTATACTGTCTGTCTTCAATACCAGTTATGAATAAATTTGCACGATCAGGAAACAACATGCCATCTAAAATAATACAATACATAGCAAGTTATAACTAACATTGAGTAACATATGTATATTGTGGTTAGAAACCGGATTTCAACAGAAATTTTGCATCTAGGTTACTGTGTGAAAATGTTTAAATAAAATATCACCAGGCAATACATCAGAATATTTCAGTATAAAATGAAAAATAATTGAATCATTTTTACTAGATACGGGTTTTTCATGAAAGAAAAAAAATACACATAGTAGTGAAAATAATAGCCTCTTCTCCACACTCAGAGTCTAAGAAATGTAATTAGTTATTAAATGACTTAAAAAAAAAAAAGATTCATTCAATATTATTTACTGTTTTTTGCATAATAAAATAATAATGGAATTAAACAAGTTAATAAGTGATAAACCTCAAATAATTGATTTGTCTCACCTTCTTTTAACCACTTGTCTCTAGCATAGAGTACAGTATCTAACATAGACTCATAAAAGAGACAATATCCCATCCACTCTGATATAATAATATCAACCTTAGTAATACCATCTGGTAACTCTATTTCTTCAACCTAAACAAATAATTTAATATTATCTAAAAACATGAACAAATATAACATAATTTCTTACTTTTCCTTTGATTATTGTTACAATATGATCTAAATTATTATCTGATACTATTTGTTTAGCATATTCTACAATGTTAGAACATTCTACACCTATGACTCTAGCAGCTCCAGCTTTAGCAGCAAACATTGATAAAATACCAGTTCCACAACCGATGTCCAATACAGTTTTACCCTGTAATATAAGTAACTTTATATTATAATACTTTTAATACTAAATTTATTTATTTATTATTGGCAAACAATCATTGGATGAATATAGTTACAAAAATATACATATGTGTTTGTTCACCTCCTTTAAGCAATGCTTGTGATTAAAATGATGAATACATAAGAATAAACACACAAGTTAACATTTAGGACTTTCAAAATAATATGAAGATAAAGAGAAAATACAATGAGATAGTAAAATACTATAATAAATTATTAATGTGAATTTATCAAAAATAAATAGTAATGTGTAGTATAAAATAATATTATTACTACTTACTATTGTAATTTTATTTTTTTGTTTATAGATGTTTATGACATTGAAGATAATAAAGGTATGATATTACTGGTTAAGGGTTATTACTGTCCAAAGAAGATTTCCTAATATTCTCAAATTAGTTTTAATATATTAATGATCACTTAAAAATAATAATTTTTAATTAATCTACTGTTTGATACCAATTTCAGTAAAGAGAATAGCAATTTTTATGGACAAAAATTACTTATCAGGAAAAATTCTCACACCTCATAAAAATAGTAAACAACTTTTTACATCAAACTCCAATTTTGTGTCAAAATATAAAATAAAAATGCTCGATACAATTTGTAGAAATTTGAATTTTGAAAATCTAAGTTTAATGTGACTGAAAAGACGCAAAGACTACTTTTAAAATAAAAATCTAAGTATTCTAAAAGATAGGAGTTTTCCTTACAAGGCATGTTTTAATAGAAAATAACAGTGACTCTTAACAGCCTAAATTAAATATAAATATAAATATATAAATATTATTTAGAAAAATAAAAATTACCTTAAGTAAATGTTTATTATAATACATAGAATTTCTATATGTAAGAGTCCGTACTTCATCCTTCAACATCTCTTCGTGTATACCGAAATGAGCATATGAATCAAAATAGTAATCCATTGAAGTCATTTCACTTACATTAACATTTTTATTCTTTAAACCGTTTGGAACAGCTAATGTAGTAGATGTTTCAACAGAATCATCCAAAATACTGTTATCCATTATTACTTCCATCGGATCTGCTGTTTTATCTTCCTAAAAAACCGAAAATAAATGTTTAATTAAGTAGTAAAATTGACAAATAAATAATGTTCCTTATTTCCAAGTACATAATATGATTTATTAGCATGAGAAATTAATTATTTTCTAATGTACACAAAACATTAGGTACAATAGACTTGTCATAAATTTGGTGGTTAGAAGGATAAAGTAAGTGCTTATTCCTAAATTGTTCAGAAGAGCTAAGAGAAAAGTAATTTATAATATACATTTTTTTATAGTAAACTGTCATTTATGTCCAAAAATTTCAATCACTGGCACTAACTTACTAAAGTTAAAATATCAATTATAAATAAATGATATCAATGTTAAAGCTCAATTACTTGATGTATAGAAAAGTAAGTAATTAACGACAATATTCAGTCTATTTTCAGTCATTTACGCACTTTAGCCTTATAAGCATAAACAATAATATGACATTTATTATTTATTCTATAGAATATTCATAAATATAGATAATAATAGGTTTTTTAACTAAAATTTATCAACTAAAATTAATCAGTAGTGGAGATACCGCAGGGGCAACTGAGGCAGTCGCCTTGGAGTGTTCAATTTTTGTAGAAGCCTGTATGTGTAATAGGGGCGTTCCTGATTATCAAGCATTTGGTAGAAAAATGATAATTAAAATTGAATTACAGTAAAACCTCAATCATCCGAACTAATTGGGACAGCATGTAATTCAAATACTGGAAATTGTTTAAAAAAACAATTTTTTTTTTAGAACACAATTATATATTATATATAATTATTATTTTAGAATTAAATTATGTATTTAGACATATATAATCACAAAATAAGTTCATAGGAACATATCATGTCTCGATTACCTACTAACAATTTATACACGTACATACGTTATATATATATATATATATATATATATATATATGTATATATAACATATGTACATGTATAAGTTGTTAGGTTAGGTATTAATAATAAATTGCGAACAATTATAAAATTGGTGGCTGGCTGTGGGTGTATGAATGCTTCAACAAGATATAACGTTCAGATAACAGTGTTCGGATATACTAATTGTAGTTCGGAAAATAGCGGGTTGGTATTACGGAGGTTTGGCTAATCGAGGTTCTATTGTAGTATAAACATGCATGTAAAACAGGCTTAATAGCTAGTTGTTCACGCCAATTAAATTGACTGATTAAAGCTAATAATATTATAACCATTGTTGAAATCTACATAGTATATTTGATCAATAACCATACTAAACAATTACAACAAAATTACAAATATATAGTATACATTTGTATTATTACCTATGTATAGTGTACATAAATATTATAATACCTATTTTCTATTATATAATGGGTGAAAAAAAAATGTTTGCCTCAGGCACTTTAATATGTAGCTTCACCACTGATTTAACATTTTTAAACCATTTTAATAGACTTTGGTATCTATTATTAACTAAAAGCTATATAGAATATTCTTCACATTACTGTTTGTAGAATATAAGATAATTTGATTTGCACAATGAATGGAAATCATTACAAACGGAAGTATAATTTTGAAACAAACTTGTGAAAATAATTTTTTAACATATAAATTTAAAATTATATTAGTTTTAACTACAAAATAATTTACTAATTTTATCAGATTTAATTAGAAACACTAGGTAAAAAAAAAAAAAAAATGTTCGTTCCAGAACTTCACATTTTTTATAATTATTTATATAGGCATTATAAGTAATATTATACAGATATGTATAATATGAGGTGAATATGTTTAAATGAAGATAACTAAACTATTACTCATCCACAGTAATACAATGCTTAAATATTACAACCGAATTCTAATACGAACAAAAGAATGAAAGAAACTAATTCTAAAGACCGTTCTTATAATGTCCCGTTAGCGCAAACCGGCAAAACAGTTGTTTAACTATTGGTTAACACTGTCTAACAAATACTTTACAGGATATTATAAGAACAGTCCAGTTAACGGATAAGTATTAACTATAATATATGATTTTAATAAATTTAGACACAATGGTTTCAATAACGTATTGATTTAAAACTGTATAGATATGTACAAAGAACTCACGGAATTACTTCCTCCAGATGTAACAATTTGAGACATTCTTCAAATGTTGAAAATAAATTACTAGCTCCAAGCAAGTTAGATATAATTTAAGGATAAAGTAGCAAGATATTTATCAAGTAACAAATATTCCAATTATAAATTTATTTTTTATTAAAACAAGAAAAAAGTACTCATTCTGAAATATAAACTACAAACATTAAGCTGTGGATGTAATAAGAAATAATGGAACTGAAAATGGAAAACATTAAATTATGCTGAAGTTAGTAACGTTTATGTAACCGCATTATTCCCATGGTTAAAATTAACCTCAAAATAATACATTTTTTTTTATTCTCTTTCATTATTAGTAAACAAACTGAACATTAATTACAGACATAAATGTATACAATAATATATTTAAAAAATATTAAAAATTTAATAGAATAACAATAATGATTAATGTCATTAACTAGTATTTATAACGATATTAATATGTATATAATTTAATAAAGATATTGATTTTTCTATATTGCCATCTACCTTTTAAAAAGCGTACTACAGTTATTCGTTAATAAGAACCGTCTTTGGCTCACGATTGTCTTGTTCGATATATTTGTTAATTGAAAAATCACCAGAGTTTAGAAAACAGCAAATATAATTGCACTCCCAAAACCGGGAATACCAACAGATAACCCCACCAATTATCACCCCGTAGCCCTTACTAAGTGTCTTGTCAAAACTCACGGAGAGAATTATCTTAAATCTTTCAACGGCATATGATACAATGTGGAAAGACGGGTTACTCTGGAAACAATCAAAGATTACACGATGCCCACGCTTGGTTCAACACATTAGGGCCAGTCTCGGTAATAGGAATTTCCAAGTTTACCTCGGCAACCGGAAAAACAAAATACGAATACTAAATAATGACTTACCTCTGTCTTAGCCTCAATCCTTTTAACGTATACACCTACGATATACCAAATACAGAATCGAAAATGTTCTCTCGTGCAAACGACATCTGCATAGTAGCGCAGGATAAGATGCTAGAAAATATTGAAAGTACCCTGACATCGGATCTATTAAAGTTGGAACAACTTTTCCAGGAATGGAGGCTTAGACCAAACCCATCCAAAACCATGACAACAACATTTCACCTAAATACAAGAAAGCGAATAAGGAAATATCAGTTTATTTTTGTGGTGAAAAACCAAAAAAGAAAAGTCATCCGTGTGTACCTTGGTATCACACTAGATCGGACTTTATTTTTCAAGGCACACCTGCATAAGGTGTCAGCAAAACTTTAAACTAGAATCGGCCTCATCAACAAATTAGGTGGCACCACATAGGAAGCTGCCACTAGCGTCCTACGGACCTCTTCCTGAGCCCTGGTCTACTCGACAACAGAATACTACGCCTCAGTATGAGCGGGAAGCGCCCAAACAGAATTGGTAGATATCCAACTAAAATAGGATATTTGCACAATATCAGAAATAGTCTTGAGCACTATCAAGCAATGGTTACCCTACCTGGCCAACATAGAGCTCCCTCACACCAGGAGACAAAACAACGTGCTAAGAGAAAAGGACAAAATTGATAAATATCAGGAGTTGCCTATACATGAAGACGGCTCAAGGATTCATCAAGGTAACCTCTGAGGCAGTGGCTTGGCTAGAGTCCTTGGACGTCGATATCTAAAATAATTTATTTTAACTCGATTCACTGCAATACATATAGTGATATTTGTTCTGTTTCATTTTGTTATGGTACTTTGTACCTTAAATGTTTAAACTTGTTAAAATAATGTAATAGTAATAATTTAATTTAGCATGTTATGTATTTTATCAGAAAATTTAATTGCTCGTTATAAAGTCATACGAATAAATAAATAAATAAATAAATAAGAATCGTTTTTGATAAAACGTATTAAACCATAGTTAATACAAAATTAATAGGCCACTAATATTCACCACCGTGAACGGCTTTCTTGGTCACCAAAATCTAAGTGTCACAAAAAGATTCTAAATGGCTGCGCTTATCTAATTAACCACAAAAAAACTAATTGTCAAAGGAATCTTAATAGCCAAGATCCCCACGGGTCATTTAGTTCTCCAGTCGTTTAATAATTTTTCAAAATTAGGAATTAACGTAGTTACTGCAACACTTTTTCCACGTTGAGTTTGGACCGATATTTTGATTTTAATACGGCTACTGCTGAAAATACTGCTTCACACAAATACGATGTGCAATTGGTAATAATATACCTAAAGCTTTGTTGCTAACTTCAGGATATTCATCTTTAATACTGTTCCAAAATCAAAAAGTGAATATGAAGAAAATTGCATTCGTAGTGAAGAATAGGTTCTATAAGAAAATAATCGTTTCTATAAAATTGTTATCGAACACATAATTGATCTAAAACTATATAACTATATGTACAAAATTCCAACCGCACGCCGCGCCTCCTTTGTTAAGTGCTCGCGCCACCTTTGTTAAGTGCTCGTGCCTCTTTTGGATGGCGCGCCGCACAGTTTGGGAACCACTGGTCTATACTATAGTTTAAATAAATACTATAATATAGTATAGATATCAGTGGTTTATCCTGTAACTATTGTTAAGTTTGAATTTACAGATTCATTATAAAATATAAATTTTTTATTGCATCACGAGTACACATGTACATACGACAGCATATTTGTGCAATTGTGCATCGCTAATCGCGAATAGGTGTGCATTCGAATGATGAATGAATTTTGATTTTTCCTGTGTACAGAATATGCGACGCATACATAGATAATGGATCAAATTTGTTGAATGATATGCAGTTTGAAGAAAATATTTTGCATTTTCTAAATTTCACTCGTATGTCTTCAGAAGATTTTAAACTTTTAATAAACCTCTTGGGGACAAAATTAGTGAGGCAAGACACAAATATGAAAATAAGACTAGCTGTAACTTTGAGATTTCTTGCCACTTGTGGTTTATATATGAGCCTACAGTGAGCCCAATTTTCAATTCTTGCCTAAAAGCACGGTACAACCGGGTATCTTATATTAGCTAAGGATAGCTATTCAAATTTGCACGTTCTTTCAAATTTTTGTTCAAAATATCGACGCTCAAACTTTTCAGTTTTCTAATTCAATATTTTCTGGTTAAAAATAATGATAAGGAATGTACATGTTAATAATTAGTAGTTTCAAGCGATTCGGTCGTTTTATTTTCGGAAATATTTTTCTGCTTCAATATTCTTTAATATTTCCTGATAATCTCATGTTCGGCTTAAATATGGAAAGTTGAAATATTTTCGGCTAAAATACGGCTCAGCTGTTTTATAGCCCCCCATATTAATCCATCTTGAGCCTCACCTTAGATAATTATCTAAGGGCTACATGAACACACAATCGTTACACAATTATAAAGCCCTTTCTTAAATTATTAAGGCCCGTTCTAAAAAACGTAAACGTTGATTTTTAAACGGTGTTCATTAGATAATCGACCAATCGTGGTCGATTACCAGTCATAAGCTCAGTTTAAGAATCAAACACTTTTTTTTACATTGATGAGAACGGCTCTGGGTAACGCATGAAGTATAGTATGATAATATAATCATAAAATATTTATTTTGTCATGAATATTGTAAACTGTATAGGTACCAGGCGTAAATAACAGGCGTAAATCTGTCTTAACAGCGCAAATATGGCGCACAAAGTGTCGTCTCTGATTGGTTTATAATTTTTAGCGGTGCGGTATTTTGAATTATGCTATTAAGCTAGAACATAATTTGATATCACGATGTAACTTACAGTATACAGAATACGTAATCGTAACCGGCCAAAGATCAGCTCCATATTGGTCTATAACAGCGTTTCTCAACCTTTTTTTATTCATATACCCTTTGATATAAACTCAACATTGCTTTACGGATCCTCGAGCAACGCTACGCTTTCAGATTAAATAAAATATAGTGTATAGTGAACATTTTGTCACCACCTATAATGATATATAATACTCTTATTATGTCCGTTATAAACTTACCGTAATTATATATTATGAAAAACCGATTTATAATTTCACAAATATCAAGCAGTTTCAATAAAATACAACAAATATCCAGTTTTTCCGCGAACCTTATAATATCTTGAGTCTGTGTACCACTGGTTGAGTAACGTTAACCTTTGAGGTAATGGCAGAAGTGGGGTTAATGTATATCATTGACTTTGTGATCATACCTTATTTATTATATCTTTTCTCTCATCGCATATGCTTATTATGCTTCTATCTGTACAGATTGTGTGTTTTTTAATAAAAAAAAAATCTATACTTTGATTTGTTAATGTTATAATTTACTAAATATCACGTTAAAATTAACTATAATTATAAAATACCATAGGTCTAAAATGTATAGGCCAATGTAAAATACTTATTTATGTTCTTGTGGTCCAGTCAAAATATTTCCGTTTACAATGTGTTAAGAATATTTACTTTTTTAATAAAACACATGTATAAAGCACACATCAAACAAAACCATAAATATATTACATAAAATAAAAATCAAATATTTTGTTCAATTGAAATAAATAGTATAGATCACATGCTATACATGAATATTATTAAATACTATAATTGGCTTAAGCAATTAAATTTTTTGTTTTAAATTTACAAAAGTCACATATTAGTGATAATATAATATAGGTAACATGTATACATTATATTACAGATTTGGAAATAACATTTTATAATACACAGTAATTATCTATTAAACAGCTGATCAATTATATCAAAATTAAAAATTATTATATTATTATTTTTCCAATACAAAAGTTTAGTTTAACCAACAAAAGCTTAACATTTATACAATCCCACTTTAAATTTGGTTAGTTTATAAAATAATAAACCATTCTCTATCACTGCATTATTATATACTTATACGTCTATAAAGAAACTGTATGCACACTAGTTAATTAAAATACAGATAATTCTAAGATTTTGTTTAAAATTCATATAGATATTTATGTATTATCCATAGATCTTATACTAGTAGGTCTATGGTATTAACTTAATGTGTTTTAATTATTAAATAATATATGATGTGACAAAAATAAACTTAATTTACCATTGTGTGTATATTTTCTTTGAATATTTTAATTTTTATACAAATAATTTAACATTAAAATAAAGTTCTAAAATGTCTAACATATGAATTCCTATTTTAAAATACCTATCAAAAAAATCTATGTAAATGCATAGATAATAATTCCCTTTTAATCTAATACATACCAAACAACTATTATTTAAGTATTTAGATATACAAATAGTTTTTTTTTCTATAATTATTTCTGAATGGCATTTACACAATGGTCATTTTTCAAATATTTATATAAATTAAAAGTCAATAATATGAATACTGAAAATACAAATCAAAGATATATAATTTTAAAATAATTTGTTTTAACATTTGTTTAGATATAAAACTAATAACTAATTAGTATTATAATAAATATATTAATTATGTATTTAACAATTTATGGTTGTTTATGAAAAAATAATACAATACAACAAAATGTTTTGTCTCTAATATACAAAATAAGTCTCTAAAATACAATGTAGTCTTTCTTTTTAATATATAAATAATACAAATAATAAATAATTAACAACAAAAATAAAAAAAATCTTTTTAATTATCATTCCAAAATTATAAATTGAATATGGTAATTGTTAATTTTAAGTTTTAAAAATATTAAACAGGAACATTTGAGAGGATTATTTGTGACAACTCAGGTACTGTGCGGACTGTAAAGCTGAGAAAAAATAACTTTGTAATTTATTTCAGTGTTCATTTATTTATTAATTTTTTTTTCTTTAGATGGGCAGTTGCTTTTTACTAATAAAATTGATGAATAATAAAAAAATGTAATTTTTAAAATAAATTTGGATTTAAAATTGGAAAGTGATTGTACATTCAAGATCAAGTAATATGAGGTGGTTTTTATAGAACAATAATTTTATAAGTTAGTTAGTCAATTTAACTTGAAATCTTGACCAGCTTTGAGTAGACCCAATCTTAACTATTTTAAGAAAATAGGAGGTAGGTATAATAAAAATGTGATTCTCATTTTAACATAATTTACCACACAATTTTTTATCTATAGGAATATAGTAAAACCAAAATGCTAAAAATGATTTACAATACTGCATTTATAAATTCACCAAGGAGGTAAAGTAACATTGTGTAAATACAACTATATTATTTGTGTTTCATTGTATGTAATGAAAATTTAATATAAAGAAATAATTTTAGACATGAGGAGTAAACAATTCAAATTATTTGTTAACATTTTTAATTTGGTTTATTTTGTTTAACATACAAATTAAATGTGAAAACATATATTATAAATTATTGACTTATACTACAGTGACACTGTGAAAATAGTTTTTTTTTTTTTTTTAGATCTGGGTTGGCTTGAGTTAAGTCAATTAATAAAAAAGTAGATGTGCGTTGTGAAAAGTATGAATATGAAATATGGAATATAATTTGTTTATTATTTTGAGTAAATATATTTTTAAAAGGTAAATACTAAATACAAAATGTTGTTGATGAATTGAGACTGTTGAAGCTCACAAATAGTGTTTGAAGTCTGAAATATTTCATTATAATGTAAAATATTGGACTTTTATTAATTATTTAACTATTAGATCCTTACAAGTATTAGAGATAATTAGCTAAAAATATTATAATATTTCAAGGTTCAATGCCTATTACATATTAAAGTGATTAAACTTATGCATTAATAAGTTAAGTTAATATGAAGGGTACTGCATTCTTTTTTAAATAGGCATTTACATGATTTTTATATTTTTATTAAGTTTTTTTTTTATATATGCATAAATTTTCATGAGCAAGAAACCCAGGATCTAAGAAGTATTAAGATATACTTATGTATTGTTTTACTATGTATTTTACATTTTTAGTAATTTTAACAAAAACAAATATATTCAAAATTGTTAAATACAAATTTACATCACTGTATCTATTTATAAGTTTTATTTAATTATTTTACAAGACAAAAATTTAAAACAAAAATAAAAATTGAAATATTTTATGAAATTTTCAAACACTATTCACAAAGTATACAATTGTTTAGTTAGACTAGTAAATAACCAAATATGTTTAACTTGTTTTTTATGTAAACCATATTTAAAATTATAATATTAGATAATTTTAAATTATTGTTTAACATAACAGTAAACGATCATAACATAACTCTAATTGAACACTTGATGGAAATGTATTAAATAGTCAGTAAATGACTATGAATATGAAAACCCTTGATTAGTGATAATTGTATACTATATATAAATAAATATAAGAATAAAAATTGTATAAATGGTATACTAAAAAATAAATGTATATAAATGGATCATGATGAATGTATTTAAAATTGAAATCAACAATACTCAAATAATTAAATATAATAGTTAAATTTAAATATAAAATTACAATGTTAAGATTTATTTCAAAATTAATTTTTTAATATGAGAACGTCACACTGGCATCTACTGTCTCAGTCTTACAAATTCGCTGCATATCAAATTAGCGTTTAGTAAGAAACATTTTGTGTCATTAGTTTTAATATAAAAGCAAATTGACATATTGCCAAATTTAAAAGTAAGAAGATTATCTGTGTTTTAGCATTTTATTTTTTTTTTGGTATATTAATTCTTAAGCAAGATATAATCATTTTTAAATTGTGATATTTCACATACTCATATCTTGAAAATTAAAATATTGGAAAAACATCAATACTATGGCACTGATAAGCATCTTACCTTTAAATTTGTTAATAGGTCAATTTGTTTTAATATTAAAACTAACAGAACAAAATTTGTCTTACTGAATGTAATTTTGTTATTTGGTAATTTTGTAACACAGAAATAGTAAGTGCATGTGTGACGTCCTATTAAGTTTTTAAAATGAAAGCAACAGAAAAAAATATACGAGTTAATTTCTAAAACACAATAAAATGTTATATTGTTTTTTCAAATTTTAATTGAATTAATTTAATGATAATGGCCATGTTTATGATTTAATTAAATAAATTAGTGATATCCAAGTATTTAATTTGTTAACAATTAAACTTGACTTTAATTTTTAATTTTAAATATTATATATAAAATATACATTAAATGAGATATTTAAACAAATGAACTATATATCAAAGAAATGATACAAATTTTTCTTAGAAATATAAGAAAGATCATTTTTCTTTTATTGTAGAGAAATATTTGAATTTACTCTTCAAATATGACTGAAAGCAATCCATGTTCTATAATTGATAGCAACAAATTGCAAAAAATATGGAATTCAAGATTGTAAACAAACATAACAAGAAAAAAAAACACATTAATGGTTTGTTCCTTAATGTCACAAAAAGATAGAATAAAAAATAAAATAAACAAAGAAAAGTTTACTTTATACCCGATCATCTACATTAGGTTTATTATCATTATCATTATCATCTTCATCTTCTTCATCCATCATTTGCTTGGCCAGTATTTTTGCAGTTTGAAATTCATTGTAGTGCTCTTTTCTTTTTCTTTCAAATACTTCTCTCGCAACTAAAATTATAAGAATATGTATTACAAAACTATTACAAATGTAGTTCCTAAAAAACAAGTTAAGTAAATTCTGATATACATATACAATAAAATAAATCAAACTTTTATTTTCTGGAGATTCGTCTTCATCGTCATCAGATTCTTCTTCTGATTGAAATGAGCTACTTCTCCGTCTTCCACCTTCTTCAATTCTATATATTTAAATCAATTAAATTAATATTTATCCAAATATAATTAAAACTGAGATAAATATTTGATACTCAAGAACTCCAAGAGTGATGATATTAAGTTATATAATACAATAGCTATGCATAGATTCTTTAATATTTAATATTTATTTCCAAAAAAATCTTTAAATTTAATAGACCTGACAAAAATATTGAATAGTAAATACACAAAATAATAAAGTTAAAATAAAACCTAAATTAAAAATATGAGTGATTTAAAAATGAACAATAAAAAAAAATTATGAAACTACTATAAATATGATAGGTTTCAAATGTAATTTGAAATTGTTAATAAAATTTTTTTTAAAAATAATATTAATTCAAGCCCTGCAAGGTAGCACTTACCTTTTCCTTAATTCCTCTGCATTAACACCACCATCCATATCATCATTGCTTTCAGGAATTTCTCGTTCGAATGGTGTTTTAGGTTCATCCACCTTCATGTGGCCATAATCTTTATCTAATGGATGCAATGTTTTTAATATGTTCATTTCATCCCATTTAGCAGACTTAGCCATTTTGTTTTTTTTACTAAAATTGTAAACATGTATAATATGAGAATATCATATTGTATGACATAACTATTTAAGTTCAGTTATTATAACAATTATTAATTATTAGATTATTATACTTACTCTTTTTCTTCATAACTAACAGAAGGTTTTAATATGCCTTTAGACGGTTCTTTTTTTAATTTTTCGGTTGGATCTTCTGATCCTGACGAACTCGATGAAGAAGCCATTTGTTTTTTATTAGGTTTCTATTTATTTTTAATATAAACTGCAGTTCCTAATTCAGTATCGTGTTAGTTTAAAATCGCTAGAAATTTATTTAAAAGTGTTATCACTTTTTTTTTTTTTATGTTATTTTATTATCTTATATATAAAACCACAGTATCAAATTCCAACTTGCACTACACAGTTGTGGTAACAGTAAAAAGTGAAATGAGTAATAATTACACTATTGCGGTTAAAAATAATTAACAGAAGAACATAATATTAAATTATTTACCTATATCGAGTCTTGAAAGACTTAAAAGGCAAAAACAGTTTTTAATATTATTCAAAACATATATTAAGAAATTTCAGTAGGGTATCTATTACACTTCAACGATAACAACAAAATTATAATCTAGTCATACTGTTTCCATAACGTTTTCCTTCAATAATTCAAATATTATTGTACCGGATCCAAGTCTCAAGTAGCCAACCCAAAAAACGTTTTAAAAATAATTTTCTCATCTATCAACTTGTTTTTTTTTGTATAATCAATTGTTTTTTTTAGATTCTGAGTATGAAAGAAATTATATTTATAATTCTAAGTGTAGCCAAAAAGCCATTACTTTTTCTCTATTTGCTCAGTACTAAAATACCTACCTAGGCGCAAAGGCGTAGTTAGAAATATTTTTTCTGGGTAAACCAGATAAAATAATATAAATTTTTGAATGAAAACGTAGGAAAAGTTTTTGGAAAAAAATTAGTAGACCCGGACCTAATAAGCCTGCCCGCTGAAAACGCTAATACCAACATTTATACAACTGTATTACTAGTGACTATGTCTATACCATTATATTATTAAAAAAAAATTAGTAAAATTAAAGACTAAAAAAAATATCAGCATACCAAATTTTGAATTGATAAAATGGCGCTTTTTTCTAAGTTTGCCAGGGGTGCTAGCAAGTCTTAGCGAGTCTTCCTACGTCACTGTATAAATTATATTAGTAGTGTACAACTACAAGTTTATTTACTTATTATTTAGTTAATTTAAAGTGATAAAGATAAAATAAATTAATGCCTATAATAAGTAATTGTTAATTGGTCTCATACTTTTATCGTCCTATCATATTATTCAATTAGGTAGATACATCTGTATACTTCTATAGTTGTCATGCTTTATACTCGAAGAAGTTTTTTTAAAAAATAAAATAAAAATTTATTACAGAAGCACTATATTCGGCTCATGAATGTGAAAAATCCGTTCGAATAATATGACAAACGAATTTGACTCAAATATGAATACAACTCTCCGAGTACGAAATCGAGACCGATAATCGTTGGCTCCCGGTTTTCGTTGCTCAAGAGTGAAAAAATTCAAGTCGAGCTGCTCAGCTCACCGTTTACACACGCGAGCTGTTCGATCAGTGCTCACTCGTGTGTAAACGCAGCTTAAATCTTAAGATACACTCTATACATAATTAAATTAATGGTAATAAATAGAAAGATAATAATAGAAATTATTATAAGTACCTATAATATTATTATTAAATGCAGTGACGAGATATCGTCATCGTAATCTTTCGGTGAAAGTCGGAAATACATTATACCTACCCAAAAATATGAAAAAAAAAAATATAACTCAAGTGAATAACATGTACCTACATACTTTTTAATATAAATTATACATAACTCAAATATTTTATATGAAAAGAATAAAAAAGATGATACATTTTTTTATATTGTTCATCAACTTTACTTTTTTTATCACGTCTAGAGAAGCGCGGGACCTGCCAACTGTAATGAAAGGTGAGGGGCGAGGGGCGAGGGTCGAAGGTCCTGCTTGCCCTGCCCTAGTGATGGCCCTAGAGGCAAGGGCTAACCAGCTGCCATAGGATCAGTTCACTCATCAGTCCCGGATATCAAGGGAAATTCTGAGGAAGATTCTGCCATCGACTGAAGGCCATGTACAGGTTAGATTAAGTTAGCACTCTGTTAGAAGGTGATGCAGTCCCGCCGCTCTCATAGTAGTTTTAATTAGTATAGTTCATTTGTGAGCCTGTAGTAAAAATAGGATTTACGAAAAACTTAATTATACCCATTAATAAACGATAGCAGTGGTGGGGTAGCAATATAAAAAACTGATCCTACACTATACTGTTGGTTACTGGAAAAAAAAGGTATTTATTTTGCATATGGTAGCAAAATATCTACCATAGACCAGTCCTGCCTAAAAAGCAACTCTAAATCTCGAATTTTAGTCTTAGAGGAAACCAATAGAAGAGAACAAATGTAATGGGATAAAGATATATTATAAATATAGTATACTTAACGGATATATATTATTAGACTTCAATAGTCTCTATTTCCAAGGAAAATTTGACAATTATTATAATCGGTCGTCATAGCCGCCCACTATACATTGTTGAAAAACCTACTAAATTGTATAATAAGTATTTATATTATGGAAGTCCAATACGTATATAAGTATTATATTATAAAACTCTGTATTGTCAAATATTTATAAAGAAATACTTATTTGCTGGCACGCTGGTAATGGTTTTCTTGTGTCCGATAGTGGATACCTATACCAAAGTTACTTACTAAACAATAATTATAATATACGTTTCCGGGACTCGTTGGACGATGAGTTCGGAAGACGGCGACGACAGTACATTATTTGGTAAATGGGTGTCGTTGACATATGTCGGCGATCAGTTTAACATTGACTGCGATCGTGTAAGTTGTGAGTACTTGTCGGTCGACTATATGGCCACTGTCCACGGGGACGCTATCGTTATCGTGCCTTCTTTGTTTCGTTGCGTGTCGCAGATGGTCGCGCACACCATCTTATCCTCCCGTGACCGAAGCAGTTGTGGAGGACACGTCGAAATCGTCATACGCCGGTCGTCGATTCGTTGCAATTGTCCGTACCTGTTCGCGTACGTCGATGGCCTGCATTACGAAGTGATGGGCGTCAGCAAAGCGTTCACGTTTCATCATCGGGACGAAATATGTGACTGTAGTAATGCTAATAGTATCACAGTAGTCCACAACAACGATTTCATTAATGAACCATCAACGGTGGCCTCATTAAATCATTTGGATACCACCACTGTCAGGACGAGCACGATAATTCCATCCTTTATGGATATGCAATTTATCACCGCCAAATCCCAATGTTCAGTTTGCGGAATTCCATCAAATCATCGATTAGTGTTGGAACACTTGAAAAAAAACATCAATCACTTGTCCGAAAATGAATTGATTACCAATAGAGAATACATAAAGTATTTTTTGAAAATACCTATATTATATTTTAAATGGGAAAGGGGTCTGGATAGGACTTGGTTTCAACACTAATATTATATTACCTATTACCCAACTTAACGGATAATCTATTTCGGGATAATCCAAGTAGGTAGGTTAGATTATAGTACCCGATAGTACTTACATGTACCTTGACATGTATGTCATTATTATTTGATAATGATTAAGGGGTATTGGGTATGGTTTTACAAATTGTCTCCAATTTGGTAAAATTTGAAATTGTGATTTTCATTTTAATGATCACTTCGATTATAATACTTTTCCATTAATCTACTGTCCAATGCCTGATGTTCATTTAGTAGGAACAAATGAACAAATTAAATTCGTTTTAGTCAACAAATATTACGTTTTAGATCGAAAATCCAGATAAAACTGGGAATTGCAGTGTCTGACGGATATAAACTTTTAAAACTTTTTATGTTTCTTTAGGTTCTGTACAAGGATACCTATACGTCAGAATACAATTTAATTTTAAATTACCATAAGTAAAATAATACAATATGTATTTTCATATTCCCTAATGAAGAACTAAAAATATCATAATATTTTTTCATAATTGAAATCCGTTAAAGACAATTTTTAGTTTTATCTAGATTTAATAATCTAAATTGATTAATGTACACACCATTATTTATCTCATAAGGAGCCCGGTGCTGGTTTTTCAAATTTTTTCTAATTTTTAAAAATATTTTTAACATTTCAATTATCATCTTAAAGATAAGATTTTCCAACGTATACTACTACCCGATATTTATTTAGAGGGAAGAGGTAGGGCCGATTTTACTGACAAAAATGACTTCATGGAAATAGTGAAAATTTATTGTCTATTTAATATCTTCATAAAAAATGTTTAATTGATAAACAATAATATTCTACAGGCCGCATTGAACTCAGATTTCAATTAATGTAAAAAAATGGTAAAATAAAATTTAAAATTCACTTTTTTAAAACCTTAAGAATGAAATATTGAAAAAGGAGTTCATATCTTCCTTCTATTATACATATAAAACAAATTAAATAGGGTTGATTCTACTGTAACAGTACCACTATTTTCGTAGATTTCTGTGATTTTGTGGGTAAAACGACATTTGCACCGGGTGCCTTAGTGGTAAACTAGATACTAAAATAGAGTAAAGGGCAGAAGACCAAAGTGCAAGTCATACATATATACAACCTTCTATAGATAAATATAAATATCTTAAAGGTAACGTCCCGTTAAAATATTTTTTTAATGTGTATTTATAAAAATTCGACGCCTTTTTGGATTTTTAGGCAAACTGAATGTCTGGCAAACTGCAATGTATTATTAGAATACCAAATGATGAAAACCAAAATGTTGAATCGAGAAAAAATAAAATATCAAAGATTCATCAATGATTTGATATTGAATCTATTGAAAAATCGCAAGACCACTTTAAAAGCAGACAAAAATACGATTTTCATAAAGATGGACGAAACTCATGAAAGTGGATACTCCGCTAAAGAAAAGTTTATGGATTCCATTATTAATTCACAAAAACAAGTTATTACGAATTTAACCGCTAAGCATAAGGAAGTATTAATTATGATGAAAACAAAGGAATTGTTTTCAAAAGTTTTGTAAATTATTCTGCTGTAATACTTGTATAATAAACTTGTCACTTAATTCTATAATTAAAAAATGATGTTCTAATGAAATATTAATATCAAAAATAATTCATTAAAATATTATACATACTTATCCTCAGGATAAGGACGGTGACTGGTCTAGAAATGGGAATTTTTCAGATGACCTGGTAATCTGATATTTATGTACAATATTTCATTTACTTGTAAATTACTTAAAAAAAAAATTAAAGATAACACATTATATTCTTATTTCATTATTCAATAAGTTTTTTTAGATTCTGAACGAACAAGCAATGTATTGGTTTTACAACGACATTATTACTTTCTTTTTATACACTGTGTACAAAATTATTTATAAACTACCAAAACTTCCTGTTTTTCAATATTATTATAGATTATAAATAACTTAAAAAAAATAAAAACACCTGTAAACAGCATAAAAATAATAAAAACACTTATTTCCTTCAAAAAAAAAATAAATAAAAAATAATGTATTTATAAAAATAAGTATCATTGTATAATTGTGAAACTGGTACCTAGAAGTATTTCTTCTTTTAAAAAAAACATTAATAAAATACTTTGTTTTTAGGAAAAACATCAGTATAAATTGATAAGTAATCTTTGTATATAATTATAAAGGGACTATAATATTTTTAATAAAATAATTGGAAAGATGAAAAATATTTATAATAAATAACTGGAGGGATGCCATCCCCCACTTTCACCTTTGACTATATTTTATTAATTATTATACAACTTCCATAAGAATTATGACATTTTATCATTAAAACAATGAAGGGAGTGTTGAAAGTTGAAATCCCCAATTCAGACATCCTTAATATTAACGCCATGCATATACAAAATGTTATCTTCGTGGCTTTCATAAGGGTGCTCAAAGCTAAAAACACTCCTATAACTCCATGGGGAAACTAAACCCAACTTTTAACATTTTAATTCGCCTTTAAAACAATTATAATACCCAAGTTTGACCTTATTTGGTTAAGAGGGAGCCACTAAAAGTAGCCAAAAGTAGCAAGAATAAAAAATATGTATATTTATACACCGTGAATATCCTCAATAAAACATTTATTATCTCGGAAAATATTTACTTTTTTTTTAGGAAAATTTATAAACCAAGTAGCTCTAAAATTTTACATTACATTATTTTTGTATTTGAAATCACTACTTTTTGATTTTAAAATAGCAATTCATATTAAAAATTCCTTAAATAGATGATGTTTTAAGAGTTGAAATAAATTTTGGGTGTATGATATTTTCTGAGAAAAGCAATAAAATAAATAATGAAGTACATGATTTGATATTGAATTTTAAATTTAAAAAAAACTTTGTCAAGATATTTTTACGATCTGTATTTAAGGTCTTGTACATTTTTATATAAATTATAGTTTTTGAATCAAGTTCGAAAAATGGTTAAACTACCATCCTTGGTCATTTTTTAAATCTTTTGCGGTATGTGAAATTATCATCAAATTTCACCAAAATTAGTCTATTATAAGAAAGAAAAAAGTAGGGAGTTCTCAATTAAAATTATGTAACTTTTTTGTTCATCTATAAAATAGGGATCACCCTAATAAATTAATGCAATTTAAAACTTATTATATTTTATTAGAGATGGTAAACTTTGATGATAATTGATCACCAGCGACAATGGTGACAGATTTTTAATGGTGACTAGTGATAGTGACAACCATCGTTACTGGTTACTGAGCAAAAATTTACTTCATCATTACTTACTTATAGTCACTTACTCATCAGTGATAAGATCATCACAATTTATAGTGTAACCACAGAATAAAATGAGTGTAAACAAACATTGTCACCAGTTACCAAATATTTTGCTCTAGTGTAGCAATGGTGACTTTTGCAAATCAGTATATTTTATATAGTTAAATCCAAGCATTTTTATTTTATTTCATACATATTATATGTATAAATTGAGAATAAAATTCTATAATTAAAAAGGATATTTGATAATGTTTGATTTTTATTTTTAGGAAAAAACATTAATAACTGATAAATAAATTTATTTATAAATACATATATGATACATTACTATATGATTAAAATGACATAATTCACAAATACAATAAATAATTGTTTAAAAAAATACATATTTTATAAACAATATTTGACTATATTTATATAGTTAGCTAAGGTAATTTGTTAACATTATTCACTTTATGAATGAACCCAAATAATATCAGGTAACAGTAATAATATGTATTAAATGATTTTATATACAATTCATCAAATACAAGAATATATATTTAGTAATCAAATTTGTAAATAAAACAAATAAAAGTATTTACTATAAAGTAAATAAATTTTATTTTTTAAACAATAAATCACAATAACAATTAAGGTACCTATAGAAATTCTACGAAATCAACAGACATAATGTGTATAAAAATATATAAATTAATATATTTATGTATATATTAATTTCTGATATTATATATAACAACTATATTATTTGCAGAGTATAAAAATTTGCTGTTATTTTATAACATAAAGTATTTAACAAGTGATAAATTGTTTTGTATATTAGCCCATTATAGTACAATTTAAATGAACAAAAAAAATGTATAATTGGTTAACCTGTTAATAACATAAGTATAATTAAATATAATTTTCAATAATTAGGACTAGGCATAATACTCTAATGTATTTAAGGTTTTTAAATAACTAGTATTTTTTTTTTTTTTTTTTAAAAATTCGGAATCAAAATTAATGGCATTTTGTAGACATGTAAAACAATATAACTTATTATTATTCACTTATACTATCCTCAATTGATGAACGTACCTGTTCATCTTCACCTTCATTTATTGTGGAATGATTATAATCATTTTCCAAGTCAGTATTATCAAGTGAGCCAGTTGGCTGAACTGATTGAGAAGTAGTTCGTGGAGCTTCACTTCCTTTTGGCCCATCTTTACCAGAGACTAAATGAGAAGGTTCATTACGATTTTGTAACCCTTTTAAATTCTTTTCTCCTTTCCGCCATAACGTTATTTCCTAAAAATGTATTCAATTTGTTTTTAAAAAAATCTACAAAGCATTAATAGGTATATTATATTATATGTATTACATAATATAAACATAATAAATAAGAAAAAGTAAATTATAATTTAGTAAATGTCATATACTTGTTGTTTAAAATAACGCCTATCTTCTTCATCCATAAGAACAAGATTCAAAAAGTATCTCACTGAAAACTTTTTGTTCACATCCCGCATAGTAGGCGTAAGATCATAACCTGCAAGAAATACTCTAATAGGAATACTTTCTCCTCGGACAGGTGCTCCATCCATTATTTCATACTTAGCTATTGTTTCATTCTCATTAAATGTATTAGGACCTAAACAACAAAACACACATATATATAACTTACTGATTCAGGAAGAAAAACTAACTTTGGTATTAATTAATATTATCTAACCAGATCCAGTAGTTTCTCTCTTAATTATGGCAATTTCCATGTGTTTTATTTTTATCCTTACTAGTAGAAAATAAATTTTACCAACAATTACATCTTTTAAATGATATCTAAATTGTAAACATATATATACATATATATATATATATACTTAAAGTACAAATAATGTTATTTAAATAGAAAAATTGTATTGACTCACTTGCACTTATTGTATTCAAACTCAATATGTAAACAATCTTCAATTCCTACTTCCATTTTTATACTATTATTCATATCAGGATAAGAAGATAAGGTATGTACAATAATATCCATTTCTTTAATAATGTCATAAATTCTTCGTATGATGGTAACTCTCAAAAAGTACCTATAAAACAATAATAATCATTAAAGTGCTATTAATAAACATTTATGATAAAAGTAAAATATTTATATTTTAGTTAGTATATAAACATTTCTTTATTTATTGCTTAACAGTTTATAATTTAATTTGTTTACATAGATATTTTGGAAAATTTATTAGTAAATTTATAGAAATCATAATAATATCATTATACATATTTTAATGGGAAATATGTTTTTGTTAAAAATAACTAATATATACTACAAACATCTCTCTTCTTTCTGCCAGTCACTTCTTTTATAAACATGTATTTTACATATTAGTTACTAGTTATTTGCCTTTTTTCACGGCTGATTGTTGCCATTGTTGAAGCGTTTACCTTTATTTTTTCCTTTTCTCCTAACAAGTTCTCAATCACCTCACACTTAATGTTATATTTTCAATTGCTGATTTTTTTTTTTTAAATATCAAACTAATCAAATTTAAAATCAATATTTGAATCAAAATAGGAGAGAGGGAAAAAACAAATCAATTTTGTTGCTAGTACAACTTTAAAAACAAAACAAAAACAGTTTTGTGTTGATTCACCATTGTATTTTTGAAAACTATTCAAAATATGGTATTCTTATTTACATTTCCCTTCATCCAAACTATTTGGAGTCAGCCACCTTTGTTGTGAACTTCTACTTGAACTGACCTAAATTTATTTTCATTACAATTCTGATTCTGCTTCGGATTCCTCTTTCCTCTAACATCCCCAAACAATCTTGGTTTATTTTTTATTATTTTGTCTAATATAAAAGCTATACCAAAATTACTTCTTATGTATTCATTCTTATCATATCTTCACTCATCACTTTACTAATCCACCTAAACATTCTCATCTCTGTTACACTTATTTTCTGTCTACCACCCATTACTCTAAACCATACCAATATAAGAGGTGTAATCGTACTTTTGTAGAACTTATCTTTAAGTCTCACTGGAATTCTCTAGTTAGATAAAATACTTGACTCTTCTCTCCGCCTTACCCAATCAAACTTTTAATCCTGTATATGCTATTGTATTTGTTTATTGCCTTTTTTGGCCATGTCGCATAATACTTATTGTAATAAAATAAAGTATGTTGTTTTGCCTAGAATACTTATTGCCGTGACATAAATCAATGGAAAAATTCAATTTCTAAACATTGGAAAAACAAATGAGATAAAAATAACAATTTTTGTAATTTGCATTATGTCGATTGTATTACACTAGTGGGAAAGCTGCTTTGATATACAAAGTTGATATCAAACCAACCACTAAATTTACAACCAAAAATGTCTGGTAAATTTGATATTTTAATATTTATGAATAATTGTTAATTATTACACTGTACCTCAACCTCACATTAGAGCCGGTATACGTCTCATATGGTTTTTCTACATTTGAAAATTCAAAATTATATGATGTATTCTGCAACATTTCACCAGGCCTGGCCAGTTCTTTGACTAATGATGTAAACTCATGATGATTACCTCGATCATAGTACATTTCTATTTGACCTATAAATTCAACTTTAATACCCTGGTGTTCCAAACGACTACTAGACTTTTTTAGTATTACATTTACCTATAAATAAAAAATAAAATGTGTTATAATTAAAGGAAGTAGAAAATATATCAATATAATAATCAATAATATTGTAGTTTATATTAATAAAAAAAAAAATTATAATTAGTGTATCAATACTAAAACTACAATAAGTAGTTAAGTTTTAATCAATTTATTCAACATAATATAATTTAATATTTAATAACACAATTTTTAGTAAAAACAATTTTTTTTTCTAATTTTGTAGGTACTTGTTTAAAATTATTTATGAAAAATGTAACTCAGTAATATAATACAAAGTATATTACTTTTCCGGACACTGTTTCTCCATCATAATATATTAAACTTTGATCTTTTTTACTGCTTTCATCTAGTTTCTTTTTTCCATCTGGTCGGTCTAAAACTATTTCTAATTCTGCCGTTTGTCCAAGTCCGAAAAAGGTCTACAACATTTTTTATGAAATAATATATATTTTAAAAAACCTTAGTTTCTTTTTTGTAATGAGTTATTTATCAAGAATTATTAAGTACAAATTAACACAATAGATTTATGTTCAACATCTTAAGTTAAGTATATTATGCATGGATGTATAAAAAAAAGTTAATAAGAGAATAACATTAAATATAACATTCTCTGATTAACTATATATTACTTGGGTTGAAACCTGTAATCTATATGATGACAAAAAAACTTATGATTGTGCATATAAACTGAGTTCCAAAAAGACTTTTAAAAATTAATAGTCTCGATAGATTTTATCGAGTTATTTTTTTTTCTTATATAAATTGATCTGTGTTATTAATATGCAATGGGTAAACCAGCCTATAGTGCTAATAAAGAATCAATGTATTTAAAGAGAATCAAATGACTTAAAGGAAGATAAATTAATATTCGCCAAAGTTGGAAAATAAACAAGTTAGTTAATTTATAAGAAATTATTAGGTATGTTAATTGTTATTAAATGTAATAATATTAAGTTTAATAAAAAGATAGTTCACCATTTTTCAGAATAAGTACTAATTATATTTGAAACAAAAATAATAGAAGACTTAATTTACCTCCCTTTACCACTTAAATCATCAAGAAAATTTGGTTAATTCTTATTGATACCCATGGTAAAAATTAACTAAAAAAGTTATTACACCACAATCCACATATTATGATGAAACCAGAAATTGTACTGATAAGTAGTATAATATATTTATATATACATAGATAATCAAATTATTATATAAAACAGACTCATAATAAAGAAGGTAGTTGTATATTGTTCTATTATTAATTTATATTTTCTAATGAATACAACAAAATTGTTATATGAATTACTGTAACATTATAACTATTCCCAGGCCTATAGTAAAATTATAATTTAAAAAGCACTTAAATAATGTATAGGTACCTACTAGTACTTAACAACTTATAATTTTAACAAATTTGATAAAATAAATAATAGGTGCTGGATATACAGATCCACTATTTATAAATAAATATATACTTTTAACAGACAATACCATATTCAATTGAACAAAATGCACCTATTTAAAAGTTATGCCAATATAGTAATATATATACCTGCATTAACATGGAATTGGTCCGAATGTAGATATAATTAAATTATCACAGCCTTAATAAAACCAGTTTTTTTTTTTTTTTTATTATGTAATAATTAAACTAAAAAAAATAAAGCAGAAGGTAACCCAGTAAATTGACTGGTCATATTGAAGAAGTAAATACAATTTTAGTAAAGCCTGTAAGTAGGTACTAAGCATGAATAAACCACTTTGCTAATTATATGTACCTATATAAACAGCAAGTGAAACTTTCGTAAAAAATGTATTCTGAAAATAATTTTGAAAAACATAGATCAAATGAACTACCTATGAAACCAATACAAACGCCTATCAAAAATCATAATGCAAATACGATATACAACTACACAAATGTTAGTCGGTTGCAATTAATATTATTACTCATTTTCGAGACAAGGGGACTCACCATTTTCGAGCGTTATTGATGGAATTTAAACGTCGTTCACGTAAAATTATCGTCGTCGTCGCCGGCGACGAAAGGCACACAGAAATTTGATTCGAAATGATCACCACAAAACGGCCAAACAGACCCGGTCCGCCGTACTAATCGGTCAAAAGCATCGTCGTCGGACCGGCTGGCTGCTTTGAACAAACGAAAAAGTCGTACGCGGTTTGGTGGATACGTTTTTTTTTCCAACCGTACGCACCACACTATTATTTTATAGACGTTACAAAAATAAAATAAAAAACACCCACAAGAAAACAAACCACGAAGGAATCACAAAATCATATTATTGAGTGTATTATAATTACATATAAATTAATATAATATATTTATTGTGATTTTGTACATACATATAAAATAATAAGTTATCGACAGTAGTATAGTACACCAGCCCGCAGTAATAATTTGAGATAAGTTTTTATTCATGTATAGTCTGTGACGGGTTATTCGTTCAGTGCAACCACATCACCCGAACGAATATAAAAATATCACCATGGCCATTGTGTACTTGATGTAGATAAGATAAGACGATTTTGACAGTTTTTTCGGTCGAAAATTGAAATTTTCTCAGATTCAAATTCCGAATACATAAACATGTTTCATTATTTTTTTGCATATTTCCTTTTTATTCTAATTTTAGATTCCAAGCGTAGTGAGGGAGCTATTGGTTTTACAATGCTGTTTATTTCTTCTTTGTTCTAATAAATGAACACGTTTTTTCCTAGTAAACTTGCTCCGATTTTTACGATAACGCCTTTTTTGAAAGCAAGTTGTCTAGATTGTAATTTAAAAAAGTCATTTCTATGATTTTTGATGCTATGTTTTAATTATAAGCACTTGAGTGGGAAAAAATTTAAGAAAACGTACAATTTCACGATTTCATTATTTTATAAAAACTTTTTTTTTTTTTTTTTTTATAACATTTTATTAGAGAATATACAATCTATACCCAAAGGCATAATAAGAATATGTGCTACATTATATTAAAAATAAACATGAATAGGGTGAGGGAAGAAACCATCCAGTGATCGCACTTCTTTTTGTTTAAATATATGTGCAACTATATATTTTTTTAAATTATTATTAACATTTTTTTCCCCGTTATTCATTTAGAAGATCTCTACACCAGTTTCTTTTTAATCGTTGTGGAGGGTTTCCAAGAATTGTGGGAGTGGCTAAGCCGGATATCAGGGGATTTGAGTGATCAGACAGTTTGTTGAAAAAACGTTTGTAATACATTTTAGCTTCTTCGTGTATGATTTTCATTTTTAAGTCAGAGTGGAGAGTATAATTAGAGATATAAGGGGGGGCATTAGTGATGGAGCGTAAGATTTTATTTTGAACAGTTTGTATTTTATTAAGATTGGATATTTTGGCATTACCCCACAGTTGGAGACCATATGTCCAGATAAGCTTAATTAACGATTTATAAATAAGCAATTTGATATTTAATTTAGAATGTTTATTAATTCATAACGTTTTGAGCAACCGGATACGTGCATTTAAGGTGAGTTTTTTTTCCCTTACGTGTTGCGCCTATGTGAGGCGACGATCAATGGTTAGCCCTAAATACTTGACAGATTGAGATGAAGGTATAGGTATGCCAGCTAAGGAAACTTCAGGACAGGGAGCAAGGCAAAGAGTAAAGGTATTGTGCAGTGATTTGGATTGATTTACTTTAATTCTCCAATTATCGTACCAATTAGACAATAAATTGAGGTGATGTTGAAGGTTTAGGGAAGCAGTATTTGGATCTTCATGGATTTCTATAATTGCCTTATCATCAGCAAACTCGGAAACCACGCTACGCCTTGTGAGTTATAAAGAGTACTTATATTTCCAGGCGCTTACTGCGGCTTGCTAATCAAATTACAATTAGGGTTGTCACCTCTCTAGGTTTCACCCAGATGCTCCGGTTTTACATATAAATCTACGGGCATGGGATCAGTGAATTATTCTCCGGTCGTCGTAAGAGTAGTAGGTATTATTTAAATAATTGTAAAATTATTAACGGCCTATGGTCGCCTATGACAATTGGTATTATGGAAACAAGGTCTACAAGACCACAAGAGCGTTCTCTCCCAATAAGTACCTAATAGTCCTAATATTAGATTTCGGTATGTTCGGTATGTTCCATACTCAAAAATGGACTTCTTAGAGGCCTAGAATATTATTAAAAGATACATCATTGGTTATATAGGATGAATGTAGCATGAGTCATAGAGCTCATGTTGAAACTGTGGACTAAACGTTAAAAAACCTTAGAAAATTAGCCGCCATCATGAACACTTTAGTGTTTTCTGGTGAATTTTGGTAGACTTCCCGTCATTACAAAAAGAACACGTGCAGACATCATTCGAGTTTACCTAAAATCTTTTCCTTTATGTTATCGAGTGTAATTAAACCACTAAATTTGTGACAAAAATATATGATAGCTCATCTTAGCGGAAACACGGATAACGATTTTCCACAACTGCTCAAATTTGAAGAAGGGATATTTCCTTTTCCAAAGTTAACGGTGCTGAAATCGTAATAAATGAGACTCTAGGTAGGATTGTCTGCAGTATGTAGTATCATAAGAAACAATATATTCTGGCTTCTAAAATTTACTCGATAAAGACTTACATAGGCTATGTTCATGAACCTTAGTGTTGCCTATAACGGCACTGTTAATGAAATATTAATGGATATTTATTTACAATTTTAAAATATATATTGCACACAAACAAAAATATTGAGAATATTAATTATTTAATTTATTAACATATTGTATTATTATGTACCCTTATTAATTATTTTATACCATGACACTAGAAGAATACGGTAATATACAAAACAAATTTCAGTTCCAATTTTCCAAACAACAAAAAAGCAATGATTTTAAAAAAAAATTCAAATTATCCAAAACAAAATAATATTTCTTAAGTTATACCTACATAGTTTTTTGTTTCAAAATATTAAGTGCTAGGTACTAGGTATACTCACAACATATATTATTGTATATGTTTTCTAAATTCTATAAGTAATTATAATTATCAATTAAAATTCGATTATTATTATCTATATCAAATATAAATCATAATATGTTAAATATATTACCTATTATTATTATTCAATGATTATAAATACAGACTACAGTAAAGTTGTGACTGTTGTGACTTTTTAATGCACTTACTTTCATACTGATATGGCTCACTCTGACAGGTACAGCCATAGGCGCCAGCAGACATTTTTCTAGTGGGGGTCAATGTTAGGATTTAAGGAGAAATATTATAATTTACTAGGTATTTTAAAATAACAACCTTTTTTATTATAGTCGTATACAATATTTTTTATTATGTTACAACTTACAGGTATAGGTACATAAGTATAGGTAAAGTTAACTTAGAAAATTAATTTTCAAAATGAAATTGTAATTGTCTCGCATCTCTTCTGAAACGATCAACAATTTCATCATAAAATTTGTTATTTCTAATTAGATTATTAAACTATCTTCGATAGACCGATAGGTTTACAAAACAAACTAACGAGTATCGACTGAGTTGTGATCACGATGATACAAAATGAATTATTATTATTATTTATTATGCAGGTAAACAATTACTAATCAGTAATCACTTTAGATAGAATTAGATAGGTAAATATTTATGAAGTTATTTAGCTATGGAAAGGCCCGATCTAAAAATACAATTATCAATCGACTGCAAATAATCTAATCTAATGTTTTTATAATGGTAATCTATTATTCATATGTATAGCCACTTTCGATTTGTTTTAATTTAAATATTAATTTATCTTAACATTCAATTCAAATGCCCCAACTTGCCCTTCCCTCCGGACGACTATGGGTACAGCGAACTTAACTAGAAACTCTTGAAATATTTATAAAATTGAGATGTACTGAACTAGTACTGTGAATATTATACGTTGAGAATCCTTTTCTTTTTATCAGTGGTTTCAATACATCTATTTCACTAATGTGCGGTCTATATGAGTCTATGATTTGAACAGACATCGCCAAAGGATATTAGAGGTCAAAAATATTGATTCAAATGCTGATACAAAATGTGCTACGCATTTAAAAACATTCTACAGAGTAGAATTTAAGAAAGTGTTCAACACATTAATACCATAATACTTCTTCAGAAAAATTAAAAAATTGTTTTAATTGTTCTAAAGATGGGTAAAAAAAGGCCATGCAATTATTCCCTACTGAATGTACCGAGTATAATATAAGTCGGTTATTATGACGGAATTATAATAGAACTAGATAGTTTATTTCACCATTGTGATAAGACAAATATTAAAAAGTTCTGAAGAATTAAAACGTATTTTGCCGACAGAAAATAAAATATGCCGGTTAATTTGAATTTAACTATAGCCTGGAATTCGTCCTATCGCTACCAAACTATGGAAACGGTTCCTATATGGTTAGATCATCCTCATAAAATTTAGTGTCCATCGTAATCAAGGCCGGCTCTAGACAAAATGCATACATAGGCAAAATCAAAATTTGCCGCCCTTTCGTTTTTGATCTCTCTATTTACTAATTATTATCAAAATGATTAATTACACAATTCATTAATATACTAATAATATAGGTACAAAGTTATTTTACAAAAATATGCATACAAATCATACAATATGATGTGCTACAACATGGGTACGATACCNTCACTACAAAGCAACGCATGAAAAACAAATAATAATAATAATATTAACACGTTGAGCTCTGCTAGTATTATCAGCGTAAAGCCTGTGTCGCCGCGCTAAAAATAAACAATTCATATAATAAATAATAAATATAGTACATTATTGTTATCGTTTATCGACGTACCACGAACACGACGTGTAATTTCGGAGAAATATCCGTTAATATACGTTATCTTAAGTTTAATTTTGGTGTATTATAAATATGTACTCGTACATAAACCGTCCCAACCAAAACTAACTTTAGTTAATTGCCGGATAATTATCAGTTATTATTTTTGAATAATAAAAGTATAATAATTAAATAATTTCTTTTTTGTTCATCAGTGTTTCAAAAACGGTTTTCGGTTTTTGCAATAGCCTACTGTCTAAGTAATAACATATTATCTTAAATACGGCCCTGCCTAAGGAAATTCCGCCTCTTACATAATGCCGTCCCAGGCATTGGCCTGTGTTGCCTGTGCCTTCCGCCGGGCCTGATCGTAATGAATCGAAAGAAGGAATTTTGTTCCAAAGTAATTTGTGGGTAATTAATATCTAACAAAGGTACTCTTCCCCCCTAATTTCAGGAAATTTCCGTTGTATATTTCAAATATCAAAACAAACACAACCGTCATAACGCGTACATGAACGGTTGTCAATACATATTACTAAAAAAGCTGAGCACCCCTCTTTGACAATAATTATTTTAATCACTATTTTGGGTGCACCTAAAGATCCGAGCCGAGCTACTGGCTCGCTCGGAATTTTTCTTTTCGTAAATAAATGTTTTTTTTTAAATGTACTTCAACGTTTTAAAAATTAAAGTTTCATTAAGTTTCTGCATTTCAAAAAAAATCCGAAATTTCGAGGGGATGCTAAAGTAGATTTGTTCTAAAAAAAAAAGTTTACTGTGCTGCTGTAATTTTCGTTAAAATAATAATTTATAAAATCATTGTACTATTACTTATATTATATACCTACGTTCATCTATTTTTATTACCTCTAGAAAGCCGATTTATTTAATAAAAATATTTTCAAAAATGATTTAAATAATTAATCATAGCTCCTAAATAAATAATATCGAGTAATAATAATATGTTGAATTGTATGAAGCCAATGAGTGAAGAGTGAGAGTTCCAATGTCGCAGTGTCGTATCAACACTGATAGTATACTTCGTAATTAACATCATGATATCACAATTAGTCGTGTAATAAATTTGAAAACTGCTTATATGTCGTCTCTTTATACTATTCATAAATTCCAAAATGTAATATATAATTTAACATTTTTATTACTTGGTTAGGATTTAAATTGTTTATTTAAATATATATCTAGAAAATTTTATAACACCTATAAATAAAAACAATTATTAAATTCGGGACTTTTTTTGGGCAGATTTGTTTGGCAATTCAATATTAACAAATTTCATATTGATTCTCCATCAAATTGCTTTCAAAAAAATATATATTTGAATTTTGAACATGGTTTTGAGAATAAAGATGCACTCTACATAAAAACATAGGTAGAATAATTTTTTACATAGAGATCATACTTAAGGAAAAAAACTACAAAAGCTGAATTTGTTGAAGGCGCCTCCCCTCTCCCTTGTAGTTAGCTCTATCACTAGCGATGGGGACTTTTAGTATGTTGTTAAGAGTGGTATTCTTTACATTTTTTGCTCATATTATGACTATAATGATTGACCTGAAGTTAGAATGTTTTGTTTCGAAAACTAACTAATAAAATAAATACCTAGAAAAAAAATAAAATGTTACAAATAGTATATATACAGTAACATAGTGAATAATTATAGCTTTACATGATTATGAACTACTAAGTAATATTATAAGCTGTATATTTGCCTACATAATATTTTGTTTTAATCAATCAAACTATGTTATAAATAGTTTAAGTCAAAATCATGAACAAGGATCTTAATTTGTGAACAAAATTTAACATTTAAATTTAATACATAAATATAATTAATGGTTTGTTAATAATAAAACTAGTAAAGCAAATCTGTAAGTATTGAGTAAAAATTAATATTAGTACCTACCTATATGATGAATAAGCCTACATATATATATATATATATATATAAAAAAAAATGAATTTTACATAAACCAGAAATAGTTTATAAAGTACATATATGGTCACTAACAAGTAATTATATTTTTTTAACCTCTAACAAGTAATTAAAGATAGTTTAATGACAAAAAAAAAAAAAAAAAAAAAAAAAAAAAATAAAAATAAAAAATACAGTTCATGAAGGGTTAGTAATGGTTTAGTCATAATTGAATTAAACATGATCAACTTGTTATGTTTTATACAAAAATACAAATGGTATATATTAATATATGTCAAAGTTTAATGGCAATATATTTTACACTATAATAATATACTTATTTAGTTATTTTTAAATGAATATTTATTTTCTTATGATTATTAATGTAAAATACAACCTTGATAACAAGTTTTCATTTCTATATTCACTTAAAAAAGAAAAATATAATTTATTATTAAAGCACATTAACATAAAACAACAACAGTAAACACATAAAAGTTTTTTGACCAGAAATGTTTGGTTTTAAGAGGGCATCACACACTAATCTTCATAGCATTTTGGTAAACAGTTGTCAGACAAAAAAATTACAGCTAATTAAAAAAAACAAAAAAAAAAAAAAACAAGATCTAACTGTAACTGTTTTATATGAATTTTTTTTATAAAAAAACTACGCACAGCCCTTGAAAATATTTCCATCCCTAAATATTTGTATGTGATTAAATTCATATTTCAACTTGAACATAACAATTAAAGTTCCAGGTAACTGAATTTTACTATGTTACTCTTAAGATAGACTACTGGTGTGGCGTTCTCTTAATAGAAATAATCCAGGGTTATTACCTAATTGTTTTTTTAAAAGTTAATAAAAATTGTACAGAACCAATGACTTCAATTTCCAGGCAGTCTTCATTTTTTTTACTCTAGTATAATAACAGTTAGTGCCTATACAATATAATAATTATACATTTAAAGAAAAGACTGAAAATACAAACCATTTAATAGTAAAATCAAAAATAAGTAATAACCAGTCTTTTAATCTCAATTATGGTTACAACTTTTCACACCCTGTCCTGTCTACATTTTGACCATTTTTGTTAGTACAAAACTATAAATTGTATATTGCTCAATTTAAAAATTATCTTAATATATACTTAATTTAATTTGATTTGTGCAGTCATCTTCATAGTGAATTAGCTCGAGTCCTGAATTTTATTCACATATTTCAATTTTAGTAACACTATACAAAATAAAAAAATATATAATCTAATCACATTTTTGATTGTAAATTACATAATATATGGGCTTGAATCATTTACAGTACAATCATTGGCCAACCAAACTTCATTCATAAACAAATTTAGTTTATGCTATTGTTAGATTTATTAAACCTATAAATATAAATTATTTACTTAATTATTCAGTATAATTGTTTTATATAAATATAGAATTTTTACTTTAAAATAAATCTTGATTTCATAATATACGGGTTTTAAATAAATAAATATTCAGAAAAAAAGGATCTAAATTAATACTTTCACATTATTAGTTCAGCTTGGAAAAATATATTATGTGTCCAAATTCAAGATATTTTAAATGTACTCAAATATCTGAGAAAAAATTTCATTTGAATTTCATACAATTTATTTACCTAACAAACTTATAAACACTTGAATTCAGATATTAAAACAAATTTAATCTATGTTAGTTAAAACTAAATAAATGAATTGGATATTTTTTAAGGCTATTATATACAATATTAATCTAAACATAAATTTATGAATTGTGTAATTTTTAAAATTTTTGGGAAATTAGGCTGATAACACTACTAGTTATAGACTATTATATATTAACTGTAAATAGCACCTAAATAAGGGAAAAACTGGAGTTGGCCATTGATTCATTTGTAACACTGCAAATGATTAATGATTTATCGATTTAAAAGGCCTCAAAAGTTTTGTTGCCGTTTGCGTTTTTGATCCATTGCATCTAATATCGGTTGGCGTTTTGTTTGATATCGACGTCGTAGTTCATCAATTTCTCGTTCCATTTCAGAATCCAAATTTGACATTCGTTGTTGTAAGTCATCAAAACTTAAAAACTTTAACTAAATAACATACATTTTGAATTATATTATGGTACATGTAAGAATAAAATATCACACTCAACTATAGTGTGTTGGATATTTGATTTCTCTAAGTAATTTAAACATTTATAGTATAAAATAATCATGATATTTAGAGTTCATAAAAATGTTTGAAATAGTCAGTGGTGTATTTACACCTTTTTTTAAATTCATTAAAAACAATTATTAAGATGTCTGTCTAAATTATATTAGGTCCACTATTATATAAGTTGCGCGCTTCTAAGAGAAGGGGGAACCTCCCCATAAATACTCCTCTTGAAATAATTAATTTAAATTATGTCGTAAAAATGTAAGACGAAATAGTTAGTTTATTTAATAATAGATAATAAATTAATAATTCAGAATGGCGCTCACAATTTTAAGATAATTAAAATACATTATATATAGATTAAGCTAATTATGATGAATTTCTACTATCAAAATTGGCATTTATAGTCATTTATACATTAATATTAAAAAATAATGTAAATAATGCATTTATATAATGATGATTAGAATGAAAAAAATAACGTATTGTGAAAAATTATAACAGCATGAAATATCTAATATTTTATTAAACACATAGTATAAAACTTACAAATTCAAAATCCCCTTCTACAATTGGTGAATAATATCGATTTTGGTGTGGTGTTACAGGAACATTTCCATCAGGTCTACAGTTTATTTGTGGCATAGGAAATTGATGTGAAGTTATAGTTTTTTCACATTCATCAACCTTAACATATAAAACTGTTTAAACATGGGTGTTTAAATATATAAATCATTGAATTAATAATCATAAATATTAATACTTGGGAAACATCTAGATTAGAATCAGGTCTATCAATAAATGATTTGTTTTCCATAACATATTTATCATTCTAAAATAATAATATAAAGTTGAATTACAAATTACCAATTAGAATGAAAAATAATGATAACAAAAATAGAAAATCTATTTAAAAAAATGTTTATAAAAGTAGTGAATTTTTTAATTACTTTTGATTTTTCTGCGATTTTCTTATCAAAATGGTCTAAAAATAATGGTCTATACTTTTTACCCGATTCTTCTGGTCCTGTATCATGTCCTGAAAAACCATAAATTAAAAACCAATTAACTTGTTCCAATTATCTTCAATTATCTATTCCACAAACTTTTCATAGTAGAATCATCTTCTCCGTCACTATTAATTACCATCGTACGTAATTCTTCTACTAATGAATTGCTTTTTAAACTTGTTCCTTTAGATTTATCTGGTACAAGAGTACTATCATCTACTATCATTGTACGACTATCAACGTCATCTCCCTAAGTAAACAAATAATTTATAAAATATATCAATTAAATTTATAAAATGTACAATTTAATTATTTTAGGTTACTTTACTTTAGAATTTTGATTTTTTGGTTCAGCAGATGTTACTATACACGACAAAGTGTTCGAACGGAAAGTTTGATTTTCTCGAATTTCTCTTGCTTCAGCAATCATCTGACTTAATATTTCAGGTGGTTTTGCGTTACCTGATTAAATATTATAAAAAAAACAAAAATAAACAAAACTGTGATGATGTTTTTTCTTCTTTATTTTCAATATACATTCTATACCTAATGGATACAATTAGTATATAGGGTGAGGGTAGAATACATAATATATAATGTATATAATATATAGAATACAATATAATTGTATTAATTAATCACTTAACAACTAAAATAAAAAAGCCAATGCTGCCAAAAGGTGCGCCATAATTGTAGGTGAGAATAGTAGGTAAGGAAGGTAAAATACATAAGATTTTTAAATTTATATCTGTAAGCGTTGATAAACCATTTTTAACGAAGTTCCATTATACATGTTTTGAAATGTCTTGTTCCGTTCCAAATCTAAAAAAAATACTACATAACATTCTACTTATTTTTACCACTAAGCACAAATTATAATGAATCTTGCGTTAAATTGCATGTATGTTTGGTCAAAAAATTGCATCCACATAATACTTACAAAAGTACATTAACTAAAAGAACTAATGAAAAATTAGAAAATTTAAAATGCCATTAAAGCTCATATATATTTTCAGGATATTTAGAAAATTTTATTATGTTCAGAAAAGTGCAATATAAGTTTTTTGTCCAAATTTCAAATCTCTAAGAATATTTTTAACTGAATTATGACAAAATGTTGAATTGAAAATAACAAAAACATTATTTTCAAAAATGTTCCAGTTTTTTTTCGCAGTTATTATGAAAATCCCTTGGAAAATTAAAAAATGATCATCCTAAAGTAAATAAAATTGCTTTTTAGAAGAGGTGACAAATTGGAATAAGAATTCTTAATGGAAAGTTGTTCTCAGTATATATGTATACATACATAAATAAATATAAAAACAAATATTTAAAATTTATATCAAAGTAAAACCTATACATTTCTTAATATAAAATTAAAAATAATAAAAACATTTTTTTTTTTTTTTTTTTGTGATTTTGCTTTATTATTTAGAAAACTCACAGAGAATCAAAAAAAAACTAACCAACTAGATCTTAATTAAATAAAAAAAGGTTTCTTATCTTTTATTGATTCAAGCGTAATCTAAGGTAGAAAACATAAGCGTAAAAATTTAAAATTATGAAATCGTGACGCTGTAAATTTGTCAGTTTTCATTTTACACCCATGTCTTGTTTTTCCAAATTACTATGAAAACTGTTTGGAAAATCAAAAAAAAAAAAAAATGACTCTTTCAACAACACCAATATACAAAATGCAACAAAAAAGGTCTCTTTTAATTTTTGATTAAGTGGATGTTATACCCTCATCCACCATCTCAGTCCAACTACCAGGTAACATACAAAAACAATGCTTTCGCAGAATAAATAAAACTAGCTTAATTTTGATTTAAGAGTAAAAGTACTAATTATGAAATTTATAGAGAAAAATATTTTGGAGGTAATACTATGAGTGTTTTTTGAATTTTGAATTATTAAAAAAGTTACGATAATTTAAAAAAAAAAAAAAACAAAGGTTTTTGTATCTTTTATATGGAATTGTATTCTTTAAATAATACAAAAACCCTATGACATTCCCTCCAAAATATTGTTCTCTATAAATTTCATAACAGGTACTTTTACTTTAAAATCAAAATTAAACTAGTTTTACTTATTCTATGTAAGCATTGTTTTTGCATGTTACCTGGTAGTTGGACTGAGACAGTAGATGCGGGAATGACGTCCTCTTAAATAAGTTTTCTGGTAGAAAATATAAAGCATACAAATTAAAAATAATATTATCTGTAACACCACAGAGCGTCCTAAATATTTGTTAGTTTTTCATTATTATTTGGAAACTCATTGAAAAATCAAAAAATACACCAATAAAATCCAAAATCTAATAAAAAAGGTCAATTGTGATTTTTAAATTGAATTAATACTTTATTTATGATGATCACTGTTGACTTTTTATAAAGCTACATTAAGTAATTGGAAAACATATTTTAAAGTTTATTAATTTATCTTATGCTAGTTCTTACCAATAAACTCATGTTCTAACATTTTTGTAGCTGTAGCCCGCTCTTCGGGATTTTTTATTAAACATTGACTGACAAAATCAATAAATTCTGGAGACCATTTGTCTGGTTCCCGAAATGAAGGTGGTGGTTTAGTAGGTATCATGAAAATGGCACGCATTGGATGTATATCTCCATATGGAGGTTTGCCTTCAGCCATTTCTAATGCTGTTATCCCTAAATAATAGATTCAATTTTAATATATATATGAACATCTAACTATTACATATACACCATAAATAATATTGTTTTATCAATATCATACAGTGTTAAATTATTCTTTATGACTATATAATGATAAACATTATTTTATTTTATAAATTGTTTGAACTATAAAATAATTTAAATGAAACAATATAAAAATTTTTTGTTAAAAAATGTATACTAATTTAATGACTACTTATTTAATATAGAAAAAAAAATAAATAATAATCAGTAATCTATAAAAATTTTGTTGGTACAAGGTGGTGTACTGATACACTTGATACCGATTATTTACCCCAGCCATAGATATTCGATGATGGAAATCAGTATATTCCCACCATTGTCCAAAATTAATGATAATATCAGTTAAATATTAATCAATTATTTAAATTATTATCTATGCTTCTTATTTCCCGCTTATTAATATTAGTATAGTATTAATTTTGTTAGATAATTTTATTGAATTGTCGATATCACAGACATTATAATTAATTTGAAAATTAATTGTTATTAATTAAATCATTATTATTATTATTTATCTGTTCGTTTATTATTTTGAGGGGGGAAATGAGAGGGGATGAAACAGGTGTAAATAGTTTGCATCATATGCACGTGATAAAAAAATTCTCAAATTTACATTAGTTTGTATCAAAAAATTTCTTGCTACACTATAAGAGTCAACAGAAACCTTTTGAAAATTGAATTTACATATTATAAACATTTTAGATTGAAAATATAATACAGATAATAGATCAAATTATAGGAATATTGATTTATTTTACATAGATTTACCTAAGCTCCACATATCGGCAACACAATCATATCCTATTTCTTGTATAACTTCAGGTGCCATCCAGAATGGTGTTCCTATTACAGTATTTCGCTTAGCCATTGTATCCTAATCAATTATAGTAATAGTAATACAAAATATATTATAAGATATTTGTAACTTTAGACTCTTACAGTTAACTGTCCTGCAACTCCAAAATCAGCTAGTTTGGCATGCCCTTCAGAGTTTAATAATATATTTCCAGCTTTTATATCTCTATGTATTTTTCTCCGTAAATGTAAGTATTCCAGACCCTTTAGTGTATCTGATAATATGGTAGCTATTTCATCTTCAGATAGTGTTTTTTTCCTTAACCTCATAATATCAGATACTGATCCAGCACCACAATACTCCATAACAATCTTTAATTAAATATAGGTATCAATAAAAAAAAAATTAAAAAAAATGAACATTAATTAATATTAATATTATGTTTACCCATAAATCAGTATTTTTGAAATATGAACCATAATATTTAACTACGTATGGGCTATCACATTGTTGCATTATAGATATTTCCTTTATGATTTCCTGAAGATCAGTGTCAACTGGCACTTGTTTAATAGCAAGTACTTGACCAGATTCTTTGTGTAGTGCTTTATATACACTGCCATATGATCTAAAAATAAATAGAAAATTATATCAAAGTACTTCTCAATAATCCTAATAATCATAATTACCCTTCTCCAAGTTTACAGATGATGTCAAACACTTCTTCAGGTTGTCTAGTTAAACTTTCTTCTGACAATTTTTTTAGTTCACTTAAATAAAATAAAAACAAATAAGTAAATCAATAATGTTATAAAATCGGTTTTATATTTCAAATTTACCTCTTTGAAGTCATCATTTTGTCAGAAGTTTTATAATTAACATCACAAAAATTGAATACTGATTGCGAGTTCGACATTTATGAAGTAATTATGTTTAATTGTTATTTACAAACAAAAATATATATGTATTTATACATAAATTAAATTTAAAAAAAAATAATGAAAAATTAAAATGAATTAAAAAAAAAAATGGTATAAAACTGAAAGTTAATGTCTACTATAATATGTTCATGGTCTATGGTAGTAACGAAAGATGCTCTTTTATATTATCATTAATATTAGTGATAGTAAAGTATAATTATCAGTGCATACCACGGTAGTGGTTTTTCTAGGCTCCAAATCGTCCAGAAACCTAAAGATTTTTATTGATCTGTGCAATTTAAAATTTTTTTTCATAGTAGGTAATTATTATTTTTCTGATCTTTACTCTGTTATTATCTGCACGAGTTATCATGATATTATTTATGAACAAATGTTCATGATGCATACTGATACTATCCATATAACCATGTTACTATACATTTTGACAGTTGTTAGTAACCAATTAAATAGTTAAATTTATTTAAATTATTTTAATTAAAAACTGTATTGTAATGTTTTGTAATGGTTGATGAACATAAAGATTAAGTCAAATAAACATTTATGGATAAATTACGAAATATGATTCTACGTAAAACAGTATATGATATTCGACATTCTGGATATTTGAAAAGATGTAATGTTACTTTAGCTAAGCCACTCTCTGAATTATTTAATTATCCAAAGTCAAAGTTCAAATTTTTTGCTAAAAATCAAACTGTAAGTAAATATTTTGAAAGTTTTACTTTTTTAAATTTCTCTTTTGTTTGAAAATATTAAGCAAATATATATCTGCAGGGTCTTTTTGGTATACACGAATTAATTTCATTTGAGGGGTTTTATACACTCAAAGAACGTACACAAATAGAATGTGATGATTTTGTCAATGAAATATGCAATCCGAATCGGTAATTTTTTGTTATACTTATAATATTATGTTATAAAGAAATTATTTATTTGTTCTTATTTTTAATGTTTAACATAATTTATTAAATACAATATATCTATGTAAAACAAGTTATCTATATATTGTGATTACTAATTTGATTAAATCGTACCTACTTTGTATTTATCTATTTGTTTATACTTAATTGTTATTATGTTACTTTTCAATATGTTTTCTAAAGATCATGGGTAACAAATATTCTCCATTTGAATCTGTAATTAAAGTGATTGAGAATTCTTATTTGTAAATCATAAGTATTGTCATTTAAGACAATAGGAATAGTGGCAGAAAATTAAAAATAAAGTGTCAATAAAGCTTAAACAATGTCATAATAATTGAAAAAAAAAAAACAAACATCAAATTCACTTAAAATCATCTGAGAAATCACTAGTTTATAATAAATGAATCACTTGTATTATAATGTTTAGTTGTATATAAATAGGAGTAATTTTGTCTACCATAATTTAAAAATTAATAATATTAACCTATAATTGCATTTTGTTAATTTAGCAAAAGGAATTTGGTAACAATTTTCGACCAGTTGTCTAATAGTCTTTGTTGTCTGGCTGATATGGCTGAATTTATTCGTACAGCACATTCTGACAAATCATTTATCGCTGCTTCTGAAGATTGCTGTATTTCTATTAATACCATTGTAGAAAGGTAGTAATTATTTTTCTATTAGTTTAAATTCAGTCTATTTATTCAATGCTTAATTTTTAGATTGAACACTAATAAGGATTTGTATACAAGTTTAAAACAAGTAATTACAGATGGTGATAAATATCTTATGACTGAGGAAGATCGTCATGTTTGTGAATTATTTTTGTTTGATTTTGAATTAAATGGTATTCACTTAGAAGAAAAGAAAAGACAATATGTTGTTGATTTGAATAATTTTATTTTAATAACTGGACAGCAATTTATGATAGCTGCAGAAAAGCCTAGAGTTGTTGATCGAACTGGATTGCCAGATGTGCTGTTAAAAGAGTATTTAAAAGGCAAATGTCATTATTTGTGTGGTTTATTGATTATTTTTATTTGTATTAGGTACAGCTCAATAGTAGATAAGTTAATAGTTGGACACCCTAGTTCACAATCCGAAGATCCAATTTTAAGAGAAGTTGCATTCAAGGTTTTTTATAGTTCAAATGCAGAATCAGAACAGTTATTAGATAATCTTTTGGAATGTCGTCATAAATTGGCTTTAACATGTGGATTTCCATCTTACGCTCATAGGTGAGTAATAAACTAAATATAATGTCTATTATTGATTTTTTTTTTTTTTTAAGAGCATTGAAAAACAGTATAGCAGAAAATCCTATATTTGTAATGGAATTTTTAGATACCTTAAACACAGAGCTGAGAACTCGGTCAGTTATTGATTACAAGACTATGAAAAAAGCAAACAACAATAATGTAATTTACTGTTTTTTCATTATTTTTGGATGGACAAATATTTATATTTTTTATTTTAAGAAATACAATTTTTTTTATATATAGATATTATATTGGTATATACAGATAAGCCGTGCTTCACAAAATAATGACAACAGTTAGAAACTAGTTTTCTGCTGACGACTTGGGTACTTTGTCACCAGCTAAATTTTTTTTAACTCTTCCTTTGGATTTGTTTATCTGTATTTTCTAAAATCAATTATATGATCATCTTTTTTTTCTGATGGACTGATTAGTGTTATGATAAAATTTCAAGGAAGTAGGCAAGTTTTTTGTTATCAAATGTAATATATGATTTAACAATCCTATAATAAAATAGAAAGATAATTCTTAAATGACATTAGGCCATTTGGTATCATAAAAGAAAATAATTATCTTTTACTTCTTATTTAGTAAGTTAAATATATATTTATCACATGTTTTATTTAAAATACACTAGTTACTAACTATTCCTTTTTGGAAAAATACATATAACCCAATTTTCCATATACATTCATTTTAAAAAATTATTAAAAATAAACTATTTTACTTTTCAGTTATTTTAATTCATTCAGGTGTCTTTAGGATGTCTTAGAACAAATATGCAAATGTTGCAAGTCACAAACAATTAATTATTGTATTGAACAAATTCAATATGGTAATATTTAAAAAATGTAAAAATAATTATTTTGATTTATTTAGACCGTATCACCATGGGATGTACAATATTTAACAAATAGGATTAAACAGAATCATCTTAAATATGCAATGATAGATTATGCATCATATTTTTCATTAGGCGATTGTATGGAAGGATTGAATATGATTTTCAATCAGTTGTATGATATTAATTTGTTATTTGAAGATATAAAGCCTGGTGAAGGATGGGATGAACGAATATATAAGTTAGCAGGTAAACTAATACTATTTATTATTTAATTTGTATTTTATGAGTAAATTTGTTGTTTTAAGTTACCCATAGGACTGAAGGTTTACTAGGCTATATTTATTGTGACTTCTTTGAAAGAACAGGCAAATTACATAATGATTCCCATTATGTTATTAAAGGAGGAAGACAATTATCTGATGATTCTTACCAGGTATATATATATTAACTTTACCAATACATGATTTATAATTGAATATGTATATACCAGTAACAAGTGTACTATAATTTTACTACATTTAATTAGAATCCAATTGTAGTCGTTATGTTGAATGTGGTATGGCGTGAGAATAATGGTCCAGTACTTTTGCATCCTGGTTCTGTTGAAAATCTATTTCACGAGTTTGGACATGCAATACATTCAATGTTAGGTCGAACACGCTATCAACATGTAAATGGTACGCGCTGTGCGACAGATTTGGCAGAATTTCCATCAGTATTAATGGAATATTATGCTACACAACCACAAGTAAACATTTTTACTTGTTTTATATTGATTAAACCAAAATAATATTTTTAGATAATTGTTCGTGAAAAGTTTTACTTTTATCCATATCTTAAGATTATAGCAATGAGAGTATTTTTGAACAACCAAAAAAATGTATTGATGAAAAATTGTTTTATTTGGAATAAATGTATTTTTTTAACTCACAAAACAATTTAAAGAACATAAAAATAATGAATTTGTAAAAAGCTAATTTTTATTCTTAAATATCTACCATCTCATTGAAGTAAATTAAAAATTAATATGATATACCTTTAGATAATACTGTTTTCTTTGATTTATATAATGAAAAAAAATTTTAAAATCACTTTAGGGGGCCCTTTTTCTGAATTATGTGAATATTTGAATATATTCCTCAATTTCATAATAAATGCTTGTGATGTAATACCTATTTTTAAATCAATATGGAAGTGAATATTTTTATGTTGATTATAACTTTAAATCAATTATTGTGAAAAACAGAATTTTTTTAAACAATTTGTTTATAGGTTATAAAACACTATGCTAAACATTATAAAACTAGACAGCCTATACCAGAAGACATGTTGAAAAAGTTATGTTCATCCAAATGTTTATTTGCTGCTTCTGAAATGCAGTTGCAATTATTTTACTCCGTACTTGATCAATATTACCATACAAGACCATTACAGACACTAAGTACAACTGATTTACTTGGAAAATTACAAGTAGAGTATTATGGACTACCACATATTAAAAACACAGTAAAACATATTGGAATGTAAAGTTATAAAAAGTCTGTATGTTATAAAACTTATGTTATTTTGTAGGCATGGCATTTACGTTTTTCACATTTTGTCGGTTATGGTGCGAAATATTATTCATATTTAGTGTCTAAAGCACTGGCAGCGCGCACATGGCATCAATTCCTGAGTCATGATCCACTAAATAGAATTCAAGGAGAACGTTTACGCACAGAATGCTTACAATATGGTGGTGGAAAACCAGCAAAACAATTAGTTTCTGATTATCTGAAAACAGCAGTTACGCCAGAACTTTTGGCATCATCGTTAATACAAGATATCGACCAATCCTATGAAAATTTGAAGTCTTTTGTTTCCTAATATCAATAAAAACTAATTTTTTATTTATAATTTAGTAGTCTACCATCAATTAAAAAGTTTAAAAATTCTATTGTATTACAAAATTAGCCTAGTTTATTAGAATGACAACAGGTTTAAATTATAAATTTGTTATTTATTTATAATTTATTTAACAATATGGTATTCGAAAAATATTGAGTCTATGTTAATCTTAGTATGTAGTTATGTCATTATAAACACAAGCGCTAAGAATTATTTGCATTACATTTTTATTAATAGTGAAGTTAGTGTAGTAAAATCAAAGTACCTCTTCTCTTTTGCTATTTGAGATTGTCCATTCATTGACAACCATCACTGCTGTGTTGTGTTGATAATCCCCCCCCCCCTCTAATGAATTTAACCTATAAATTAAATTTTCCAATACTACAATAATGATTATTTAATAAAAAAGAGAAATTATTTTTGTAGTGTTAGCAAGTTTAATTGAATAAGTTTTAGCCATTCATGGTGAGAAGACCTTTGAACTCCTGCCTATATCATTTTTGCTTTTTTTTTTTAAATATTTGTAAGTACTATTTTGTGGATTATTAGAGAATATTAATCCAGTCTCTATTCATTATGAGTTTTAACTCGTCAAATAGATTTTATTCAAGTGGTTATTTTGTGTTTAACACTAAAGATGAATTTTAACTTTTAGATTAATTTTACTCTAAAAATATTTATTTATTTATTTAAATTCATAAGGATGTAAATCCAATAACAATGTAAATATATAATTATATAAAATAACACATCACTTAATAACCAAATTGAAATTTCTCTTAAATTCACTTTAATGATTAACAAATAAATCAACATTATACATACTAGCCCATTTTACAATACAATAAATCGGAGAATTAGACATTAAATTTGTTGTTGCTACAGGTTTTTAGTATAAGTGTGATATAAGAAGTCTTCCAATTATCTGGATAAACAGGATTTTAAAGAAATTAACTGAAAAACCATATGGCACTATTTGAGTATGTTTGTTTAGAATATTTAGATAATTATATAATATCATTAAGAGATAGATTAATAGTGTTTATTTATATTAACATCAAATTAATATAGCGACAAATCATTAACAGGTAATTTGGATTTTACAATAATACTAGAGAAATATTTGGCAAATAAATTAACTATATCTTCACCATTATCTGCACTAAAATCATTTAATTTAATAGTTTTGGGTAGAGAATTAGTTAAGTTTTTGATTTAATATAATTTCAGAAAAATTTATTATTAATGGTTATTGTTTTGAATACTATTTAAGTAATTTTTATAGGCTAGCCAACTAATTTTTACATTGTTTTCGAATATTTGATGAATGATTAAAAATATTTTCGGTACCTTGTAAAACAGAAACAAAAACAATTGATAAAATGAAAAAATACCGAATAACCATAACTATCTGGTTATGGTAAAATAATGGGGATGGGTACAGCTACTCATGTAGGTGAGAAGTTGGGAAGGTAGGATACAGATGGGAATTTAATGTATATCTGTAAGCAAAGGTAAACCATTGCTTACAAAAAAACAATTTTGAGAGTTCAATTGATAGTGATGCTTTAACAATAATATAAATGCTATAGTAAAATAATTAAGTAGGGTCCATATATTTTTTTTAATAATATTCATTTAATGTTGTACCGATTTTCCTGTTTTTTCAATACTCCGGAGAAAATTATAAACGACCCCTTTAAAGTACTTTCCCACCCAGTGATATTTCCTTTTATAAAAATTGCTATCATTAAAAGTTAGAGCAAAATCGCAAAAATCGGAGCAAGTCTTCTGGTAGAAAAGTTCTCCAAAAAAAAAAGAAAAAAAGACAATAAAAATCTTTGCAAAACCATTAGCTTCTTCACTCTACCAAGAATCTAAAATTAGAATCGAGTACATTATGCAATATGATGGGATTATACAAATAATATTTAATTTATAAACAATTTTTAACATTATTTTTATTATTATTATAATGACAATTAAAAATAAATAAACAGCTGTTAAAACATAATAAAATATAAATTTATAATTTTATAATTAAATAAAATATGTTTAAAATAACTGGACCTAAGTGAACATTATTAATCAATTTAACTCATTTTACTACAACTTATTTATTAAGAGAAATTTACCGAAAAATACAAATTGAATAAAAGTTTTAGTATATTAATATGCTGAAATGCAGCTGTCTTGAGATACTAAATGTATTAATGTTACAGGATTTGTATAATATTTAAACTATAAGGTCCATGCAATTGCAATAACAAAGTATTAATTTTACATACAAAAATAATAAATATTTAATTTTAACTAAAAATTATAACATGTAACAATTTTTAGCAGTCTCCAAATTGTATGAAGGATATTGTACAAAAAACACAACAAACTTTTTATACATAATTAATAAAAAATAAAGGAAAATAAAAATTGAATTAACACTTTTTTCTTAAATGACCAATGCAACATCAGATCAAAATGATAAATGTAACTTCAAATATAATAATGAAATAATAAAAACATAAAATAATCAATCAATAAGGTGTATTATTGTTTTTTTAAACTGAAAACAAACAAATTAAATAATTAATTAATTAATAGATGAAAATAAAAACATAAAATGTACCTTTTAGCCATTTGTATGTTTATACATAATGCTGTTTCCTCAGTAGATTCAGTTTTGTAAAGTTGAATACAAGGTACATCATTTATCGGTGCATTAATCACATTCACTAAAACTTTATCATTTCCAATAATGTCAAATAGTTTTTTTGCAATTTCTGATGTCATGATACTAGGAGGCAATAAATTCATTGACACTTTCAAAGCCTAAAAATTTAAACATAAATTGTAATTTCATATTTATTCAAATTTATGTAATAATAATACCTGAGGCGGAATCATGGCCATTAATGGATCAAACAATTCCAAATTAACTAATTTGTTGATTTCACATTTTGCAATATTACCATAGTCAATATAGATTACCTTGACCTAAAACAAAAATAAAAATGAATGGTAGAATTGTTTACTAATAAAATTGTTTTATTAATTAGCAGCAGTTAATATTTGTACTTAACTAATTGCAAGTAAAAAATTATAACAGAAACAAGAAACCAATAAAAATAATTAACAATAAAAATTGTTTATTATCATGTAATTAAATAATTTGTACATTTTTTTTTTAACTGTAAAGTAATTAACCTCAGAATCATTTATTATTTCAATAACTTGAACACGGCACCAAAGATTATCATTTTCATATTTCATTAAGTAGACCTGATCTACTCCAATATCTTCCTTGTTTTTTAAAAAGTATTCTGGACTCAAGCATTCATCATTTGGCAAGATCTCTTCGAGTGAAGAAATAACATCAAAATTCAGTTGTAAATATAAATGTCCAGACTCCACAAATGACGACACAATTCCGTCCACAACAGTATGTTCCTATAATTAATAATGGGTTATCAATGTTATAATAACAAAAGTAAAAATTAAAAAAAGTATAATAATGTTATTTACCTCAAAAGATGGAAGTTTAACAATAGTTTTCTCTAAAAACCGTTGTATTATCATATTATTTACATTTATTCTATCACATGTTTCTCCTTTTTCATACAAGGTAACCCTAGCACCATCTTCTAATGAATCAGGTACGACAAAGAATGTTTTATTCAATATCATTTCATTTAACAGTTCTCTTAAACCATCAAATGTACCAAAATTATCGAACTGACTCAGTATACATTCAATAGCCTAAAAACAAATAATCAGAATAAAATATTATAATTAATTTAATATTTCTTTTATTATTATTAACAAAACAAATATAATTAGACTCTTTGAAATATTGTTTGAGTGCATACTGTAAAGGAACTTATATTAACCATCAGACAAGGAATGTGATGATTAAAATAAATTTTTTCAATAAACATGCATTTTAATTTATAAAATATAAATGTTGATTAATATAAATAGCTTGTACTAATATTTACTTATAGTTTTACAGATATTAGTAAAACTACAATTTTGCTTGAAACAAATATTCAAGTTTTTTTTTTTGGATGATGACAGATAGTAGAGAACAACAGTTAATCAAAGTTTAACAGTAGTTAATACAAAAATTGCACATTAAATTAACCAAGATGTGAACCCTACCTGGAGTTTAGTTTTCATAAATACTGGTTCAAGGTTACAAATCTGATCCTTAGAGACATTATATAGCTCACCAGTATCTACCATAAAACATGTAACTGTACCATCTTCTCCTAAAGAGCTAGAAATTTGCACTCTATGCCAAGTTGAATTATATAACACAGCATAGTATTCACCTTCAATCACTTGTTCAGCAATACTTACACTAGTAGTGTTCATGGTATCATTGAATTTAGCTTGCATTTGAATAAAGTTTTCCTAAAAATAAAAAAAAATGTATGCAAATCAATTTTTTAGTTTATTACAACTTGTATTTCTAGATTATATAAAATTAACTTACATCTGCATTTTGTCCAACAAAACGTATCCAAATGTTAGTTGCACCATAGTTGGCAGAAACTAGTATAGATTTTTCTTCATAATCCTCAAATGTTAATGGGGTACCTGGAATAATGTTTTGTTCTTCAATAGGAGCTTCAGGGTATCCATTTATATTTGCATGACTATTTTGACAATAATCACTATCCATTTCGTTCTAAATATAAATCAAATAATTAAAAAATTCCCTATAATTTATGAGTATAATTAAAAAAAAAGAAAATTACCATATATATAATGATTTTGTTTGCAACTAGCTTATCAAATGTAAAATAGCTATAAACTTCTAAAAGTTGAACCCAGTTATCTGGCAAGTTTTCTTGAAATTTCTCTCTATACATTTCTTCTAATTTATCACCCATAAGTCCATTACGTTCAAATCCAGATTTTAAAAACTTTAAATAAACATGTTTAAGAATGTAATCAATGATATATTAAAACCCATGAATTGTTTTAAGTAATTTATTTTTATACTTCTTTAATGCGGACTGCCATCATATTAATATCACTTGTAATAGGATAAGCCATATTTTCACCATAATGGTTTTTTAAGATAGTTATAATTTTCTTTGCAGCAACTTGCTTAGCACAATCCACAGTTTTACATTCAACTGGGTAAGAACTAGAACTTTTGTCAATTACCTATAAACAAAATTTAATTTTTTTTCTCCTTTATCTACATCCTAACTATTTGGGATCAGTCACCCTCATTCTTAATCACAGTCAACCATTTCTTTTTTTGTCTTTTTCTCCCCCTTTTCTTCTAAATAAACATTAAACATAAATATTTTTACCGAATCAGATTTATCTCTCCTCATGACATGGTGACATGCCCAAACCATCTCAGTTCATTTTTTTCTCATTATGTCTACTTTTGAAACCATGCTAATGCTACCTGTAATATAAATATTCTTCATCCTATTTACACTCATTCTCTGTTTACCCCACAGTACTCCAAACTATATAACATAGGTAATTTCAACACACTTTTAAATCTCATTGGAATTCTATTGTCAGATAAAACACACAGCTCTTCTCCTTATTTATCCAACTAACATAATCATATATTTGACAACTTCATTAAAGTAAAAAAATATCCTAGGTACTTTTAAATTCCCAACGTTAACTATTTTACGCCAGTCGTCTTATCCTGTTCATACTCATACTTTATACAACTACTTTGTTTTACTTCTACGTATCCTTGATCCCTTTACTTCATACTCTCCATTTCTCAAACCTATTAATAATTTTTACCATATTTTTTCTTATCAAAGCTATACATCATGGCATCATAGTGCTTAATTTTATCTGTTGTCCCTTCACACATCCGAGATGGGAAAATTCTTTAAGTCTGGTTTAGAATTTCCCACTTACTGTTGATGCAAAAACAATATTGTCATCTCTTACGACAGGTAGAGGTACTGTGATTTTAATTATTTTATACAGGAAATTTTAAAAAAAGTCAAATAAATACAAATTTGAAGTAATGTACTTAAAACCTAATTCCTTAACAATTTTATTTATCTATTCAACTAACAATTAATACATACCTTAACTGTACACATATGTATATGTCTTATTTTTTTACCATGTTTTTCTTTTTTTATCATACAATCATAGTAGGGTTCTGGCAAATTTAAATTAATTAAATATGATTCTAATTCACCAACATAATCATTATTGTCATTCACCTGATAATCAAAAATTAAAATATTTCAATTTAAAAATATTATATATACACTGTTATAAACAAACAATTGGTAGTTGGAAATTTATTTATAATATAAAGTGCAGGGATTTTATACAAGGTGAGGCGTAATGAACACTAATATTTTTTAAAATCACAGAGGGGTCACCAGATCACAAAATGAGGTGGATCAAAAATAAATTACAATACACATAAGGGAGGGTGGAGTAGTGGAACACCCTAGATGTGATGGTTGCTTATATAGTAGCACGGCACAGTGCACTGCGTTTGTATAGTATTCCACTACTCTCCCCCTGCCTAAACTAAGAAGTTTAATATCTCGTCAACAGATTGACCGAAATCAAAAATTTGAACACCATACTATATTTAAAATATAACTCCATTTATTTGTGGAATTTTTAATGTAAGTTTTCATTTGAATTTCAAAAGTAAACAACCAAAATCTTCCAAAAAATCCAGTAAAATAAAAAATTGTACAAATTATTTTAGGCGTTTTGTAGATAATATATACTAACAAAATAACATGAACAAAAGTACTTACAACATATCCAATGATATTACATTTTCTTAATTCTATTCATTACAAACAGCTAAATTTAACATTAACATTACTATTACACAAAATCATTTAATAACCAAATTTTAAGTTTTTTTAATGACATATTAAAGTGGAGCTAGAAATATTTGTCTTTATATCCAAATGTGAAGAGTTATACATAAGTGGACCCAGCAAATCAACAAACCTCTGACCAAATTGTTAATTAGTAAACCATACAATAATATTATACGCTCTAAACACTTTCAATTTCATTTTCATTATGTTATTTTTTACCGAGACAGTTAGCTTATAAAGAGTTCTAACTGGTAAAACATTTAAAATTTTGTTATTTCAAGACGATAAATATTGTCTTTTTTTTTGTTCGAACATATTTTTACTGTTAAATTCTGTTGCACTATTATTAGTACTTGTATTATCTGTACATAACCCCCTCCCCCCATAAATACACTATGCATGACTTCCATTGAGAATATTTTGTTTACTTTATAAAACATAAAAACTATTGATCTCAGGTGCATTAATTAAAGTGTTTTCAATATTGCCTAATAAATATTAAAAATAAAGGCCAACAAATAATTGTAGGCAATAAGACAATTGAACTATAAAAGCTTTTAACAAATTTTAATATAATATTGACCTACTGACCTGGGTATCCAAATCTGATACTGGTGTAAACCAGTAAGTGCCTCAAGAAATTGTGGATAAAAAAGCCCCTGACCAAAAACCCTATAGGAAAAAATACAAATTTTGGCTTTTTTTAAAAAAAATTTTTTTATTGGAAAATTTGAAACAATAGAAACTGCAAAAAAAATAGGTAGTTATTTAAAAATAGGATTTATGTATATTATTACTTATTGTTTCTAAAAATTCTTTAATATTCAATTAGTTATTGTTGAATTGAATGTACCAAATTTTTTCCATATCTATTAATGTAAAAACATTGATTGCAGTTTTTATAGTAGGTAAATATTAAATATTTATTTCCTTCATCGGAGCTTTTTCCTTATGTAATATTTAGTCAGGAGGTTTTTTTTAAATACTATCTTAAGTGGTAATTTAAACCTTGGGAAATTAAGACTTTATTCACCCTTCAGTGCCACAATGCATGTTTTAACTGCCAAACGTTTTGATCAAATATTTTTGATTGAACCATTAATCTCAGCATTAAAAAAAAAAATTATTGAATTTTGAGTGTTTGCTAAACTAGAATTATACTAAGAATTAAAAAAGATCAGTGACCATATATTAAAACAATTTCACAAACCTCAAGACATGGATCATCTTCAACTTCAATTGATTGTACAGGTTCTTCAGCAGTTAAATTTTTAACTCCTTCATCAATCTATTTAAAATAATGCACATTAGTATTAACTAAAACAATTTATTATATACATTATACTACTTCATGATGAACAAGCAAAAGAGTTTCTAACGTTTTACAAGATTGTTGTATAACATTTAAAACGTCTATACAATTTGAAATGAACAATTTAGATTCCATGATAAAAAAATAATAATTTAATATAATAAATTAAAATGTTTAATATTAAATAACAGAAAAGAAAAGAAAAAACCAAGAAGATATGTGGAAAAAACAGACAGAAAAAGTGTTTTTAAAAATTATTTAAGAATGATTTGTATTTGAATTATCAGTTATAAAATGAATAATGAACTAATGTAGGAATGTGGTTATAAAGGTTAAATATCAAATAATATTGGACAATGTGGGACAATAGAAAAAGGTCTAAAAGGAGATAAAAGCAGGTAGGACACACTAATATAATAGTAAACAATATAAATAGGTTTATACAGAGTGATCAATATAACATAGGACATTCATTATCTTGGAAATTAACTTTTTTCGAAATTTAAATATACTATAATTTTGGGAACCGGAATACTGCAATGTAAAAAGTCTACTGTCCACTACTCCCTGTAGATAAACAATAATCCATGACAAAATAGCCATGCAGGTTGGTAAATAATGTAAAAAAATACAAAAGAGCTGATACTGGGGATGGAAGCGACCACTGTTGTAGGTGAGGTAAGGTAGAATACATAAAGTTATTTCATTTATATTTGTAAGCAATGATAAACCATTGCTTGACGAAAGACGATTCCGAGCACAGTTCGTTAATACATAATTTGAAGTACCGCAATTTTTCGTATAAATTTGACTTAAAAACGATTATTAAATAAAAAAAAAAAGTTACCCAATGATTAGGTAGGCCCAATATAAGTTATTACCAAGTTTTAAATCTCTACATGTATCTATTATCGAATTACTGCAAAAAAAACGCCCAAAAATTAAAATTCCTTAAAAGCTCAAGTTTTGGCGATGAAACCGTAAGAAAAGAAATCAAAAAGACAACAAAAAAGAAGGTATCTTGTGGTTTTTCTATTAAATCATTTTTTCTGATAGAAAACGTCGTCCATATTTTTATAAAATAATAAAATCGTGAAATTGTACGTTTTCGTAATTTTTTTCCCCACTCAAGTTCTTTTGTTTAAGAAATGGCGTCAAAACTCAAAAAATAACCTGTATAAAAGTACAATCTAGACAACTTGAGCTTTCAGAAAAGTTCCTACACATAAAAATCGGAGCAAATTTATTAGGAAAAAAGTGGCCACAGACTAGACCAAAGAAAAAGAAGAAAAAAAACAAATAAACATCTTAGTAAAACCAATAGTTCCCTCCCTCGCTACGCTCGGAATCTAAAATATTACATTTAGTATTATCATTTATTGATTTTTAAATTATTTTGTAATTCGCTCAATTTTAATATTGCAAAGATAATAATCCCCCCCAAAAAAATCCCATAAAATTCCCAACACATTTTTATCGAAAAACATTGATTTTAGTAAATAGTGCCTTTATACAGCAAGGTTTATAGATTTTAATATTAGTTATTATTATACTATGTATAATATAATGTATTAATTATGTGAGAAGACTCCACTACCACGAAAGACAATTACTACGAGCATCTACTAACCGTCGTAGTGGTATTGTTGCAATAGCAATAACATTGCTTCGAATGTAAATAACTTTACACATTAATATGTAATATTCTTACATTTGGCCTGCTGCTAAAAAACTATCCCGAAATAGATTTACCAAAATTCGTATAAATGAATTTTCAATTTGAATGTTTCATTAAACCTTATGTTTTGTCATTTCCATAGTAAGACATGGATCCATAGCAAATATCGGGGGGGGGGGGCAACAATTTTTTTAAAGTATATGTAATTAAAATATAATGTAATAAATTAGGCATACAAATTTCTCATACAAAAATCGAAGAAATAATATGTCTGGGGGGGAGAAGGCCTGGGCTTCTCTGTCCATAGATCATATTGATACAAAATTTGTATAAGTTATATTTGTTTCCCAGATGTTCAAAGTCTGAATGTTTTTATCAGGCATCACTGTTGAATGATGACATATTGATCTAATACATCAGAGTACAAGTCAGAATGTTTAGCTTAACCTAATCACATGGAACTTATTGAAATTCGGTTTTACAAAATTGTAATTTAATCTATCTAAATAGCCAAATGTATAAAAATAAATTAAAATCTATTTTATAAATTAATTATATAGGTATGTACTAAAAATATTCATATTATAGACAAATATCACTAATATAATAATATTTATGATATAATATGTATACAGAATTCAGTATGTATTATGTATATTTTGCTTAAAATAAATATTCATGGAGAAAGGTTTATACTGACATCAACATCATTCGATGTTGATGTCTAGTCTGTAACAATTTTTTTTTTCATTATACGAAATATACAATCTGTTCTTTAGGAACAAGAGATCTGTGATAATAGATAGTTTAGATAATATTTACACAAATAGCTTTATAGGAGTCACCCAATGGTGATACTGCCCTTACTTGTTATTATTATTTTTTTTATTTATTTATAGACGTGAAATAATTTTAAAAACAATTTGGCAAATTTTGAGCCATTTTATGTTTACTAGTAGTTTACGTAATTTTATTTGGTATATACTGTGTAGACATAATTGTCTGATCAAATAGAAATGATAGAAAATTTAATAAGAGGTCGGTTCTTTAAAAGTTGTATTTAGCGGTCAAAAATAAAGTAGAGAATAATGTAGCAATTTATTTTGTTTATAATGGTTTTAAAATCAAATTTTGATGAAAATTGTAAATATTACAGTTTTTCAAATCATGTATAATTGAACTTTGCTCAGAATTGTTCTTGTTATTAATGGTTATTCATTGTTGCTTACAGATATAAATTAAATACCTTTATGTATTCTATCTTCCCAAATTTCCACCTACTAAGTGATACATTCATCAGTAGTATCAACTCAAATATTTCTAATAGCATTGAAAACGCCGCGTTTCAACCACTATGTGTAACGCAGCCCAAAGACCGGGCGTACACTGAGATGCAGATGACGTAGAGCAGCGTAGCGCAAGAAAAACTGTGTGACCTACGTGAGCGCATATTACTCTACGAAGTCTGTGCCACCGTTCATCCACTCATATGTGAAATGATAGCCGAAAATGTATTAAATTTAAGTTATGAACCAGATTCCGATGAACGATGATGAACTTATTTTGTCATATTTGTTAAGTACGATGTGTGGCTATTAAAAAACGAGACTGGTTACGAAAAAGTGTTTTATTATAAAAATTATTCTACATTCAAACGCTCCACTTCAATATACTCCCCTCCCCTCGCCACACACCGTTTCATTCGTTTCTTTCATTGCTCGAGGCAGTGCTGGAAGTCTGTTTTCGTAAGACCATTCAGGAGTTCCGCCGATTTTTGTTTCACCTCTTCCATCGACTCAAACCGGATTCCTTTTAAGGCAGACTTTATCTTCGGAAACAAGTAAAAGTCGCAGGGTGCCAAGTCGGGTGAGTAAGACGCGTGTTCGAGTACTGGAGTGCCTTAAGCGGCCAAATAACGCTTCACAGACAGCGCGTTATGGGAGATCCACGACTTGTTTTTCCACAATATCGACCGTTTCTTACAAACTCATTCGCGCAATGTTGCCAAAACTGTCAAATAGTAATGTTGGTTCACAGTTTGACCCTCTGGAACCCATTCAGTCATCACGATGCTGTTGAAATCGAAGAAAACGATCAGCATGGTTTTGAATTTGGATTACGACTGAATTGGATTCCAGTGCACTCTCGACCTTCAGAAAATAATTTACGCCACTCAAAAACACGCGCTCGAGATAGGAAATCCTCACTATAGGCCTCTTTTAACAACTTATAGCACTCAGTTGGAGTTTTTTTTAGTTTAACGAGAAAATTTTACGTTTATCCGTTGCTCATGTTTTTCGGCACGAGAAAAAAACACGTTCGTTTCAAACCACTACTGCACAAATACTATAATAGTGACGAAAACGTGTTTTGGTACGTGCATAGATAAGATATCTAGATACCCATCGTATTACCCGTTTTTGTCACTACCCATCTAGAGCGCCCTCTAGGCGAGTAGTCTCGTTATTTAATAGCCACACCTCGTATACGTAAACAATAATAACATAATAACGTAACAATAGAAAAGTAATTTTATAAATAAAAAAAAGGAGTCATGGCGAATTTAATTTTTTCGTCGGAATTTTCTGAAAATTTTCCAACTACTTTCGTTAAAACCGAAATCAATTCAAAGTTCTTAATTTAATACGAGATACTATTTATTGATCTGAATGTAATGCTCAAAAACCTAATAATATCCTTAAGAAGCAATTTTTTCCCATATTTCATTTTTCAATTTGGTCTTCATATAGTTGACAAGATTAGTATCATATAAGATATTGTAATGTCGGACGACTTCAATTAGTCTCTTTCATCGTAAAAGTCAAAAATATCAAATTAAAATTATGTTAGACTGGCGTACACGTATATTTTCCAAAAGCGTGTGATAAGTGTGCAGTAAACTGTGTCGCGTGCGTAACGTAAGCCGACATAGGCACAGTACTGCTTTGCCCTGCCTAATATGTACATCCTTCCTAGTACAATCTAACTAATACATTACAGAAAATTATGCTGTGCTGCGCTGCGTCTCAATGTGCTCCCGGTCTAACTATTTTAGAATTTCTAATTTCTTAGAAGTACCTAGGTCGGTGTTTGTATTATTTAATTTATTATGAAACTGAAATGAAGAAAAAATAAAATAAGAATATTGTAAAATAAATAATAAACATGGATTCTAAAATAAAAAAGAAAAGGTGAACGGATCCTAACGTTTCTGACTACTGCAAAAGTGCAATATTTTTAGGAAAATACCATATCATAATAACTATCTAGTAGTATTACAATTAAACAATTATAATATATGATTGTGAATATCATCAAGAATTTTTTTCACGGTAAAAAAAAAACATCATTGTAAAATCAATACATTCATTGCTCCGCTCAGAATATAAAATATGCAGTTTGAGTGGACGAAGGAACATGACGAAGCGTTTAGACGTTTGAAGGGATGTACGGTCCCAAATAATATACATAGGTATACGGACGTGAGTAGTTACGGCGTGGCGTCTGTATTAACGCAAATGCAGAAGAGCGATAAAATGTATCCCATTACTTATTACAGTAGGAAAACGACAAAAGACGAAGCTAAGTATCACTCATACGAATTAGAGGTATTAGCAATAGTGAATTAGAATGATTTTGGGTATATTTGATCAGTATTCATTTTATAATCAAAGCGATTATTTTAAAAACATTAAAGAATAGATACCTAAGAGTTCAACAAATATAATTTACCATTTATTGTAGTAAGTAAAGCAATATTCCATAATTTAACATACATACAGTCACACTGTGATTAAAGTGGTGCATTATTAAAACGCTGTGCACCATGGTGCCACACAAATTATGCTTCACTAATCTCCTTTGAATCTAACTTAAAAATGGAATATCATTTGAGTAAACCAGATAAAAAGAAAAATATATATATATACTATTTTCATGAAATGTCGAAAAAAAAAATTATTGGTGACAAAATCGCTGCTATTTCTAAATTTATATCCAGAAAATAACATACTTTTTCATTTAAAAATAATAAATTTTATCTAGAGAGTATCTAAACACATATGTAAGCAATACTACTACTTTGTTTTTTCTAAATAGCAACATATTTAAAATTTTGATGATCAAAATGATAAACTAGTAACATCTGTTACTTCTATTTGTTAAACAAATGTATGATTATACTTTTTAATCAAGCTATATCAATTTTATGGAAGTTTAATAAATCTGTGTATTAGACTTACCTTATTCAATGTTTCATCACACTTTTTAGGATATTTTTGAAGCCTACTTTGAGCAGTAGATGGCTTTAAAGCCTGTAAATTATAACACACATATTAGTAAATAAACTGAAATATACAAGATAAAAATATTCTTAATTTAATGAAACTCAAGATAATTAGTGTCAAAAATGTAAACTAACGAGAAATTTAATAATAAAATTGAGTTTGTACTTAAGTGCACATAAAAAAAACACAAGAATGTCTACAAAAATCACTTCCATCAAGTGAGACAAAAAGGGGCCTCTACATTAACATTTATTTTCTGTCTTATCTCACTTTTAATATAAAGCAACAAAGACTTTACATCTTTACTTCTCTTAGGACTTAGGTTAAGTTTAAGAGACCTATTATAGATTTTATATAAAAAATAAAAAATAATAATTTAGTCAATTTATCATAAATACTATGCTAAGTATAATAATAATAGATAAATAGATAAATAGATAAAGAATAATAGATAGAAGTATTTGTTTCTATACTATGTGTAAGATAGACAGAGAAAATAAGTGTTGGAAGAAGTCCCTTAAACAAGCTCAAGGAACAAATCTTAATAAGACATTAGATATGAAGAAATAATTCACTATTACTATTGTATAGTATTATTTTTTTAAAAAATTATATGTATTTACAACACTATAAAACTTATAAAAACAAATTACCATATTTGGCGATGGATATTTCAGAATTGGTGGTGGCTGTTGCTGATGATGATGCTGCTTTGGTGGATGCTTAAATTCACTATTCTTTCCCTATATATATAAAAACCAGATACATCATTTTATTTTATTATAATTCAAATAATTTAAGAGTAGGTCATACCTGCATGTGCTGTCTCCAATTTATTTTTCGCTTAAAATTAAAATATATACAAACATAAAAAAAAAAAAAAATCCAGTACAAATATAGATGATGTTATATTCAAATTTGATAAAAGGTTAATTCACACTTCTAATAAAACTAATAATTAAATATTGGTTTTGTTAAACACAAAATTACCAAAGTGCGTTAGTGAGACAAAGACAGCACAGTGGGTATGAAGTTGTCTTAATATTAGAAGTATAAAGAAAAATAATCAATTTTTTCACTCAAACCAACCATTGTATAAATATTATTTCTTTGATTTTCACCTTTGTCATTTATATTTATTTGAGAAACAGTATTTCTCACTTCATTTTCTATTTGGACATTGTCCCTCTAAAACACAAATATTGTTGCAATTACTAAAACCATAGTATATAAATTAAACTACTATAGCAATAACAAATAAGGTTAAAGTATCAGAATTCATAGTTAATACAAAATGTAAAACTTTAATATTTAATAAATATTTAATTATTATTATATTAGCCTTAGTTTTTTCACTATTATTTTTGAGGACGAAACTAATACTTATACTTAACTACCCACTTTTGATTTTAAAATAGTAAACTATATTAAAAATACTTAAATAGAGAAAATGGGTAGTATTATCACTCCTAAAAATAAAGAAAATATAATATTTTAAATTATATAGTTAAACATATAGCATGTTCATAAAATAATTGGTCTTGGCTAGAATTTTATTTTTAGTATAGAAACAAATTAAGTTTGTTTTTACATTAAAGAAATCAAATAACAGTTAACAAATGTTTAGATAAAATTAAATTCAATTGTACATAAAAATAAGATTTAAATAAATATCAAAATCTGTTTAATTTTTTAAACTTACAGAATTTATTGATGTATGTTTAGGATGGAGGGATGTAGATGTGTAGCTAGTTGAACTGGAACTGTATGTTGATTCTAAACTGCTACAACTGCTAGTAAGGTTATGTTTTAATTCTGGTTTAGTATGGGACTTGCCATTTATGTTTAATGAATGTGTGCCCTTATTAAATCATATACAATTAATTAGTAATTAATTTTTTGAACTATAACAATAAAATCATTAGACTATCAAAATAATTTATAATTTGTATACAATAGATTTTCACTCACATTAGTTGTTGAATTTGATTTAAAATAATTTATATTATCTTTTAATTGATTATTTTGATGTATAATCTAAATTAAATAAATAAATTGTTAAAACATATGAAACTATTATAAATTGTAATATAAAAAAATAAAAAACATAATACAATTTATTATATCAGTCATTCCAAGGATTAATAATAATAATAATAATAAAAAAAAGTGGTATAATTCAAATTATGGGTTGGCATTGTTGTAGTTGGGAAAGCGAGAAAGTTGCTAGGATTTAAGGGTGATTTATAGTGCAATAATTTTTATTTTTTGATTAACCAATGAAACACACTATTAAAAATAATAATAATTTTGAGACCTATTAAAAAAATTTAAATTTGAAAATTTGGATTTTAGATGTTGTCACCTATTAAAAGTCAGACAAGTTTTGTCGGTTTGTCCATTCGTTAGTCTATACTAAACAAAAATTACTAGTACAGTGAATTTTCTGCTAACGATTACTTCAGTGTAACGGTAATTTTTTTTAGTCCCGTCAAGTATTATGCTTCTATAGGAAACCTTAAATGGACCGTCATTCAGTGACCGTTATATGGAAGTTTTATTGTAATTTAAAACAATGACATCAATGCACAAACAAATGAATACTACCCAAAAAAGATAAAAATTACCACAGATATTAATAATTATAGCAATTATCTAATTGAAATTATGTTCACAGAAAAAAATTAAACCACTAAATAATAAAATATATTAGATTTATAAATTTGCATGATACAAATTTATTAATGAATGTCTTTTAATAAGAGTGTAACACATTGTAACCATTTTCCTATCCATCTATCACGTACTAAAATTGTAATTATGCATATGAGTATAAATATATGAACTGAATATAAAATATACCAACAAATGAAACTAACAGAAAACAAAAATTAAATTGATATTTATTTGTACACACCATTTATTAATTATAATTTCTCAATACAAATTAAAAAATTTCTAGTAATAATCTAAAAGAAAAAAAGTTTTAAAAGTTGATTAACTTCAACATAATTTGTTTCTGATACATTCTGAAAATATAAAAATGTAGATTATTATCTTACTTTAGTTTCAGTCACACATATGCCAGAATTTGGTTGATGGCTTCTATGATAATTATTAGCATTTCTACTATAATTATTTATAGGATGAGGCTAAAATAAAGAATAATATAATAAAGAATTAGTATGATTAACTAAAATTTTAAAATAAAACTATTGGTTTGAAACATAAGTATTATTATGTAATTTTACATTTATTTGTCATTGAATTGTAAGATTTATCGCGCAAAAATAATAAGATATTGTGTACAATTACAGAAAAAGGGTATTGTTTATTGATAGAGATTTTGTATTTCCTTTAATACTGTACATAAAAAGTATAGTATATAGTTTATGACTTATGAAATATGATTTTAAATTAAATTTCAAAATATAAATTTTTATTTAATATGGCTAAAGGCTGCCTAAAAACCATTTGGATGTTAAAATAGAAAAATAAAACAGAAAACCTAAAACAAATGGATTAAAATACATTAGATTCTTAGTACTAATACTAATGAAGGTAAATATTTCATGAGTACATATATAAACAAAAATAACACTGCCTTTTGTTATAATAATAGTTGTTTAGCACGGTGTTGCCCATGAAATGCGTATAAATAATAAAAATAAATTTTTAGCCAACTAAATTTCCTGTATTTTCCCTTCTTAGGGGTGGAATTTCCAAAAATTAATTCGTAATTAACAGCTGCTTTATATAAGGAACCACTATGAAAAATATCAAGTTTCTAGACTCTGTCATTCAAATACAGTGAGGAATGAGTTAATAATAATAATGCATTTTTATAAAAATCACTTTGTTTCCATGGTTACTCAATATAGTACATATATTTCTATGATTATATTATTATTTTCTTGTTTTTAATCTGTACAAATATAACCATGGAAATATGGCATACATAATACACAATAATATTTAGACTGTGGAAAAAATAATTTAATATGTGATTTATTTATACAATTTTTATGAAATTAGAGAAACACACTTAAATACATTTTTAAACCATAAATTATACTACATGAATTCATTAAAACAGTATACGTACTTTGTTTCTACTAAAATTATGCGATACAGATGATTTATGGCCGTACGTATTATTAGGAATTAAAGTACCATTATAACGGTTTCTTGGCTGTAAGTAAATAAATGTCATTTAAAAATTTTAAATTTAGTAAGACATGTTTTAAACTTACAGGTCCAACATTTCCTTGTCTGGAATAGTTGTTGAATCTATTGTGGGCACCAGATGTGTTAAAATTCCGTGAAACTCCTCTACTGCTAACTAACTAAAACCCAGGTACAAATTTTTAATGAATATATTTTAGGTAATTTATAAAAAATAGTATTGAAGTCAGGAATTTTAAAACATTTTGATGGATTGGATAGAATTTGGATTTACTCAATTTAAGTTATATATCAAGAGCTTATAGATGATCAAGATCTTTCACAGTTTTAGTCACCTTTGATAGACAATACCTACCTTATGATTTTGAGAACAGATACTTTGGTCCCTATTGTATCAATTCTTTTACGATCCTAATTGACCAATGCAAACAATGTTAAATTAATAATACGGTTAAAGTCTACTAGACACCCTTTGTTTTTCAATTTTTTCTTTCTTTTTTGTGGAAATCATTATTAAAGAAGTTACGAAGTTTGTCATTAATATGATTTTAGCTTATATACCTATCTATTTTACACACAATTATTGAGAATTCACTGTGGCACAAGGGGTAATGTGTTATCTATTTAAGTTCTAGGTCTAATTTCCGTATGTGACTTGAACACTTTTATTTTGACCAGAGGTTCACCCCAATCAATTCATTTTTTTCTGTATGTTACTTATTCGATGTGGATTTTCACAAAAGAAAAGAGGTTATTTTTGATTAAAATAGTCTGAGTGAGTGAGTGAATCCGCCAGGACTCTAGGTGCGACCACAGTACTTTTTCGTTATTCTCTATTACCTACTTGACATGATTTTACACAACAAATTGAGGGTTATTTTAGATTAAAACAATTTATTAAATTGAAATATTTTAAAATTAGACATGTGTTTTACAAAAAAAGTGCATAAATTTACTGTGCATTGGACGGTATCGAACACGAAATCACAATACCTATACGGATAAGGCGTTATCCAATGGGCCACGATCAATTCTGAATAATTGTGTGTAAAATTAGTAGGTATATAAGCTAAAACCATATTAACGACAAATTTCAAACTTTCATAACTTCTTTAATAATGATTTCTGCCAAAAATTTCAAACAGTTCCAAAAAACGTGTAAACATAGCCAAGTATAAAAATTATCAAGAGTAATACTATATATTCAATTACAAATTGTTTTTTATTAAATACATATGTATTAAATGAAAAATTTCAATATATATATATTTCAAATATATTATGGATAATAAAAAACTGTTAAACAAAATAAAATAGTACACATACTTTCTTTAATGGTTTGGATTTTTGTTTTTTTATAAGGTCAGTCAAATGTTGTGTTTTTTGAGTAGTACTGGCTTGTACAATACTGATTCCTCCGCAATTTTGAATAGTGAATTTGTCCGATGATTGAAGCAAGTTTTCTAAAGATGAAAATCCATATCTTCTGTATGCAATTCGTTCACCATTTAATTTAAAGTACTCATCTGAAAGAATTGCAAATATAAATTATACAAATGTAAAAATATACAATTATGTATTCATTAAACTTATTATAATTATATATTATGTTATGTCAAAATGAGACGAGTTATTCAAAATTATTGAATATGTCATAATCAAACTAAACAGTTGTGTAGCAGACAAGGGGAGGGGGAGGTGATGGATGATAGGCATAGAGGTAATATAATTTTTATGATTAGGTAATTATACAGAGTGATAAATCTATTATAAGACACACATTATATCGGAAAGTATTAATATTTCTAGAACATTTAAGAAACAATTAAGGGGATCATTAGGGGGATAATCTTAAGCAAATTTTATTGTGTACTCATAATTTATATTTATAATTTTTTTTTTTTATAAATTTACAAATGAAAAGAAAGTTATTATAAAATAAATAATATAATAATGTTGACATTTTTTTATAATGAGAGAACCCCGTATGTTATTTTGTGGTGTATTACAATTTTTAAACTGTCTTTCCTTTATTAAGCTACCCATCTATGCTACTAAAACGAAATATAAAAATAGTTAGGTCAAACTCCAAATGATTTGTGTAGTTCGGACTTTTACAAACAAGAATACAAACAAGATTATTATCTTAGGATAAATAATTAGTGTCAAAATTAAAATTTTTTTTTTAAATTGCTTTATATTAAGATATTGCAATATTATTTTTTTTATATTATTATTAAATAGTACTACAAAAAAAAATAAAAAAAATAAAAAAATACATACAATATTCAATATTACAAAAATGATTATTTGTTCAGGCTTGGCTGCTGTGGCATCTTAAACTACATACACTTTCAAATTATGTGAGTTCATCAACTTTACTGACAGTTTTCCAATACACTTAGTATTTGTTAGGGTTTAAACTAAAGTAAAATCAATAATAAATAATATGCATTGTGATAAAAATATACCTTCCTATTATATTTTCGGTTTTTGTAATAATATAAACTTGTAATTAATGAATAATACCTATTTTAATAATATATGAACACAAAGATAAGGAAAATACTACACGTTAAGTAGAAAAAATTAAATTTCGTACTCTTGCCAATATTAGTTATTTATCTTAAAATTTAACAAATCTTATTTGTTCAAGTCCAAACTACACAAATCGTTCAGCATTTCGCAAATCAATTTCGTTTATTCTAGGTTATAGTAATCTTGATTGGTAAATGTCCAAAACTAGAATTTTCAAAATCCAAAATTCAGACATTTAAAGATAACAAGAAGTAAATTCTAGTTTTCACAGGTATTTCTACTTTTACTGTAAAACATATGTACATATAAGAGTACTTTTATATGATACATGTTTAATTTTTAACATATATTTGATTAAAATATCCTAAATTTACTTTATATTTGAAAACAATTCCTATTTTACTTATAATATTGTATTGAGTTGTATATTATTAATAATGTAATTTACAAATTTAATAAAAAATCTACATACTTTCATATCTATAAAAATAGTTTATTGATTTATACTAGTTAGTATATTTCTATCTTTAATCTTGATAAAAAATATTTAAAACACTGGTATTGTCTTTAACTGTTTTGGGTAGCACACTCTTAATTGTAAGAAAAAAAAAAAAGGGCTAATTCCATTATTTCTTCTCTTTCCTCTTGATCCCAACTATCAAAAATCCTTGATCCAAAAAATAATGAATACTAATATATTTACTAGCAAATAAGACAAGAAATAAATAGGGGGAGCTAGTCCACACAAAAATATTCTTAACAAAATTAATTATTTATAATTTTTAATTATTATTTTTTACCATGTGCTAATTTACAAATGTGCTGTGTATATTTATCATTTAGTTTAACTACTAAAATAATTTTTTAGAATTAAAAATATAAGCTCTTTTATAACTTTAATTTGTTCAATCATTTAGATCCAAAATTGAGCCAAGATATCATAGAACATGTTTTCATTAACAGATGCCTAGTTACAGTATAGGTAAACACAATCAAAAACCATTTATATAAAAATTACAACTTACTTTCTATGTCATTTAAAGGTATTCCACCTTTACAGGAAACCAAACAAGCTCTTAAATTGATGTATACATTATCTAAATCACTCATTTTTCTGGTTTTGGTCTTGGTATTTCTGAGAAAAATAAAATATAAACTTTAATACACGGAAATGTACTATAAAATATACATAAATTAGTTAATTAATCTAGTAAAATGACTACCTATTTATGCAATAATAGAATATTTTATTTGTATACATCAGAATTCATAATGTTATGTAATTTAAGAACAAATTATTATTTATATTTTCTTACCAATAATAAGTGTTAGCAATATTTTTTTTGTAAAATTTTGTTTGGTTTCATATTTATTTGTTGTTTTTTATTTATTTGTTACTATGAAATAGCTACTAAATTTAATTAAATTAAAATATTATCAAATCTAAATAAATGGATAAAACAATTACTATTTGTACAACTACTTAAATCAATAATTACTAGTAGTACATCCAGCATACTTGTGGTGAATATATTTTAATATATTTTATTTTACCAATCAATTGAAACTCAAGAAGAAGTATTTATATTTATATTCAATATTATATATTACAGATGTGTATAATATTTGCATCCAATTTCTCCATATAGACCAAAAACCTACAGATCTATAGTATCTAAGTTATTAAAAATTCTAAATACACACAATATAGGTATGAATATAACTATAGGTATTATAAAAGGGGTTAGGAAAAAATAGTAAAAAAAGAAATATATTTATTTTAATATAAAAAGTAATATGATGAGTTAGAACTACACAATATTATTTAGCAGCGGTGGTCAGCTTACGGCTCTCATCATAGTCTTATGCAGCTCACATCTTATTTACAAAAACCAAAATTCTCTTATTATTATTATGAATATTAAATTTTTTTCGTATAAATTTATATATAAAAAAAATGTTTTTATTATATAGATATAAGGTTATAGAATACAAATTCATAAACAAATATATATAATAAACTAATATCAACAATAAATAAAAAAATAAACGTTAAGTTAAATTTGTTTGAGTGATAATTTTTTTTGTATCTACTTTTTTTTAGTAATCTTTCTAAGATTTGGTTGCGTTGATATAAGAACATTCTCAATAATTCTATGAGATGATTATCAGTTAAATTTGAACGATATTTCGACTTAATTATTTTCATTGTGTAATAAAGAGATTCACACAAATATGCCATTTCAAAAATTTGATATAAATTTTACCACACAGTTTTTAATATTTAGATAGTGGAAATCGTTAGAAAACTCGTAACCTAATCAAAACAAAATAAAATTGAATTAATACGTAATTTGAAAATATGTTTATGGGCGGTTAGCTACCTTTATTACTATTGTATTATAAAAGAACAAATTAGACCAAATTATATAAAATTATAACATGTATTTACTAACATTTTGGTTCTTGATATTATTGTATTTATATATGTAGCTAGTGAACATATATTCATGATAGCCACCCCTGTTATAAAGTACCATATGATAGATACCTACACTATATTTGAATACCATTGGCTATATTATATTATATTCAATGATAATATTTTAAATGTTTTCACAAAAATATTTATTGGAGCAAGTTATTGAAATCAACAGTCTATTATCAAAAGTAACAAAATTAACTACTATTATAGTGTAAGTATAAAATATACAAAAATAAACCTATAGCATATAGTGAAAAAATAAATTATCTGAATATTTGTGACTTAAAATAATAACAGTTAAAAAAAGAAATTTAGATTTATACAAGTATGATTAACAATTAACAATTATTCATTTTTAAAAATCAATAAATACACTAAATAATAAATCATGAAATAATAGTATATTACATCATGCATAGGTATAATAATAAAATATTTGTAATAAATTCAAAAAAAAAAATTTAATTTAATTTAATAATATATAACATGTAGTAAAAAAAAATGTATTTATTTAAAATGTATATATGCTATAGCGTTTAAGAAATTTTAAATATGATTATTAACGATAATTTTTACTATCTGCAATCGGTGTGTGATTTGGAAATCCAAGTTATCGAATAGTCATTATCCAGAGTGCAGCAATAACAATGTTATACAAATACATATGCTATAGCCATAATTTAATTTTAAGTTGATTTTTATGTATTTTGTAATTGCACTACAATAGTAGTCAATTTTTTACACTCGATTTTGATTATAGACTGCAGATTTCGCTAACTTGCTCCAACAGTGATTTTTGTGAAAATGTTTAGAATATTATCATTGAATATTTTGTTATATAGTCAATATTATTAAAATATTGTATAGGTACCTATTATATGATACTATATAATATGTAGTACAAACCAATAATATTACTTTTATATTATGTGTAAAAAAAATATATTCCTTTTTTTCCCTAACCTATTTTTAGATTTAGATATGGATAATTAAATTATTTTTTTATACCAATTAATATACCTACTAGGTACCTACACATTTTATTATTCAGGTTCACTAATGGAAATTAAATACTAACAACAAAATAAAAAATTAAAGTAACTGTTTTAATGAGTAATTATTATTTATAATTTTATATTCTACATTTTATTAAATGTTAGGATGTGTAGATATTGTATATTTATATGTTCAGATAAAATGAGTGGTGATTGGAAAATAGTTATTATCCTCCAAAAAAGTATATAGGTTCATTAAACTTAAAATAGTTATAGTCTGAAAATATTCAAATTTTTTTTTTGTTTAATTTGAATATAGTAATTAGTTTGGTGGTGTAATAAATGGGAGAGAAGGATATGGTGTTTGTCATTTTTCAAAATTGTAAAGTTATGCCAATTTAAAACTAATATATAGGTAAATAAATGAAAAGGACCACAGAATACAATAATTAATTATAATCTAAAAATTATTTAATTACACTGACATCATAAAGTATTAAAAACGAGGGTATGGAATATTAAACAAACGCAACAGATACCACAAAGGTTAATATTATTGATAAGAATTTTAAAAATGTGAAAATAAGGTAGGTCATGACAAGATATATGAACGATATACTTACCAATTGTACATAAAACATGAACAAAAACTAACGTAGTGCGAATAAAATATGCAAAGAATGTTAGTAAAATGCAACGCGTCACTCTTTGCGCATCTACAATAATAAGTTCAATTGAAGGCAACTGTTTTTAATTGGATTTTGACGGGAATTAATGTTTAGACGGAATGCGAATAAAATAAATTACGGTAAAAGAAAAGCGAAGGAAATAAAGAATAAACATGTGTAGAAATATTATAATATGTGACTAACTTGTTATAACTTTAATTATTACTGCAGCCGACAAAACAAACCGACAGTTGAATGGAAGTGACGTCGACGACAAACTGTAGATGGAATAAGTTCATGCAGTTCACGGAGAAAGTATAATATGTAGTCACTCTACATTTAATAATAATTCTGATCCAGTGTTCACTGTGTATATTGTATATCGGTTATCCGATGTGCAATCGAAAGAATGCCATAAGTGTCGTGCCGATATCGTTAAACAATATCGTAATCTACTCATTTATTATGGTTAATAATTCCCAAATGTTTATACTGCGAATGCGCCCAAGTGTTAATAGAATGAATTTTATTTATTTATAATTATACTATGTATATATATATATATACAGAGTGATTTTTTTTATCATGAAATAGAAATTTTCTCGGAAGATTTTAAGTGAATTCGATTTCAATTATTTTTTAATCATTATGGAATCGAAGTAGCTTTATTTTAAAACCATTTTAAACTTTTAATTTCTACTTCATATACCTTAAATACGTATATACTTTTGTTTTTCAAATAGAGTGCATCATGCAATTCATTACCCTTCCCTACTCCTCCAGTCTGAGTTTTAAATGGTAAATCTGATATTAGTGTTATGCATATCAAAAATTGTAGAAAAATATTCTCAATTCAAATCTGTGTTTAAAAAAGGGGAGGGTTTCTATTTGAAAAAAAAGTGTATACTTATTTAAGGTATATGGAATAGGGGTTAAAAGTTAAAAATGGTTTTAAAATAAAAGTTAACCGATTCCATAATGATAAAAAAAAAAAATAGAAATCAAATTCACTTACAATCCTTAAAGACAATTACTAGTTCATGATAAAAAAAATCACTCTGTATATTTTGGTGGGTATTACCTCGTGAACTGACACAGAGTGCATTCCATTCTATATTGTTATCAACTATCAAGACGTACCTTTAAACTTTATCTATGGGCAGACTTATATATATAAATAGTTATATAGCTTACATCATATATTACGGAGAGGGTTATTGACTAAATATTTGAAACAAACATAACTAAGGGGAGTTAGGACAAATGCGCATGCGCAAAATTTATATTATACACAATAGGTCGAATTCATGTAATCATTTTTTATGTACTATTAAAGCCCAGTGATATTAAAATGATTATACGATAACTATGCAACGAGTACTGATACAGATACGCAATAGACATCAGTCCCCTTAGCACTCGTTAACGTCTTTTACACATAGTACGCGTTTATCGTGCAATAGCTCTATCCATTATATATGACCATAAGGTGTATGGTTATAATCACAGACCTTTTGATTACCTCATAGACCAGCCGCCCATCATATACCAAATATATTGGTAGGGCACTATGCATAGACAAATATACTATGGAATAGCGTCTTAACATTGGGAACCACATGCTGACATAGCGTAGTGATGAGGGCCGTCTATGGAACAGTGATACAATGTATACAATATATTGAAATATCTTATGCATGACAATATTTGAAATTTAATATTTATACTTATAAAATAACGAAGTCTATTTAATATTCTTAATAATTATTTCTTTACAAACAAATAAATATTAAACAATCGGAAAAGTGTAATACTGTCACTAATAGTGTTATTGCATACAATACATTTTAAACCCATATTACATAGAATTAGGTACAATACTTTGTATTGCATTTAACAAGTGGACTGCCATGAGTAACATAATTGGTACTCACGTGATTTGTATTATAGCTCTATAAAAATACCGTGGCATTCAACTTGTTAAATTATCTTTAATTATAACAATCCATAATAAGAATATTATAAAAAGCGCGAAAAACCCGATAAATATACAGTTATTTTTGTACCGTATCAGAGTAACTCAGTAACCGAAACACGCCAACAACTTTTATACGAAACGAGGAAACGTGAAGAGGTCCGGGTTTAAGACTAAAAGATCTATGGTAATCAGTGCCAGATTTTAACACCTAGAGAAAATTAAAACGTTACGCCTATTTTAGGCAAATAACCAGTCGATATTTTTTTCTTTCTAACTTATTAGCTAAAAGTATTTATTTTTGACTAGTTACCGTTAGATGTTCCAAAATTTGTCAAAACCTGTTAACAGGTCATTCTATTAAACTGGTTGAAAAAAACAATTGCTAACATCCATATTATAAGCTAATCAAAAAAATTTCTAAAATAGGTACTTGAAATAATTCTCCGATTAACTATTAAATACCTATATAAAAATACATACTTTCAACGCTTCTAACAAGGAATATCACCAATTATTGTAAAGTCTTGGATGATCTATTAATTTTTGTATAGTATTATTTATAGCATATAGTTTTAATACTGTATTCCACAAATTATAAACTGGTCTTCTTCATTTTCAAAAAAAAAAAATAAAATAAAAACGTTAACTGAACTGAGTAATTTTTAAAATTATGGCCAATGCAATAATCGGTTTACAAAAAACTAATTACAAAATGTATAAACCATAGAATAAAATATCGCGGCTTCATAATGAACAAAAGTTTAAGGTTATGTTCATGAGTAAATTAGAACAATGTAATTTCGCGCCTTGTAGATTTTAAATCATGTTGAAAAATAATTGTTTGAAACGTAATTTTTTTTGTGCAAAGTATAGATATAGTACTTAATTTTTAGAAAAATAATTAAGTGAATTCCTTAGAAGCTGGAATGTTGTAACTCGTAAAACTTATTTTCGCCAAAATAAAACTTCAGAATATTATGTACTTACCATGACCATATAGACTGTAATAATACATAATAGGTCTGGCAATTGTAATAGTATTATATGGCCGCCGACGGTCCAGGGGATGTAGCATCATCTATTTTTGTACATATAAACATGCTCTACTCATATTTAATATGAGTAAATACTACTTTCCCCCTGCCAAAGTCGAATAATATCTCATCAACGGGTTGACGGATAGGTATTAAACATTTTAACTAATATTCCATCTATTTATGTGATTTTTAATATAGATTCTTATTTTAAAAACCGATGATGGACATCTTGGACTCCCATGTGTTGAACATAAGGATACTATTGTTGCATATTCTATAAGATATTATATGAATATGCGCGTAGTTCACAGAGTCAAAAAAAACAACAAAAAAAAGAAAAAATATTTAAATTCTGCAAAACTTAATTCACTTATATCATTTTTAGATTCTGAGTGTAGCAAGGAATGTATTTGTTTTGGAATGTTTATTTTTTTTTATGTGAATACTTTTTCTGCCAATAAGCACACTTGATTATCAAGTATAGTACCTTTTCTGAAAGAAAATGTTTTCCGGATAGTACATTAGAGAGGCCATTTTTTGAGATTATTTTTAATATTCGAGTCAATGAGGAGAACCTCAGTGCTAAGGTTTAAAAAGATTGAAAGATTAAAAATAAGGTTGTCATTGGCAACCGTTTTTATATATTTTTTGTTATTATTAAGTTTTTTTGTATTTTAATCTTTTAAACAATCCTTGTCATGGCTAAGGCCATAAATTAGATTTGATTTGTTCCAGTACCTAGCATATATTAATATTTGCACCATTCAAAAAACTGTATTTTTTTTTCTTAATAATTTATGCTTAAAAAACTAAAATGATGTTTTTGCACCTTAATGTTAAAAAAAAAGTCATTTGATTTATATAAATATTTAGAAATATTGCACACTTAAAGAATCTATTTATCTATTATCTATAAAAGTATTAATGCGTTTACATTCAATAGGATGGAAAAAAAATTATACATAGTTATTATTCACTGTGAAATCAAAATATTCTAGTGATTTACTAATTAGTACAGTTTTAAGTTATGAATTCACTATTTTTCAGTTTTACAATTTTTTTTGTTTCTCAAATTATTTGTTTAATGTAAATCTTTCTGACACTAAATAATTAATATGTGATTTATTCTTCATAATATTTGCTTTGCAATAATCCATCATGCCCAATTCATCTGTAATATCGGTCTTTAATTTGTCTACTAAAATAATCATTGGCTTTATTTTTTCATCAGATATCCTATTAAAAATTGAAATTGCTAAAGAATTAAATATATTTTTAAGTCAAATCTCTAATGTAAAATATTTTACTGTTTTTGTAAATCGAGTTGTTCATTAGTTTTTTCAGTAAAATGTTTCCAATAATTCAATTCTCGATTCATTTGGTCAATATTTTCTTGCATATTATTAATTAGTTTACTCAATGGATTTGCAGATTTAGTTATATCCTGTATAAATTTCCTGATTGTATCCATTTCCTTTATTAACATCTCTTGATCTTTAATATTCTTCCCTTCCCACTCCTATTAGATTAAATTCATTAACATATTTGTATTAGAGAAAAAAATAAAATAAAATAATTTGAATTAACTATTTTTGAAGAGTTAGTTTTGTTTTTTATATTAAATTCCGATTGTGTTTGTAGTATTTGTGATACAAGGTGACCTTGTCCTTCTCCCTAAAAACAAACATAAATAAGTTGTATTATTAAAATATTTATTTATAAATTAATACTATTAAAAAACCATTATGCTACCTGAGTAAAGGAATCATAAGATTTATTTTCATTCATTACTTCAATTGTAACAACATTATCATCAATATCATTTATTTTGTCATCATTTTTTGTAAAAAAGCTGTCAGAATATTTAGGAATCCTAAAACATTATTATAATCATACAAATTTTAAAATATATTCCAATTATTAAAAAAAAAACTAATGAATATGAAAATTATTCACTCAGCATATGTATTTGACTGAGGGCGTCGATTAGGTGCTGGAGGTCTAGAACTTTTTGGCCTTATAGGTTTACTTATGTTAAATGTTTCACTTAATTTGCGAAGTTGATTTTCTTCTTGATTAGATTTTTCTGCTGATTCAGAGTCTTCTTTTTCTAAAGTTTGTTTATTTGTTAATTGAGATTGGTCATCGCTGGATAATCTAAACAATACAATTAGTTTATTATTTAAAAACATGAAATAATGTCGTTAAACTTCTAAATTACTCAGTTTTATGATTATCAACAAAATTTGTCACATCTTCATCATCTGATTTTACAGCAAATTCTAAGTATGATTGTTTTATTACATCCGGCTCTACATTAATTGGTTCATTTTTTTTAACAATTATTGAATCTTCACTATTAGATTTTTGAAATGTTTTTTGTGGATCTTGATCGACGTTATCTTTTAATTTTTTCTCTTGAGATTTAGTTTTTTCTAATACTTTTGTCTTTTGATTAACAATTTTTGATGTTTCTAAATTTTTATTTTTTGAATTTGTTGAACTGTGTTCTTTAAATTCTTTATTCTAAATACAAAAATATATTTAAGAAATATATAAATACATATACATAAATACTTTAAATATATATTTTTTCTATTATTTTAGTATTGCTAAATTATGTGCTGAGTTACAAGTCTTTATGCACTTTATAACTTATATTACTTCAAAATTCATATTGCATAAAGTTTATTAATTAACAATACAATTAATATATTATATTTTGATATTGTGTTTTTTGTAAAAATGATTATACATATATAGTTAACAATGTTAAATTGTGTATTAATCAAATCAATACATAGTATAAAATAAAGTCGCTTCTTTTGTTCAGGATTAACTCCGAAACGATTAAATGGATTTCGATGCGATTTCATTGTTGGATAGGTGATTAGTTGAGGAAGGTTTATAACTATTGACATCTATCCTCTATTGAAAACCATCCCCTAAAATTCAGTTTTTGAGTATTATTATTATTATTATTTATTTATTTGGAATACCTTAGTAACACGAATGAAATAAAAAAAAATTGAAAAGGTTAGTCAAAACATATCTATGGTAATTAATATTAATAAAAATAATTATAAAGATCTGTGCCATATTATGCAATAAAACTGTAAAAATTTCTATTAAGACTTTAAGTTGGTTTCAGGAAAGAGCAATACTATCATCAACTAATAAGCAAGTCAATAAAATAAATGACACAGTACTGTTAAAATTCAATGCACCAACAAAAATTTACTATTCAGTTGATACTACTAGTGATAGAAGAGGCAGTACATTATCCAACTGAATTTTTAAATTCTTTAACCCCTCCTGAGACTCCATCACATAAATTAACTCTAAAGGCGCTTTTCCAATAATACTACTCCGAAACTTATGTCCACCAAAATTATTTAACGGCACAAGATTTCAAATAAAATCTTTAAAAAATTGTATGCTTGAGTGTATGATTCTTACTGGCTATATAGTTGGGGAAAAGGTTTTGGTTCCTAGAATACCAATGATATCACCAAATCACTATTCCAGGTTTAAATGGCTCCAATTTCCCGTAAAATTATATTTTTCAATGACTATCAATAAGGCACAAGGTCAAACATTAAATGTTGCAGATTTAGACCTAACCATTCAATGTTTTTCCTATGGTCAATTTTACGTGGCTCTATTACGTGTTACATGCAAAAAAATGTATTTGTGCTGGCCCAAGAAAGTGAAACACTTAATGTGGTGTATCCAGAAACATTTAATACTTAAAGCAAATAGTAATTTAAAATTTAAAAATATATGCCATAATAGAATACATTTAATCCACCAAAGGTGGAATATCTATTTTTCACCTTTTTGTTTTTATTTATTACTGATATGGTCAAAATCAAAAAGAAATATGGATAAAAAAAATTAAAATTGGCACAAACAAGGCAGCTGGTTTTTAATAAAAATAAAGATATTTATACAATTAATTATATCATTGTAAAATGTGATAAAAGAAATCATTATACTGAGATTATTTTAATTAATTATGATTTTAATACAATTATGAAAATCAATAGTTTCACTAGAATTTTGATATAAAATTAGTTTTATTCATCTAAAAATACTTAAAAGTTATGAAGATTGAGATACTATTTTTAAAATGGAGTAAAATAAAAATATATTATTTAATAAGTCTTAAGAATTATTTAACACAAATATATTTGAATGTATCAATATATTCAAAATAATCTAGAAAATATTTATAAAACTCAAAGAATGGATCGTCAGGATTTTATTTCTATTCAAAATAGAGAATGTTTGTGGAGTAAATTATAAAAAAGACCTATTGAAAGGGATAAAACTATTACTTTTATTATGAATAAAGAAATATTAATGATAGGTATATTGAATAATTTTTTGAGAAAACATTACAAAACAATACTACTTTTCTATAATCCTTTTTTGACTGCAATGATTTAATACCTACTACAATAACATGGTGCAAATTACATCCTTCATTTTGTTTCTGAAGTTTAATTTATATATTTCTAATAAGGTATGATGGAGCATGTGTAAGTGCTCTGTAGTAATACTTGTAATATGATACTATGAAAATTGTATAAAATGTGAGGGATATCACACACAATAAATAGGTTAAAATAATACCTATATAAGTATTTTCAGTGTCAATATCATTCAAATTAAGTGAATGGTATACCTATACAGTGAATAGGTATTTAATATTTAACAATGTAATATTCATATTCCACAAGTTCATCTGAAAGTGATTTGGAGGAAGATGTAGAAAATATTACTGTAGCAACATATATTTTAAATCAGTCTTGATCAGTTGCAGAATTTGGGTTCATAATATTAATATGGAATGAAATTAAATTAAATAGTTCCCATATTAAATTATTATATCTTTTGTCTGTTAACAGTTGAATTGATTTTAACCAAATATTAGTCCTTAATTAAAATTTTGTATTATTAAAATTATTTCTAATTTTAAAAATGTATAGTTGAACCCATATTTCATTTAGACTTTTAGGATGGTTTAAGTATAAAAGTAATATGCGCTAAAACATTTTTAAGTTATCTTAATTATCAAATATTTAATTTAATAATAAATCAATAGAAAAGTTATTATTTTAAATTGAATAATTAATATTTATTAAAATAGGCATTGAAGTTTAAAATGAATTCATTAATTTTATATAAATTCCTTGAGATTCAAGTTTCTAGAAATAGAGGCAACTGTGATAAAAATAATACTAATATTAGTTTTGATTACTGAACTAAAACCATAGCCAACTTTTAGGTACCTGGTCTGACTAAATATTTATATAATTTTAAAATAAACTCAATTTAGTGGATCAAGTGGATGGGTATCTATTTAAAAATCAGAATTGATTAATATTTAATACCTGATCAGTTGAATTTTTATTTTCTAATTAAAATATTTTAAGTAAATTTTCATAATTTGTTTACTTGTGTTTCAATTCCAAAAACAATTGTCATTAGGAGCTCCAAGGTTTTTGTCACTTCAAGTCCTGCAACAATTTTTGTGGGTTTTGCTGATACTGTTTTACTTGTTGTAGTTTCTGAAAAAAATGGATTGTTACAATTTAAGTATATACTAAAACAAGCCCATATACAGGGAGAATTTTAGTAGTTAACCCCCCCCCCCACAAGCAAAGTTTTAAAAGTAGATATACATTTATAATATAACAAAGACTATAAACTTTAAGTTTATGTATTAAACAAATTTTAAACCCCTTGACAATTGATTCTGAATACATGCTTGTAATATAAGCATGGTTGAACAGTATTTCAATTACCTACATTTAAAATATATCATTTGATATATTTTACCTTTCCCTAATCAAATTATAAGTAAATTAATGGACTGCACTAAAACTCAGTTAAGAAAATTATTCATTCAACATCTACTTTCATCCTATATTTCCATTTAATGAAATCTCCCACATCACCCTCTATACACTGATTGTATATATATTATTCTCAAATTCATTCAACCACCTTGTTTTTGATCTTCCTCTTTCTCTTTACGTATATTATCATTTCCATTCTTACAAATTTTGGTAACAGTGTTATAAGCAATACACCAATAGTTCAATAGTGTTGTCAACAAAATAATTTGTACAAATAGTTAATTAATAGTAAATGGACATTTCACCCCTGTTAAAAACCAGTTCACAGACGTTTAGACATTTTGTCCCCACCAATTATTTAGATATGACGTTTGGTAAAACAAGCAAAAAAAGGCACAGCCAAAAACACAAATTCATATAATGTTTTTTTTTTATTTAGAAATAAATTTTAAATCAAATTAGTTTAGTTATAAAAAATAGTTTTTCCACAATACAATGATATTACAATGTTGGTAATTTTAATCGTACTGTCATCAGGGACAAGTGTCCCGATTAGGAGATAAGCGAGCAAATACTAGTAGTCCCAGAATTAATTAATTTTTAATTCTAACTTCACCACGAATAAAAACAAAAAAAAAAACAAAAACAGAAATTAACTAAGATGTCTAGGTTTTTGTCAGTAGCACCTGTCATAAGTAAGCAAAAATATACAAAAAGCAAAAATAATTTTAAAAAACTCGAAAAAAGCAATTTGATTAAAAACAATCAAAGTAAATTATAAAAAAGTATTTTCAAATTTTATATTTGAGATCATTGTAACATAATATGAGTTTCCCTAGCACAGTGCTAGATTTTATGTTAGGCTAAACAAATAAGCAAATGCTATAAGTCTCGAACCCGGCTCATGACATACCAAAACCATCTCAATCTATTTTCTCTAATTTTCTCCACTATCGGAACCACATACCTCTTATGTACTCGTGCCTTACCCTAACTTTTCTCCACTAATCTATCTAAGTAATCTCATCTCCACTTCACTCATTCTCTGTTCTATTTTTCTGTCTACCACCCAACACTGAAATATGTAAGAAAAAAAGATTACAACACACTTTTGTAAAATATATTTTTAAATCTCATTGGAATGCTTATGTCATATTAAACACCTTCTCTCCACTTGATCCATCCAATATGAGCCTGGGAACCAATTCTGATACATCCATCCTAGGTACTTAAAATTCAATTTCGCCTATTATGTTACTGCTTATTATAACTTAACTTGTCCCATCAACATGTAATGCTCTTCCTTCAAACTCATACTATATATACTTTGCTTAACTTATACTTATCCTTAGTCCCTTTTTTTGAAGTACTACTGTACATTTCTTATATCTATTAGAATACTTATTAACATTTTTCAAATTTCCTCCTATTGAAAACAATATCATCTGCCAACATCATGTACGAGTATAAAGTAATATTTAGGTAGGTGTACCTATCTTTTTTTTAATGATGAAAATGTATTTATTTTATACCAATATTACAAGACTTAGTACTTACCAATAGCAATAATTAGTTTTTCTAAAAAAATAATTTTAGTTTCTTTGGTGGTAATATTTGTAGAAATAATTTCTTCTTCAGTAAAAACATTAGATAAATATCCAGTGTTTCGAATCACCTAAAGAGTTTAAACAATTCATTAGAAAACCTTAAAAGATAATAATTTAAATCCACATTCAATGCACTCAATTTTTAAATATTTATAACCAAGTTTATTTATATTTTACTTACAAAAGTAAGGTACATATAGGTACAACAAAAAAATATAAAGTGCAATGTTTTAAAAACTTAACAAAGAGAAATTTATGTATTATTAATTATTACATAGAAAACTTAGGTTATAATAATTTAATTATTACTTACATTTGTTACAATATCATGAAGGAATTTGAATGGTGGTCTATTTAGTAATTTTTCAGTTAGCTGTGGTTTATTTATATGTTTAGATAGAGACGACTGTACTCGTTTTATAAGTTCTTTATTCACAGAATCCGTCATAGTAATATCTTTTTAATGGAAAATTAAAATAATGAATAATGTAAATTATGATCACAAACTCCCAAACATTATAGCGAGGTATATACAGTATAAATAGGTAAATACCTAAAAATGGAATACTAATAACTTATTAGTATTCCAGTAATAAGTAATACGATAGGCCTTTTTTGGTTTATAGTAAATCTATCTAGTTTACAGCCAAGTTCATAAATAGACATAAAAAAGACATAGATATATATATATTATTTTATGTGTATAATTTTATGATATGTGTGTCATTAAAATTTATCTATTAGCTTATACTGTTTATATTGAGTATCATAGATAAGTATAATATGTAGGTATTCAACTATCAACTATTTAAGTTAGACAAGGAGAGCTATGTTAATTATTGATAACAGCATATTTATATCATAGGTCCTTATTATTTTCGAACAATGTACATTTACAGGAGTTGAATAGCCAATAGGTACTTTTTATACAAATTTGGGAACCTCATTGGGCTGTCTTATCAAATATTGTTAGCGGTATGTGTGTAGTGAATTGTGATCAACTCTCGTGATAAACATGGTTCAATTGTTCATTTAAATTGTAATGTTTTGATAATTACATATTATGTTATATTAGGTTATTACATTAGTTTATTACAATATATTTTCATTATGTCGATAATTTGTAAATACACAATTTTCTATTTATCTAAACCTTTAAACATTACGACATCCAGCGAAGCGATGTTGAATCAAGTGCGAAGTGTTCATAATGTTCGTCCACCGCGTATGAAATATCCTTTATGGTATTTGCAAAGAGAGCGCGCGAAAGACGATCAGCAATTAACCGAAGACAACCGTGCGTTCGTGAAAGAAGCCGTTCATGACAAGTTTGGAATGCCCGCTGTAATTCACGGTATATCCACTTATGATGTACGGTCTGCTCTACGTGAGAAATCTGTAGAGTATGAAAACGTCGAATGGAGTCCTAAGTTCCAACGTACTGGTCTTATAGCTCGGAAACTTGGAAACTACCCAATGTGGTTGAACAATGGAAAAAGTGTGCTTACCACTCTATTACATGTCATTGACAACCATGTTATCAAGTACATTCCACCTGGCGAATTTGATCCTCCAAGAAAACCGTATTCATGCCCAAATCACAAAAAGAATCTTGGATGTCTTCTAGTAGGGGCTGAAAGTGCTGATCCTCAATATTTTACAAAACAGTACTGCGGATTATTTTATAAAGAGGGGATGATGCCAAAAAAACACCTTGGTAGATTTCTTATATCTCCAGAAGCTGCTTTGCAACCAGGTACACCACTTATGGCCTCTCACTTTAACCCTGGCGATTTTATTGATGTGCGTGGAAAAACTATTGATAGAGGATTTCAAGGTGTGATGAAACGACATGGTTTTCATGGTATGCCTGCCACTCATGGTGTAACTAAATCTCATCGTAGAGGAGGTAATGTTGGTCACGGTGGTGAAAAAGGTAGAATATTTCCTGGGACAAAAATGCCTGGACACATGGGTAACAGATATAGAATACATAAGGGAGCTGAAATTCTAAGAATAAACCACAAATTTAATATCATCTGGATAAAAGGAGTAGCTTCACCTGGAGAAACAAATTCTATTGTTTATTTATATGATACCTTATTGCCATTAAGAAAATACAAATCTTCACCACCATTTCCTACATCTAAAGTAGTAGAAGATGATCAATTAATAGATTCATATAGCGAAAAAATGTATAAGTTCACTAATCAAACTATTACTTATGAAGAAGAAAAATAAATCTATACTCAAAATATCTAGTTTTTATTATATTTAAAGATTTTATTTTGAATAGACATCTGTGTACTTGTTCATATCCATATTTACACTTAATTTTATTTAATGTCTTAAATCATATATGGTATAATACCTATATTTAAAAATTTAATACATATTGTAGTTTTATTTTATCTTTTTACATTGTATGAATTTATGATATAAAAATATATAACAAAATTCTTAATAAAAAAATCAAAATTGTTTAATTTCATTCTATACAAAATGAAAACAAAAAAAATAATTAAAATTCAAATACTATCATGCTAATATGAGTAAATGTTAACACCATAACACTAATATAATAATAAATGCATAATAAAATTATAAGGTACAAAAAGTAAAACTAACAGTTACAATACTTATAATAATTCTCAAAAATGAACTGCAGTAATTTATAAATTAGAGTCCTATTAATAAATATATCAGTACAATAGTAAGTTACAAAATTAAAATTAACACTTAGAAAATTGTATGTGACAGCCTGGTAAAAAACAATGTATTACTTTAAATTATCCAATTTAGATTTTAAATCGTCGAGAAAAGGTTTTGTGTCTTTTATATTGTGTAAAAGTGACGCTCCAGCAACTACAGTATATACATTTTCTAATATTATTTTATAATTCTCCTTCTTATTTGTTACATAATTAAACTGAAAACATTATTATAAAGATTAATATTGTATGTCATAGTAAACAAAATTTACATTCTTAATTAAATTTAAAAACAAAATACGTTTACTCACTGGCAATGTATATGGATTGTCGTTTTTAATTTCTGTTTCAGATTCTGTTGATGTTTCTATTTTAATAAGTTTATTTGGTGGAGAACCATTATCATAATGGTGATGGTGATGGTGATGATGATTTTTTTGTGTTATACATTTCTTGTTTCTGCGAAACACTGTATTCTTTTTTAATTTAGTATCTTGTTCTTCTCGTTCCATATCTCTTTTGGGGCAAGAACAAATTTTTACTGGGAGTATACGACGTCCAAGTACTTGTCCACTGAAAATAGAAAACTTAATTATTTCAAGAACCTAAACTATTTAGATAAATTTATAATCACTTATTATCTTCTAATGTGAATATAACAATTATTGGACGACGCTGCATTCCACTAAAACAAGAAGTTTTGCATACAAATCTATAAGACAGTCTGGTACTATCTGATCCATGCTCGGGTCTAGATAAAAGGGTTACCACACTTTTACGTTTGCTATTCTGATCAATATGATAAGTTGTACTGTCATTATCACAACGTAGAACATGTTCTAAATGAGTGAAACCTTTAAAACATAAAAAAATAAATAAATATAAAAATTGAATAACTGGAATAAATAAATTAATTTTTAATTAATAATTGAATATTTAATATATTTTTTTTTGTAACAAGTACTAAAAATTAAATTTATTTAAATAAGATAACTGCTTTACTAACTTAGTCATTATATAAACATATAAACATTATATTATGATATATATAAAATATTGACAGCTGTTAGATTTTATTAGCCTAATGTTTACAAAAGCTTATTTTAATACTTTTTTATATTTACTTTTATTCAACTGATCAATTGGTGATAAATGTTGTAAGCAACGTTCAACAGGTTCTTTCAACCAATTTGCTGCACTATACATAGGCATAGCACGTACAAATAATGGGATATCACAAGGAATCTTTTCATAATCATATTTAAAATTCAAAAGTAGCACATTATCTATGTCTATAAAAATTTTTTGTAATGCAACTGAATACTAAAATAAAATACACAATGAAAATTAGAATCAACTATTTAGACAATTATAAAATTCAAACATACATGCCATTTTTGACGATATGATTGAGAACTAGAATCCAACATCACTTCAAAATTCATGTGACCACCAAATTCATCTTGACAAGGTATAATACCAGTTGGACGTGATTTTACTGAACCAGTTGTACATGTACCACAATTTTCTTTCTCAGGCTAGAAATTAAAAAATTGCATTGAAATTTTGAATTACTATACAGAAATAGAAACAGGCATCATTTATGATACACCCCATTAATTAATTTTCATTCGAAAAAAATATACTTTAATTTTAATATCAACAATCAATTTTAAACCTTAGAGTTCATAAATTTAATATGCAGTGTTGTAATTAGAGGTTGGTAAAACTGATAATACCAATAGTGCATTTAAGTTGGTTACATTTTCAGTAATTTCACTGTTTTTTATTAAGTATCAGAATTTTTGATTTTTTTCCTGAATTGTTTTAATTTTTTCTTAAGTGAAAATTATAAAGTTTAAAAGTTGAATTGATGATATTTATTAATAAGTGTTTACTACTTTTGTATAGTAAGTAATTTTTGGGGTTGAACGAGTAGTGGCTAAAAATTATTTAATTTTTTTATTTTAAAGTTGAACTTACCACTTTCTCATGTTAGTTTAAAGATACAAATAGTGGATTCTTATAGTAAACTAGAAGACCTTTAATTTTATTTCTGTATATTTAAGTAGCAAATCTAATATTTAACAAGTTAGAAGTGAAAACAACAGTAGGAAGGTCAAATGTTTTCAAGAAACATTTATTAGTACATAATGTGTACCAAAATTCATTCAGTTTTTCAGAAATTAGTTTACAATTTTTTCCTAATTTAATTAGACTAAATTAGCAAGTATTAGAAGAAAAATGTATATCAAAATACTCTTTGGATCTACTCTATACATTGGTATTATTTTTACTATAAAGCACGGCAGAACTTGTAAGAAAAAGTGAATTTTGATAAAATTATATAATAGAGCACGACACTGTGTCTGTAATAAAAGCAAGTGGTCTCACTGAAACTTGCTCAACATAATATTCTAAGACTAATGTATACCTACTTAGTATTTACTTGATTAGGATTTTATTTGCAGGGATTGGCTGTGTTTTGGGTGTCTAACCATCTTAAGATAATCAAGGTGTAAAATAACCACTTTTTAATTCTAACATTTTTTATTTTAAATAATTTAAATATAATTACTATTTGTGGATAATTCAAGTCCACAATTATTCCATTTTCCATAGGTGTTGTAAAACAGTATTCACTATGTGGATTGACAACAATTTCATCAAAATTATGTAGCAATGGATTTAAAACTTGGAAGTTCCCATCATTCCTGATAAAATGGATAAAACAAATATTTTAGTATTTGTTTATATGTTTTCAGTATATAGAATCTAATTTAATTTAGTCAGTAACCAAAAATAGTTCTAATAATTATAACTATACGTACCTTTTATTTTGTTATGCATACAATATTTATTCAATTTTATAAAATATAGAATGAAAAGTAACAAACTAATTATAACCAAGACAAACAAATACAATAATATCAAGCAGAGATTGAAAATAGAACATTTTAATAGCAAGCTTATTATATAATGTGCATATACTTACTGATCAAAATTAAATATATCTTCATTAACAAGCTGCATATTTGATAGGTCTTCAAATTTTGGTTCATCCATCTAATAAATACATAAAAAAATATCTACACTAATCTCTTAATACTAACAGTTTAAATTTTTAAAGTAATACTGATTTTTCTTTTGGAGGGATATTGAGTAAATTTGTGAAAATATTAACCGATATCATTCAATATTTATAAAGGTTAAACAAAAAGTTAAACTGAATAGTGAATAACTATAATTATTACTTTCTAGGCATATAAAGATTATTCTATTAACCTATTACACTGTATTTAATATATTTTAAGGATCCCTAATGATTTAATTGATCTTCTATCCCCTTCTCTGTCATTATTAGAGCTCTTTCACACAAAGTCACCAGGGCAGCACTACAACAAAAAATTAATAATTAAATTAGGGTTTTTACACATGGTGGCGCCACCAAGTTGGTTATTCCACTCATAGAAGTTTGCGCGACCAAACATGTTATACACACAACCATTTAGATTAATATTGTTGTAATGTAAAAACATTTATTTTTTTCATTCGAATCACTGTCAGTGGCTCGTGTTTGTTGATTACTTTAGTTAATATTCTTTAATATGGATAGCCACTTTGATTCTGAATTTTTTTTATAGAAATTGAAACAACTCTGCTTGTTTTGAGTATTCCAACAATAGTAGGTGTAACCGAAATTTTCTATTTTTTTCTTTTGTTTACAAACAACACAACTGTACAGATATGCTACACATGCTAGCTTTTGATTTCCATTTTGGAACTAAACTAAATTTTAAATTTTGGTTTACCTATGGTACCTACATTGAAACACAAAAGCGCTTCTGGAAGCATAAATAATGGCAATGCTCTTATGGTGGCGCTGCTCTGGAGGTTTCATGTGAAAAAGCTCTTATAGTATAGCCATCAAAACTTTTGAATTAACGTTAAAAATATTGGTGTCTCATTAATGGACCAATTAGAACATATTGATTTTACTGTTAATTATTTGCTTTTAGTAATTTGTACTATTATCATTTTTTTTTTATTTTCTAAAACATAAAATATGTTTTATTTTTATTCTTGTTTCAAAAATAATAATAAATAATAAATACACAATTTACCAAAATTCACTACAAAAAACATATCTTTCAATTTGGACTTTTTTTATTTATCATGAAGACATTAATAAAATTTCTTGAATCAAATGCATATCAAACCAGTATGGTGATAGTTTTTTTGCAAAACTCCACATGCAGTAAAAAAAATTATACTTAACACAAATTCTCATGTGAATACTCACACAAATGTAGTGTGGTAATATTGTATCAAATAATGTGGCACATAATAAATCAACTGATTGTTGTGAGATTTTTAAAATGTTTGAAATTTATTCTAGTTCGCCACTACTAAATTGCATTTGTGTGTGTATACACACCTCTCGTGATGTTTTTACCATTAAATTGGTTCAATTGGCACACAACATTAGTGTGCACCTGGCATTACATACTTCATAAATAGGTTCTTAACATTTTCATTGCTATATCCCATACATCATAATTACATAAATTTGTGTTGACAAGGTATATCATTATTTAATTTTTGTATCCTTTTATCTTTACATTCAATAAGTTCACATTTTTTTTTATTAATTGATAAAAATGGAGTTCAAGTAACTTTTTCTGTATTTTTTTTTGTACAACACAGTTATCTATAACTGGTATATAATCATACTTTTCATGATTATGTATGAATAAACAAATTAATTTGATTTGTATAGCTTTTTATGAATTCTATAACTATTATTGGAATCTAAAAATTAATAATACACCTACTATGGTTTTGGTTCTATAGACATTTTTGCCAAGAACCTTAATATAATATTATGTTTTATTTTCTAGATGGCCAATGATTTATTAAAAACTTAACGGTAAAGTAGTTAACTATAGTAACAATTAGTATACTATAACTGTAATTTACATATTATCATGGATAATAGGTATATAAGCTAATTGGAAATTACTATCCTCCCAATCCACATTACCATTGTAAAATCTACTGCTAATAACCACTATGTAAAAGATGGTAGTTCTTTGCTATTACTGTCTTAGGTATAAAAACTCAGATAGTATAACAACCAATAGTAAGATTTATTAAAATATTTTAGATTAATAATTAACTAAACCAATCAATATTTATTTCTAATATTAAGATCTTATAAACCATCCATGCTCTAGAGCAGTGGTTTTCAAACTGTCAGGCATTGACTAAGTGTCTTTTGACATTTGTTTTTCTTAAATTGTGACTGACCACTGGTCACGGTGATCCAATCCTTAAGTATAAAGTCATTACTCTTGATTATGACTTATCAATTTTGTGCAAAAAATTAAACAATGAAAAAAAAAAGATCATAGTGTACCGTAAAAATGTTGTGAAAAGCAAAATGTGACGTGGTCAAAAAAAGTTTGAAAATCACTGCACTGGAGCTACAGTTAAATATATTCAAAAGTTCACAATATCTTCCCTGAATATTTTCCTTAACTACATTACACTACAAAAATAATCAATTATTTAAGCTATTAATATTTGAAATTGCGTTCTACATTAGGAATGAATAAAGTTTAAGCTCCAAATCAACTACTCGATACTTTTTTCAAAATGTGTGTTTTTGCTTGCTGATTTGATGGTACTTTCCAAAAAATTTGCTCAAACTTTCTTTGATAAGTATGGTAAATAAACTTCGAAATGCTAGATTTTTCCAAAAATTGTGTTTTTAAATTTAAAATACAAAAATTTAAATATGTTAGTATTTATATGCTCAATATTTTGTTAAAATCAGAATTTACCTATTGTATCTACTTACTTTTTTTGTTATTGTTGATAAACCACGTAAAACTTAGTTATAAAGTTATTTCAAACATTTGCATATTTATGCGTCAATGAGCAATTTTACATAAAAATAATATAGTACAGTTACACAGAGAACTTTAGCTTAGAATACTTAAATACTAATCATAATATCAAGAACACAAGTGTAGTAAAGTTAAAAAAGTTAAAACAAAAAAGAACACTGATTAAAATACTAAACCATGCAAATTTATGAATATAAAAATGAAGGGTTTTTGTTAGTCAACCACACCATACAATGTAAGGGATGGGCATGATCAAAGTTTGTAAAATGAATTAGGACAAAAAAGGGAGCGTGAAACACAAGTAGTAAGGAGGAATTCTGAAATTCACTTAAGAAAGAAAGGAAGGGAAGCCAATGGAGCTATAAATTAATTCGCTTAGAAATAGAATATTAGCAGACACTCTTCTGTCCGCTAGTGAATCAGGTGAAAGGTAGCTAAGCATGCTAATATAATTGTGCTGGGGTTCCTTATTTTAAAAACATAAGTCAGAAAGTAAAGAAAACGACATTGTACTCTCTCAATGTTGCAAGACCCAGAAGTGGTGTATTGGTCTCAGAACACTTAAGAGAACTCTAAAAAAAAAAAAATAACAAAGGAACAGTAAATAGCTTTTATAGCAGTGACAAGTTTAAACTCACTCAAAAAACATTTTAAGAGGCATAAAACTTTGAGAGCCTTACTGCACATGGACTTAACGTGAGGGGAAAGGTCCAAGGTATATATAAGGGTAATATCTAAATCTTTAACAGAATTAATTGATATAATTAGGAAGATCCAGTAATTTCATATGAATACTCAATGTTAGAAAGTCTTCTAATAAATGACATAGACTTGCATTTGTCAAAATTAAAATGCAGGCCAAGATAAGACAACAATTCGACTAAGTTATTCAAATTGTTTTGAAGTGCAGCGCAGTCACTGATTGGGGATATTTTACAAAAAAATTTAAGATTGTTGGCAAAAATAAGAAAATTACAGTTGGCTAAAACTTGCTTAGTACAACAAACAATAAAGGAAACAAGTGACCCCCTTAAGGGACACTAGATGGCACACAAGTGACAACTGACTTATGCCCAAGTATTTTAACCCATTGAACTCTAACAGACAGGTAGAACCCTATTCAGGATAACAAAGATCACCAAAACTGGACTAATATATAACATCAATAAGGATGCTGTGTTCGACAAAATCAAACATTTTTGGAAAATCTGTGAATTTGAATATTGATTTATATATTAAAATAAAAATTTTAAAAAAAAATGATGGGGATGGGTGGTTACATTTTTATGTTATTACATTCCAAATGAAAAAAAATTTCAAAAATCAATTTTGAGTCACTTTAATGTATAAATGTTTGAAACAATGTTATAATTTAGTTTTACATGGTTTATTAGCAAACCAAAAATATTGATCATAAAAATACTAACACGTAAAAAAAAATATTGTGCATATCGAAGTTTTTTTGACCATAACTTCCAAGGAAAATTTGAGCGATATTTTTTTGAAAATACCATCAAATTAGCATTTAAAAACATACATTTAAAAAAAAATTCCAACAAATAGGAGCTAAAATGCATTTATGCAATTCATTAGTTAAATAACTATAAAAAAGAGTTTTAACTTCTGTATATTAATTTACCAAACATAACCTTATATAAATAGTGATTATTTGTTCAAACTTAAAACGTAATTGGTGCTTGTGCTATAACTAAAATGTAAGAATTTATTAAGTGTGAGTGCAATATTTATAAACTAGGTACTTAAATAGTAAATATCTACTAGGTACTAGGTAGTAAATAGAAACAAAACTATGTATGTACAAAATGTTAACTAAGCATAATCTTACCATTGTGTACAAATTTGGAATAGGCAGTGTTATATGTACCTATTAATAAATGTTAATTAATATAATTAAAAACAATAGTTTTGAACAGTGAGATAAATGTTTATATAAAACACTACAAACAAAGTAAAAATTAAATTTAAAAAAACATTATATTATTATACCCACAACGGCTACAACTATAAAATAAATGTAAAATAACTCACTGGAAAAATGATGTAATATTGTAATGATAAACAGTAAACACCAACTTAGGTGGTCGTCAGGTGGATGACAGTGGTCCAAATGAAGTAGGTACAATAAAGTAACATAAACATATATCTATGGTACATAACCACTGAGATTGAATAAATCTTATCCTAGAGTATTTACCAGCCGTACGATAAAGGTTACCAACCTGTGATTAAATTTACCCTTTGATAACATTAATATTTGTTTATAAATTGTAATATTTTTGTTGGTTAATAATTTAAGGTTATGTTTATGTTCGAATAAAATAATAAATTGTCAAACTTTTAAAATTAGACATTAAATAATAAATATTAAGATTTATGATTCAACATCCGTGTTGATTTAAACATCAAATAAAATGGATTCTGATCTTTATGATGAGTTTGGTAATTATATTGGACCAGAATTGGAATCTGATGAAGAAGAAGAAGAACAACTGCCATCTCCTGAACCAGACCTTCAAGACATTGATGTAAATAAAATCGAATTCATACTACTTATATTATTTATATTTTTGCTGGGTACGTATAAAATAAATGTCTTGATTTTTGACCATTTTGTAGATGATCGAAGAGAATGATGACGGACCAGAAGAACCAGGTATGAGTGTTGTATTACATGAAGATAAACGTTATTATCCGAGTGCTGTTGAAGTCTATGGACCTGACGTAGAAACATTAGTACAAGAAGAGGATGAATTACCATTAACAGTTCCACTAGTTGCTCCTGTTAAACAGCATAATTTTCAAATCAAAGAGCAACATTTACCTAATACCACATATAATATGGAGTACTTGACTTTGTTTTTGTTAGCTTATATTTTTTATAAATTAATTTTAATTTTATGTTTTAGGTACTTAGCAGACTTAATGGATGTTGCAGGCTTAGTACGCAATGTTGCATTAGTTGGACATCTTCACCATGGCAAAACCAGTTTGGTCGACTGTTTAGTTCGCCAAACGCATCCAGATTTGGGACAGTTAAATTTAGATTCAGCAGATGCTGATTTGATGCGTTATACAGATACTCTAATGACAGAGCGCCAGAGAGGTGTTAGTATTAAAGCAACTCCTGTAACCTTGGTATTGCCTGATGTAAATTCCAAATCGTACTTAATGAATATTTTTGATACGCCAGGTAATGTTTGTAATTTTTAATTAAGAAAAATAATATAATTTAATTTGGTTTGGATTTATAATTTATTATACTTATTGTTTGTTATAATTAGGTCATGTAAATTTTTCTGATGAAGTAACAGCTGCACTCAGAATTTGTGATGGAGTTGTTATATTTGTTGATGCTGCAGAAGGTGTTATGTTAAACACAGAACGATTAATCAAACATGCCATACAAGTTTGTGCTAATTATTTAATGATTTTGTTAAAAATATTTAAATTTTCAAATTATTCTAGGAAAAAATTGCAATTACCATTTGCGTAAATAAAATTGACAGATTAATGTTAGAACTTAAACTGCCACCTCAAGATGCATACTATAAAATTAAGCATATAATTGATGAAGTTAATTCACTATTAAGGTATAAAAATATGAATTTATATTAAATTTATTAAGTAAACAGTGGGTTTATTTATTTACTCAACTTGAAATAAATACATGTTTTTCTGGTTTTAATATTTGTAAATGATCTTGATATTTAAAACTTTCAAACAAATATCATCTTTTATTAAGATTTTTATGTGGATTATTAAAACAGGAAATTTATAAAAATTTAGTGTTCTTCAAAAATCATGATGAATTCTTATTTTTATTTTGCTAATTTTAAAAATATACAAACAATTTGAGTCTTTTCTAGATTGGAAACAAAATGAGGCTTAGTGTTTTACCTTATGTATATGATTTTTTGTGCTATCTGGTGCATTAAAGAAATTATTTTTATTTTCTCTGTTTGGATTTTCATTTACAAAATTAAGTATAATAAATAATCAACTGCTTCAAAAATATTAACAGTTTTAAAACCACATTAATATGAATACAAATTTATCTGGCTTATTTTCATTATTGTGTGACTTAAGAAACACTCTGTAGTATTCTTACACTTATTACCTATATACTACCATTCAACAAATTTTTATTTTATTTTTACAGTTTACACTCACAAAATGATCCTTCTCGTATTGTTTCTCCAACAATTGGAAATGTTTGTTTTGCATCAGCTCAGTATGCTGTTTGTTTCACTTTAAAGTCATTTGCTAAACTTTATGCAAATCATTATCCCAATGTAAAAGTTGATAGTTTTGCTAAAGTATTGTGGGGTGACATTTACTTTAATCCAAAAACTAGAAAATTTTCCAAAAAATCTCCACACAATAGTGCACAAAGGAGTTTTGTTGAATTTATACTAGAACCGTTATACAAATTATTTGCTCAAGTAATTGGTGATGTGGATACTACTCTACCTGACGTTTTAGATGAGCTTGGAATTAAACTAACAAAACGTGAAATGAATATTAATATAAGACCACTTTTACGACTTGTTTGTGGACGTTTCTTAAATGATCTTAGTGGTTTTGTGGATATGTGTGTAAACCATATACCTTCCCCTGCGGAAAATGCTAAAAACAAAATAAATACAATTTATACGGGACCTCAAGACACTCAACTTGCTAAAGATATGCTTGATTGCAACCCGGATGTAATTATTTTATTATATTGTTCTTTATATTAGTTTTTGATAACTTCATTTTTTAGGGTCGTTTAATGGTACATAGTACTAAAATGTATCCAACTGATGATTGTACATTTTTCCAAGTTTTGGCTCGAGTTATGAGTGGAACATTACATGCTGGACAAGAAGTAAGAGTTTTAGGTGAAAACTATTCCTTGGTAGATGAAGAAGATTCTAGAGTAATGACAGTTGGTCGGTTATGGGTACATGAAGCTAGATATAAAGTTGAGGTTAATCGAGTACCAGCTGGAAATTGGGTACTAATTGAAGGCATTGATCAACCAATTGTTAAAACAGCCACAATTACAGACTTAATAACAACTGATGATTTATATATATTTAGACCATTAAAATTCAATACACAGTCTGTTATAAAAATTGCAGGTAACAGAGAACATAAAAAACAAAAAAATAATCTAACATTGAACATGATATTTCATTTTCACAGTTGAACCTGTAAATCCATCTGAACTACCCAAAATGTTGGATGGTTTGAGAAAAGTTAACAAATCTTATCCACTTCTTATCACTCGTGTTGAAGAATCTGGTGAACATGTTATACTTGGTACCGGTGAATTATATTTAGATTGTGTAATGCATGATCTAAGGAAAATGTATTCAGAAATAGGTAAAATATAATTAGCATTATTGCATAATTTGTACATTTTTTTTTTTTAAATTATTTTATTTTATAGATATAAAGGTAGCAGATCCAGTTGTTGCTTTTTGTGAAACTGTTGTTGATACTTCATCATTAAAATGTTTTGCTGAAACTCCCAATAAACGAAACAAGATTACAATGATAGCGGAACCTTTGGAAAAAGGACTTGCCGAAGACATAGAAAATCAAGTAGTTGACATTTCATGGGACAAGTAATAATTTATTTTTTAAAACTTGTTAGATATTGTTTTAAAATTTAAAAAACAAAATTTCTTACTTAAGGAAAAAAATCGGCGAATTTTTTCAATCCAAATATGATTGGGATTTACTTGCAGCTCGTTCCATTTGGGCTTTTGGGCCAGACCCTACAGGCCCGAATATTCTTGTAGATGATACTCTACCATCTGAAGTTGATAAGAATATTCTAAGATCTATTAGAGATTCTATTGTTCAAGTAAATAGTTAACCCAATGTAATTTACATAGTGTCTGAACATTTTATATCATATTAGTATTATAAATTTTAGGGTTTTCAATGGGGTACCAGAGAAGGGCCATTATGTGAAGAACCAATTCGTAATGTTAAATTTAAAATATTAGATGCAGTAATTGCCCCGGAACCATTACATAGGGGAGGAGGTCAGTATTTTTAATTTAGTTTGCTGTTAAAGCAGTATGACTACTCTATACAGAATATAAGCATGTGAGTCAGTGCATATACTATGAAACATGCATATGTTGGACTAGCTGAGCTGAAAATTTCTGACTGCCGTAAATGCAAGAACTCAAATGTGTTTTTATCTGTCACCTGGTGCTCTTATTCTGAATAGAGTATAGTTTTATAAAATTATAAAAAGAAATTTTATTTTTGACTATAAACCAATAAAAATATGTTTTGTTCTTTATTCTAACATATTAATTAATAGGTCAAATAATACCCACTGCTCGTCGAGTAGCCTACTCAGCATTTCTAATGGCAACACCTCGTTTAATGGAGCCATATTTATACGTCGAAGTTCAAGCTCCAGCAGATTGTGTATCTGCTGTTTATACAGTTTTAGCTAAAAGAAGAGGACACGTCACTCAAGATGCCCCTGTTCCAGGATCACCGCTTTATACTATAAAAGCTTTTATTCCTGCTATTGATTCATTTGGTTTTGAAACTGATTTACGGACTCATACTCAAGGTCAAGCTTTTTGTCTGTCCGTATTCCATCATTGGCAGGTAAATATATTTTATCAATATATAATATATATATAGTAAAGTATATGTATATTTATCAAATAATATTCATAATTAAGTAACTATTCAATAATATAAAAATCCATAAGTATAATTATTATTTGTAATAAGTACATCTATTTGGTATATTAATTATACTAAATGATTATTTATTCTTAAGCTCAAATAATGTTTTTTAGATTGTTCCTGGTGATCCACTTGATAAAAGTATTGTCATTAAACCCTTAGAGCCACAACCAGCCACACATCTTGCTCGAGAATTCATGGTTAAAACTCGGAGGAGAAAAGGTCTAAGCGAGGATGTATCTATAAATAAATTCTTTGATGATCCTATGTTATTAGAACTAGCCAGGCAAGACGTATCACTTAATTACCCTATGTAATAAAATACGAAAAAAATAATCAAATTATGGTTTTTTTTTTTGTTTATTTATATAAATATGTAAAATATAATTGACTATTTTTTATAACTATAAAAGACAAAGAAATAGCCAAAAACTTTTCATTTGCACAGATTTCTAACTTCCTAAACATTGAATTGTGTACCTATTAAATTGTCATGTATTTAGCTTGTATCTTTTATTGGAGATAAAAAAAAAACAAATGAAAATATTCTGATAACAGAAATATTGCTTGAATTAAAACATTAGTAATTATTTTCAAATGGTTATATTTAAATATTAAAATTGTATTATATTTTTGATATAATAACTAAACTATATTAACCAAAATGGTTATATTCTGTCCTTCAAGTTGTCTAGCTAATTGTTTTATAAAATTATATAAATGGGTACAAATGCTAATGTTATACAATGGGTAGAAGAATTGAATGTTTTAACAAAATTAAAAATTGTTTTGGGTTCTGAGCGAAGTGAAGAATGTATTAGTTTTACAATGATGTTTATTTTTTTGTTTTTTTATACAGTACAAAATGTCTACTAGAAATTTTGCTCCAATGTATCTCACCTTTTCTGAAAAGAAAATTTATGTGTGTAAAGTATATCGGTCTTTTTTTAAAAATTTATTTGCAAATGAAAACCAAAAACAGTTGCCAATTCTAAATTGTATAAAAAAAATCCAGTTAAAAAAGAGTAAGTAAAAACAAAGATTGACATACTGCTGAGTGCAGTCACTTTTATTGATGAGAAGTTGGGAAGATAGGATATAGAGGGGGAATTAATTTGTATCTGTAAGCAATGATTTATCATTGCTTACTATAAATGATTTTGAGTGAAGTTCAGTTGATAGTGGTGCTTTGTCAACAATATATATCATTTATGGTAAAATAATAAAATAGGCATTTTATATTTTCTTTATGTGTTCTTTATTTGTGTTATATTGTACCGATTTTCCACATTTCCTAAGAACTCTTGGGAAAATCAAAAAATAACCTTCCTAAAGCATCTTCCCAGGAAGATTTTCTTTCAGAAAAAGTGTTACCATTGTAAATCAGAGCAAAATTGATGGCAGAAAAATTATTCACAAGTAAAAAATAATAAACATCTTAGTAAAACCAATACTTTCTTTGCTATACTCAGAATCTAAAAACAATTAGAAAAATAAATTATCTAAATATTTTTAAAAATCAAATGTTGCATATTATATTATTATAATAAGTCATATGAAATAATAATACATTACATCATACATAGGGATAATAATTAAATATTTGTATTAAATTCAAAAAGAAAAGAAATAATTTATACCATGGATTATAGAAAAATATGTCGTTACCTATAAATAAATGTATTTATTTAAAACGTATACGATATGTCACAGCGTTTAAGAAATTTTGTAAAGCAATTTCAATATTTATAAACGTCAGAAATGAAAAACCGCATTGTTCATTATGTAACCCGTATATAATAATTATTGATACTTCCTATTGTTGAAAATGACCTTTCAGGTGGTATAGAAAAAACTGTTCAGATCAAAACTATAACTATAGGAGTTTATATAAGTTAGAGAAGTTGAAATCTTTATGTTTTTAATTAGTCAATATTATTTTGAATACAATTTTTTACTACTGTGATTTCAGATTGAACTCTAAGCTAAAATATTATTTTTAAAAATCATGTCAAAAATTAGATAATAAATAAAATTTATTTAAATTAAAATGGATTCAACTACCTTAACTACATCCATGATAGTATATTTTTCTAATATACATTTTTACTTGAAAAAAAATTGGTATAAAACTGGGAGCAAATGTAAAATGTCCACTTATTCCAAAAATGAACTATTATATCGATGGCCCCAACGAAAAAGGTCGTATCTCGTTTTTTGCAACTTTTCAGTATGAACAAAACTATCATTCAAGTTTAAATTCTTATTCTGTTTTTAACATATTAGTTTGAAAATTTGGATACATAATATTATATAGTTTATGATCATAATAAATATGAAAATATCAATTTAAAAAAATAATCTTTCATGGGGTTTTTTGGGATACTAACTTAAAAAAAAAGTAGTATCTATACTTACGACCTTCTTCGATGGTGATAAGCTATTAATAAAAGTGGTACTATCTATACTTACGAATTTTTTCATTGGTAATAAGCTTTTTAAAAAGAAGGAGGTTCTATCGTACATCTTGTATTTTAATAATAATGTTTTTTATGGGTAATTTAACTGTTACCAATATAAATATTATAATTCATGCATTTTTATTTCTTAATAAACTATTAATACCTCTTGATTTTGAAATCCTTTTATTAAATAAAACAAACATTATTAATAACAAAATTAAAAATTAACTTTTGATACAACAAAACGAAAAAAACAGAATTTACTTTTAACTTTTTTTATATTTTAACAAATTTAAAAATATAAAATAACGACCTATAAAAAATTATAATAAAATAAACACAAGTAACTTTTAATAAGTTCTATTTAATAGAATTAAATAATAATAAAAATTGTTATAAAACGAAAATCCGAACTTCTTTTTAATATTGTTAAAATATGAAAATAATAAAAATAATTATAATACATTTTTATCTGCACATGCCGTGTTATTTTGATTGGAGAGATTTGTAGAAATCATGGTAGGCTGTTGGAATAAGTCCCATGGAGCATAATGATAATAAATCGGAAATTTTTAATTTTTCGATTGATAACTTTCCATTATATGCTTTAATTGGTTCACATATTGACCTCTTTGTTTTTTATGTCCTTTATTAATATAAATTTTGATAAAGTCTGCCGCACTTAAGTCATATTTAATATTGTATAGTTGAAATGGATTTTTATAATCCACTGTTATTTCTCTAATACTGTTCCACTTAATTTTGGTACCATCATCCGCAGTTTTCCAGTTGAACTGTTTTTCGTTGACTAGGGGCTTGAAATCTAAAAACTCTTCATTCGATACTTCAACCACAGTATAAGGATTTCCGGTAACTTTTGCACAACTGATCAGTGTTACCCATTGTGCCGGGATATAAATATTTTTACCTTTCTGCGCATTCTCAATGCATGCGTGCACGCTGTCACCCTCGTTTTGGGTATGCCCTTTTTCCAAAAATGTATGAGTAATTTTAAGTTTTAATTTAAGTCGCATACTCCCACATTGCGAATATGAACCTATTCCGATTCTGACCACCGCAGTTGTCAGAGTAAAAACAAAAATCTTTGACACCATTTTCTCTCTTGTGCTTCATAAATGTAAGCAAGCATGTGGCGATTTCATTAGACCTCTTTTCAATTCCTCTTTTCTTCAGCAACACTTTTTCTTCTGGAGTCGCTAATTTAAATTGTTCACATACATCGCATAAATCCTTTTTCGGATTAAAAAAACTAAGATTGAAATATTCCTAAAATATATTTGTATATTGTCTCAAAGTTGCCATCTGAGCTTTTTCACTGATAGTATTTTGTGTTTTGGTCCATTCTAAATAAAACCTATGCATTTTCGCAATCGATAGATCAGATTCTAAGTTTTGTTTTTTCGAATCTTTTCTACTGTAATGAGAATCTACTACAGGGAACATCGAGATGTGTTGTTTAATACTATCTGTTACTTCCCTTGAAATTTTGTGAGGTCGATTTTTATGTGAACCTCTTTGGTCAGATGGTATCACGGGAGTGAAATTTTGTGAGGTCGATTTTTATGTGAACCTTTTTGTGAGGTCGATTTTTATGTGAACCTCTTTGGTCAGATGGTATCACGGGAGAAACGGATAATTTTTTACTCACATTACCCACTATTTTTTCCGATATAGAAAATGTATTCAAAAACATAATTTTACATACCTGAATTTCTTCATTTTTAATAGGGAAATAATACTTTTTTGACAACTGTCTACGTGAACTCGATTTCGTTGATATTTTTTTATCAAATGTTAAAACGTATCTAGCAATAAAATCCCACTGCCTGTTTTTATCTCCTAAACTCCAGTAGTAACCAAATAATTCTTTACGTATTTCCTCACTAATTTTTTCAGAGTATTTCATTCTACATTTACACGGTGTACCCATTTGTTTTGAGTTTATTGTTTTTCCTATTCTGTTGGTATATTCTAAACCCAAATTTAATAAACATTTTGCCTTTGTATCTATCCATTCAGACGTATTTTTTGTACGTTTACGGGAAAGTTTTTCTTTTGGAGTAATACTTCTACGCTTTTTTTCAATAGTAGTACTGGTACCTGGGTTATCTAGTTCCTAGTAATAATAATAACATTTTTTACATTAAAACTTACAATAATATTATTATTGTATATATAAAAATAAAATAATGATAATAATATTAAAATCTAATAGATACGACTTTATTCGTCGGTTCTATGATTGTGTTAATTCATCGTATCTAAACATACGATGGTTTTCGTTGGAAATAGATATTTCGGAAAATTATGAAAGTAATAAATGTCTAATGTCTTTGGAACACTAGATATACGATCTTTTTCATGGGAAATACAGAAAAAAATCCTCCACAAGATGACAGTAATAACTCAATATTGACAAAAATCGAGATACGACCTTTTTCGTTGGGGCCATCGATATATGTCTGGTCAGGTAAAAACATTTATTTTTTTTTTTTCTAGATTTCTATTAGTTTTTTAAATAAATATTTGTATTAATTATTGGTTGTTAAAAAATATATACATATATATATATATATATATAACCATGGCGTCCGACTATTAGAGTGCAGCGTTACTCCGCACCCCATGAAATAAATCAAACTTATAAATATTTAATATGTTAATATTATACATGTAGAAATAATCATTTTTAATTAATGTATGTTTTGAGTTATTTTGTTATTTTGGTGGTGCTGTCACTGTCTAACAACGGTGATAACGTTTTATATTTACGCGCGTATTAATAAATCTTGCGAAAATAGACAGCTTTATATTACAAAAATAAATATATATATTATAACTGAATACTATGGCTCAGATTTCGATTGGGCTAAATTAGAATTACATCACTACAATATTATATTAGATGTTGCTAAAGCAAAACAGTTATATTTATCATAAGTGTCAGATTCTATTGATTTTTTGAAACAAGAGTTGTATATATAAAGATTTGGTACTTGAAGCGATTAAAAGAATTAAAATTATTTTACCCGTACCAGTGTCATCGTGTACAACTGAACGTTCTTCTTCTACTCTTCGACGTTTAAAAACATTCTTAAGGTCAATGACACAATTACGACTTAACAATGTAACGATATTACATGTATATAAAGGAGAACAAATAAACATTGACGAGATTGCTAACAAATGTATTAATATGACCAATGTAAGACAAAATATATTTGAAATTTGTTGAAAAATGAAGAAATATACCTATTGTACAACTTTTTATTTTAAATAATTTAAATTCTGTATGGACAAAGAGAATTCTATTTCTAATTTATTTAAAAAATATGATTTGTAATTAGTACTACTTATAGTTAAAAATAAAAATAAAACATTTTGTTTTTATTTTCCTTACTAGTCTTCATTATTTTAAAGATTTTGGTAGAAAGGTATTTATAGTTTTACCCCTCTTGGGCATAATTAATAAGATTTGTACATCTAAACGTATATTTTGGTGATAAGTAAAAAAAAAAATTATTAAAGGAGTAATGCTTTCCTCAATATTTATTTTTTTTGATTACAAGTTAAATCATTTTAAAATTTTGGACGACCGGTGAAAATTGGAAAACCCGGCGCCCGTGTATATCACTACATAATATATATACACTATACAGCCAGGGTAATACACTAAACTGGAAACACGCATTATCTCGGAAAGTATTAACTTTTTTCGGAAAAAGTTTTATAAAACATTTAAGAAAAAAGCAACTCTACAGTTTTACATTTCATTTTTTATCACTTATATTTGAGGATAAAACCACTATGTACCTACTTTCAATTTTCAAATGGCATCCTATATTAAAAATATTTTAAATAGATGGAAAATTGCTGAAATAAATTTTGGTGCTGAAATTTTTGATTTTCGTCAATCCGTTGACGATATATTATACTTTTAAGTTTGGGTCGGAGAGATTGTTAGTGCATTATTAAAACGTCGTGTATTGTGTCGTCACACAAATGATGCCACTCCGGTCATATTTTCTTTCAGAAAAAGTGCTACACTTAACAATCGGAACAAAATTTCTGGTAGACAAGTTGTTCACAGAAAAATAAAGATCGTAATATTTACGATTTGAAAATAATTTCGTAAATTTGCATGCGTTTTCCTATTTATTATTAGTAAACTCCTAGGAACTAGGGCTACTACATTATTAAAGTTTAAAATAATTATTGATATTCGGTATTCTGGTATAAAAAAAAGAGCTGATACTGGGAATAGGTGCAATTACTGTTGTAGGTGAGAAATTAGGAAGGCAGGATACATAAGGTTATTTCATTTATATCTGTAAGCATCAATAAACCATTGTTTGACGAAAGACGCTTCCGAGCGCTGTTCGTTAATAAGTACATAATTTGAAGTGCTGTACTTTTTTTTACGATTTTTGTCTAAATTTGATTTCAAAACGCGTATAAAAAAAAAGTCATCCGATGTTTTTGGAAATTTGACCATGTCTAAGTAAGTTCAGTATAAGTATTATTACCAAGTTTCAAGGCACTACGTGTATTTACAACCGAATTACAGCAAAAAAACTCAAAAATTAAAATTCCTTAAAAGCTCAAAAGTTTTGGCAATGATACCGTAATAATGTAAATCAAAGTCAAAAAAAAAAGGTGTCAAGTGATTTTTCAATTAAATCATTTTTTCTGGTAGAAAACGTCCGTGTTTTTATGAAATAATGAAATCGTGAAATTGTACTTTTTCCTATGTTTAAAATACAATCTAGAAAACTTGAGCTTTCATAAAAAGTGCTACACGTAAAAATCGGACCAAGTTTCCTAGGAAAATACTTGTCCACAGACTAAAGGAAGAACGAAAGAAAAAAATAAACATAGTAAAACCAATGTACAAATTAATTAACTATTATAATTTTTAGTTATTTTAACTACAGGATTACTTGGCGTAATAAAGTTTGCAGTGTTTTCCTTGTCGTTGCTTGGTGTCATAGATAAAGAGGTACAACTAGGTTTTCTATGAATAATAGATATAAATTGTTAAATTACGTTCAAACTTTTTTTTGATAACTAAATATCAAGTATATTTTTCTATCGTCCATATACGACTGTAGTCCAAATACAACCCCTAAAGTTGATGATTGGAGGATTTTTGAAATAAAAGTTTTTCCCCAACCAGAAAAAAAAATCTGTGTAACATATAGTGTGAAAAATACAAATATTTTTACCTTTCTGTAGAATTTTCGTGGATGAACATCCAATGTTGAGGTGCTAATAATAGAAACTCAACACAAGATTCTAGATCACTAAATTAAAATAAATCAATACATACCAACAATTATAATATACAATAAAAATTTGTATTTTTTGATATCTATACTGAAGAAAAACTTACAAGTTAAACCTATTGATCAAATTCTCAATCCTTTAAAGAAGGAAAGTAGAATGCTATTTACCTGCTATTTACCTACACTTCCTCTAGATCCATAATAAAGTAATCATCTAAAATCTGTTCATCAAATTGGAGCTGGATTTGATAGACTTAGAACTATAGCTGTAGTGGAATGCAACTAGTACAACTAAAAAACACTGCTCAAATCCACCTGTGTGAAATAATACAGAATTTCTAAAGAGATCACTTTTTAATCCATACTCAAATTTTCACTTATCCTCACTAGAAAGTAGATTTCAAGATGAATTTATATTATTATAAATAATTTATATTTATTTATTTATTTTTATTTTTTTATTTATGTTTTCATTGTTCTTATTGCACCTAGCAAATATATGAAACATGAATGTTCAAAATTTCATGAAGGAAACACACATTTTTGTTGACTTTTACTACTTATAAAGTTTAAATAATGAAATTGAACTATGGTATAATATTTGAAAAGACAAACAATATTAATTGATAAAGAACTTGAATTGAGTGATGGTGTTATTATAAGAATTTTAGAGAAAAACAAAATTGTTTATATTTGTTCAACCCTTGTTACACTAAAAAATGTCAAATTTTATAATGTACATATATAGATTGATTTTTTTGTAAAATTTCCTTTTTTTATTCGCCATCTAACAATATTTGAATGCATTTATTATTCATTGTAATGATCTGCAGTGATTCTTGACTATTTTACACTGAGTAAATTTTAGGGGGTTAAATTCTCTGTTTATACGTTTGAAAAGGGCTTCTCAATTTTTGCCCATGAGTTGGATAAAAATAATAAAAGGGTAATAAAATGACTACCTATTTATTATACATTATGATATACTGATCAGTTCATAATTCTAACAGTGAAGAATATAATACAGTAATAATAGGTACCTAATTAACCAAAGCTTTCATTTTATTTATACCTACTATTTTGGACTGAATGATTATGTACCTATAGGTATAGGTATATTAAAACCGGACTTTTACATACAAGTAGGTACATTTATTTTTAATTCATAATAAACTAGGTTGTAGTATTAAAATGTAGTAATATGGAGTGTACAGAATACTCAGTACTTTCAGAAGGTCATCAAGTAGACATAGCATAGTACATCTACTGCAATTTCCAATGGTTTTATTGATTATACACTACATTAGTGATTTGTTTACCAAGATGTTCGGTACAGTTGTATTATGTCTGAGTTCCATATTAATATTACTTCCTCAAATGAGTCAAACAACGACCGTTTATAAATGTGGTTCAAGTAAGTTTTTTTATTCGTTAACTATTTCATTTATTTTAATTATTAATTTGGCTGAAATTTTATATTAAAAATTTAAATAACTGTCTTAGAAATCAATGCCTAACTTAGTAGCTTCCTACCTACTACTTGTACTTATGTATACCATACCATTCCTACCATGACCTAATATTTATTGAATCTATGGTCATAGATTATAAACAAAATATTGACTGTTGAACTATTGAAATTGAATAAACAATTGTCTATTTATATTAGTAACATTTATTATTGTTTAAATTATATCTTGTGATAACATTGAAAACCATGGCTAAATTTACATATTTACCTACATTCACCTTGAATTTTATATTCAGGGGCAGCCAGGCAATCTATTTTTCTTAAAGATCACATTTTTTGAATACCAAATACACCACAAAGCATACAAATTAAATTGAAAATTAATTAAATGTATTAAATGAATGAATATAAATAACGAGAAGAGACTTAAATTTTCAGTATTCACTTTGTAATAAATATATATTAAGGTAACATAGTATATATTATATACAGTGTGCTTCCTTTTAAGGTTAACACAAAATATTTCTATCCAGAGACTTCAGATTGAAATTTGGTTTTCGGGAGGAGCTAAGGAATACTGAGATACATATTTTTTGACGATTTTCAAATTTTCAGCCTTTTTATTTTTTACCTAATACAAATTGCTTTTTTAAAGTTATTTATTGACCTTTAATTATGGCTCTTGATAATATTTGATAATAAGTTGCACTTTCAATTTAAATCGATTAAAAAACAAATTGACATAATTTTTGTAATTTCTATTATTTAATTTATAAAAATATTTAACACCAATACTTATTTTATAAAGTGTTTGAAATTTAGCCCATTATTAATCATTATCTATGTATAGATATACATGACTGCATACTCAATTTCGTCAATTTGTTTAAAGTGTTCTTAATAAATAAATAAATTTAAAATGAAAATTTAACTTGTCACTTAGAAAATGTTGGTTTAAGAGCCATTGGTATTAGTTCAAAATTACAAAAAAAATTTATCTATCCAAATTTATTGTTTCAAATATTTGTTGCTATTTAAAAAAATGAAATTTGTGTTGCTCAATGCTCATGCACACAGTAAAAAGTCTAAAAATTTGTAAAATCATTAAAAAAAAGTAAATTTCAGTATTCTTTAGCACCTCTTAAAACCCAATTTCAATCCAGTCACCTAACAGACAAATTTAGATCTCCTTTTAAAAACAACAAGGCATTATATATTTTAACATATGTAATATATATTAGGTAAATGTAATTTTAATTAACTACATTTAATTAAATGTAATAGATAAGTAGGTAGGTATTTTATAATATTAACATTCATACTTATAACAAAATAAACACAGCCAAATACTTGTTAGTTGTCTTTTTCATTCAAAATATTTACTCGATATTAAATGCCTACTTTAAAATTTATATAAATTTTAATTATTTTGAATACCTCCAATTTAACCTTATAAAGTAAAAATAATTGTTTATTATCTTTAAAGTATGCATGCTAATATTCTAATAAATGTATTAAATATAAAATATATATAATACATAATATGATTAATCACACAGTAAATAGTAAAAAGTAAAAAGTGTAGTTAATCATTTTAATTCAATAGTGTTAAAATTAAATTAATATGATTTTTCTTAGGTATCTTATTATGAAACATGTCAGAATATTAAATAATCAAATCAATTTTATTTTATTTTTTATTTGGCCATCAATTTATCATGCAGTTTTGCATAATATGCTTTACGCCTTCATGCGTGTGCATTTCATATTTAAAAATATTAATTAATATTCTTATAAATATGGGTTCTAAATATTGAGTAATCAATTTTATTTATTTGTTAAATATTACCATATTATTGTTAAATATATTATAAATATATAATTTGTGTGTATATAGTTGTAGTAGTGGAATTAAATAACAAATGTATTGTAAATACTCATGGCCATACACTGTTCAAATTTAAATTTACTATTATTTGTTAATGTTATAAAACTTAAAGAGATGAAAAAATTATTATGTATAATTTCATTATAACCAGAGAAAAAATAAAATAATCAATGAAATATAAATTAGTAGGAAAAATGTAATGCACATATTTATAACTTCTTTTTTTTTTTTTTTTTAGAAAATACAGAAGTTTTGAATAACACAACAGTAGTAACATTTCAAAATTGTACTACATCCAGATGTGCAATAAAACGAAATAGTACTATGCACATTGAAATCAAATTTAAATTAGGTTTGTAAAGAGACAAACATTGATTATGTAGTAGGGAGTTAAAGAATATACCTTATTAAGAACTACATTGTTATTGTTGTAAATAATTAACAACAAACATAATTTTGTATTTTTTGTATTTTTTTTTTTTATTCCTCTATATTTTCTGGTCGTTTTTTGAGGAAACTGATTAAAATGGAAATTTATATCTAATAACCCATATGGCTTTTATTTATTAACAAAATAATAAGTTATTTAGAAATTATAAATATTATTTGGCATTATAGTTTTTCTTTTATCATGTTTATACCTAATCACTTATCAACAATTTTAACTGTTAATTATTTTTAAACTATACAAATTAAAAATTGATTGGATATTTTTACAATAAAATTACAATTTTTTTTTTAGAAATAGACGTAAAGGATTTAATTACAGAAGTGTATGGTAAGGCATTAAATATACCAGTACCTTTGCTGGGTATAGATAACAAAAATATATGTAATAATATCTACGAAGAAGATGGAATAAAAACAAAGTGTCCTTTACTTAAAGGTAAAACATATATATATAAAGAAGACATATATATAATCAAAGCATATCCTAAGGTAAACAATAAGACATAAATATATTTACGGGTATAACATTTTTATGTCATAATAGTCATTATTTAAATATTTAGTTTAAGGTTGATGTACACTGGAGTTTACAAGATCCAAATTCACGGACTGTTATAACTTGTTTTGAAGCACCAGCAAAAATTATAGATTAGTATTTCATGTAATTATTATTTTTTAATTTTAAATCAAAATAAATAAACAAATATAATTTGATCTTCTACTGAACACTTGTACATATATAATAATAGTGTGGTATATAAACAATAATTATTAACATTAAAAACTCACTTAAATAATTATAGAAAAAATATTGCAAATGTAAATGTATAACAAAACATAAAAAAAAAAATTAAAATAACAATAATAATTATAAATTTAGTCATACATAAATGATGATTAAAAAAAAGTTGAATATTTTGTTCTTATTTTTATTTACTGGGAGTAAAAAACAAATATATATTCGTATTTTAAAATAAAATCAGTAATTTTATCAATGTTCCAAATGATCTTATCATCTTATGAATATATAGCAGAAAGAGTGAAAAATATAAGAGGATAATAAATTACATTATTTTGAAAATATAATACTTGTTCTTTATAATATTTTAATCGGGTATACATGGTGGAATAATAGATTTTAATAACTTTAATTTATTATAACAATTCATAATTAGTAGCATACAAAATTGCACTATTAACATTAATATTTTATTTTTTATTTAATTTTGGCTATATGAAATATAAAATTTTGAAATAAAATCAGTAAATCAGTATATCAACTACTATTGATCATTTGAATTATACAAGTGTGTATAAAACAAATTGTCTTAACGATTATTATATTCAAAATAGAAAAGAAAATATTAACATAACATAAAGCGATTATAAGATCTAAAAGAAGGACGGATATGATTAGATACCTAACTAATAATACAATATTTGAAAAATACTTAATAAGTTGAGATTCAATTGTGACATTTTCTCTTGAATTTTATTTATTTAGTATTTTAAGCGATTATTTAGAGTTTAGACTAAAAATGTATTCAATAAAATTGATACATGCTAAAATGTTGAAATCTAGTAAAATCTAAAAAATAAATTAAATCACAATTTTCAGTATGTTATTTCAAAAATAAACAAAATATTAATTTTTTTAAAAAAATTATAATGAAATATAAATATTGATGAAAAATGCAAAAAAAATGAAAAAAATTTCACAATTTATTTAAAATGTGTTGTAAACATTAAATACCAATATTATATTTGTTACTATTAATTATTAGCAACCCTGTGTCAAAAATATTGTTATTTTTAGATAATTTTGTAAAAATAAAATAGCAAAATGTCTGTTCTTTTTAATAATCAAATTTCTATTATTATTTATTCGAAAGAATATTATTGTTTCAGTGTGTGCTAAAGTTAAAAGCTATAAACTTAAAAATGTTAATAATATAATTATGAGACTAATTTTTTGAAGAATATAATATAATATTTAATAAGTGATCATTAAATCAAAACTATATATTATCTAAAATTAATAATAAGTTTCCTTCTCTAACCATCCACCAGGATTTCGCCTTATGTAAAACTTTCTTACTTCATCATAAATAAATAGGGCTACCATGAATGGTATTGGAGGAATCCACCAAGTCCACCTAAAAAGTATTAAACATAAATATTTGTCAACAAAATTATTTTTCAAATAATCAATATATCTTACTTTAATGGATACATGCGCAATGCTTCGTCCATTCCAGGTAAGTAACATAAGAACAACGCTAAGACTGTTTCAAATATTAAACTGAAGTTCAATGCCATATTTCTAGAAATTAAAAAATGTATTAACTAGCTCAAAATTTCAATACTAATAAAATGTGTTCTAACCTCATTCCTTGATGTGTGATTGAATTTCTTCTGGTTTTGCAAATAATTAGATTGGCCCACTGTACAACTACAATCGATATAAAAAATCCAGTGTGGCAAGTATACTCTAATGATTTCCGATCTTGATAAGTCTTTAAATAAAATTGAAGATAATAAAGATAATAAATTATTATAGATAATGTTTATAACTTATTTTTTTATTAAGTATAAACTTTATAATTACTCACCCATTCTTGGTTATAAGAATCTGGCAAATCATTTACTGCTCTTGAGTCCCATTCACGGCGTAAACCAATTAACTTGTATGGCATAAATCCATTTTCAGCCATAATTACAAAATAAGTAAAAAAACCAGCAAATGCCTCAATAATCCCCAACTGACCAAATGCCAAAGATATTAATCTTAAGATAAAATAAAAATGATATGAATATTAATTGTGTTGATTTAAGTATATACATTAAATTGATATTTAATTATTGTTATTATTGTAAGCACAAAACTACTTGCCAAGCACTATGAAGAAATTAAAGAAGGAAATAGTGTAAAAGTTTACCTGACATTAAAAAGAGGCTTTTTTATAGTTGGACTCTTTTTCATCAGGTCTGATTCGCCCGGTTCAAACGCCAGTGAAATGCCAGGCATCTAGCAGCCCCAAAATAACAAACAAATCATCCACAAACATGTTTTTTTTTTTTTTTTTATTTTTTTTTTTTCTTAAATTTGTTACATTGAAAGCATTAAAAATTATACAGTTACATGAAAAACACAGATTAGCTTGGTTAACAAAATATGTTCAATAAAAAAACTATGTAAAACAATAAATTTATATTTATCGATGTTAAATCAAAGAAAAAAAAAAGCAAGGAACTAATATAAAGCAAAAAGCAAAAGCAAAAACAATAAAACCAAAAAAATCAATAGTACATAAAATACATAATCACCTGTTATTTACAAGTTTATCTCTAATTAGATTTCTAGGAGGACGCTTCATTATATCTGATTCTGGATGCTCATAACCCAATGAAATGGCTGGAACCTAAATACAATAAAACTAATCTAATGGAATACCCAAACTATAGTTTCTAATTTCTAGGTTTTATATTTTCTTAAGAAATTCACAAAAATTAGGTACACTGACAAATATTTATTTTAAGCACTAACTAATCAAGCACATTTCGCTTAAATTTCTGGGTGAAAACATCATTATTTGTTTTTGCAACTACAAAAATCTAGGCTCTACAATATCAATTATTATTTAGTAATAATCAAAAATTATTTTCTAAATCTGCATTCTACCATACACTATGTATACATAATAATATATATCACATCATTAATTATGTTCATGAGTAGTATTTAGTGATGTAGTTTACAGATGAAAATTAATATCAAAATAAAACCCAAGTTAATTAAATAAAATGATGTTAAATTTATTAACTTTTAAGTTTGAGTTAATATTTATAGTTCTATTTTTTTTTCAATTACAGAGCATTTCTTATACAAAAAATATAGTTACTGTTTGTTAACCTTATATTGATAAAGTGGAAGTTATTTAACTGATTAGATATAAATTATGTTGGTTTCTAGAATAATAAAACAAATTTAATGGTTTACCTCATATGTTTAGCCTAATTATAATCAAAACTGTAGTGAACAAACGTCAAACCAAATAATTATCAACATTCTGCCAAAGAAAATATCTGTCAACGTAACAATATAAGAATAAATTTGTTTTTGCTTACCATATCGGTACCAAGATCAATGCACAATATAGCAATCGCACCAATGGGTAAAGGTATGCTTAGCATGATAAAAGCAATAAAAGGCAATAATTGAGGAACATTTGATGTGAGAGTATATGTAATAGATTTTTTTAAATTGTCAAACACTAAACGGCCCTCTTCTATACCAGTTACAATACTGGCAAAATTGTCGTCTAAAAGAATCAAGTCAGCAGCTTGCTTAGAAACATCTGATCCAGAAATTCCCATTGCAACACCTAATTATAAAAAATAATATTAACAAATTAAGTCATTGATAAAAATAAAATAGATATTTTTATTAAACAATTTATAATAACCAATGTCTGCTTTTTTAAGAGCAGGTGAATCATTAACACCATCTCCAGTGACAGCAACAATTCCTCCAATTCTTTGACAACCTTCAACAATAATTAACTTTTGTTGCGGTGAGGTTCTTGCAAATACTATTTCCTTATGATATCTAAAATAATATATTTTTTTAAAAAAAATTATTTTTATAATTAAAATGTATTATTAACCTCAATATTTCATCCAAGACTTCTGGGGGCAAATCTAATAGTTCAGAACCATGCACAACAGCTGCATTAGCATCTCTTGGATTTACTTCAGATACAGCAATATTTAATCTTTGAGCAATATCTTCAACTGTTTCATTTCCTTCAGATATAATACCAACTGATTTTGCAATTGCCTTAGCAGTTATTGGATGATCTCCAGTAACCATGATAACTTTTATACCAGCTGAACGGCATTTAGCCACAGCATCTGGAACTGCTGCCCTCGGAGGATCAATCATGGACATTAAACCAACAAACCGCATACCACTTAATGGGAAATTAGGCTCATCGACATCAAACATAAAATTTTTAGGAAAACGATCAGATGGTAATAACATATCGCAAAAACCTAATACACGTTCACCAAGACCACCTAGTTCTAAGTATGCATTGTTAAATGCTTCCCGCATATCTTCATCAAGAACTTTTTCTTTACCCCCAATAAATATAGTAGAACAACGATCAAGTACACGTTCAGGAGCTCCCTTCATAACCAAAAGATACCGTAAATCTGCAGGATCTTCAGTTTCATGGATTGAAACCTAAGAGAACAAGTACATAAAGACATATTTTGTGTGAAATTATTTATACATAATAACTTTTTACTTTGCATTAAATACAAATAATAATTAATGTCTAACAATTACCTGATATTTATTTGTCGAATTAAAAGGTATTTCACAAATCTTACGGTTACGTCTCCTAATAGACATTACATCACCAAGGGCAAGAGTCATACACTTTAATAATGCTGCTTCTGAAGCATCTCCATTTACTTCCCTAGAGAAAACATAATTTTAATTACATTTTTTGATTAATTATTCAATATAATATCAACAAACTTTTTCAGAGTAGGTACCCCATCTTGCCCTGCCTTAAATTCCGCTCGATTACAGAGTGTTGCAATTTTTGCAAGAGCTTTAAACCCAGGACTAGAACGATCATATTGTACACCAGATTGATCTTCAGTGGTGTCTGCTTCAATAATTTGATTATCAAACCACATGTGAGCAACTGTCATACGATTTTGAGTCAATGTGCCTGTCTTATCTGAACATATTGTTGAAGTTGAACCTAATGTTTCTACTGCTTCTAAATTTTTCACAAGACAATTTTTTGATGCCATTCTTTTGGCAGTCAATGTTAAACAAACAGTAACAGTAGCTAATAAACCTTCTGGAACTGCTGCAACAAGGAATCCTAAAAAACACATTTTTAATAAATAATTTAAATATAATAATATTAATAAATAAACAATAACAAACCTATCATGAAAATAATAGCATCCAACCAATAACAACCCATCATCAAAGCAATACAAAATAGTATTAATCCAATTGCTATAGCTGTAATATTAACAAAATTAACAAAACGAATAATTTCTCTTGCAATTGGTGTTGGCCGACTATCTAAACTTGATGCTAATCCTGCTATTCTCCCCATTACAGTATTGTCTCCACATGCAATAACTACACCTTTAGCAGTACCTTAATTAAAAAAATTAAAATTAAAACAATTATTATTTTTATTAAATTAATTTTAAGTAAGTGTTAACACTACCTTCTAATGCATGAGTGGAAGAAAATGCTAAATTTTTAGTTTCCAAAGGATCTTCGTGAGTAAATTCTGGAGTACGACTTTGTGGTTCAGATTCACCAGTGAGTGAAGAATTATCTACTTTGAATGAATGACTTTCAATAATTCTTAAATCAGCTGGAACACGGTCTCCAAATCGTAATTCAACAATATCACCAAGAGTAAGGTCTTCAGCTCTTAATGTTAATGATTCACCTTGTCGTATAACTACAGCAAACTATCAAAGCAATTGATGTATTAAAAATAAGATAATTTTACAATGCAATTGACAGTTCAATACATTAAAACAATTATTTATTGTACATTATAATACAATAACATAACTCAAAGTTGAAAGTACATTATTTTAAAAAAGAGTTTAGAAAAAAATATTAAATTAATTTAATCTAGTTTAAGAGTAGAAGTATATATTGGATATTGTTATTTATTACTGATTATGCTGTTATAGTAAAAAATATTTAAAAAAAATATTCTGATATCTTGTTTTTCTTTTAATTTAATTTTGTACAATAAATACTTATTTAATCTAGAAATAACAGTTAAGCTATATACATAGAATTATAGCATATTAAATAGATAAAATTAAAAAACAACGCTACTAATATTAAAAGTAAGCTACAAAAAGTAATGAATAAAAAAGGTACATAATTATAAATTTTAAATATAAAAAGCAATAGAAAAATTAAAATTACCAAAAACCAAAAGCATTATGATTTAATATTAAATTTCATTTTAGAGAAGTAAAAATTGTATTTTGTAAATTCTCAATAGTTCTTGAGAAAATTTTCAAAAATATAAAATTTTAACATTGTTACAGTTAATTTTAAAATAGACATTAAGTTATATGTAATAAATATCAAAACAAATTCTGATATAAAAGCTTAATTAATATGTTGACTGCGCACTTATGCCAATTGTGTCAATACAGTACTACAATAACCCGAATGACGTCAAATATGTATTATTATTGGAATAATTGTTGATAATTGAATGAGTACAGCTAATGTAAAAGTGGTATTTGATTAGTAAATGATAAAAACACTTGATGAAATTTAAAAACTATATGCAGTCAACATATTAAGTTTCTAAAAATAACAATAAACAGTTAACTATTAAAAATGTCACATATACTATGTATATGAGTAACTTTTAGAAAAGGAAATCAAATAATAGTTGACAGACCTGTGTAGTGGTTTCATAGAATGATTGAATGATTGCACCTTGATTATACTGCCGACAATAAGATAAAAAGCCAGTGACTACAATAACAGCTATTAAACTTGAACCTAAGTATATCTGCGATAAAAGAAAAGTTATAAGCAAGCAAAAGTAACTACCTCTCACCTGAACACAAACCCACAATCATGCTGATAGGAAAAGCACAGTAAATTATGATTCAAAGCTTAACACACATTACTTTACGCATTAAGTACGTCAGCTAAATCTCTGCCTTACCTGGGGAACTAAATTTCTAAATGAATCCACAATTGCAGAAGATTTAGCTTGTTGATAATAGGAGAAGATTCCAGTGATGACGACAACAGCTACTAACACAACTCCCAAGTAAAACTGGATTGTAGTATACAGGGGAAATGTATTAGTTTAACAAAAGTGTACATTTATATTTAAAAGTTGTTTAAATCAATTTAAATTAAAATTAATTTAAGAATTTGCATGGTTGCTGGTATTTATAAACAGGTTTATATTAATTATGATAAAATATTAAAATGAACTTACATAATCATCATTTGGATCTTCTGTAGTACTTGTTTCTGCAGCATGTGCTAAGAAACATAAAAGTGCTCCACACCATAATAATACTGAAAAACCACCAAAAATCTGTTTTGTGAATTTAATCCACTCAGGAGTTGTAATTGGCGGTGTCAGAGTGTTTGGTCCATCTCTTTCTAAATTTTCTCGAGCTTTTGCATGAGTCAACCCCTAATAAATAATTAACAGATGGTAAATTAAAAAGGAAAAACCAAATATAGTTTCAGAAATAAATTCTAAATTGTAAATTAATAAATATTTACTGTTTCAGGATGTGTTCCAAATCTTTGGTACAGTTCATCTAACGATATTTTATGATAATCCAAATAAGGATCTTGTTTAAGCTCATCTAAATTTTCAGCATGGCTGTATTTGGTACTTATTGAAGATGGTGCTTTTCTTCTTGTCTGATAATTATACATTTATTAATATTAATGGATTTACTTTAATATATAAATAAATAAAATCAAAAATGGATTCATACTTTTGGTTTCCCATCTACTGTCTTATTATCATCAAATAGAGATGGAACTGTGGCGACACGATACGAGTCTGTTCTTCCATGCTAAAATAAAATAACATAATTAATTTAAATGTGTGACAAATACCTTATTCACAATAACTTTGAAAAAAAATCCTGTAAAAACAAGTACCCAACAATAAACTACTATTAGTAATTGTACCAGTAATTTTTAATGATAAAATTAATTTTTTTAAATAATCTAGTAATATTATAGGTACATACTTCAGTGATTTAAAGGAAATAACAAAGGACAAATTTATACCTACAATATAAGAACTTTGTACAAACCAAGAGCAGTTATAAATTTAGTTAGGAAACTTCAAAAATATAAAATTAAATGCGTAACACTACAGGAAATAAGATGGGGTGATTCTGGGTCAACCAAAATTTCAGAAACAACAATTTTCAATGGCGAATGTGAACAGAACGACTAATTGGGAACTAGTTTCATGGTACATGAATTAATTTATTCATGCACTGAGAGAATTTAGGATATCATCCCATGAATATCTACCATAGCTTTAGGAAATGATAATATGAATATAGTTTTAATAAAAAATTACGCATCAACAAATAAAAAAAAGAGCTGTTACACAGTACTGGACTGGAAATACTAGGGAAATATTATACTAGGCAACTTCAAAGTAAAGATAGGACAAGAAAGAAACTATTGTGCCATAATTTTAAATTTGAAGCTGAAATTTTCCCTCCCAGGTGGATTACTAGAAATTATCAGATATACCACAACCCATTTTTAAGGGAAATCAGATAACAGATACAAAAGTTAAAGAATGACAAATCACCTGTAGAGGACAAGATCATAGCAGAATTGATAAAAAATGAGTGAGAGAACTGACACAAAAAATACAGTTAATAATTTGCAATGTATAGGAAACAAAAGAAATATCTGAAGACTGGAAAACAGCTATACGTCAGTAATTGGAAAAAATCTGGAAATCCCTAAATAACTCAAAAATAATAACATTTAAAAAAGTTTACAGGCAGATAGTTCAATTATATTATACATATAAACTATTATCTAATCAATGCCATCCTTATTGTCTTGTAAAACATTACCCATAAAACAACGAAAATAATTATAATAACAAAAATACCTAGAAGCTGGATTTGGGGGCATAGTAAAGGGGATAGCTTTAAACCTTCTCTGGACAATGCAGATTATCAATCTAATAGTTTTTAAGTCTATAAATTGCAAACGAAACAACAAATATTCATTTTTATAAATAAGATTTTAAGAAGAATAATTTATTGAATACAATAATATAATTGTGCTATTTTCTCAAGGGAATTCCAACAGCATAAGCATAATTTTGGTTTCCAAATATCAATAGAATGGTTAATGCATTTACAATCCTTCTCCTTGTAGAAGAAAAAATGAAGTATTTAAAAATAATTTACCAAAAAAACATTCAGACTTAGCAGACTATTTGATGTATACTATGTTAATGAAAATAATAGAAGGATTGGAAACGATTAGAATAACATTAGACTTTGAAAACTACCACCATGTACCCAATGATTGTATGGAATGTTAATGAAATTATAATTATTGAGTCAATGACTACCACAGAACCAACAATATTGTTGAAGTAGATCCCTATCTAGAAATTTGAAAAAAAAAATAACTATATATGTTATCTTGATAAATAAAAATATTATACATGGAACAGAGACTTGGGCAGTTAGGAAAATTGATAAGAGCAGATTGTTCATTTTTGAAAGAAAAATGCTGAGAAGAATTTTTGGTCCTTTTAAGGACAATGGATCTAAGGACTGAAAAATAAGAAAGAAAGAGTAATTAGTATCATTCTATCAAAAACCTAGCATCGTTGAAGTAATCAGAAATAAAAAGCTATAATGGGCAAGACATGCTTGGAGAAATCAGAACATACATACTAATCTGCACAGTGCTAAAGAAGAACCAAAGAGGAAATAGACCCATTGGAAGGTTTTCCCCAATAACTTAAGAAATTATGTGTATTTTATTTTATTAAATTAAAACTATGAATATATGAATATTTGATTTCTTGTAACCAAAATAAATAAAAATGTTGTCATTTAAGAAAATGTTAATGCCTGTACATATATATCGATGTTAATACACATTGTATATCTAACACTAAAAAATGTATATTTAAATAAGTACTACAAGTATATATACCTAATTAAAATTTAAAATGTAAAATGTAAAATAATTAAAATATAATTATTAACATATCAAAATCACTATATTTTTCATCATTTACTATGATGTACTTATGAACAAAGAATATATTATTTTTATTTGTTAAGTTGCCAAACATCATCAACCCAATAAGTCAGTGAACCATCTATTTTAGATACATTCAGTGACACAAATAATGTCGTGTACTAAATACTCATTTATTAATCAAGTTAATTGGATGATGTTCCAAGCTATTTTTTAATATAGAATTCAATTAAAAAAATTAAAAAACAATCTCATTTTAAATAGTTGTATGAATACAAATTAAACTTTAAGAATTAAAGTAGTTTTTAAACTATATAACTATTAGTTATAAACACCTAATAATTATAAAAACAATAATCTTACTTATTACAACAATGCATTAATAATATTTAATACAAATGCCCAGAGAATAAAAAAAGGTATAAATTTGTAGGAATAATTGTGGCTTAATAGTCTATAGATTTAATACCCAATTTAAAAAGAATTTTTGTCAGCATAAATGTAAAGTATACCTAAATCATTAACTTTATTTAATAAATGCTTTTTTATAGGTCAACATTATGATTAGTAGTAAAATTCCAAACAATTTTTGGGATAACAAAGACTTGGTGGAAGCACCACACCCTTACAATAAACATTGATAACCAATAACACTAAAAAAATGATATTTGATAGAAAATAATTAAAACTGATAAATAAATGAAAAGTATCCTTATTAACTCAGTCAGCAAAGTTGGGCGTTTGGTATACATTGTATTATATATTGACAAATTTAATAATTAAACTAAAATCAAAAGTACTTCTCATAATGAAAAAATTGTATGTAAGAGAAATTATTAATTTTCAGTAATTCAAAACATACTTGCTTGAATGCAAATTCTAAAATAGTTGAGACTATCATCGTGCACATAATATTTTTGGGAGTTAGATTTATAATTTTGAATGAAGGAAACTATATTTTTCTTTTTATGTTTGTTAAATTTATAACATGTTATAGCAAAAAAATATCTATAATGACTCTGTTGCTTATTTAATGTAGACAAAACTATATCGAGGACTGATAGTAATAGAAAAGCTGATTAACTTAACAAAATCATTAAAATACTTAAAAGGATTAAAATCATTGAATTACTTTTTAAGTAATAATAATACATAATACATGAATTTAATTTACTTGTATTCTATTTATTCTATTTCTAACATAATGATAATTTTGAAAAAAAATTTGTCTAAGTATATAAAGAACATAATTTTTTTTTAAATGTGGAAAAAAATGCATAGCCTTGGTGGATTAAAATGTTAAAATGGTATATATGACAAAACAAATAAGTAAATAATATAGATACTAGTAAGTACAAAGAAATTCAAATTTTTGTTGTACTTCTCACTTGAATATTAAGGTTATATTCAATTAATTTATGCAATATTTATATACCATATTTAGATACCATCCGTAATAAGTAAATTTAATTTAAAAATAACTGCAGAGGAAACTTTTTGACGTGTTATACTTAATACCATTGAATGCATCAATTTTAGTACCTATTAAGAAAGCAAGTCCTTTATCATCTCATTCAAACAGCTTTTATCCAATTGATCCTAATACTTGAATTTATTTAGCTTAACTTAGTAACATTTTTATTTGAAAGATAAAACTTCTTAAAATTTTAATTTAATTTTTATTTCAATAATCAAACTTCAAAAATTGTAATAAGTTAGACAGGAAATTGTAGGTTTTTTTCTGGGCAAAAGCTGAAAATAAGAGATTTTAGAGCAAACCAAAATACAAGATGCAAGTTATAAGTCTTAAAGTTAAACTGTTTTTTTTATTTTGATATTTTAACGATTTTGGTACACAATTTTTATTTTTGGACATTTAAATACAATTTTGAAAATTATACTTCCAAAGAATATAATTAGAGTTTGAATATGACCAATTTATACAGTGTTTTATACATAGTGTTTGTCTTTATAGTATAAAATTATAGTCAAATGAACCTTGTATAAAGTTGTCATTTTTCGAACCAAAAAAAAATTTATCAACATTGACAAGGCAAGAAAGTTAACTTAACCTTAAACCTATAAACCATATTTTAATCAAAAAAATAGTCTCTCCAATACAAAAATTAAAACTAATTTAATCTTTTGTTAAGATTTGTTAAGACTTTAACTGTAAATGTTAACGATTTATTATTAGCAATTGTTAAAAATGTGTAAACAATACAGGCAGAACCTTTAAACATATTTGTTTGAAGTCACAAACCTTAAGTTATAAATTAAAGTATCTTATAAAAGGTTTTTGGATACTGGATTATAGCTTGCATTTTACAAAAATCGATTTTAAATTCCCGATTACCTATTTAAAACGTACCAAAATATATCTATTTAATAATTGGTCAACTTTTATATATATATTATATTTAACTATTGTCCCGCCCAAAATTCCTTTATATCGTCATAAACTCACCACCATTCACATAAAATAATTTCATTGGTTTCACTACACAAATTAGATATTTCATAATTGTATTACTTATTAATACTTACAAGATCATAATCCTTCGATGACATTTTAAAAAAAATATAAGGTAAATACTTAACAAAGTTTTAACATAACTTTATAATCAATAAAATGTATTAAAATATGTAGTGATTATAACCAAATGTAAAATTTAAAAACCATCATAATAATAAATAAAGCACCACACACAAAGTATCGTGAAAGACTAAATCGAGATAATATTCAACACTCTAAACAAAACTTTAATAACATGTATTGTAAACAATACAATTATTATTTATTACACACTCATAGGAAAACATACCAATACACCATAGGGTATAGAATAATCTTGAAGGTATACACCCATCAACACTATATAGTGCTGCTACACTTTTGTTTTGTAGTAAATTTTAAATTAAAAATAATACGTATAGATGGCAGTAGTGGAAAACCGACAAAAAAATCAATAAGACTGTGGTATACATGAAGTATACCATAGAACAGTGTTTCTCGACTGGAGGTACGCGAAGAAAGAACATGGAAAAAAATTTAATGTTGGAAGAAGTGAAATTTGTTGTATTTAACTGAAATGGCCTGTTATTTGTAAAATATTATAAATCGGTTTTTCATATATTTCATATTCTTATTATTTGTTAATAGGTTTATGGTTTTTCATAATATACAAGTGTAAAATAGGTATAATAGGTATAACAGTCTTCAAGTTTTATGAAGTGCGTTTTTATCTATATAGCAAGATATATCTTTAATCGTGCTATAGAGACGAAATATAATCGCCTCAGTTTATCGCCCCTCTAAGAACATCACCTCACTTATAATATTGTTATAGGAGTGGCCTATCCATTTCTTTATTATCTATGGTACGTGATTTAAAAAGGTTGAGAAACGCTACCATAGTAGAACTGATATAAGATTATGACTATAAAAAAATTGATTTAGATAAATAGGGTTACCATAAATTCTGATAACAATATGTGATAAGCTATGATAACATTAATATAAAATTACTAATTTTCAAAAATTGTATCTATAGCATTAAATTAAAAAAACAGAAGGATATTCTTTGCAAGGCTACCATAAGCGCAATTAGAGACTAAATATTGAGGGTGCAAAAATTATGTAATAAAAAATAATCCGTGGGAAATGCACGTCTACACCCACAAATATTATTTCTTAATTACTTATGAATAACAATAACGATTTTAAAATGTAATATTTAATAAAATAGTAGGTAAATACAATAGGTGACACGGACACTTAACTGAGTAGTAATGACTGTTCACTAGTAATGAGTATCTCGACAATCACAAAATATTTTAAATTAATCTCATGATTGGGCCGATAAAAATTTATATTAAACTCATGAAGGTAATAATAATGTGGCAGGTTTCGCGCCACATTTCTTCTTCCCGCTGCGCGTCACACGCGGCGGACGTCGACCTATCCCCTCGCCATCGGCGTTCAATAGTCATCGGCCACAGCTCCGCTCGACTCGACCGCTCCGCTCGCTCTTTTCGCACCGACGCCGTTCGCGAAACATTGTTTTCCGACTCCAAATAATTATTATGTATAATTGATTTTTACCACTAATGTTGTTTTAAATATTGCGTGCTCGCCTGTTCTCGCGCCACAAGCCGTCAGCTGGCGAACACTTATGTCGTAAATAAACGTTCCTTTTTACTTTATCATTAAACCTCGTGTTTTGGTGTAACCCGCCAAAATAATATAATAGTGATATAATTATTATCAGTCCGTCGAAGCACATATCTATAATGTATATATATAAAGTGCTTTTTGATGTGATCCATTGTCTAAAAATAGTTCTCAGCAGACGGTTTCTCCGTTATGATATTTGATAAAATACATCATCATATTCATAGATTATATTATATGACATTTGAACATAATAGTTCTAAATAAAACTTACAAACATAAAATTGACGATATTTTACTGCAATTATTATTATAGTTTGACCTATAAAAACAAGGAGTGCTAAATTTGAACTCGGGACCCTCTTACGCCCCACTAGTTGCACCACTGTAGAACATTATTGTAAGCAGTGACGTAATCTAATCATGTTTGTGAGGGGGAAGAATGAAATGTCTGTACATTGTATCTATTACCTCCCTCCCCCCAAAATAATTTATCATTTAATACCTAAGTATCAATACAACTTACAAATATACAACCATTATGATCTGTATAGATTAAAATAAATAATACGAGGGTTGTCCCAAAAGTAATGCACAATTTGCTCTGAATAAATAAGTTTTTATTTTAAACTAAATACAATATTATAGACCTTCGATATAATCTCCCTGCTTGTCTATACACGATTGCCATAGTTTCGGGAGCGCTTGAATGCCGCATAGGACGCCATCTTTGTTGAGTTCACGGATTCTTCGGCTCACTTCTTCATTTAGTATATCTAAGTTGGGAAAACGGATCCCNGGAAATAAATCAAAGTCCGGGGGACTTAAATCCGGCGAATACGGTGGGTGTTTGAGGCGTTCCCATCCATATTTCTCCAAAAGAGCGACGACTGGTGCTCCGATATGCGGCCGCGCATTATCGTGCAATATGGACACACCATTTTGTAACATTCCTGGTCGCTTTTTACGGATTTCTGGTCGCAATTTTTTGGCAAGGAATGTTTTGTAGTAATCCCCGGTTACACTAGTTTAAGAGCACCAGGAGGTAGGAGACTGCTGTGTAGCTAGCAGGTTATTGAATATAATAAGTAAAGAGACTAACGCAATATCAGGAAGATGTTTTAACAAGACCGGAGAGATGTTGTCGAGTCCAGGAGCTATGGACTTCCATGAGGAAATAGCAAACATTAATTCGGACAGCGTAAAACTATTGGTAAGAACATGAGAGTGAGCTAAGAGAGGGTAGCGACGGGGACGAATCTCTGATTCAGTGGGGACATGGCACGGGGAGGCTTTAGAACAAAAGTTATCGAACCAGTCGTCGTTTTCGGGGCGTTTAGTGGGGTTAACGCAGTTTTTGAACCTTTTGGCTGTGGCCCATAGATATTGAATTGAGCAAGAAAGGTTTAGGTTGGAACAGAACATTTTCCAGTTATTTCTTTTTTCATTTTTAAGCAGACCAGTTGTGTGGGCGCTAACATTACGATATTTAAGAAGATCAGATAGACAGTCTGTGCGACGAAAAATTTTAAAATGTAAAGATCTGGTTTTGACGGCCTCGGTACAAGACGAATTCCACCACCGGGGGGTGGGTGGATGGAATTTGTGGTTGGCAGATTTGACTGGTATTGCCGATTTTGCAGCGTTTATTATGATTTCTGTAAGATTTGAATAGGAATTGGGGAGGGCAAGGTCCTCGGAAGACTGAGAAAGCGTGTCGTGGATATTAAGAGAGAAAGAGGTCCAATCGGCCTTATTAAAGTTGTAGAGTATAGGGCTGGTGAAGTTATTGGTAAAATAATGATGGGATAGGCTCCTATTGGTAGCTGTTATGATAATGGGAAGGTGATCACTACCATGAGGCTCGCACAAAGTGCGCCATGAAAGGTTCCAATATAAGTTAGGGGAACAGAAGGATAGATCAATAGCCGAGTCGGCGGAATTGGGCCGTCAGACGTGTATTGGGCGGCCATCATTGAGTATGTTAAAACGGAGTGAGTTGATAATATTGTAAATAATGTTACCACGGTGAGATGCGGAGACAGAGCCCCAAGCGGGATGGAAGGAGTTAAAATCGCCGCAAAGTATAGAATTACAGGAGATCAGACTGAAAAGAGAATACCAGATGTTAAAAGGAACGTTGGAACTACTAGGGATATAGCAGGACCATATCTCTAAAGGAGGTTGGGTGTCCAAAACGATTTCAATCCCTATAGCGTCAATTTTGTGTTTATAGAAATTATCTCTGGTGGTCATATCAATAGGAATTAGTCTGGATTTCAAAGAATGATGGATTGCTACGGCCACGCCGCCGAACCCATCTGGTCGATCTGATCTGTGGATTCTAAAAGAAGGGATATTCATATAACGGGAGGGGATGAGCCAAGTTTCGAAGAGTGTTGCAACAAGGCCTTTTTGAGCAGAAAGAAGGTATATAAGTGAAGGAAGACGAGCTGATAAGCATCTTACATTCCACTGTAAAATATTAAGATTGTTGCCATAAATGTTATTATTTACGTTAGAAGACATAATGTTTGCGATATGTTATTTACGGATAAGATGTGATAATTTATGCAAGGGTTTCGTAAAAATAAAAAAAATAAAAAAAAATAAGAGGTTGCTTAGGAAATGCGTTTGAAATTAGGTAAAGCTAGTAAAGAAAAAAGAGAAGATTCAATTAAGGACTGAAGAGTAGGAGAGGAGAAAGGGGAAACTAGAGAGGGAGAGCTAGTCAGAGTTTCGGAAAGTTTTAAGGATAAAGCATGTACCCAAGAAAAATCGTTAGAGTTATTTTCCATAGAGTTACGTTGATTAGATATATTTTCTAAATAACTACCATTAAGAGAAGAAAGGAAAGGTTCAGCGGATAAGACATTTCTATTTTTATTCGACGTAGTATAAAGTTTCTGTTTAGATTTTCTAGAATTAAAAAAATGATGGCTTTCGTTAAGGTTAGGAAAATTGTCCTCATAAAGGGGCATATTTGGTTTCAAAATATTGAGATTTGGAAGCTGACTATTTACTACATCGGTGTATTTAAAAGCAGAGGTATAATAGCATTTATTTTTCTTAAATTCTAAAGCATCTTTATATGATAAATTTTCAGTAGCCATGATTTTTTTTATAACTTTTTGAGTTGACCATTCCTGACAGTTACGGTCTGTAGCAACATGTGGAAGTTTACAGAAAAGACATGTCAGGTCTGTGGTATGAATGGATGGGCGGCAATCAGTGATTGTTTAGAATGTTTAGAAACACCACAGTGACTGCAACGAGGATAGCGGTACCGGAGAGCGAATGCTTGGATGGACGTTGAAGATCATATTATAGACCGAAATGTATTTAGGTAGTTTAGGAGACAAGACTTGTATGACTTATTAACTCATATTATATTTTTCATAGGATTGTTTATCTTTTATACAGTTAATTTAAAAAGTCCGTCGTCATTCTAAATTCGTTTAATAGCATACGTAATTGTCTATTTTCTTTTTGCAGTGTCTGTAACATTATTTTAAAACCGTTAATAGTTTATAGTTCGTACAGTGTATCAATAGCGTTAATTGGCCGGAATTTTTGTTGGTGTAGAGAAATATTAAAATTAGTCATTTTTATCTTTTCACCAATATTCCAACTTCTTTTGTAAATCTGTCCCATCGGCATACGTGTAATAAATACAGATAGTCTAATATTAATATTATTGGAGATTTTCAGTCAAAGTATTAATATAAAATATTACATTGCAATTATGAAATTGGGGCAGAAATAGAATGTTCAATGAAAATCAGAACATTTTATTGTCCCGACTATACTTAAAAAATTAACGAGACACCCATTAAAAAATCGGTTCCTCGCCTAAATCCGATCTGGTCACACTAGCCAAGCCTTGATTAATTATAACACTTAATATTGTATACAAATGTCAAATGGAAATAATTAAATTATTGTCAATTATTTTATATTTTAAAGACCTAACTAAAAAGTTACTATTAATAAATTTATTTTTTAAAAACATCTTTAATCGTTTTTTTTCTTTTTATTTTTGTCCATTTATATTGAGAAAGAAATGAACTAACAGACATAATTATTAAAAGCTGAAGCAGTGAAGCTTAAAATATACCTAATATACAACCATGAGAGTGTGAAATCGAGTTATTTATAAGATGAATAAAAAATAAATAACTTATAATATACTATTTTGGCGGTACTATGTTAAAACAATATAAAATTACAATTACCAATTAAGATTATTTGAAAAGAGTGCAGATATGTACAAAATACATTTAGGTATATTATCTATGTCTGTAGAGTGCTTAGAGACCCGGACATTCGGATATTGATAAAATATCTACAGATTATTAATAAATCGCTACGCTGGGATTGAGACTTAAGAAGTAGAAAAAAAGCGACACTTGTACGATCAGTTAAAATGTTGTACAGTTGTACATGTTGTACAGGTATACAATTTTTTTATAATTTTCTCCTAGTGAAAAAATATAACCTTGCACGACCACATTTACGCCACTGTAAAGAATTGTGAAATAAATTTGGCGTTCGTTATTGTTATAGAAAATTCGTATAATATTATATCTTTTGTCCAAGGATAGAAAATCTTAAGTAAATTTTGTAAATTTTTAATACAAGCAAATTATGTAGGTATTGAAAATACATACACTAATACACTACATACGCGATTTCTGATAATACTTACAATTATGCAACTTAGATCCAAAATTAAGGAGAAAAAGTGACTTAAGACAAAATTATAAAATACACATTTTTAGCAAATTAACTCAAGACCTTCTTCCCTGAGACCTATGATAAAGTACTATAGAATTATTAATTATTTAATTACTATAATTACAAATTACTTCAAATTGTTGCACTTGTCGGCTTTTATCGTCATAATTGAGAAAAACTTCTTGAATCATATTTTTGATTTGTTCATTCCCATTATTGGTCCCTTGAATTTGAGTTATGTATCTCATTTGATTGATAAATTCATCTTGTTCATTGATCATTTTTTCTCTTGTTTTAATGGTTTTTTCTAACTCCTCTATTCGTTCGCTGTCCGTAAAAATATTAATCATTACATTGAAGATTTGAACATGATGGCAAATACGTTCAATCGTATAGAATATGAATATAGATCATTTTTAAGCACCCGCGTATTATATTATATTTTGACCGTTTATTACATTTGAAAATAAAACAATAAAATAATATTATAATATTGTGCAGCTATATTTGTCTCACCATTTTAGCTCCTTGAATTTGTTACACCTGTTCAACAATTGTTTGTTTTTGATTTTCAATTGTTGGTTTTCTTTTTCTAGATTTTCTATTTTAACAACATAATTGTCACGCACAATTATGTTTATATGGCACCCTGCTCTTGTCTCCCACGAAAATAATTCACTTTTTAAATCGACAATAGTGTCTTCTAAGGTCATTATTGTATTTTCTTTAGCGCTATTTTCACGGGTCTAAAAAATATAAATCGGGTATTATTTGAAATTTAATTCTGTTTAAATATTACAATAATACATTTAAATATATTGTACGGGGTGATTTTTTTAGCATAAATATTATAATAATTGGTAATATATTAAAAACATAATCAATAATATCTGAAGTACTCCACAATTAAGTTTATTCAAAATAAGTGTTGATTAATAACTACAGTCTATTCATCCTGTACACATAGTTATTCTATAAATTTTTGATACTTACAATATTTTTTTTAAAATCTCCATGTTTTGAAATTATTTCTTCCCTATAATAAACAATACGTGTATAATATATTATTCTTACGTTTTTTTTTTATGCAGCATTAAATTAAAATAATAAATCTCACAATTGTCTAATTTTTTCGTTTTTCTCCTGTATCTCATCATAATTCACGCTCGATTCTAATATATTAATAAAACGGTCACTCTTTTGTTTATCAAATTTTCGTTTGAGAATTGAATATGTTTGACCCAATTCTTCTAATCTGCTCAGTAGTTGTATTAATATAAACATTTACCTTTTATTATTATTATTATATAAAATAATTCAGTAATATACGTACTTATTTTTAAGTATAATTGTCTCCTCTGCGACTTCATCTTTCTCCCTTAACGCTTGGGATAGATCACAGTTTAACTTTTTTGTCGCTTTGTACAATTGCTTAAATTCAGAATCTTTAACTTTTGATTCTTCCTTTAAGGATTCAATTCGTGTATTTAATTCAGAGTCGTGTGCAGTAATCGTTTTTGATATTTCATCTACTTCCCGGCTTAGTTTTGTTATGAATTTTTTTGATGAGTCCAGTTCCAAATTTAATGCATCTTTGTCATTAGATACGGTTTTAAAATTATTTTCTAATTCTTTTATTCTAATAGCTGCCATATTCTCAGCTTCCTTGTTCTGTTTGTTCTTTGTATCCAATTGCTCCAATAATGATTCTAATTTTTTTTTATTTTCCTCAAGTTTGAGCGAAACAATACTGTTTTGCTCTTGTAATTCTTGAATGATTTCGTGATCATTGCAAGTCTTTAAAATTAAAATAAAACCTTCGGAATCAATACACAATAAAAATAATATACAACAAAGATTATTAAATTATTTAACTTGGTTAAATGAGACATGACTCTCGTATCGTCTTTTCCAGGGATATTCGATATTAATATTAGATATTATTAGAAATATTAAATTTAGGTACGTAAGGGTTTGATCCCCTACTTCTTTTAAAAAATAAAATAAAAATATTATTATAGATATCATAGAAGTTAATTCATACAATTCAAAATTAGAATTAATTAAAACAATTACAATTTCCGATAGTTCATGAAAAAAAAATCATCATATACACAACAGGGGTCCTACAATGTTATCCTTATGCTAATAGTTTTGACAATATTCTTTTTTTTTTGTTCAATCGTGTTTTTAGCGAGGATAAGTTTTAGAATAATATAATTTTAAAAAAATGGATATTTTGAAAAAGTTCAAAAATGATAAAATAAAAAGTAATTTTTTTCAATAACTGATAAAAAATAAGATGAAAAAAAATTTGTCTCTACATATGTGTTCTCCTCACACAAAACTCAGATTGAAAAAAAAATTAATAATGACAGAATTATTAGCATGAGGATAACAATGTAGGACACTCCGTACATAATCGCCTTAATGGCTTCATCAGTAGCATATATACACGAGGGAGGGGGAGTGTTCAACCCCCTCCCTTGTTATTTTTTTCACTATACGTAAAAATATATGAAAATTAAATATAAATAAAATTAAAAAATTGTTAGTAATTTTTTTACATAATGTAAATTTTATAGTTAAATTAGTTGGAAATTAATTCAAACACAAACATGAGGGTCGACAATCGACGAATATTTATAGATGTGTATTATATAGCCATATTGGTTATGATAAAAATAAATCTTTGTTAAACAGCATAATATTTTGATATGTATATACATAATTTTTTAATGTAACTCTCCTCCCATTGAAAATATTTGTGCACGCCCCTGGGCTTTACAGTTAGATTAGGTGTTAAGTATTTAATAATATAAATTATTTATATAATTTTGTTGTTGATGGTTATTTTTATTGAAAAAAAAAAAAACTAAAACTTATCATTATTTCAAAAAAATTAGAAATTTTAAAATATCTGAGAAACGTGAAAGAATTGTGAGAATTTATTGTTGGACCTAGATAATCCTTCCCCTTTCAACAATACGCCCAAAAGAAACTTAGTTTTTATCCTTAGTTTGTAGATTTTGGAATATTTTTAGTACGGATGGATAGAAAATTAAATTGGTGGTTCAAGTTAAAAAAAATTCGCGTCACTACTACTTTTACTTATTATATTTTTTTACTTAATTAATTCATTTTTTTTTGTTTATTCAATGGGTAATAGTAATATAAGTTATATTATATACGATAAATTTATAAATAATCTACGTAATAAACTCTAATAATCACTACCTATTGATTTATTGAATATTATAGGTATGCCTCGCGGACCACCACATATCGTTTTGCGGACTATAGGTTGGGAACCACTGCATTAAAATAATGTTACTTGAATACTGCAATAATTTATTATTATAGTTATTTAACAATACTTAAAATCAAATTATTTAGTCCTTTTAAAAGATATAAAATACATTATTTTGTATTTCTTACTGTGTTTTGAGCTTTATCGACAAGTTTAACCGTGAGCGGAGTCAGCGGACAATTATTCCTTAACTCTTCTATAGTTTTTGAAACATTACACGATGATGGTTTTTCATTAATATCTCTTTTAACCTTTTCATCCTTCGATTCAACTATTCTTAATGTGGACCTTATAATGGGTGCTGATTTTTGTTCTAAACAATTTATCAGATTAATAATGTTTATAAGTATGATAATATGCTATAAGGTGACTATTTAAAATAGTTAGGTTCTATATGGAACATTGAATTTACTTTTAATTGTTGTAAACATAGGATTGGATTTGAGAGTCTAAAAATAAAAATACATTGTCTATAAAATAATATAATATTTATAGTTTAAAAAATATTATTACCTTATTGACCATTTTAAAGGTATGAGATCAAATTCAAACTTAAAATATATAAAAATTACTATTTAAAAACGGTTTAATCTTGAGAAAATACTATTATTTTATAATATTATTACTGAGGTAACGTGATCAATAATAATAAGCCACCTATAAATAATACAAACACAATATGATTGTCATTTAATGAAATTAAAATAAATGTATATTTAAATGTTGCATCCACATTGTGAAATCGCTAATTTCATGAACTGGACATCCAAATAGTGAAATTCATCCAAATCGTGAGTATATTACGTATATATTGACTTCTTTTGATTAAATCGAATGTATAAGTAATTTGTCTGATCTAAAAAAAATGTATTATGCAATCGTGAAAATAATTTAGTTCACTTTATACCCATTTAAAAATATAAAATATAAGACATTGGTTTATGTTAAAGAGGTACTTATGTAAGTAAATTATGGACTCCCTTTTTTTGTTTTATGCTACCAGTCATTATTCACCTCATCATATCAAGAAAAATCTTCAAAAGTAGGATTAGACAACAAATATTAATTTTTTTAATTTGAGTATTAATTTATTAACAAGCTTCAATCAGTAAATTATTATAATTATTTTTTGATGCAACAAAATATATTTATATTGAAATAATATTGTAAATATAAATTACACGATGAGACAATAAATATTCACATTCTTTACAAATATTATAGGTAATATGAATTAATTTCAAACAAAAAAATGATTGAAAGGAACTAGGTGTAATAACGGCCTCTTTATGTCATTATCTACTCTATGTGTCCAATGTGCTTAGTATATTAATATAAAGTTATACGATTAAAATATAGATTAAAAATCTGATAGGAACAGAAATAGTAGACAAATCTAATTTGTTAAAAAAATCACGATTTTCAACAAAATATATATTTAAGAAATAAAATGAAAAAAACGTCGCTCAGTTAGTAGCCAAAAAAATTAAATCTTTTTCTAGAAAGAGAATAAAATTTCTAGAATAGAATAGAATTTCTAGAATAGAAAATTTGTGAACAAGTGTATGTTACATGTTATTTATGAAATGTATCCTGAGAAAAAATGTGAACAATTTAGTTTGTCACATCAAACAATAAGATGAATAGAAGATCTTGAACTTAATCTTTTTGAATAAATGCAAGACAGATCAAAACATTTTGTAAAATAGTATTCAGTTGATAATTTCTGTATTAATAAATCACAATTTTGACCTCAATTATGTGTTGATGTAGACAACGAATATCGTTTAAATTTACCAAAACGTTTTTTAAAAGATTTTTCTGATAATAATTTTAAAACAATCAATGAACGACAAAACAAAATTACTACGATCTACAAAGGTTTTAAAATTCTTAAAAATGGAAAAAAAAATACAATTAATTGAGTCTGAATAATTATAACATGTTTGTTTTTTAATTTATTTTAAATTAAAAAGATTATTTACAATAAATGAGAATAATAAAAATAAAAAATGAATTCATAAGGTTAGAAAATCCTATATTTGAAGAGAATTTATTTATCGGTGTTTTAGGTTTAAATATTACATCAAATTTAATAAACATTGAAACAGATTGTTTATTTAAAGTTGAAGGAAACATAATTGAACTAAAAACAGGAAAATATACTATAGATGAATTAAATAAAGTTGTTAAACCGTTAATAATTTATGTACAAAGAGACAAAATCAATATTAAATCTAATATGTTTTTTAATCAAAACGAAAAATAGTTAAACAAATTTTAGGTTTTGATCATGATAAGGAACATTATTTTAACACAATGAAAGATAGAATAGTTGGAGATTTTCCATTAAAATTTACAGTAACTAATCCCAAAGATGAGATAATACAAATCAATCAAGAATGTAATTTTATTATTGGTCGAAATGGACATATAACACCATATAAATTACATTTTGGATTATACTCATTGAAAGAACTTGAAAAAATGTTTAATAATTATCCTGAATATGGTTTATATAATACAATTACAACAGTAATACTTAAAAAAAAAAGGATTTTTAAAAATATTATCCTCCTTTAATATAGGTCTCGTATCAGGTTTGAAAACTTAATGTTAAATATTGTATTTAAGTCACCAAGATTTTGTTTTATGTTTTTAACTTTCATTTTAGCGCATAAGTTGAAAATTTAGGTTAAATAATACAAATAATATAAAAATCACTTTTAAGACCAATAATAATTTAATCAAATTTATAAACAATAGAGCTAAAAATTTCATAAAAAATCCCCTTTCTGTTGGTATGTGTATAAACTTAAATGTAACTGTATTAAATTGTTTATGGGTAAGACAAATAAAAATTTTAAAATAAGATATAAAGAATACATTTCTGAAATAGAATTTAAAAAGTTTAAATATATATATATATATATATGCATACATATGAATATTATACAAATAAAGGATACAAATAAATTTAGTTTAGGGCCCAAACTCGTTTTTCAAAATGTGTGTTTTCGCCTGTACAATATGAATCTAAAAAAAAAAAAATCGGATAAGCTTTGTTTGGAAGTTATGGGGGAAAACTTCATGAAGTTCGGGTTTTCCGTTTCGCATATTTCTTAATGAAAATTAAACATTTTTAATTTTTTTTTCTCCAAAATACGTGTTTTTTTAATGTTTAATTCATTGGTATAATCAAAACTTACCTATCGTGCTTTTGAAGCTATTGTACATAGAGCATTTTGGGTGCACTTAGAGATCTGGCGGGGTCACTCGCTCGCTCGGACTGTTTCAATCGAAAATGACTCAATTTGTTGTGTAAAACCACGTCGGGTAGGTAATAGGAAATAGTAAGTTAGATAGAATTATTCAGACTTCAATAAAAAAAACTTTTTAATCAAAATATCAATAAATACAAATCATAATAAAAATTTAAATAATGTCTATTTTCAATCACAATTTGGATTAATTCCAAAAATGCTATTTTTCTACAATAACTTCAAAAGTAAGTATAATAGGTAAATTTTGATTATATCAATGGATTAGGCAATAAAAACACACATATTTTGAAAAAAAATTTGAAAAATGAGTTTGGGTCCTAAACTAGATTTATACCCAAATAAATATAATCTTATAAGTATTCACAAGATCACAATGAAATTTTATTTTCTTAATTTAGACAACGATTTGATGCAATTAATAAGCCCAATGTTTTATAATTAAAGGTATCTTTAAAACAAATTCTCATGAAAAATGCAATTAAATATAAATGAGACGGTAATAAAAAAAAAAAAAACGTTGAACACACAATTTTACTAAGGTACCTGTTGTACCTAATAAAAATAATCTTGTCTAAATGTTTACCTAAGATATTTTTGTACTATTACAAACACAGATATATATATATATAATAGACTAGATTGCAACAATTAGCAATCTGGTTTATTATCTATATTTGTGATTATAAATGAAATCTAGTATAATCAAAGACAAACATTTTATAATTATATATGTCAATTATAATTATTTAAAACTCTAAAAATATCCATGTCAAATTATAATAATATCAGACCATTGTTAAAAAACGTAAATAAAACCAATATATACCACTATATAAGAACCTCAGAACATTAGTATTTAAGAGACATACAATAAGGAAAAATTAAAAAGTATCATTAATTAATTATACTGGATATATATGAATTTGACATAACTAAAATTAGTTTTGAGAAAAGTTTTCCAACATGGAAAGTAATATGGGTATTATTTAAGGAAAACTGTAAAAGCAAATTCACCTTAATTTAAGCGAAATTATTAATGTAAAAAATGCAATGGTGTCAATACTAATGGAACTAATTTAGTTAATTATTTAAAAAAGTAATAACAATTAATAATAGTAGGTAACAGTGTATAATAAACAATTATTCAATGCAAAATGAAGGTAATAATAAAAATATTATATAGATAACCCCATAGGGGTATCTATAGTAAATGTAAGATAATAGTAAATAATATTAAATTATTAGTACATACAGAACATAAATAATGAACTAATATGAATACGATTAATTATTAATAAATTAATGTGTTTTATTTGAAAAGGCAGCAAAGTAATCGGGGTAAGATTTCTAGTAGAAAAGTTATCCGCAGAAAAAAAATTAAACATCTTAGTTAGACTATAAACTTCTTTGGTCCACTCAGAATCTAAAAAAACTACTAATTATTGTGTGGTAAATGTTGTGTACCAAATTGCCATTCATAGGTAAAATTAAAGCGGCCCTCACACGATCAATATTTTTGACAGTATTTCAGATACTGACAATATTATTGATCGTGTGAGGTGGGTACTGATTTACTGTCAGTATAGAAAAACGATACTGATGATTGATGGAAAAATCGGATATCGATTCATTAGTAATTATATACTGATAATAATATTGATGGTGTGAGGTGGGTACTGACAGTTCTTCAGTATTATTAGCATAGCGATAGAAGATGCACGTGATGAATGTCCAAGCGCGCGCGAAGGTCGTGAACGACAATTACGTGCTTTTATTTCAAAATATAAAAATTGTAAATGTTTATGGGATGTTCGTTGCAAAGAATATTGTAATAGAGACATAAAAAAAGCTGCTTATAATGAATTATTAGTTGTCTATAAGTTAATTAAGCCTGAAGCTACTATAGACGAAGTAAAAAAAAAAATTAATACTTTTACGAAGTAATTTTCGTAAAAAGTTAAATAGGATCGTGTCAGATGTTTACACTTGTCGAGTGCCAAACTGATTACTGTCAATAATCTATACTTACCATGTAAGGAGTACACTGTCAGTAATGTAAATACTATCAATAATATTGATCATGTGAGGGCCGCTTAAGATTTGGCGACTGGGCTAAAAATGGTTTTTATCATTTCTGGACACCTGCTTATCATCGTTTTTTTTTATCTATGCTATTCAATAGTATAATATCAATGGAGTGTCCACACTGATTTCCATCTGATTGATCAGTTCAAGGCTGTTGGGAAAATGAAAACAATCTGGAGGAAAGTAACTTGTTGGTGGTTTTAAACAATTCATAATTTTCGGTCATAATTTTAAATTAATAATTATAAATATTTGGTTATTTGATAAATTAAAATAGTTTTATTTTACTGTTTTACGTATAGTAATTTGCAGATATTAAGTTTTCATGGATACATTTGTTTACCCCGACAGATAATTAACTACAACTTGTACTCAACCAGGTGATATTCGGTTCCAGATTAATAATATTATAAAGTAAATAGATTGTAAATTGTGATCAAAGCAAACATTTTAAAATTAGTACATCTGCATACAAATATTTATAATATAGCCACAGTTTTTGTGTTAAATTTGACTGTTTTATATTTTATTTATGTATACAATTACAATTTTAATTCTGCCCATCAAAATTAATATTGACAAATGAGTTATGAATTTGGAAATCTTAAGATTTACATATTAGGTATTGGATATTTATCTTATTTTGTCTAACTTGAGATTAATTACCTATAAAATTACAATATAGGCATTTTTTATATTTTCGCTACTCACAAAATGGTTTTTGAAAATGTGTACATCATAATAAAATTAATTAGTTTCTCATTCATATTTATGAATTATTAGCACAAATTGAAACAGTTTTCTATGCGATATTTGTATTGATATTACCATTAGTAGGTATATCTACTTGATACAAGGGAAAAGTTTAAATTAATATTTAATAAAAATGAAAATCTGTTTCAATTTTGCATTATACCCACCTAATAATTCATGTTTATTTTGTTTTTATTAATATGTCAAAATTGAATATCCATCATTTAAAAATGTTATATTGTATTAAAATATTTTCCCATATTTGACAATTTTATTTTTCAAATGAAACCTGCCCTTATAAAATATTAAATTTAATCTAATATTTTTCACTTATTTTAACATGTGTAGTACATATTTATGATATTTATTTTTATCTATAATTCAATATATATATTATAAACAGTGCTTCAATTGGAAAAATAAAAGAAGGGGTACTATTAAGCTTAAGTAGCGTCCCTTGTAATGATTGAATTCAACTTAATTAAGACCATTGAAAAAAATTAGAATTGGCTAAAATATTTTAAGAAAAGAAATGGTATCCCATCCCCCCATGACCCACTCCCAATTAAAGCATTAATTATGTGTATAAAATATAATGATACTACTAAGATTAAATTGTATTAGCAAACCAGGCAATAGAATATAAAAAATTTTAAATTCACAGAGACGTTGTTTGTCATTCTATATACAATCAATTTCTGTACATTTAATTATTTTTGTTTCCACATTGGTTTGGGATTTTATTTGTAAATACAATTTTAGTTTTGAAATCAATAAACTGGTCAAATAATCTTAAAAAAATATTTAAAATCATTTTATAGGTATATTTTTTATAGTGGCCAATAATTAAACATTACAATTTGAATATTTATTTACATTAGATAAGTATGAATACTTTAATAATTGTATTAAAATATAAATAATAATAAGTTTACTAATTCATAGATGTTGCTAAATCATTATACACAATTTAGAGTGTAGTACTCTAAATATGGTTAATGTTATGTGTTCAATATTATTAGTTAATATTATTGTAAATCTATTATTACCCATGAATTCAAAAAGTATTTTTTAACTAATTATGAATTACTTTTGCTATGTATAATATAGATTATAGCCATTAGTCATATAGTGTAATAATTTATTATAATAAACTAGTTGTGTTATAATAGTACAATTACTATCTTTAGGTATGTTATTTAACTCACTATTCCTTTCTACTACCAAAGAGATAAGTAAAAGAGTAGTTTAATGTTACATTATTTAAATTTGAAAAAAAAAAAACATTCACATAGGTACAATTAACAAATTTAATAAGTTTCATATTTATCAGGAAATATTAAATTTGGAAAGTCACCTGGATATAAAAAAATAAGTTTTTAAGTTATTATTGTTATTAATATACAGTGATTTTTTTTTATTATGAACTAGCAATTATCTTAAGAGATTTTAAGTGAATTTGATTTCTGTTTTTTCAAATCATTATGGAATTGTTTAAGCTTTATTTTAAAACCATTTTTAATTTTTTACCCCTACTCCATATACCTTAAAAAGATACATACTATTGATTATCAAATAGGAACTCCTTTTTTGAACACAGATTTGAATACAGAATATTTTTCTAGAAATGTTGATGTGCATAACACTAATATTAGATTTACAGTTGATGAGTTACAACAGTTTAAAGTTTAGACCAGTGGAATGGGGAAGGGTTACTGATAGGCAATTTGCTGGTTCACGGTAAAAAATTACTCTGTGTGTATATTTTTTAAAGAGGTCAATTATGTATTTTATTAAAAATATGCCCTCTTTATCTTCTCATGACACTTTTATTTCATATTAATAGTGAGATTGTTGTTAAATTATTTTTAAAGATATTTAGATAAGTTTTCTTTTATAGAAACAATCATTTATTTATAAATTAGTCATGGTCTCATAAACTTAATAGACAACAATGTCAGCTATGCTCCATAATGACCTTCATTTAGTTTTAATCTTTTTGTTCTTAGAATAAGTTCTACCATTATTTTCTGTCAAAATAATAAAATATTTATATTTCATACCTTTTTCTGTTTGCTTATCATTAAAAAATAAATAATACAATCATTACGCATAGGTACCAACTTCAATTTAAAAAACATTTAATATAACTTTCTGAAATATATTTGCATGCATTCCTATTTTCTGTAAATTATATAAATTATTAGTTATTGTTTTGTTTTTATTTTGATATAATAGATGCATATTTTTAGTAGCCTGAAGCATTTTCTAATAATTATATATTATTTTGTAGGTATAACATGAAATACCTAAGTAATAACTAGGGCTTGGATTTCAATATATGTATACTACCAAAAATAAATTAAATATATTTAGTAATAACATTGATTTTATAATAGATTTATAGTCTACTATAAAATCAATGGTAATTACTATGAATTTCAACATGTGGCCCCAGAAAATTTCAAAAATGGTAATAATGCATCTAAAACATAAAAATAATGATTTTAAATTTAAAAAACGTAAAATAAATGTTTTTATTCTCATTCAAAAATACAAGTAACAAAACAAACTACTTGTTTTTGAGCTTTTGATATTACTTTAGTTTATAATATAATAAAAGCACTTTACAAATCTTGCCTTGCTAGCATGTAAAAATCTTGAAATAAAATGTTGTATATCTAAATAAAACTAAAAATGAAGAAAATGGCTTGTTGAAAATCAAAAAAATGCAATGTAATATTTCTTATTCAATAATACATGAAATACTTTGTAACAAAACGAGCATTACAAAACAAGTATTTGAAAACAATGCATTGTATTTAAATCTGAACTCTAGTAATATGATTATGATTTATCTATTTTTTAAATTGTATGGCTTTAAAAAATTATATTAACATTTAAAAAACAGGTCTCTACACTATCTTAAAAATTAGAATATAGAAAATACAAAATAAAATAAAGATATAAATTATTAATTTATATAAATAAATAAACTATCTTGATGATATTTAATTACTATATTATACATTTTTCAATGATTTGGTTGTAATATATATTTATATTGGTTTTTTGACAGAATTTGTATTAAATGTTTAATTAAAAAATATATATATATAAATATTATATTAATTAAAATAGTCTAAATAAGAATGTAAGAAAAGAAAACTGGAATTGCTGTGAAATATTTAAAAATGATTAAATGTGTAAAATTAATAAAGCTCATTTAATTTAAAATCACATTAAACAAATTTATTACTTATCAAAATTAATTTATCAAATTACAGTGAAAATATGTATTAACATTAAAATTTGAGTAGTAATTAAAATGTATATGGTTACTTGAATACACAATGCTATATTATGTTTAATTTTATCTTTAATGTATTAATTTAAATTGTTTATAAATTAATTTTGTAAATATTATTGTTTTGTGTATCCCAGTTTTGATATAACTGAATATATATTATATATGTACAAACCTCTTATACATTATTATTTTAAAGCATTTTTATTGAGTAATCCTTACAATTTGAATAGCATCACCATCAGTATAACATAAAAAAATTAAAACATATTTGTGGTTGCTAATGTTATGAATATTATTGTCAAAAAACAAATGACTGTCACCATTTAAAATAAACTATCACAGAGTTATTTTTAAGTATAAATTTGTAAATTGCTAGTTAAAAATTAAACTTATGAACTTTATGATGATAATTGAAATTTTATTTTATTATTTATCAAAAATTTAAGATACTCATTTTGTTTAGGAACCTGTTTATGTAATTTTTATATCATAAGTTTTTATTTTTATCTTGACATTATATTTAGCATTAAATAAATCATGTTTATTTTTACATAAATTCAAAGAAAATAAACTAAGATATTTTGTTATAATATATCTTCCATGCTTAATGAACTCGAAAATATAAATGTAATATAATTACCCAAGAATAGTAAAATGCTTAACATATTTTAATTTAAATAATTCTTATTTTTAATTTTTTTTTAAAAAAAACTTGTCATTGTTAAAATATGTTATTATACTAATAATTATTTGTTTCAGAGAAAATAAAAAAACAATCATTCGAAATGCTTTTGAGTTGTAATCAATAATGTCTGAACATCGAAAACATTCTAGGATCTCTGTGATGCAAATGTTTCACGAGCTCAAACAACAATTTCCTACAGTCCCTGATCAAGTAGTCTCTGATTGTATACTTAAAGTGAGAAAGTTCATTAATGTTATGGATGTTACATTTAAATTTATAAATTATTGGATTTGTTTTAGCATTCAACTAATCGAGATGCTTGTGTATCAATTTTAAAAAGCATACAAAAAAATTATGTTCTACAAACCTATCCATCTGACATTGTAGATAAAATGGCTAACAGGCCAAAGTCTCTTGAAATGTCACAGAACAATCTTTCTTTGCCTAAATTACAGTTTTCAAATAAACCACCAACATTTAATGATTCCAAAGATTTAAAAAACTCGAACAGAAATAATTCTGATGACACTCAAATTTTAGATATAGATTTTAATATAAATACATGTCGATGTTCATCTATCTCGGCACCATCAACTCCTTTACAGCGTCCCAAAGGGGAACATAGACACAAATCTTGCCTCTCACTAGATTCTGTGCCATTTATTGATACACAATGTCGACCATTTACTTCTGTAAGTCTGACCCTCAGAACACCAACCAAAGATCCTTTACCGCCTTTAGATTTATCAGCTGGTGGAGGCTCTGAACTTACTTATACAGCTTGTTCATTTGATCCGGCAACTGATCCAAACAATTGCTATCAATCTAGACTTCACATAAGTATTGATCCTGAAGGTGAAACGACTGTTACTACTTCTCGCGTCATGGTATCTCCTACAAATATTAAATCTATTAATCGGATGACTGAAAGTCAAGTTCCTGGCTCAAATCAAATTGATAATATTTTACCTAAAACTAAGAGTAAGTATCTATTTTCAATATTTGCATGACCTGCATGTTGAATATACTTAAAATTAATAATTTTAAAAATGTAGAAAATTTACATATTGAGAATTAGATTTTTAAATGTGTTTAGTGGTAATTAATGCTCAATTAGAACAGAAGCGAAAATTGGCTTCAGAATTATCAAAAGAAAAACAAAGACTAGAAATTATGAAAAGAAATGTGGCTCTTATGGAAAAAGATATTGCCAGAAGACGAACATATTCTACAAAGGTTTGTGGACTAACTCAAAAGTTTAATATTAATACTAAAATAATTGTTTTTATTTTTAAAATTAAGATTGAACGTTTAAGAAATGATGTTGAATTGTTACGATTAGAATATAACAAATTAGCTGTCCAAGTTGACACTGCTACAGGAAATCAAGGTAATTTAATTTATATACTTTGTATTTGATCTAAATGAGAATGTTTACTGTTTATACTTTATCTTTGCAATTTGTTTTAAATTTAAATCACTTAGATAATTGATGTTTTATTTGAAAATAGAAATTAAGAAAAATAAGTTAAAAGAGAGATTTGTTTTAGTAAACATTATGTATTTACAAAGATTTAAGATTATAAAACTTTATATTTAATAGTTCCACTGGATAAATCAAATGAACAATTTTATAACCAAATCTATACCGGTCAAAAGATTTCTTTTGGAAAAATGCACAACGAATATCAAGGTTTGCTTTTATGGATATTATGTACAAATTAAATAATTGATATTATTTTATTATTATAATTTGTGTTATTTTTTTAATTATTGATAAAATATGTTTGTTAGAACATTCGGAAAGCCAAAACTGGGTTTGTCGTATGTGCACATTCCAAAATCATCCAATATTGCCGAGATGTGAACAATGTGATATGGCACGTTTTGACTTAGGTACAACCACGTCAATCATGAACAACAATATACCTTTGTGTGCCAAATTAACCTCAAATCTAACTACACAATGCTTAACATAAGTTTGACATTTTTCGCAGTGTGTTCTGGTGAGAACTTTAACATTACTAACATTTAAACTAAGTATATTAATAGGAATTAAGATAGTATTACTATAGACATTTTGAATATAGTTAAAAATACTGCTGCTCAATTAAAATCATGTTTTTTTTTTTTCTATGAATAATTTTAATATTAACGTTAACATAACTTCAAATGTTATAATAATTCATTATTTGAGATATAAATTTGATACACTATTACATTTTTAGAAGTATATATTTCAATTATAAATATTAGGTACATTATATAATTTCTTTTTTTTTCTAAATAAGAAGTTAATAATAATTTATTTAAAAATTTAAACTAAATAGTTTAATTTATATAATATAATATTTCTGATTTATTCAGTTTTAAAAATAAACAAAGATTAAAAAATCTTAATATCAATGTGTTTATTTATTCATTGTTTATATATGTAAAATCATTATGTATCATAATTTATAACTAAAATACATTTTTTTTTTTTTTTTTAGGAAAACCTCGGCAGTATCATGGAAATATTCATGTAAGAGTTACTCATCGCATAAATCACCAAAGTACGTTGGTACACTGTTAGATGTGCAGATATATAATGCACAATGCTCTAGGTTTTTCCAAGTGTGAGTGATAATGTGTTTTCACTGTTGCTATCACTTATAAAACCATAAGTCATTGTTCTATAATTTGTATTTTAATTTCAAATATTTACATTAAATATTTTTATTTTTGTAAAGGAAAAACAACAAGTTTGTATTGAAGTATTATGGATGTTTTTTTTAAATTCGACAGACTCTTTGAATGTGGTTTATTTGACAAAATCAAATTTCACTTGATATCATGTGATCCATATAAATATAGGGATAATTTGTTTAAATTATTTAAATTCATTCAAGAAATTCTGCTGCGTTTTTTTATCAAGAATTGTAATCTATAAAATAATAAAAATCTATTTTTGTAAAATGGTTGAATATTTTTTATATGAATCAAAATTTAAATCATTTAATATCTGTTTACAATACATTTGTATAATATAATGCACTAAAGCAAATATGTTTACTTGATAAACCGACAATTTATTTATATTTTATTTAAATTGTATTATTTATATTCATACTATAAAAGTTGTACTTTTGTCATTCATTATCAAAGATGACTAAATTGACCAATAATGCATACAATTGTTTTTTTTTTTTATACACATTTAAAATTAGAATGCGGGCCGATGCAATAAATTGTTGAATTGTATTAATATTGGTTATTTTAATTATAATATTAAAAATGAAAGTTATAATGATTGTCTTAATTTTAAATAGCAGTTCCTCTTTCTAAATTTTGTTTGATTTGAGTGGTATGCTCTCCATAGTACCGTTCTAATTTTGCATTGAATTTCATATTTCTCTCATTAATATAATCAATATCTGCTTCATCATTGTGTGTTCTTCTTCTACTGAATTTATTACGTTTTGCGATCCTATAAAAAATTAATTTTTTATAACCATTATTTTTAAAACATACAACAAAATACATACTGTTTTTCTAAATCATCAACCATTCTATCGATGCATTCTTTTGAATCTTTAACTTTGTCATGTAAATATGTATTGGCTTCAGCATAAAATGCACCACCTAATTTATCTCTTTGTCTTTCATATGCATCCATATCAACTTTCATGTTAGTTATCATTCTGTTGTATTGACGAGCAGTAGCTTGCTCATAATCTGAAAAACCGAGGTCAGGATTTTTCCTTTTTTTCTTCTTTTCAATGGCATCTGCTTCCATTGCTGTCATGTTTAAAAGTCTTAAACGGTTGTAATCTTGCCCCTACAATTATTATTCTAATTAACATTCTTAGGGCTTAACACTTAAAAAATGTTTACAAAATATTAAATAAATAATACCTACATACCTTTTCTTTAGCATCTTCTCTAAGTTTATCATCGTTTAATAGCCATTCAGCTTTTCTCTGTCTTGCTTCCCAGTTTGATGGTAATTTCATTTGCTTATCTTCTTCAATAACTTCTTGATGGTTATTTACTCTTGCTTCATTCTAAAATTGGAGCAATAACAAATTCCAGTTTATCATACCACTCATATTATATTATGTTAATAGTTAATTTATTTATGTACTTCATTTATCAACACTAAAAAAAAACTCACATTCATATTATAATCACAACATTATTTTAGAACATATAGGTTGTATTACCAATCATCCAACTCTTTATTTAAAATATATCTGAGTACTTCCAGTTTTTTTTATTAATAACACAAATTCAGTAGAAGTCACTTATTAGGAACATGGATAATTGATAATCGCATTATTGAAGCAAAATGTATAGGGACAAACCGGTCGTATATTAAAAACAATCAGTTAATTGACATGTATCACCTCAGTTCCAAAGTGTTTCTAATAAGCGGCTTCTATTGTATCTATAAACACAATATTTTGTATCCTTTTCCTTGTAATTTTGTTTTATACTATTTGATACTATTTATACAAATCATACATACTTAATTTGGCAGATAAGATTTAGCATTTGGATTTCATTATATATTTAAATCATAGTAATAATAATAAAAACAAATTAAATAATTGATTGGATTTTAGTTCATTTCTATCAGGTTTCCATGTAGACTTAGTCAGGAAAATTATTACAAAAATAAAAAATTACAATATGATATGTACCATAAATATTTGGTACTGGTTTAGTTGATTCCCATCCAGAAAGTATTCCCCATCACTTAGGTTAACACCCGCCATTTGCATCTCTCGTGTTTTCAATGTTTTAATAGTAACATGTATTATCTCGTATTTTAAAATTTATCAAAAAGTACAAAAACTATTTAAGGCATTTATCATATTGTATTTATAGATTAAACATTTAAACTAAGAATTATACAAAATTCAGGTGGTCAAAATAAAAATAGATATGAATTAATAAATATGTCAAAATTTAATTTTTGTCCTATGGTATTTTTGACAGCAATAACTAAATAACCAAGGTTACTCCATAATATATATGGTACCCACTGTTATACCTTTTTTTATATCTTAATTTTACCAAAAATTATTTTTAAAATATCTAATAAGTGTATCATTTTCGTACCTATCTTATCTGCGGTATATACACTTTATAACAAATTATTAAAACATAGAAAACACGAAGGATGTAAATGGCAAACATAAATTAAACTTCAGTGGTGGGGTAATATTTTCTGGGCAGGGATCAACTAAACCAGTATCAAATATTTAATCAAAATATGAAATTTATAATACATATTGTTTCATGTTGAAGTTGAAAGCTATAGGCTAGTCCTTTTTGAATACCCTTGACAAACTATTCGACTTCCATACAAGTTGTATTAATATAATAAAATTAATGTAGTATAATAACGACAATTTTTAAAACATTAGAACAGGAAGAAACTAATAAAATTTATATTATTAAATTATTTAAAATTTCATTTTTTGTTTATTTTAATAAACAGGAAAAAATTCTACATAAACCACCAATATATAATTGATTTAGTTTAGGTTACCTACAATCACAATCCAAATTAAAACACTTATAACAATACTTTGAAATTTGTATTTGGAAATTGATTTTAATACATTTTGGTACAAAGGGGAGAAGCAGAACCAATATTAAAACCAAACTTATTATTCTTAATGTAGGCCCTACAAGAACAGTTTTAGTAATGGTTTTATCTGACTTAAATAGATTTTTTTTTCAACAAAATTTGCAAAATAACTATAACACTTGCATTTGTAGATGAATAAGAAGTATTAAATAAAATGAGCATATTATTGTAATAAACTCTTAGTTGATATATATTTACTCGTTTTATGTGGAGGTCTCTAAGTTTCTTTAGTCGGTCGGATTGTTTGATTTCCTTGGCATTTGTAGACATGGTTAGTTTTATTTTAAAGTAAATTTTAGTAAATTAAATTTACATAATAATTAATAATATTATGTTTATGCAATATGCTTGAGACAAATATATTCGAGTAGTTGTCACTAATTGTACTCTAGTCCATGAACATACTCTTGTCACAGATTATTGTTGTTATTGTTCAGTGTAGCCATTTCGATAACTTATTCAATTATAAATAGGATACTAATATCAATTGTTTATTAATAAAAATAATAATCTCGAACAACAAAACCTGTTAGTTAATTATTAAGTATCTATTTTCTTTCAATTATTACTATATAATATTATCAATTTAGTTTTTTTTATCTCTAATTCAAATGAATTACGCGTCGGCTACCAAAGTTACGAGGCGATGACATACAGTGTCAGTCGTCTAAAAAACATTACATAAAATGTTATTTGCTTATAAATGTGAAATCAACACCTTCACTACTGTGAGTACTTTCCTACTCTTAATTTAAAATAAAACATATGTTCTACTTTTACTGGAACTAAACTAAACACAATGGTTGTCGTTACACAAGTTTAATAATTAAATAATTATTATCCTGCAATATTGACTGTGACATGTAGTATTACACTCATAATATTAGACTGAAATATTTACTATGTTGTCTATATTAGTGTCTCATGTAAAGTGTTCATCATTACTACTATTGATAAATTAACAATGAGCGGAGTACTGTTCCGAGAAATTCATAAAAATTCATGGTTAAGAAAACTTCCAGCTGGCGTTGACAAGAAATCTGCTCTGAAATTATCTGGTGGTCAGAAATTATGGACTGTGTTTTGTATACATGATGACACAGAACCAGTGTTAGAATTTTATGTAGATCAAAAGAAAGCAGCGGCTCATCGTCCAGACAACAGCGTACCTTTATCTGATACCGTCCATGTTTCTGCCACTATATGTCCATTACCTGTGATGGCTGGTGATCATCAGCAACAATATCAGTATGAGTTTGTGGTAACTCTTACTTCAGATGTTATACGTCTAGCGGCCCCTTCATGGTTAATATGAAGTTTTTATTTTCAATTTTGTTTTCTTATAAATACAGTAGAAATGTAATTTGTGTTAATTTTTCCCTTTTGTAGGAATCAGATGATGGATTGGGTACAAGGTTTAGATATGAAACTACGTGAAATGCATATTTTGTCTCCAAAAGAAAATGTTTATACCAAACCTCCTGAGTCTAGACCTCCATTATTACCAACTAGAGATCCTAACTCACCATTACCACCACCTCCACTGCGTGACTTGCCAACAAATGTTTTACCAGGTGTTGAACCTGTTGTTGCTGTAGTACAATCAATAGGTAACCCTTGCATGCACAACAAATTGCGTTAATTGAGTTTATATTATGTTTGATTATAATCTTAGGTAGGGATGAAAGTCTTTCTTCAGAAAATGAACAAACACTTCTTACACCGCCTATTAGTCCTAACCCAATGTAAGGGAATATTATGGTAGAAAACAATATCTATACATTTTCAACAATTTCTTAAATTTGTAAGTATGTATTTACATTTTCTAGGAGTCCTAGTGAACCAGTGAATAATGTTACCATTGTAGAAGTATTAAATCATAATCAAGTATTCAATTTCAATCAAATGGAGCAAGTGCTAAATCACCCAAATCAACTATCTCTACAAACATCATCTGAACCTAATACTTCTAGGCCCAGTACATCAACAAATTCTACCACTGAAAATCTCACTGCATCTCCAAGGCAGTCTAATAGACACTATCAAAACCGCAATGCATCTGTTGTAGAAGAACTGATTTTTAATACTAGATCTAGTAATCATACAGAATCGAATGATAGAACAACTAATGTTGATATTCAACAAAGATTTACTACTGAAGTACCAAATGAAGATCAACGAATCAGAACAACTGAGTCAGAAGATAGTAGGCCTAGAAGAAGACAAAAGAGACAAGAAGTTGCGAGTGCAACTCTTGCTACTGATCAAGAAGCAACTAGCAATTATGAGCATTTAGTATTACCTACAGTTATACAACCAAGACCACCTGTTTTGTCTAATTATGTTTCCACAGATACTATTGCAATATTACCAATAAGACCTCAAGTATAGTTTACCAATTTTCTATTTCTTAATTTAAAATGTATTTATTGATGTTTACTGTGTAGGTGCCAATAGGTCGAGGTCGGGGAGCTCGCCGTAAAGTCAATAATGATAATTCACATCCTATAGTAGGAGCTGATCGGATTCGTGTAGCAGCAAATAGTAGCCCCCGGATATTACAGCCAGTTCCTACACCTTTTATCCCAGTAAGTCATTGATTTCATAATAATTACTAATTATAGTAGATTCTCGTTATGTCAAATTTCATGGGGAGCGGAAAAAAGTTTGAGATATCGAGTTTTTATCTCGGTACTGACTTAACCATTTTAATGAACATTTATCAATGTTCAAATAAGCAATCATACTTATTTTAGATTCTGAGTGGAGCAAAGAAGCTTTTAGTTTTACAAAGATTTTTTTTTTTATTTGTGCGCAATTTTTTTACCAAAAGACTTGCTTGAATTTCTTCGAGTAGCACCTTTTCTAAAAGAAAATTAGCATGGGGAGGTTTCCTCGATTTCCTAAAGAATTTTCTCATCAAATGTGAACCTGGAAAATTTATGAAATATACATTTTTTTTCCTGTGGACAACTTTTCTATCAACAACTTTGCTCCAACTTTTAATGATAATAAAGTTTCTAAAAGGAAATTTCACTAGCGAAGTACTTTAGAGAGGTCATATTCTGATTTTACTAAAAATTTTCCCAGCAAATATGAAAAACCGGGAAAAACTAAGGAAAATTGGGAAAATCGGTACAGCATTAAACAAATTTTATTAAAGAAAGTATATAAAACTTATTTAATTATTTTACTTTAAAATGATATATATATATTGTTGACAAAGCATCACTATCAACTGAACTCCACTTAGAATCGATTTTTCGTAAGCAATGGTTTATTGTTGCTTACAGATATACATTAAATTCCTGTCAATATCCTACGTTTTCAACTTCTCACCTACATTAGTGACTGCACCCATCCTCATTATCTTACTTTGTTTTTTTTTTTATATTTCTACAATTGAACTTCAAAATTGGATCTTTCTGTTTAATAATTGACAATAATGTATTTGGTGGAGTATTAAATTCATTGGCGATTTCACATTTTTTACAATCATCGTTTTCAACTAACTGTATTAAACGAACTTTATCCGAAATTGAAAGGAAATTTAATTTCCGCTTATTTTCAATTTCACTATACTGTACAAACGACCACAAATATTAACTACTTACTAAGCACTATTGAGTAAAGTGGTAGTTCCTAAGGGATTTCAATGTAATTTGAGATAATGAAAAATTTTAGATGGTGATGTTTGGCATTAGAAGAATATAGTGTATTTCATATTTTAATAAAAAAAATTTGTTTAGGTTGAAAACAGAGATTTGTTTAGTCCAAGTCGATTAACTGTCCGCGAAAAGCAAGTTTTGCAACTCCGAAAAGAAATGTCTCACCTTGCAGGAGTTAGATTACAGCTAAGACGTAAAGATTGCATTAATACTATAGCTTTAGTAGATGTCTTCCAAACTGTCTGGATTGCTGGTTGGAAACAAAAAGAACACCCTATGTTGCATAATGCATTGCACATAGGTGATCAGTTGTTGAGTGTTGCTGGAAAACCTATAACCTGTTCAATGGATGCTCATAAATTTATAAGGGCATGGCCAAGTCTTTATGTTAGTAATTTTCATTAATGAGGATATGTTTAAAAATAATATCTTGTGTTGAACATCAGTTAATGTGATTGAAAATATATTAATATTACAAAATCTTCAGGTTGAACTAATTATTCGGCGTGTTCCTTGTGGCCGAGTATTTGTGGTGAGACGACAGGAACAAGGTCAAGATCTCGGTATAATCCAAGAAGGTGGTACAGCTGAAATTAAGGATATATTACCTAATAGTTTAGCTGCTGCTCATGGACTATCAGCTCGCACTCCTACATTAGATGGATTGTCATTAACCACTTGGACACTTACAGAAATCAATTCTCGCCCCTTAAACTTGTTATTTAAAGACACTGAAGTTAGAGACCGTCTAAATGCAGTTGGACTAGATATATCGTTATTAGTACAACCTACAGATCTTATATCAGCATTGCGTAAACAGCTTAAGGCCTTAAAAGCATTCAAAGACTACTTGTTGATATAAAATTCACTAAAATTAATGGTAATGTAATATACTTTGTTAATAAGGCATATTTCATAATATTAATAAGTAATTGTACATTTTAATTTACTCTGTTAAAAAAAATTACAATACATTAGTCAAGTTTTATGGTACTTACTATAAAACACTACTCTTAATAAACTTAAAGGTTTCAATTGAAAAATATGATGAGCTTCAATTTAAAAAAAAAGTTTGAAATATTGAAATATTTTCATTTGCCTACTATAATCAGAAGTATTTTAAATTAAAATTACTCTTATTGGATACTGGAAGATCAATTATTATTTTTGATAATCTTAGTATATTTAAAACTCTCTCTCGTGGCTTTTATAACTTACAGTTTCACCGCCATCACACCATATAATAATATGAATTATCTCTCTCCATTCATCTATTCCCATAATTTTTCAATACTTTTGACAAAATCAAAAGATTTAATTCAAAGACATTTTATTAAGAGTAATTTTTGGTTGATGATTTGTCAATATTTTGTAAATTATTATGTTTTGCGGGTAATAACTTTGACTTTCTCTTTATCTACTATACAATTGTATTTGTTTTTTATTAAATTTTGATGATTTATCATGCCATTTTTTGTTCAGTTATAATTTTAGTTACAAACCATTAAAAAAAAAATGATTTTGATGTTTTTTGACCCTAAAATTTCTGTTCATAATATTTGTATACTGAATGTGTAATACATTAATCAAAGCAACATTGTTTGTTTAAGTATTACTATTTAATTTATATTATATTATATTCTAAATTCTTATCAACGTATAGGTTTGTAAACTAATAGTAATACAAAGCAAAACTAGTATTGCTAATACTGCATTTGTAAAAGTATAATAATGTATAATATATATATATTTGCATACAAATTACTGGTTTAGCTTTATAGTGTACACTTTAAGCATTTCACTAGCATTCAAATAATAATACGGATAACATATTAATAAAATAATTATTAATTTTGTATTTTGTTTAGGAAAACATCACGAATGCAGGGTGAACACAGACATTAGTTATTATTTTTTATTCATTACACATCAAACTATATTTTATCCACACCAAAAGTATTTTTATATGACATACAATTTATCAGTCTGAATCAAAAATGGGCTTCAAAATGTTTACCTGGATATTGTAGGACTTTGAACCATGGTTTTCTGTGATAATTTGAACAAAAATAATACAAGTTTTAATAAATTTATAATGATACCTTTACATATTTGTAATTTTTTTTAATGATTTTGAATTGTGAAATCATTCTAAATAAATTAACTATTTATTTTATTACCATATAATTGTGCAATATTTTTAAATTTTGTTTTGTTTTCGTTATAGTTATGTTTTTTAAAATTAATTTGTAATATGTTTTAGTTTATTTTAACACATGTTTTTATCGAGTGTTCAACTAAGCCATACAATAGTAGCACCAAAATCCAAAAAAAGTGTTTGGTAAAACTATTCATTATACCCACCTACACAAAATACTCAAAATAGCATATAAATAAATAATAATTATCACATTAAAATTGGATTTTGGTGTATTTCAGTTATACAAATATTTTTGTTTGTAATTATTTGCATGTTTTATGTTAAAATTAAATGTAAATATTATAACTACATTTTTTAAGAGAATTAATTTTAAATTTAATAAGCACAGAGTGCTTTGTGCTATTTTATAGACTATATTAATTTATAGTTAATGACTTAAATATTAAACATTTAATTACATTCCCATGTGTATCAACCATTTATTGTTACTTTATTATTTTCTGGCAAAGGAGCTACTAAAATATTAAATATTTATATATTATAATTATGCTAAAAAGTTTGCCCAATTACAGTACCTAATACAAAAATATATTGTTTATTGGCGTTTTATTTTGTATTTTTAATGTGAACCTTGATATATTCTACTAAAATATTGAAATATTTATGTTCCTATATATAAAAAAAAATTAACATATTTTGTTACCGCCGCAACACAAAAAGTTATAGGTATTCACGATCAAAGTAGAAACAGTTGGCCTCACACACACATTATTATCACTTATTGGTATACAGTTTTATTTTTGTTATAATTATTGTTAAATGTGTCTTGTGAGTTATATAATATGTAAATCACCCAGCGCATTATTGCAAGCCGCCGCATCATCTGCATGAATGTTTTATCAAGACCGCGAATTGTTATTGTCTTTTCATTATCCGCTGGCTATATAGGTATTACTTAAAATCAAAATTATATATTTTTTCTTCACCGCCATCGTCGTGTTTGCCGAGTTTAAGTTTCATTTTCTCTACATTGGAGACTCTAATAGCCAATATTTGTAGTATTCAAGGGCTATATTAGCCTTCATAGATTTTACTTCCATAAAAGTATTTACCATAGGTCGGTGCATCGTTGTACGCGCTCGCTAATGAAAACTTTATTTTTTACTCAAAAATCGTCGTCTCGAATAGCCCGGTTTTTCGTGAATCAGACGGCTTTAATAGTTTTATTGTTTTCACACAGTAACATATAAAAAAGGGCTCAAATAGTCCCCCGGAATTTATTATAAATTGTGTTTCTTTGCGGCCTTTATAATTATTGATGAGGTAGTCGGTTCTAATAGCCACTGTTAAATTGTTTCCATAATTATTATTCAATTCCGTTACCGAAGATCTGGTATTTTTTCTGGGTATTATTTTGTATTCTTTATCCGTTAGCATGTGTGTTGTATTTGTATTCATTTATAAATATAAATGCTAGCTAGGTAGTGGCTGGGCCAGCAGTGCGCCAACAATTATTGTGAGTATCTTCCTATATTATATTATTTTTATACATTACATTGGTTGTGCCGAATTATTTTTATTTAGACATTTTTATCTGTTGGTCCAAAAGGGCCGTAATATTCAATTTGAGTATATTATTTATTACCATGTTTGTGTTGTGAATTTTTCTATTTAATTATTTATTGTATTTTAATTACCAGCAATACAAATCCTGATATCATACCTGCAATTTAAAGTTAACATTTATTTATTTACCCCTTTTTTCACGTAGTTTTTAAGTTATATATACACACGCATACACAAAGGGGAATTAGGTATCTGAGTGAGCGTCATATTATTTTACGCTCCCGGCCCATTCATATTTAGTAACTTGATAATAAAGTAGTAATTTTTTTTTACTTAAACTTGAGTTCTGTAAAAATCAATTTACTCATATAGGTATATATTATCAAAAACCAATATGAAACAATTTTGTAATATTTTGTGTATAGTGACGTAGCGATAGGGTGGCATGACGGGCAATAAGCCAGGGGCCCATGACATTTAAGAACCCCAAATCAGAGCTTAATGCATTATTGGACAAGTGAAGGCCTTTTTGTTTTCTTTCTTATTGGCCTTTATACAATATTTTGTCACGGACATTAGAAGTTCTAATTACGCCACTATTATTGATAACAATAACATAAAGTTTTTAATATATAATAAATTAGCATCAATCGGCCCATAAATCAATATTTTTGAACGGCTCACCGAGTTTTAATCAGTGCCTCGACGGCCCAGTACAATATTGTATTTATCCAATGTTAGTCGTGCTCTCAATACCCGCCCTTTTTTTACTGTGACGCAAATGTGAAAATGAACGTGTAAAGTAAACACTAAATAGACTTGCATCTCAATCTAAAAATACTCATACAATATTCAACACCGTCCTAAACCATTTGATCACTAGCTACTCTTCCGAATAAATTCCAGACAATCCATCCGGATGCTTTAAAAAGAACTGATGTAGGGACTTGCTTCTCTTTAAAAACACTCTTAAGGGTGCTGCCAATCGTCGTTTTGGTTAGATATCTCTATCCAGTCTCCCGTCTTCCTAGTTAAATTGTACCAATATAACATAAAATCACATTTTACTTATTGTAAACAAAATTTAAATCTACCCATATTTTATTTTTATTTGGAACCAATAGATTACTGGGCCTCACTGAGAAAAACTCGTGTGGAAGCACAGGAGTTATCTTAGTTCACAAATGTTTTAAATTATAAATCACGCATTATTATTGTGAGTCATTAAAAAGAAATAGGAAATTATTTTACGTTATGCTTTAGGTCTATAAAAAAAACCTACTTATAATAATAATACTATACCTACTATTTATCTTTTGAAGTCAACCAGTCAAGACTTTATAGGTAGATTTAATTGTATAGATACGTCAAATAATAAAAATAAAATATTAAAATTTTTAGCATATAAAAATATTTCGAATGATCGTTAGATAATATGTAACTATATTATTGTTCAATATTACACGGTTTTTCTAATACTGTGGCTTATTGAATTTAAAAAAGTCGGGCGTATTTATTTTGCCACTTACAAATCGGATACAAAGTTCGTTATTTCGTCGTCCTCGTTTATCCAAGTTTGGTCGTTTTGTATTGCTTTCTCTGACGTCATCTAATGTTAACTTTGCATAATCCGCAGCAACTCAAATTTAACATTTTCGTAGCGTTTTCGTTCTGTACGTGCGTACCTAACGTGTACTAAGATCTATAATATTGTGGGTCACTGAAAATCGTTGCTAATTTGTATTGGTCATAGCCATTTATTTTAAGATGGCGAGTGTCCAAATTGTGTTCGTGAGCACATTACAGATAATATAGGTGCACATATTACCTTATATTATAGTTTATCGAAGGTACACACTACACCGTAAATACATGAAAATAATAGGTAACATTTGAAGTTCGAATCTAGTTTCTATTCTTATACCTAATTACAAAATTTTACACAATGTCCGATGTCGTGATATAAAACAAAATATTATTGTTAATGTTTGAAAATTATAATTGAAGCATAAAAGTAATTGTAAAGAAAAATATAATTTGTATTCTCATTCCTCAATCACCGAGAAAAAACTTTATTTTATCACCTTTTAAAATTGTCAAAATAACCATTTGGTAAAATATATTATTCTAAACATTTTAATATTTCAGACTTTCATATCCGATTAATAGTATTTAGGTGGCTTTAATGTATAGAAAAATAAATAGGCGTGAAAACAGTTAATATCCAATAAATGATGAGGAATTATCGTACTGATTGTTATTTCTTATTACGTAACGTGTTATTCTATTGAAAATTGTTTTCATGCCAATTTTCTAGAAATTAAAACGGCTATTATTAAAAAAACTATTGATCGGATATGAATGCATGTTGCATTAAAATGTTCAGAATAATATCTTTTACAAAATGGCTATTTTAAAAATGTTGAAAGGTGATAAAATAAAGTTTTTTTTTTCAGTGATTAAGGGATGAAAATAAAAATTGTATTTTCTCTATGTATGTGTCTCCGATTCACAAAACTTGATTGAAAAAACAAATTAATATTAACTGTAACCTATTGGCCGCCGGATAATATTGTAGTAGGACATTCTGTATATATGATGATTCTCTTTTCATGAACCATCGGAGGATTTTCAGTGAATCTGTTTTTTTTTTTCTTAATCATTATGGAAGCTTTATTTTAACACTGTTTTCAATTTTTTACTCCTACTCTTTATACTTGAAATGTGCATCCACTTTAGATTGTCAAATAAAAATCACTCTGCTTTTGAACACAAATTCTAATAAAGAACATTCTTCCAGATATGTTGTTATGCTTGAGTATGGCACTACTTGATCGTTTATGAATTATAGCAGTTTAGATTGGAGAAGAAAGGCAGAGTTATTAATCATTTTAATTTTAAAAATGATATGAAATTTAATAGAAAATCATATATTTAATACAATATTTCTAGAAAAATATTCTCTACTCAAATCTGTGTTTAAAAAGAAGGGTTTCTATTTGAAAATCCAAAATGGATACTTATTTCAGGTACATGGAGTAGGGACGAAAAATTAAAAGTGGTTTTAAAGCGATTCCAAAATGATTAAAAAAACAGAAATCAAATTCACTTAAAAACTTCCGAGAAAATAATTTTCAATTATTGATGGTTCATGAGAAAAGAAATACCTTTGGTATGACAATGTTGAACAAACTATTTGACTTAATTGGCCCGCTTTTTAAATTATATCTATAAACTATAAAAGGTCTTATAAATACAAACAAGTCTGTGTATGTACTATAAGGTCATTTGGACGTGTCAGAATTGCCAGTCAAGGTATATTAATAAATATCAATACACCAGTGTCGGGTTACTTTATAGACAGAGTGAGCAGGTGATTTGAGCGGCAAAATTTTAAGGACAGCAAATTTGTCACACTAAACAAATTTTTTTTAGGTATACATAATATTTTCCTATATTATATTATAGGTATTAGCCATTAGGTTATTAACTCATTGAAATGGTTTCGGTGAACGCGGTTAACCGGAGTTTTCTCGTAAAAAAGGTATACACGAATTGCGTCCCACTACCACTATATTGGTTAGGTAGTAGATTTTTATTTCGCTTTCAGGGGTTCTCCATGATGCATTAATTATAAGAGAGATAGTATATTTCGATATATTATATAACGTGCCTAGTATTATAAATTGCGATAATGGATGGATTTTGTTATCGATGATAGGCAACAATAAGCAAGTTCGTATCATTATAATTATTATTATTTATTTATTTTATGATATTACGGACTTAATTGATTTTGATTAGATTTAAGTGATTTAACATTTATTTATTGTTTTATTACATTTGATAGACCTATTTTTGATTGAATCATGATTGTATTTATAATTGTTATTTATTTATTTATTATTTTTTTTAGTTTAAAAACCCCTGATTAAAATACACGAATTGCATCCTGGATATTTTGGTACGCAATTTGTGTATACCTTTTTTACGGGACGCAACTTATGTGTTCCCGTTTTCGGAATGTCCGCTGTCGATTCTATCAAAGAAGTGGCATTTTTTTTGATGACTTAGAAGCCATCCACGATTTCTTTGTAAAATCTACTTATCGAAGGCAATTGATGAAAGAGAAATTGAGATCCGGTCATAAGGTAGTAAACAGAGCTACTGGAACAAGTTGGTCTAGTCGTTATAATGTATGTTTTGCTTTCATAAATTGTTGTAAAGAATTTATGGAAATATTGAATAATGTAGAAAATAATCCTGAAAAAACCTTAAATCGTAGAAAAGCTGGTTTGAAAAACAACCTAAAAAAATTCGAGTTGGTCTTCATGGCCGTATTTTGGACTTCTTTGTTAGAACGATTTAATAAAACAAGCAACATTTTGCAATCAACATCAGCTAACTTAGAAGATGTCTGTACAAATTTTTAATTGGTTTTGTGAGTGAAATAAAAACTGATAAAATGTTTCATAAATTTATTGCTGAAGCAAAAAAAAAAAAAATTATAAAAGAAGAATATGAATTGGACCAAAAGCGTCGTCTTGTACGACCCTCCTTTAGTATAACGAACTAGACGAAGGTAATTTTAGAGCGAATGAAGTAGTTTTTGGTGCTAAAGATAAATTAAAAACCATTAATTTTGCTGTATTGGATCAACTCGGGGAGCAACTGAAAATAAGACATTCTGGATATGCAAACATTTACGATAAATTCAATTTTTTTATCAATGTATACACAAGTCAATTGGTACTGATGATATTGTTTAAGGAGCCGAGAAACTTCAACAATTTTATTCAACGGATATTGATGAAAACACATTTACACAAGAATGTATGCATTTCAAAACATATGGTCAAAATACAACTGAAAAAAAACCAACTTAATCAAAGTTTGTTTACATTTTTCCGAAACTAGAATTTAAATTAACTATTTTCGAATGTGAGCATCGCTTTAAGTGCATCACCTATTTTAAAAGAAAATCGGTATGGGAAGGTACATTGAAGAGGTCATTTTTTGATTTTCTCATTAAATTTGAAAAACCGAAAAAAAAAACCGGGAAAATCGGTACATTAAACAAATATTATTAAAGAAAATATATAATGCTTTTTCAATTATTTTACCATAATATGACATATATATTGTTGACAGAGCATTACTTTCAACTGAACTTCGCTCAGAATCGTTTATCAGATATATATTCAATTTCCGTCTGTATCCCAACTTTCCACCTACAACAGTGGCTTCACCCACATGCAAAGTATATTCGTCTTTTTATTTTTCTGTACGTTTGAATATCAGATTTTTATGAAAATCGATCAATTCTAAAATCATACAATTGTACACGGATATTATTTGAGGTATTTAACTCGCTGAAAACACGTATCGGTTGCACTATCAGTACCAAAATGCACCAAAGTAACACAAATTGTAAGTATGCTTGCTAATTAATACTATTTATTTATTTGATCGATAATAAATATCGCAAAATCACGCGCTGGTTAATAATGTTGGCAATAATACTAATTTTGTTTTATTGACTGTCGTTAAATTTTTATTTTTCTGAATTGTTTTATAATCATTCCTTTAAACTTTTTCAATATTTTTTTTCCTTTATGGTTTTTTCCCGGTTTATTTGCACGTGAACTGTTCGAGCCAAGATCGCTGGTATCTGTGGATGACTTCAAGAAACGAAGATTAGGATTCGGTGTTCGCATTAGATTATAGAATGTAATATTATATTATAATAATATTATGGATTTAAGTTAGGACGGTTAGGTTAATCGACACAGTGATTTAGGCCTACACGGGGATACCACTATAAAAAAAGCGCTCCTCGTGTAATACCTTATACGCTTTTCGAATAACGTCAAATACTCATAATAATATTTCATTGGCGTTTGTCGATATCCAAGGTGGTACGGAAAATTGCACACGGGTATTATCCATATATTTATTGTAATCATTTCATAAGATTCGATATTTTAGGCATTGTATATTTTCTTTAATAATATTTGTTTATTACTGTACCGATTTTCCTACGTTTATCCCGGTTCCCGATGTTTTTTCTCGGTTTTTCATATTTGATGAGAAAATTCTTGAGAAAATCAAAAAACAACTTTCTAATAGTACCTCCCCAGTCCGATTTCAATTACAACTATACATTAAATTACCTACAACAGGGGTTGCATTCGTCTCCATTATCCTACGACAGCTTTTTTCATACTATTTTTCAATTAGTCAGATTCGTGTATATATTTTATCAGATTTGATTTATCAAATATTAACAAAAGTTGTAATATCTATTGAATCCAGTCTTTAGTTAGTTTTTAGGTATTATAATAACGTATTAAAATAATTTTGAATTCCTTGATTAAATCATAATATGGGATAACTTTAAAAATGCTTATGCAACATTATAATTTATAACAACAAATAAGTAGAATAATATTAATAATGAATCATGTTATTTATTTAAAAATTTTCAGAAATCTTTGAACAGTAAAAAGTATCAGGTTTAAATGTAACTATTAATACTTAAAGGAAATCAGTATTTACAAATAATTTTTAAGCTGTATTCATACTTAAATACATATAAAAATGCAAATACACACACATATAAGTATATCATATGTAAGATAGTTGTATAATGTTACGGATAAAGGTATGAAATAATAGTCAACAATAAGTCATTTAGATTAGGCCAAAGGAATAGAATTTAAAATGTTGATTAGTCTAAATTGAACTAAATACAAGTAATAATATACAAAAAAAAAAAAAAAAAAAAAATATACATTATTAAGTTATAAAATAAATGATATTACAATATATATATTATTATATAGACACCAACCTAATAGTCACCACAAATACAAATTATAACCAAAAATTTTCAAATGTCAAATAATTTAACCACCTTATCACTTACTTGAATGAATAAAATATATTAATTTACAATATTAATAAACCAAAAACTATGATACATTATCTTGTCTTCAACACATCATGGTTAGAGAAAAAAAAAACTAGTTTACAATAAATTATAGAAAATCACCAAGTTAAAAATAAATTATAATGAATTTTCAAAATTCAACCAATACCATCCGTTTCCCTATTCAAGAAATGACAAAGTTTTGTTAAAAGAAAAAAAGGAATATAACTTATGAGAAATTTTTCTTTTGAAAAATGGTGACTTTGAGCAAAATATTTGTTCTGAGAAATATTTTCACACGAGTCGTCAATTAAATAATAGCTGGTCAAATTTACAAAAAACAAGAAAAAAAACATAATAAACCTAACAAGATAGTGAAATTATTATTATTTAAAAAAAAAAAATAAATAATAATAAAACAATATAATACCTTAATTAAAAAATAAATTAAAAAAGTTTTTATCAAGGAGAATTTAATTAATCTGATGTTTTTAAGATTAAAATGTAAAAAGTGTAAATTATGTTTGAGCAAAATTATTAAGTACACACGGCTCCCTGATAATTTCGAGGTGATTTAGCCACCCATATTTTTTTATCACAGCATTTAAATATAAAAATATAACCAATTAGCAAGTAATTTTAGAACTACTTGTCCTTGTGTTGCTTGGACCGAGGATTTCGGTCAGTTTGGGTCCCATTATTCCTGGGTACAATACTGACACTGCCATCTGGTTGTTCACGCAATGTATGTGTGAATGGTGAGTAAGGGTTTCCATCGGGATCTCTTAGACTCTAAATATAATAATTGTAGTAATAATGTTAATTTTTGACAATTATTTAAAAATCAAATTTATTTAGACATAATCAAATGCATTAACTTACTGCAAAAATATGGTTATAGAGTAAATCATATTTGGTCTTTACTCTCATGCGCTCGGTCATTAAGTATTCACGCTCTTGCAATAAATTGAATTTTCGATCTTTCATTTGTTTCACTTCATCAGCTAAGCTGAGTATTTGGTCTAGTTTGCGTTTTCTACAATTTTGAGCTGCCACCTAAATAACAATAATAATAATAAAAATACCAGACATTAAAACTAATGAAGAACTACATTAAATATATCATAAAATACAAACTTTATTTTTTCCTCGACGTCTAATATCTCTGATCAACGTTAGTTGACTTTCTGTTAAGTCATATTTAGATAACCTCTCGTTGAATTCATCCATAGGAAGATTGATTATATCCTCTACGCTGATGGGAATATTAAGATTTCTAGCCCTTTTTTCATCTCTTGTCAGTTGTTCTTCTTCACTTCTTTTATTACTTTTAAGTTTATTCCGTGAAGTCCTAGGACCTTCTACTGGCAATGCATAAGTGTGATTGAGAGCTACTTGATGGTCAGGGGTCATTAATCTAGAACAACCTTTGAGAACCAATAATTAGAATTTTTATATTATATTTTACAATGAATCAACTAGGTATATAGTTACGTACTGGCCATGTGTCTTGTGAACTGAGAAGAACCGGGAACAGGGATACCATCCCTTACTGACATATCATAAGGCAAGTTCATTGAATCTGATGCGAGACCAACATGATTGGATCTTGCTGCTTCAGTGATGTTGGGTGTGCCTAAAATAAAATAACAAGGATTGTATAACTTCGGAGTTTTTCAAAATGTTTTGCATTTACAGTTTAAAGTAAAGTTTTACCTGTCACAGAATCTGTTATACGTCTTCCATATAATTGATATTTCTTTTGTGGAGTGCTGGAGTGACCACGACTTCCAGAATACAGATAATTGTCCAACCATCTCATTTTTCTGAAAAACATAAAAATAATAATCATATTAAAAAAAAAATGGCTCAAAAGAATCTAACTAAGTGAGATGCGACAATAATATGAACATTGCTATACATTCTATTGTTATAGATTATGTTTTTATTTCTAGTGTTGAAAAATACTGTCAGAGCACGAGGGCGATTTTAAAATATTATAGAGACTTTAATATCCAATTATAACTCTAAAAGTATGTATAATATATAAATGTAATGTAATACAGTAGTCACTGCTGGTATACAAAGATATTTTACCAAATAATAAATTTCAACTATTATACTTATATTTTATATTAAATAGCTGACATGGCAATGCTTACTATTGCTACACAACTAAATTAAATAGAAAATTAAATATTCAGACCTCCTAACAATTTTCTACTGGTCTGATTGAAAAATTCAATAGCTAAAAATCTACCATTGACAATGCAGATCATTTTGTAAACAACAGTCCATTCGATTTTTAGTCTATTGAAGTCAGATAAACCAACATTCATTTATATATACATAATAGATAATATAAGTTTTAATATAACATAATATCAGACTATTGGAGTATTGTTGTATCGAAAATACTGAATAACAGAATAAACTGGCGAAATATTTTAAAATATATGTATTTATTTATTTTTTATAGTTTGTTATTTTATGTTAAGAAAA